TTGTTGCTTGCACTTTTAGCTAGATGAAGAGGCACATCATGCCCAATTTCGTCCTTGAGGGACCTGCGCAAGCACCGCTTGCATTCCCTTAGTTTCTTTCTCTTCAAATCAGGCCACATCGGGTTAGACATCCTACATCTTGATTGACAGATGCGGTCCAAGCTTGGCATCTAGACCCGATCTCAAGTTGGCCGATAGTCCTATCTCTTAAAGTAGAGTAATGTGGGAAGGGCATTACCTTTCCTCCTCCTTCCAACCCATATCTGACTTGCAAGTGAACCCTCTTTTGCTCGGGATATTTATAGATGCATTGGATGCCAATGTGAAAGTGAGTGAGTGATATGCAAAAAGAAAGCACAGTCCTGTTTTGCCATGCATGCGAGATCGAATGGCTATTTTTTTCGTGTGCCTGTTGTGTTTTGTGGGACGGACGCTCTTTTCGACATACATGCAAAATCTCTTGCGTTCTTTCTTTCCCGAGTGTATTTGGTTTTTGCCCTCCATTTTGTATTTTCATCTGTCTCTTACCATCTCTTTCTTTCATTCGTACCGACCCTCACTTTTTTCTTCATCCGTGAGTCATTCTCTCTCGTCTTTCGGCTCACCTTTGAAATTACCTTGTCTTCCACTTTCGTGCTCATCCTTGGGGCATTTTGTACCAAGCTCGACTTCCCTCACTGCTTTTTATTCATTACATTTTCTCTCGCGTCACGATCAATATCTCATTCGCTCTCTCTCTCCCTTTCTGTCGCTGTCGCAGCACGCAGCGCTATCGGTCTCGTACATTCTTTCTTTCATCGGCCCTCATACAACTTCTCTCCCTCTCACCTTCTCCACCTTCTAGCTCTCTCGCGGCACTTGTTTTTATGGTTGTTTTGTGTTGTTATACATTCACTCAGACGAAAATTAATGAATTGGGTAAACTATATCCTTTTCTCACCTTGTTTCTTGTTTGTTACACCCTTCGGCATGCAACACAACCAAGATATACCTTTACATCACAAACATCTGACATCTCCACACGCTGTTCAAGTGTTCACTTTTTTTGTCCCCCGGAATGGGGCGACCGGCTAATAATAATAAAAAAAAGAAAAAAAAAAGAATAAAACAAGAATACCATGGCCTCTGCACCTCAAATGAGCGCCGGACAATCGTCATTGCATAGAGACTACCTTTGAATGATCCAGATAATGAGAGTGGCGAAGAGAAAAGGCGTCGGATTAAATTTTTTAGGGATGAAAAATGGTTGAAAGAGCGTGGGGAAAGAGTTGCAGTCAGCCCGGTTCACATTCCCTATCTCGTTTCTCTTTTTTATATTTTGGCTTCCCCTCCCCCCTTTCCCCTTCTCCCCTTTCACACTACCTTTGTTTGTTAACGAGGTTCATGCATGTCATGGGTTGCATTCCTCGTCTATCTTTGACCCTTTTTTTTCTCGTGTTGATTTTGCTTGCTTATTATTTTGACTTTTTTACTGGTAGCACTGAGCACAGCAAACGGCGAAACCACAAGTAAACAAAGAGCACAAAAAAATGCTTATTTAATATTTACGCATAGCTTTGAAAAAATCTTTCCCCCTTTGTCCAAAGATAAGAGGTCTTGAGTACTTTTTTCATCTTTTTCACGGTAAAGGTGACATTGCGAAGGAGTATATTTTTCCTTTTTACATTCCTCCGCATATCAGAATATCATAGTTCATTCGTCCCGTACTCAGGGTAACAAGGCCATAGATACACGAAAAGCAACAGCCCCCTTCATGTATCCCTCCCTGCCCTCCCCCACACAAGAGTGGAGTGAAACGCGCAAACATTTGTTTTAAAGTAAAAAAAAAAAAGGTTCCAAGTAGAAAGTTTTCGCAGACCTCATTTTTCCTTCGTTTCGTAGTCACAGTGGCTCATATTCAATTTATGTTGGTTGAAACGAAAGAAATCCTTCCCGAATTTCCTTCCGGGAAGGACAAACGGGAAGGATTTCTTTCGTCCCAAAAGGCAGAAAGGTCATAAGACCACCGTCTTCAACTTTACAGCCATGGGAGGGGTCAGAAAGCCTATTATCTTCTGACCGCAGCATGTGCGACTGAAAAATTCCTGCGAAACAACTCATTTTTCCTTCATTCAGTTTTCCTTCGTGGAGCTTTTTCAACGAAGGAAAATTGAATCTGCGAAAATTTTCTAGTGGTCTGTGTCTCACTTGCAGATCCCTCTGATTTTCCATATCTGATTGGGGCGTGTGTTATAGCTGATCATCAGATCCTTAAGGTCCACAACAACGGAAGGGACGATCAGGGACAAAACTGATGCGGAATTGGCACTGGAGATTAGATGCATAACCTGCATTGGCATATACAAGTATTCACCCTTGTGTCCCCTTGCAAAGAAAAACGATTGCAAAAGAGCCCAATACTGTTTTTTTTATGTTTTTTTATGTTTATTTAGGGGCTCGAACCTCCCTCCCTCTGCCGAGTGTGAGAGTGGAAGTGCAAGAGGAATCTATCGCCAGTATAGAGATCTCATGCTCTCATAGACGATCGTCAAAACGTCGGCTACCTTTCAGGCGCCTGGTTCTCTCGAAACTCGGTGTGCCCATCAGGCGATCATGAATGTTTTAAAACAGCGACTGCTAACAAGCCGTGTTCCATAGGTGTGGATCAATGTCCGGATTTTTTTTTCTTCTGAGTAGCCTTGTCTATTGATAACTCAAGCAACAAAAACACATGCATTTGGTCCCCCACTTATAAAGTCGGCAAAGGAGAAAGAGATGGCGAGGTGGCAGAAAGGAGACAAATAACAATGGGCAAACTCATACTCAAAACAGGAGAGGCTAATCAAAGACACGTCATGGGTTACTTTAATTGATGATGCCTGTTCTTCTACCTTGAAATGATCGAGCACCAAGGAAAGCGTGAAAAACAATGAGCAATGTCAGTCAGGATTATCTAGCAGGCGAGCTGGAGGATGTCCAATGGATTGAGTGCTCTTGCGAACCCAAACAGCGGTCGATGGTGTACAAAAAATGGACAAGGACGACATGGGTACGAGAGAGAAAGAAAAGATAGTGAAGACTCTCCGCCATTGGTCCATGAAAATGTCATTTCTCCTCATTTTTGGTTGCGATCGAGCTAGGTGTTGTGCTATTAGCATTGCGATTTTTTTTATTTCATTTCATTTCATTTTTTGCTTCAGCTTTGATCGACATGTCAGCGCACCAATGAACCGAGAGCGAAAAGCAACTTTGAATGAAGAGATGACCAACAGGAGCGAATCTGAGCGAAGAATGGGCTTGAAGAAGTGAAAAGAATATGAGAATAGAGTAAGAGAACGCAAACCAAGCAGGACCAAGGTTTTTTTTCCCTTCCAAGCACAAAGGTGGGTTGTGAGGGGTTTTTTTTATCCGCTTGAATTGATTGGAATTACTTAATTGCCGAGAGACCTAAGTCCGCGTCTTAGTTCGCTACTACCCTGACAATGTCGCTATTACTTGGTACTGTAATGACGCTTTAAACTTCAATCTTCTTTTCCACTTCGTTTTCGTTTCCAATCCTCATTCCTCATCATATTTTCCTACTTTGAGGTTGGAAAATTCAAGGAAAAATACTGGCGCTGTGGAGCCCGTACTCGCTAGTCCTCCTCCCGCACGTCTTGTTGAGCAGCCGGCTGTACAATTTTGTTGGTACTTGCTTGTTCTGAATGGACATTAGCTTTTTAGCTTTCTAACTCCCATCCACCCTCCTATCCTCAACTCATCATGTCTTGCTGAGCCAAAGAGGAAAGACAACACCCCGAGAGCACTCTTTGCGTTTTTGGGTCTCTGGACCAACAATGCCCCAGCATAATTTATTATGGTTCATAATCCTTTCCTTTGGTCAGTCCAAGCCAATGTATCTCACACATTGTTGACGCCTGAGTGAGCTGAATGGGTTTGTTCCCCCCTCTTTTTTTCATGCAAAAACTTAACTTACGGCTAGAAGGAAAAAAGTGGCCGGATGCACTTTTCGGAGGCCCGCTTTTCTGCATTGCTTTAGTTACCAACACCACCATTACTCCCTAGCGTTGTATTTTCCTGTTTTGCTGTAGGAAAATATTAAAAAAAAATCGCCGTCGGAAGAGAAAAATAAAATTGCAAAGCATAGATAGGTGTGCTTTTGTTGGTTTGCCACGGAGTAAAACAGTAGGGCTTTCAATCGACACCTGTTTCTTTTTGCTTTGCTTTTCTTGTTTTTATTCTTTGTTCTTGATCGCCTGGAGGACGCCATCGATCCGTGATCGGATTGTTTGTGACCAGTCTCCAATGACCATCAACTCTGGGCTTGAAAAATAATGAGGAAAAATAATGGGGTAAACCCCACGGCAACTACGAGGTCTAGAATCGATTCTATGGTTCGTATGTTTTTCATTTTCGAATTGTATATTATTCTGTCTAGCCGTTAAAATATATTCGAAGAGTACTAGAAATCAGGCATTGTTGGAAAAAAAATAGAGAAACTGGTATTTCAGGCAAAACAACCACCAATAGACACTGACCAGACCAATCTGGTCGAAAAAGTTCTGGGTTCTCCTCTCTACAAATCGAGTCCTCTATCCTCCCCTCATTTTTTTGCAGAGTTTCTCGAGAGTAAGAGTCACAGTTTTGTCTTGCACATGAGAAGAAAGGAAGCAGGTTGCGGAGTAAACTACTTGAAGCGGGGGAAGTGAATGCAGAATTAATTCTTCAGTCCAACAGCAGAGAAACATGTGAGACCGAGGTGTACACCGCAGCGCACTGGATCCAATGCACTCGGTATCCTTTCTTCAAATCAAAAACATAGTTCATGTATGTTTCGCGTAGACGTAGGAAGAACGAGAAGAGATGACGCGCAAACTACAGAGAACAGACAGTTCCCGCCCTCGCATTCAAAATAAAAGACAGAAAACAAAGGCGCACTTAGTAGGAATAATAGAACAAAGGCGCGCCTTTTGCTGCCATCTTTATCCCTTTGTTCGGCTGTACTTCCTCTCTACTATTCATTATTCTCCGACGATTTTATCCAAAATTCCAAGGATTCCTTGAACGGCGCTGGTGGGTGCAGCGGCGGCCCGTTGACTGGCTGCTGCTGATGCTGCAGCCGCAGCCGCAGCCGCAGCTTCGGCAGCCTTGGCCATCCTTGCTGACATCTGGATCTGATCTACCGCTGCCTTGATTACTGGTGTACCCGCCACCGCTGCTTTCTCAATAATCACTCCGGCCATCTCTGACGCTGCTTCAGGGGAAGGAGGTATAGCTCGCAAGGATGGCATCAAGAGAGAGAAAAACCACCGAAGGGGCATAAAGAGGTACCCGACCAACGAGACTCCACGATCAGCGATACGCTTTTTGAGGATATACATCACGACAAGCGAAAACACCAAGAGTCCAAAACCAATGAGCAACCGGTCCGTCCAATCTGCCTGGTTCAGCTTTGTGATGAGCCCCTTGCCTCGCTTCAGAACCTCGTCGTAGGCATGGTATTCGCCCACTGTTGCCCTCAACACCGTTGCTGACTCGTCTATCATCAATATCCAGTAAAACATGTCAATTAGTATACATTGAAGATGTGCGTTCGACATGGACAGTGAAGGTGCTGAGGCAAGAGGTCTCTTACCAATGACTTTGGCAGAGTGAGCCGTCCGTTCGACTTCCTCTTGCATCAATTTGAGGGTCCTGCTAAGACTTTCGTTGTGTTCCTTGCTGGTATTGAGCATGTACTCGCTGTCATTTCCTTGACCTGCTCCGCGTCGACGGATCTGACTCAGTTCAATGGCTGACTTGGATCCCTTCAACAATAGTTCCCGCTCTGACTTTGTTTCCCTATCGATGGTCTGTTTGGAGCTCAAGATCGCCTGTCGAACTGCCTGTTGCTGCCTAGTTAATAGAAAGGTGTGACAATTGAAGAAAATTTAGTATATCCGACACGCGTTGGAAAGGACGAACAAATAGGAACGTGGCATGAGCTGAAAAATGAAGGCCATCGATACGTCAAGGCGTCGGGGCAATGTGTCTGTGAAGCATTCGCATAGAGGAAGAAGCACGTACTGCTTGAACTGAGTCTCGATCTTTTCCAGCATCGCCACGACCAAGGCACGATCTGATTCTCTGTCCTGCTCGTCCGCCAGAAGCCTTAAATCCTAATAAAAGATGGCCACGTATTCGGTGTTTTTGTTAGGCTTCGTTAGAACAATCCTCAATTGACACGTATCCAACTGTCAACCAGAAAGAGGGTTTTCTGTACAGGCCTTTGTTACCTCGATTTTGGATTCGATGGCTTTGGACTCTTCCCGTGCGCTGCGGGCTAGTTCCTGCTGGACCGATAGCGGGCTGCCGGTCAAGTTGTTGAGTCTAGAGATGAGACCTTCGAGGCCATGGTATTGCTTCCTGAGTGCGTCCATCTGCACCTGAACGTGGCGAGGGACGAATGTTGACTGAATGGGAGGCATTGGTCAGAAGTGGGATAAGTGTGTGTGTGTAGGTCGTAAGATGTTGATAGGATGGGAGAGTGTGTTGGTTAAAGGTGTATTGATGAGGTTGCAGAAGCCAGAATGTGAGAGTGAGGGAGAAAGAGTGAGTGTGTGTTTGAGCAGTCAATCCTCACGCTGTGACCTTTTTATTGATTGGCTGTTTAAAAAAAAGTGGTGCAGAGCGGCTGAGAAGGTCCAGGATGGACATGGTATATCACAAATAGGCGGCAAAGTTCATCGAAAGTGCTTGTCTTGTTGTTGCTGCTGTTGCTACTGTTGTTGTTGCTGCTGTTGCTACTGCTGTTGCTGCTGTTGTTGTTGTTGCTGCTGTCGTTGTAGTTGGGTTGAGTTGAGCCAAGTTTACTCGGTAACGTCCTTAGCCTCCGTAGTGGCGTTTTTTGTGGCCTAGTAGGGAACCATCTCTTGCAGGAACTTGGCCCTATCCTCCTCCTGCTTGGCGACGTAGGGAGCTTTCTCCTCCACAGAGTATTTGCGTGACTAGAAAGCAAGTATACACCGGAGGAAGTTTCTGGGTTATGGGCCACGACCTTGTCGCATACTTCGTTAGCGAAGCGTAAGAAGGCGGAATCGGGCCTCTTTGGGGCGTTGGGATTTCTTGACTGTCCTCTCTCTGCTGGGCCTCTTGGAGGCCTTTTATTTGTTGTCGATGACCTTGGGCATTTTGCTTTACTTGATTTCCTGATGGTAGTGGATGATGGCATAGTACTAGATGAATTGAAGGAGTCTCAAAACTGTCTTTGGTCCATGGCTAAGTGACCGTCACTTTTGGCTTTTTCGTCTCAGCACGCCCTCACGACCAACCTTTTGACTTTTCGCTACTTTGCACACACGTTATTGTGCTCCTCCCGCCATCACACAGACGAAATCGTCCTTTTGCACTCGGACGTGAACCTCTTCTCTTACACATTCAACCATTGTCGTCGCCACGGATAGAAGTCTACTCCCCATTCCCTGTTCCTTCCACGGAAAAGTGAAAAGCAACAAGCACCAACAACACTCTTCGACTTCAAGCACCAGCGCATCACCCCGTCCAAAACAAACCCCGCCTACCGTCTACCAAGCCATGGACTTTTCTGCCACCAGGTAAAAGAAGCGAACAAGAGGAGGAGGACACTACCCTTAGTGTTTGCCAAACGATCGAAGTTTCACTATGCCGAATTACGACAAGCGCCTTCCTAAAGCAATGTCATTGACCTCGTTTTTTTTACTCCGCCTTCATCATTAAGCACAAGAGTAGGCTTTTGGAAGCGCCACACGACCAAGCACCCCGGTTCGTACGTTTATCATCCGTTAGCTCTACGCCTACGCCCCACAATTTACTTTGGCACCATCAGGGATACAGCGGATGTGAGGGGAGGCTTGTGAAGTCATTCCCTGGTAGAAAATCAGTCTCCTACGTTCTCAACCCTGACAGTTTCCTTGCCCAATTGCATGTTTAGAGTCAAGCCAGTGCCGGGAAAGACAGGAGCAACAGGCAACATGGTCTTTGGAGCACAATACTCCCATGCCACCTCGGTCCTTGAAGTCGAACGCCTGAGGTAATACTCAATTGGTCCCCGCATGCGAATGCGCGTACTGACAAGTAGAGTCGGGGCAAGAGACCTGGTGGATGTTCGAACTAACCATGTGCCGATTGCTTGGGGTTTGCCACCGCGATAGAGCTCTTCAGATGGACCCTGCGTCGTGGGCAAATGAGCATCATAAGAGTATGGCGGACGACGACTATGATTCCAATTACGACAACCATCCAGAGTTGTCAGGATACCAGACACTACCAGCACAGGATCTCAAGGACGATTCGGAACTGGATGCAGGTTCATCCCTCAGTCCGACGACACCCTCGGGAGCCACTTCACTGTCAGATCAAATGAGCAAGCTAATGAAGGAGGAGTCACCCCCTTCAGGGAAGTCTTCGACGGCAACTACTACAACTAAAGATACGTCACCAAGTTCAGCATCACCTTCCGAAATGGACTCGAGTTCGGCAGCTGCGGCAACAGCAGAAGCACCAGCAGTAACCGGGAACTCGGCTTCATCTGGGACACCTTCTGGAGTTATTGAAGGAATGAAGCCCAACGCACGGAAGATTATACAAGGTAAGCGAGCGAATCCAAAAGGAGCTACGCATGTTATACGTTTCGTCGGACACAATTTGACCTATACTTGACTTGAATCTTGTTAGATCCGTTGGTGATTCTCAGAGGACTGGACTACGAAACAGCTATGGGAGATCTTCACCTCATTGGAACTGAACACCAGGCAGATGCAGTATACGCGTTACAGCGGAGTAAACAGAAGGCACGATTCCTCAAGTTCAAGGATATGCTGCAACAACCGGTTGTTGACCTGGATGTCCTTCGGAAGCTTTCGTGGTCTGGAGTCCCAACAGCAATTCGACCCATCGTCTGGCAACTCTTGGTCGGATACCTCCCCTGTAACTCGGATCGGCGGAATGTGGCTCTGGAAAGGAAGCGCAAGGAATATCAGGATGGCGTGCAACAGACATTCGCAAGGGGGATTGAGGGACTGGATCAGACGATATGGCATCAGGTTTTTATTGATGTCCCGAGAACCAACCCCAAGATGGCTCTCTTCCAGAACCAGACAACCCAACGGGTAATGGACTGCTCAATCCATTTTTTGCTCTCCATGCAACATTTTAAGGCGTACATCAAGTGGATTGCTCCAAACGTTCAAGGCGCTAACCTTTTTCTCTCTCCGTGCCTTTGTCGGGCTCATGCCTTTCTAAATTTAATAGTGCTTGGAGAGGATCCTTTACTGTTGGGCTATCCGTCACCCCGCCAGTAGTTATGTTCAAGGAATCAACGATCTAGTGACGCCCTTCTTCTTGGTATTTTTGACAGCCTATATCGAGGAAGATCAGGATCCAGAGTCATACGACATCTCCCTCTTGCCACCCGAGATTCTCTCGGCGATCGAGGCGGACAGTTACTGGTGCTTATCGAAGCTACTGGACGGTATTCAGGATAACTTTACACATGCGCAACCCGGAATCCAGCGGCAAATTGTCAAGCTGCGGGAACTGATATGCAGAATCGATGCGCCGCTGGCGGCCCACCTTCAATCGGAACATGTCGAGTTTATTCAGTTCTCGTTCAGGTGGATGAATTGTCTGTTGATGCGAGAGGTCACCCTCCAACACACCATCCGCATGTGGGACACCTACCTTGTAAAGCATCCTTGCTTGTTTGAGTTTTTTCTGCGCCCTTGCGAATTAATTAAGACAATTATTTGTGCGCTTTGTTTCTCTGCATCGCATATGCATCACGATCAAACGTAAACAAATCGTTCAACTGTGTTGTTTTACTAATGTACATATTATTCTCTTTCTGATCTTATTTATAGACGGAGCATCCACATGGGTTCTCTGAATTCCACTTGTACGTCTGCGCGGCGTTCTTGACGAAATGGTCGGCAGAGCTGATGCGGATGGAGTTCCAGGAGATCATGCTGTTCCTGCAAGATGTTCCCACAGATGACTGGCAGGAGAAGGACATCGAGCTCTTGTTGTCCGAGGCTTTTATGTGGAAGTCCCTCTTCCATGCCTCACCCATGCATCTTGGCGGATCAAAATAGACAAACACAACAATCACAAAACACGAATGTCCGAGTGGAATTACTCTTCCTCCGACCCTGCCGCCACACAAAACTCCACCACAGCCCGCCTCATCCACCTTGCCCTGCCCTGCCCTGCAGCCTCTAAATTTATCATTAACCTTCCAGCAATTAGAAACAAATAACATGATTTTGTTTTTGATAGCTATTGACTCGCTTTGAATGGAATTGGTTTATTGTAATCGCCAGGTCGGGGAGATGAGGAGTCTTCTATGTTTTGGAGTTTTGTTTGCGTTATGCTACTTGTTACTCGTACAAGGCCGCCAGACTGAAATGAGGAAGAGAATGATGGGCTGGGAATAATATATAATAAGCGAGGATGACGGAGCAGGCGATAGGAGGGAAGGGAGGAAAAAGAAAAAGAAAAAAGAATAAAAAAAAAGAACAAAAAAAAAAAAAGGAGTGGGAGAACCCGAGGGTGGCCCATCTCCGACCAGACTAGACCCACGAGGGCCTCAGGCTGGTGTGGCTGGTGCTATCGATGTTGTTTTTGTTCGTTATTGTAGTGGCCGCAGAATCGGGACAGGCTGGTCGACGCGCAGCAGGTGGTTGCTGTGCCAATGCCCAATGCCCATCCGCGGGTATCGATTTTTTTTTGTTGTTGTGTTGGAGGTATCATTGCTGAATGTTGTGATCCATTGTTGGTTCTCTTATTCAGGTGGCTGATCCAGAAGGAAAAAATGTTGATTGCGCGCTTTGGAGACGTAGGAAACAATGCAAAAATGAGAGAAGGTCGCCGACGAGAAGAAGAAAAGAAAATATGGTCAAAAAAGGAAAGTGTGGATGACGCTTCAAGGAAGACGACTTCTCATGTCGTCAACTACCGACAAAACGGAATCTTCCAAGTCTCGCCTTCCTCTCTGTATTTCGCTTCCACTCACACCTCCGCGCTTTGCACTCTCCCTTCTCCGCCTATCCTTGGCCCTGTCCTTGTTGCTTGAGCCATGTCTCGAGGCTGTGCAGCCAATCCAGGTACTCTGCCTCGCTGACAAACAGACTGAACTGGACCTGGTTCAGAAACTCCATCTCCATCACGTTGATCTCCTTGACGCTGATTCCCGTCACCTCCGACCATGTCTTGTTCGTAAAGGTGTTGTCGTCCAGAAACTTGTTCGCCAGCATCAGCGACACGGTAAACAACCGGAACTCGGATCCCTGCTGTCCATGAATCGATGGGTTGTTCTTGAGGAGTTTCTGGATGTACTTGAGCGAAAGCAAGATCACAGACGAAGACAGCTGAGTAGCCGAGAGGACCTGCAATATAAAATGAAAACAGACATGTGAAGTAAAGTGAGCAATGTGAGATGCATGAGTTTCATTTCCCATTACGCAGCCCGTGGCCCAAATAATGAGACGCAAATATTTTCTTACCTTCAGGCAAAACTTCTTGAAAGCTGGACCGGCCGAAGGTGGTACACTGATACGATGCGGTACAACATTGTAAGCATTACTTGAGGCACCGTTTATGTTCGGCCGAGTGTGCCACAGGGTATAGACCATCACAGAGGCAAATTCTGCGAGTTGAAGGGTACTTGTTTGAGGATTCGTCACCACCTCGATCGCTCCTGCATTCCGTGCGTCCCGAGCAGCATCGTTGGTTGACTGTTGTGACCCCTGTATTCTCTGCTGCTGCTGCTGTTGGTGCATCTGCTGCTGCATTTGTTGCTGCTGGCGTTGTTGATATTGCTGCTGTTGTTGGTGCTGTTGTTGCTGTTGTTGCTGTTGTTGTTGTTGTTGTTGTTGCTGTTGCTGCATCTGCATATGAATCTGAACCTGTGGTTGCTGATGGGCGCTAGGTTGTGGTTGTAATTGCATTTGCTGTTGTGGGATAATAGCGGGTCCAAGGACTTGTGAGCGCTGCTGAGCCTGGATTTGTTGTTGCAATTGTTGTTGCTGCAACTGTTGTTGCTGCAGTTGCTGTTGAAGGTGTTGTGTCTGGAGTTGGTGTTGTTGCTGCTGCTGCTGTTGCTGTTGAGGTGGTTGCTGGATATAGGTTGATTGTACGACAGACTGCTGCGAGAGCTGTGGTTGGATGTAGGATACTGACTGAGGAGTGTTATGTTGACTGTAACCCATTGATTGATTTTGGGCTATGACAGGCTGTGGCGATATGTACAGAGGTTGGTGAACTTGTGGTGGAAGATGGATGGCGGGCTGGTACTGTTGCTGTTGCTGCGGTTGTTGTGTCGATACGGGCCGCTGTTGATAGGTGGCTTGATACTGCTGCAACGGCTGATGCTGCTGCTGCTGTTGTTGTTGTTGTTGTTGTTGTTGTTGTTGTTGTTGCTGCTGCTGATTTGAGTAGGCTATCTGAGGTATTGGTTGTGCTTGATATTGATGCGGCTGCTGCTGATAGGACTGCTGAGCATACTGCTGCTGTTGTTGTTGCTGTTGCTGCTGCTGCTGAGGGTGTTGGTGCTGAGTAGGCGTTGTTGTGACGGAGTGATTTGGGGCCGCACTGTAGCTCATAGAGGCAGCGGCCATAGGATCCACAGGAGCTCCTGTGCCCTGGTTACCGACATATCCTGAAGCTCCTGAGCCCATAGAACTCATGGGCATGGACGTCAGCGACCCCATCGGCGTGCCTCCATTGGGGTACTGTTGCATTCCAGACTGATAGTAAGCCATTTGTGCTTGCGTATCCATCCGCTTAGGGGGGATGTGTTGTTCCTGTGCTCGGTCCCTTATCGAAACTCAAGCTGATATTGTTTCTAGATATATTCTGAGTAGTCAGGAAGGACATGTAGGTTTAGTCGACAGCGACCTTTTTTTGCAGTTATTCGATGGGTTGATAGTAAGGCAACTTTTTTTGTGGGCGGTGTGCGGCGTCATATTTTGCTTCATGTGTTTTTACACCTGGAGGTATGCCAATGGCAAAGTTGTGTCGTGTATCATATTTGCCGTCAGCAAAACAAGGACAAGGCAAAAGGTGATGTTTCGTTCTGCGGGCAAAGCCAAGCAGGGCCCAGATGTGGAAAGAAGGGAGAGCACAAGCGCAACAAAAAAAAAGGATATAAAAAAAAGATACACGCGGGCGAATAGCAATCGTGGCAGCGAGAGAGAAAGAGTGGAGAGTCGGGTTAAAAATAGGGGAGAAAAAAATGACACTCAGACACAAAACACAGCATGCCATGCGCCTATTGTTCATCGGTGAGAGGGAAGGAAGAGATCACACCATGATGAAGTGTGTGTATACATGTGTGTATGTGTGTGGTTGCCAACTCCACTCCTCCCCAAACACATCCACGAAGACAGTGTGCTACGCTTGTTCGGGGTTGTAGTTGGTTCAACCTTTGGCGAGAAAAAAAAAAGACGGAGGGACGGTCACATTTGTCGCCCACTGTGAGTCCAGCGCGCAAATAGGCTCCTGTTTTTGGACTTCTGGATCCCGAGCAGACTGGGAGATGCAACTTCAGACAGCTGTATTTACCGAACAAGGGAGAGAGAGCGTGCGGACGGAAGGTGGGGGAAGAAATAGCTTCTTGAGTCTTGCTGAGAGTGAGAATGGAGACGATAAAAAGGGGTGTGTGAATGAGAGTGTTGTTGGGTTGTTGAGTTGAGTTGTTGAGTAGATGATGGAGTCAGCCCTTTTTTTTCCTTCTAGGACAGAGAGGAAGAGTGACCGTGACTTTGTTTTTTTCATGTTTTGTGTCGTACCCATGGTTTCTCTAATTGACAACACATTGCACACGCTCCTCTTCCTCACTTCGATGTATCATATGGGGTGACTGAGTGATTGGCAGACAACCTCTGTAGCATCGTCTTACACACTGTCCAGATCGCCATCTTTCGACCCAAAAGTCCAAGACGGAATTGCCACCCACCCTCCTTGCCTTCTTGGGTGGCAATAGCAACAGTCCACGATACGTCATCGACTCGCTGCGACAGAGTTCATTGGTCGCCACCAAAACAGCATCAAAAAATGGCACGGTCCTTTCAATAGAGTCAAGTTAACTTGTTTGTCATGGTCGAATTCTTACGCTAGATTTGCTGCAGGAGTTCCTCTTGTAACCCATTGAGCCAAACAAGTTCAACTGACTTTGTTCAAATAACAATCTAGCGCAGTCAGTCGCTCAGGTTCTATGAAAAGATCCAGGACCTAGAGGGAGGGGGATGTGACAAGACGATGAGCCCTACTTCTCCCACTTCGCGACCCGATAAGAGAGGCCCCCTGAAAAAAAAAAGTGAGCGAGAAAGTAGAAATGAAATGCCCCCGAGGAAGATTTTTTACTTGCATGAATTCGCCCCTGAGAAACTCATCGAGATGAACAAGCACATTCAACAACACACAGCCCATACCACCATCCAACCCTCTCTCCCCCTGTTCGACGGACAAACCCTCATCTACCCTACCCCCTTTCCATATCCAGGCGACAAGTTTCATTGTCTATGCTACCCTTTTTATAGACTCTTTTTTTTTATATTTCTTAACTACGCACATCCCATCCCGCTGATCCTATCATAACAAATAGGAATGGTTAAGCAGCATTGTTCGACTATAGACTTAACGCATCACTCAAACAAAGATGGCGAGCCGTTTAATAATGAAGTTTTTGATCAAGATGCATGTTTGTCTAATGAAATTGAAAAAGAGGACCAAAAAAATATATTAATGCATGTCTTCCTCTCCCCCATGGTTCATCGTCTATGAAAAGAAAAAAAAGACGTTGGGCTGACTTGAAAATGATAAAGTTGCATTATGCAGCATTGTTACCTTTTAGTCCCATGCCCCCCTTCCTTCCTTCCTTCCTCCCCTCTTTCCCAACGAACGAATGAAAAGTCAACAAAAAGGGAAACAGATTTCATACTCCAATTGCTACCATGTGCAATAAGCCATGGGGCGCTGGAAGAGAGAAAAAGCGAAAATAAAAGCCGCATGGGCATGTAAGCACACAGAGAAGTGGGCTGGGACTTAAGACATAGCACAACGAGATGTCGTTTCCGCATGAAAAAAAAAAAAGAGTCGGAGTGAATGCACGAAAAATGAAAACTGCATTTTGGACCCAAAACAGTTGGCACACAGTTGCGCTTGGACAGTTGAGGTTTTTCTTCATGCGTTGCACATGTTTTTTTTTATTTTTATTTTTATCTTGCTTTGAGGCGAATGTCCAACTGCTTAACAATGAGAAAAACGTCAACAACAACAGAAAAGGGTGTGAGAAAATGGAGTAGAAAACAAGTGACTTGTACCTTGGACCAATGTCGATGTCCGGGCATTTTGGTGTGGTAACAACAAGGGTTTAAGAAACCACAGACAAGGGAAATAGATGGTTTTTATCTTTCCTCGCACGACCTCTTTCTTCCAGAAAAGTGAAAGAGATGATGGCTCGTAAGCAATTTTATTATGGCCTAAGCTCCATCCCTTTTTCTTTACTGTCTTTATCCTGCTGTCCTAGCCGTCTCCTTCGTGATCACCGATCCATATAAGCCATCCTGCTTTGTTGGTGTTGTTGTTGCTGTTGTTGCCGTTTTTGTTTTTGTAGCTGACTGATCATGCCCATCCTTATGCGCCGTCGGAGCATTATGATCTTCTGCAGGGTGTCGAAGCGAGTTCCCGCGCCAATTGTCTTGCACTCTATATATCGTTTTGTCATCAGTATCGTGGAGGAATGGGTCATGAGTTTAAAAGGTTCACAAAAAAAGGGCAATTGAGCCGTCGACGGAGGAAAGGCGACTACGCCTTTTTGGCTCCAAAAGGTGTTCATGGTCTTATTCCCTAGATCCAAGGATCGCAAACAAGTGTGCGCTTTTTGCCTTGTTTCCTGCTGCTCCCAAATGAAACAACACAAACGAATACCAAACAGGCGTCATCCTGCTATCTTTCGTTTTAACTGGCACTTCCCGCGTTGAATGCATACAGTGTCAAACGATATCGACGAGCAAGTCTGCTTCCTGATTCCCGCCTTGCAAAACTTGTTGTTGATAATGCTGTTGTGGATCAAGACACAAGGACAAAAAAGGTCATGACCTTATTTCCTACTGTTACTGATGTTGTTGCTGTTCCCTTGACCTTTCATGCCTTCTGCCAAAAAAGAAAAAAAAAAAAGGCTCCTGACCTATTTCTCCGTTCTTTTGTTCGTGATTATGGAAGAAAGAAAAAAGAGGATTAATGAAAAAAGATAACGATAAAAAGGAGAACGGGAAAAAGAAGACGAGAGTGACTGAGAGAAATGAAAGACAAAAAATAGAGAGCAAGCAGGTGCGTAGGTATTGTGAGAAAGAGAGAAGGGGTAAAAAGGGGTAAAATGAAAGAAAGAAAGAAAAAAAGAGGCAGAGCGAGAGAGAAGAGGAGCATGACCGATTGGAATCGGGACATGGCTGGCTGGTTGGTTGGTTAGTTGCTTGGTTGCCTGACGAAGCTCCTCGGTCGAATTGGTCTGGTGGAGTCGAAGGAACAAGGAGGCAAGAGAGAGCAGCATGATGGGACTAAAGTCAACAGCAACCAACGATGACAAAGGAAAAAGTATAGAAGCGATACTTGCTGACGATACCTGGTTGGGCGACAGAAAGAAAAAGGGAATCAAAAGAGCCACCAGTTGTAGTTGGGTGGGCGGAAACGGATTAAACTGTGAGCAGGGAGAATGATCCATGTCACGGCACGATCCATGAGCGACGTTGGGTGGAATCCCTGTTTAAATCACCAGCCAGAGGAAAGGGACATGGTGAGTGAGCAACCACATAATGTCTGCTCTCTCTTTCTCTTTGGGTCGTTGGTTGATGAATTACCTTGCGCGCGAGAACGATAGAAGGAAGAAGGTGCCTTGTGCGCAGGATGAATAACTGAATGATTCAATGGCAGTAGTGAAGAGTCGAGTCACTCCATCTCTTTCTCCCCTCACTCTTTCACCCCCTTTGTAATGCAAATGGACCATGGTCCTTTGCAAAGGCCAAAGGCCTGGGGTTTTCATTTACTATATATATTCGCGATGGTATTCATTCATTCCTTGGGTCGTTTTCATTCGTCTCATTGTCCATTCCTCAGTGCCCCGCCATGCAAGAGAAAAAAGGGAAAGGAAAGGAACACAAACAAACAAACAAACACACAAACAACAGACAAACACACGCAAAGCAAGCATACACACACACACAAAGCAAACAAAATAAAAACAACCGACAGAACAGTCGTTGATACTCTGATAGGCCCTTCTCTTTTTCTCGCCCTGAGCCATGGCATTTTATCCTCTCCATCCCTCTTCACCCCCTCTTTTTCAACCTTTTATTTTCTTTCTTTACTCACTCTCCATTTTATTTTTCTCTTTCTTTCTCTTCTTCTCTTCTCTTCTCTCAGTTCCTTCTCCCTTCCTATTCCCTCCCTACCTTCACCCTCCTCTTCTACTTCTCGATCTACTTCTCTGCACTTTGAAGATCTATCTCCGCCATCGCCACCCTCTTCCGCCCACCTGCTCACGTCTTCACCTTCAGTTATACCCGAGCATACATCAACACTCCACGACAGATACATCCGCTTCTTCTTTTTCTTCTTTTTCTTTCTATTAAGCACACACTCCCCTTTCACACACACAACCAGTATGCGTGAATACAAACTCGTCGTCCTCGGCTCTGGTGGTGTCGGAAAGTCCGCATTGGTGAGTGCCCATTATTTGAACTTTCATTGATAGAAAGGGACCTTTAGTCACATCGGAGGAAGAGCATGGACCATGATTATATTTACTTTGTTTTCTTTTAGATGGTCAGGGTTCTTTTATCCTATTTTTTTATTGTTTGCCCCTCTTCCCGCCACAAAACCAAAATCGGCAAAGAGGGATGACAAAAGAAACCGACACTACATGGAGGGCAGCGACAAAAAAAGGATACACCAAGAGGAAGGGAGAGAGAGAGAGAGTCGGTCCTCCTTCATTCTCAGTTCTTTCTTTCCTCACAAGGGAACACAGCGAAGCAGAGGAGGATACAAGATTTCAAAAATCTCGTCTGTCTCCAATGGGTCATCCATGGGAATATAGAGTGGCAACAAGGAGTGTGGGCAAAGGATTGAAGAGGGTAAAGCGCTTTTCTGTCGGAGCCAGAGAAAGTGTATGTGTCTGTGAGAAAGAGAAGGGATCCATGGGACATGCGGTGATTTAAGAACGAGGGGCCAAGGGGTGAATCGAACTATATATGATGGACTTACAACGGCATGGTAAACCTTGTTCACCTCTTCGCTTTCACCATACACACACACACACACACACAAACACAGGTCAATTCGTTGCTTTTTTTTGTGATAAGAGCAGGGAAGGGAAAGAAGGGGTGAGGGTAGGCATAGAAAGGTACATGCACAGTACAAATGCAAGACAGAAAAAAGAAAAGAAAAAGAAAAAGGTTGCCCATGTGTCGATTCAATTGTCCAATACAAATGCACTGTCCCATGGTACCCCCATCAAAAGCAAACACCGGTAGCCCTGCTTCCCAACACGTTCTAACGCCTTCCTCTTTATTTTTTTTATCGTATGCATGACACCATTCTCTCGCACATTGTACCAGACGGTTCAATTTGTACAATCGATGTTTGTGGACAGATACGACCCGACGATCGAGGACTCTTATCGGAAACAAGTCGAGGTGGATGGGCTGCAATGCATGCTCGAGATTCTCGACACAGCAGGCACCGAGCAGTTCACAGCCATGCGGGATCTTTATATGAAGAACGGACAGGGCTTTATTCTCGTCTTTTCTATCATTGCCAGCGCAACGTTTGATGAACTCACAGAGATCCACGGTCAACTCTTGCGTACCAAGGACACACGCACAGTAAGTCGAATGGGAATGGGGAAGAATGGGTTGATATCCTTTCATACTTTGGGTCAATGCAGTATCAAAAGTGGACTCCTTCAATGCTCTCACTTTCTCTCTCTTTCCGTTTTTTCTTTTTCTCTCATCCTGCAGTAAAGAGAGGGAGGCAGGCACGGAAAAGGAAGAAAGAAAATATAGAGAAAAAAAAAGAGTTCGGGGATGGTCAATACAAAATAACGGGAAGGGGCGAGCAAAAAAGTACAAAGGGGGGAGGTTGAATGAAGACGAGGAAGGGGGATGCGGAAAGGAGGAGACGGGCGTGGTTGCACGCAGGAATGAGACTGGCGAAAGGGAAGGTGATACACGAGATACACACACAGTGAGAGATGAACCCCGTCGCCCATTACTTTGCGCTCTAGACAACATTGTCTGGGAAGGGAATCAAGGAGTGAGTGCAATGAAAAAAAAATGCAAAGGGAGGAGGGGGAACGAGACACACAATGTGAAGGGAGGGAAAAGGAGGGAAAAGGAGGGAGGAGAGTGGATGGGGGTTGGGAAGAAAAGAGGGAACGGAGGGAGGGATAACAACGCACACACTCATACTTTGCAACACACACGCACAACCTCGATCTTTCCTCATACATGCACACTCTTTCATTCTCCCCCACACACACAGGACACAACACCAAACAACTCACTCTCCATGCGATCGCAAATTGCGATACCAAAGAAAAAAAAAGGGGGGGGGGGGGGTGCGCTTTTGAATTCTGAACTGATTGAACTATTGGTTCCTTGGACAATTGGATAACCAACAATAACGACGCAAATGGCGTCTGTGCGAAGGGAAAGATGAAGGAAAAAAAGGTGTATGCGAGAGTGTGAGTATGTGTGTCAATGGATGGAGAGAGTGAGAGAGCAAGTCTCCTCTGCTCCTTACCTTATTATTACTCAGCTGCCTGATCACACCGTTTCATGCTCTGAATATACCTTAACACTGACCATGTCCCTATTTTGTTTTCAACTTTGTTAGGTACCAATTGTGCTGGTGGGCAACAAATGCGACATGGCAAACGAACGCAATGTCTCACAAGAGCGGGCCAAGGCACAGGCCGACAAATGGAACACGCCCTTCTACGAGACATCAGCCAGAACAAGGATAAACGTCGACGAAGTCTTCCACGACCTGGTCCGGATGATCAACCTGCAGAATCCAGCCAAACACGACAAATCTAAGAAGAACACCGTCAAATGCGTCCTACTCTAAAAAAGTAGCCGGAGGCATAGACGACATCCACCTTTTTTATTTCTACAACGACAGAAATATCGACAGTTCGACAACCTCTTTTCATCAACGACGGGGTTATTTTCTTTCTTTTTTGTCAACACAACACCACAGCACCTCATCAACAACATACCACCTTCTTTTCTTTTTCATACGCTTTTTTGGGTATACCCTTTCTTCCTTTCATCTTCTGGCCGCCCTAATGACGACAAACAAAAACAACTCAACGGAAATCGCCACCACGCCAACAGTTGGAACAGCAACTTCGACGACATCAAAACACTACCATCGGAACACAGAAAACCACGCCTGCAATGCTACGTCCCTTTTTCAATTCTTTGGTTGTTTTTTTTTCTTTCCTTCTTATGCTTACGCTGGTTCTTTCGTAACGGTTCCCTTGTCTTTTCTTTGTACTCGTTTTTCATCGTCTTTTTTCCCATAGCTCTTTCTTTTTCTTTCCTTTCTTCAATGCTGTATATTACGTCTTTTTTTTTCCCTTTTCTTCCCAAAAAAAGTGTCCTCGATTGCCCTTCTTCCTTCTTGCTCCTCCTTTCTCGCCCTTCCTCATCTTCCTTCTTCCCGCCTCGCTAATAAAAAATACTTGTTATATCATCCCAAATGAACATACGCAGACATCATCTCTCCTCTCTTCCTCCTCAGCCGTCAGCCTGAACCAGCCAATCAAAACACCTGGTGTTCTTGGGAAACAACAACCACTTTCAACTCCTATGAAAATCGGTCATCATTGATGACGATGTGTTCGTGCGAGAGTTGGTCAAGGAGCGTCGGGGATCCGATCGGTCCCCCGACAATAACTGTTTTTGAACCCCCCCCCCCGGAAAGGGGAGTAGGTTGAGTAGGCTTTCAGTCCTCACACACATATAGTCTACTCATACTATTTCTCTCACCCTCTCTCTAGGACTGAATGGGTGAGAGAGAGAAGGATAGCAATTGGATCGTTAGCGTCACGTCAGACTGGTCTGCCTGCCTGCTTGTCTTGTTAACCCCCTACTCTCCTCCTTTTCCTTTTCTACTCGCCCCTTTGATTCGAATCACAGGACCTGAGAAGTGAAGCTGCGACTGTGGACCATAGACCCTGGGGACTGAAATCTGAGGGCTGAGGACCCAATGGGCGTAAAACATACGTCGAATTTTTCTTTGCTTGTCACCTGTCAATCCCCTTCTTCTCCTATTATTTAAACTCACTGGTGGGTAATTGCGCCCGAGCTTACGTTAAGTTTGTCTTTATTTTGGAAAGGACGTGCAAAGCGTCCTGGCAGATACCGGCATGTACGTGTTCCTTCAGCTCTCCCCCCCCCCCCCCCCTCCTCCTCCTCCCCTTCTCTACCGCCGCCACCACCATCGCCGGCGTCGACTACCTGCAGCCTGAACTTGCTCTTGCCCTTCCTTCACCGTCGATACATCGCCGCCGCCAGCACTGTCACCACCTTCACGGTCATCGTGATTGGGCACGATCACGACTCGAACGACAGCCTCCTGCTCCTGTGTATCACTCACACAGTTCATTTCCATCTGGATCCGTTTCCGGTACCGGACATACCCAAAGATACAGAAGATCATACACAGGAGGAGCACGATCAGCCCGCCGATCAGGAGGGCCATTGCTAGAGTATAAGTCAGTTTCCGGGGCGTGTAATAAAAAGTTGTCGGGGATGGGTTGTCTGGCAAGAGGAAGGTTGTGGTGGGAGTTGGAGTGAGGTAGATGTGAGAACTTGTGATAATGGGAACAGAGGATGAGGAGGAGGAGGGGGTTGCTAGGATGGCGATGTTGTTGGCCATGATGGACGTCATTAGTTGAGAGGAGGTTGGTAGGAAAAGGAGTGAGGAGGCATCGTTGACTGAAGAGATGAAAAGAAAAAAGGATGAAAAGCGAGAAGACCAAAAAAAAAACAGGGGCCAGCTGACGAGTGAGATAGGGGTGGATGCTAGTCAAAGAAAAATTAGTGGCAAACATCAGCAGCCAGTCATCAGGAACACGCACGGACCAACCAGTACTGATCATTCCTGGCATCAGAAACTGACGCTGATAAAAGAAAACTCGGCTCCTGGATGATGATTAGTGATATCAAAAGTGATGAATCAGTCGAGTGAGACAAGCAAAGGTTGTTGATCAACTGGAGGGCGAAGCAGAGTCGCAGTCTTTCCTTTCTCGCGTTTGCACAAAAAATTGATATGTGTAAAGTCTCTTTTGCCTTGCGTGCGATGCACGCATAGGCTACAAACACAGTATTAAAAAAGAACAAACTATAAACAACTACCTCTATTAATGTAGCTACTGCTATTGCTGCTGATGTGGGCGATGACTATACTTGGCCACAAGAATAGGGACCCCATGGACCGTCGCTGTCGCTGCTGTTGGCGCGGTCGTGGACTGGTTCAAACGACGCCTTGAGGATGATGATGCTGGAATTGGTGTTGTTGTTGCTGTTGCTGCTGCTGTTGACGGTGTTGATGCTGGTGCTGTACAGGGGTAGGATCAAATGGGTGCTGGCGATCCATGGTATACTGCGACGATGATGTCGTCTGTGGTTGCGGTTGTTGCTGTTGGTGATGATGCTGTTGCTGGAGTTGGTGCTGACTGTCAAGGTCGAGATCTGGCTCAACTTTGATGTGCATGAAGCTCGTATCTTGCACATATCCAAAAGGCTCACTTCCACTGCCGCTGCCAGTGGCACTATCTCCGTGACAACCAGTACTGCTACCCGCACTCTGTGGTCCCTTGCTCATGACAATCGCAGGGTTGTCAAAATACAGTATAGACTGCTGCTGTTGCTGTTGCTGTTGCTGCGGGTGCGGAGGTTGGTGGCCAAACTCTCGCTTGATCATTACCATCCCACCGCCAATCGTAGGATCCTCAGGCGGGACTGGACTCGGAATCGACGACCCGGACAAAACCGAATACCCGGTGGATCGAACCGTGCTGTTGGCGGGGGTGGCAGATGCGGGGGCAGGGTACAGTTCGCTGGATCCAAAGAGGTTCTGGTGATGTGTGGAGATGACTGGGGCCGACATGGGGCCTTGAAGACGCTGCTGCTGCGGGTGGTGGTGCAATCCAGTGGAAATTGATGTCGACACAGTGATTTTCTGATGTTGTTGCTGTGGCTGTTGTTGCTCAGTTGGTCGTATCATGGATGCAGCGGAAGAGAGTTGGTTCTGGTAGACCTCAACGTCCGGCATCATGTTGAGATGGTCCATAAGCCTCAGATGATCATCCAATACCATGGCCAACGAAGTATCAAACGTGTCGTCTTCCAGATCCTCCACCTTCAGCGACAGTGGGTGCTGGTGGCTCTGACCATGCTGTGATGACTGGAGTTGACGCTGAGCTGACTGGAATTGTTGTTGGTGCTGCTGTTGCTGTTGCTGAGAGGTGGCGTCATTCCGTCCATGGACCATTGTGTCGAATATAAGGGGGTGACTCGTCGGACGGTGCAGCTGAGTTTCGGGTGGAGAGTAAGAGCAAGTAAGCATGGCCGATATATCTTGCGAGGTGCCCGAGGATCGGGGCACCGGGATGGTCTGCAGGACTTCAGTGTCAGTCGTCGACCCAAAGTACGGTCGGTTCTTGTTCGATATGTTGCTGCCCTCAAAGCAGTCTAGTCCTGGCTGAGCCCAAGCATCAATGGATGGATGCTGATGGGGTTCGTCCTGTAGCATCGTGCGTTGGACGCGGACTTGGTGCTCCTGCTGTCTTGACACAACACCGGTCGAGGAGTTGGAATTCAGGCCCGATGACAAGTGCCCACGAGTGCTGTCCTGGATGTCCTGTACGACTTGGCCCTGGGCATTGTTGTGGAACGAACGATCGAAGGGAGCGACACCGCGTGTTTGAAGCTGATCATGATTCTCCATAAAGTATTCCGACGACTGTTGCTGAGCGAGAGTGCATCGGAGGTGTCCAGTCGCCGTAATGAGGTCCTGGGTAGCCCTTTCGACAATCGTGGTTGAGGTACTGCTAGTGTCGTATTCAACTTTGGGTCGCAGACCGTGCCAGCTTTGCAGGTTGAAATGGGCTTGCTGTTGTTGCTGCTGATGCTGTTTCTGGTGTTCCAAGGTCGTCATGGGTGTAGATGGCAAACCAAAGATGGCGGGCGTGCTGTTGGACCGCACAAGAAACGACTGAGGAAGGCTGTTGCGCCCGCGACCTTTGTAGCCATGAACAGTGGAGGCAGACGTAATGGACGATCCAGGCTGTTGACGAGAGCCCTTGGATGCTCCTCTGCTGTCCAACGATCCAGAGTGGGACGAAATGCGGGCATCCCAGGGCAGAGACGATCGACGGTCAGGGAAACCGAATGGCTGGTGTCGAACGTCGCGACCTTGAGGGTGAGGTGAGACTGATGCGGTTCTCAGCTGCTTGTGCTGTGCTGGTAGTGACTGTCCATTGGGACGATGAGGAGACTGAGAAGTCTGTGCGGGGTAAAGCGGGACTGGAGCTTTATAGAGGGACGTGGGATCCATCCCATCATCGTACTTGTCGAAGTTGGACTGGGTTGGAGTTGGGGGCAACGAGGCCGATAACGATGAGTCGTCCATCAAACTGAGCTGAGCAAAACTTCTAGTATGAGCTGCGAATGAGGGCGAAGTGACTGAAGGAGTAGAGGCGGTGGACTGGGTGAGAGGGAGGTTGAAGTAGTCGAATCCAGCCAACCGTTTCGGGTCTGAAACCATGTCATGTGAACCAGGTGTAGGTGTCGATACATAGCGACCTGTTGCAATTGTCAAGGGTGGGCTCTGTTGAGTTCGTGTATATCCTGAGAGAGGGTCGGTGGCCGAGTAGATTGAAGACGCCCCCATTGGAAAAATCCCTCTAGAAGTTGGCGGTAGTGTTGGAGACGGGGACGAATAGGCGTGGAGTTTGCGATGGCCATGATAGCTAGCTGCTGGGAGCTCCATCGAACGCGAACCTGTCGAGTCGGGTCCTCTGGCGGAGAGTCCGGCACGCGCCCACAAAGGGTTGAACATTCCCATTGACTGATAGTCCTCCATTCTCCCAGCCGCCAATCGGTTGCGCTCATCGGCCGGAATAGCACGTAAGATGATCAAGTTGCCGTCTTGATCCAAAGGTCCCTCAAAGTTGTATCCTCCATTCCCACTAGCAGCACCCGATAACCGAGCATTCGCAACTGTGGCCATGGCCATGGCTACGGCTGCTGCTGCAGCGGCAGATGATGATCCTGAGATGGAGCGAGGGGGCCGCATGCTTGGTCCGACCATGGTACATTGCACAGAATTCTTTTCGCAATTTTTGCATGGATAGCATCTCTCAACGTTGCACTTGATCTTGCTAGCATGATTGGGATTGCATTTTCATTTCAGGCAAGGGGAGAGAGGGAAAAAAGAAAAGATAGACGGGTAAGCGTTAGATGCTGCAGCTAAACAAGGGATAAAATAGCCTGGAGGTGGTTTTTTGGTGGTCCTCATGCAGGCATTTGCTACGCCATTTTTTGGCGTTTCGAGTAGTGTGAAATGCAAACAAAAGCAGGGTCACCCATGTTCAGACCGACAACAATAACAACAATAAACAACACCGACGGGCGACAGCATCAATTGTAATACTCAGCCCAGGTTTGAACACATCTGATGTATGGTGAGTGTACTGCACTGCTGTGCTCTTTTTTCGTTCCTTGGAACGAAGGGATTGATGAAGAAGAAAAAAAATATACAAAGGGCAAGGGATACCTACGAAGGATATGGTTTGTATGTCAGGAGGACATGAGCGAGAGAAAAAAAGAGAGAAGGGGAGAGGAAACATTGGTACTCTCATTCGCGATTACATTTGGGGGACGTCGTGAACTTTGGATGTGTTTGAGGAGAGGGGGCGCGAATTAAGACGACCCAGGAAAAAGAAGTAATGGAAGCACACGCAACACAAACAAACGCACGCCGGAAAGCTGCTTACACGTTGGGATGTTATTACTAGTAGGAGATAATACTCTTTTTGTTACACTTTTCGTGGAGAAAGAAAGGATACAGAAGAAGACAAAAGAGGAGGTGGAGGGGACTGAAGAAGGTGAGAAAGGGAGGAGATAGCGAGGGTGAGAGTGACAGAGATAAAGACAAAATGACACTCAGAAAGGCGCACAAACAAACAAATACTGTGAACGAAAGAGGGTGAGGGGGTTAGAAGGAGAGGGAGAAAGGGAGGGACGGTGAGGGATAGAATAATAGGTGGAGGGGGGAAAGGAGAACATAACAACCTTTAGTTACTTGGTTCCCTCTCCCTCTCTCTTTTCTCAACTGGGTACAAGCAAGCGTATTTGCGCTGATCAGTAAGATATTCATTTGCTTCGTGTGTATGTATCCCTTTTTAGACCATTGTTTTTGTTCTGCTGCAATGCAAGGCAGCGTGTTTGTATTTGTATGTGGTACCAAGGGCAGCAATCAAATTCAACTACAATGACAGGTGTCCACATGAAAAGGCATTCAACCAAGTACTACAGCAAATTAAACACCTTCATCACAAGAAAAAGAACAGGCCACTCCCATACTACCCCGACCTTGGCCCCGAGGTCATTAGAGGTATTGTAAAATAAAGGAGGGGGCGCTGGGTCGACCAAACAAGTCATTGGTAGTCTGTTTCTCTCGGAAGTCGAGGGAGAAGAGGGTGCAAGCTATTGTTTGCTGTTGAAGCTCCTTACCGGTAGTGGCAGGTATCACAGGCCATCTTTGAGCGTCGTCGCACTGTCATGTTGGCGGCAAAGTGGGTCGAGGAAGAAGAGGAAGGCTGTGACGGTGAATCCAACGATTCGGTAGACATCATGTTGTCCATGGCTTATATGTAATAAAATGTACAGAGGAGGGGAGGGAGGGAGGGAAAATAAACGAAATGCGTTGGGAGAGAAGGTAAGAGCGATGGAAGGTAATAAAAAAAAGCAGAGAGCCGTTGTGGAAAAAAGTTGGATTGGGTAGAATGGTTACTCTTGGTTGCTGATTAAGAGAAAATGGTATGGGTCTGTTGGCAGCAAAGAAAGGGCAGGTTTGTTTTCGGAGGATTATCTAATTGTGTGCGTGCGAGGCGGGTGAGGATAGAGCTGTTTAAACTTAATGAATTCGCAAATGATTTTACGTCGCCATGAACATTAGCGAGGTGCGTGCGAAGTGTTGATGTTGTAAGCAGATAGTGAGAGAGGTCTGTACGAAAAGAAAATGAATGAGGAAAAAATAATAATTGAGAAAAGTGAATGAGAGATGTGAATGAACGGAATGAACGAAATGAGGAAGGCTGAATAAGGAAGAGCAGGCGGGGTGGGAGTAGAAGAAGAGAAAGAACGAAGAAACGCGGAAAATAAGATCTTTGTTCGCGACAAGAACGAAGAGCTAAAATAAATAAAGGTCGTGACAGATCAGTTGTGAAAAGGTATGAAGAGGAGAAAAGAAGCGCGCTTTATTTACACCCAAAGTTAACGAGGGAAACACAAGAGAAAAAAATGAGACTGGGTACACGAGTAATCAATCGCTTGTCCGCAAAATATAAAAGAATAAAAGAATAAAAGCGATGCATTCAGTAAAAGGCGGTTAATATTTTCTTGCACGGTTCAAGTTGGAGGCATGTAAGGTGGTGCAGATACCCACAGAACGAAAATGATAAACAAATACTTTCACCACAGTCTAGGAAAAGGAGGTGGAAGATGAAAAGAAGAAGGCATGTACAACAATATCAGGAGTAGGAAGCAAGGCAGCAGAAACCACCAGCAGCAGCCAGGAGCCAACAGGGACTAACAGGAGGAGAAGAAGGAACAGGAGAGGAAGGAGAGGAAAGATGATGGGATGATAGGATGAACAGAAGAAAGAGGAAGAGAGGGAAGAAGAAGGATAAAGAAGGGAGAGACTGAGCATGAGGGAGGGGGAGAGGGTGCGGAAGAAGAAACGACAATAAACAAATAGAGAGAAAGAGGGGTCCTTGTTCATTTATGACCGAACGTCAGAGGAATGAAGACAACAAAACAAGGGAAGCGCTATCAACACTCATTCTCTGTGAAGGAACAAGGCTGGGAAGACACAGAGAGCAAGGGTGCAAGGGACAGAGTGGACAAGAGGTGTACACACAATGAGGGTCGCTACTCACACTGAACAATTACCCCCGCTTACTTCCTATCTCTCCCTCTCCCAGCACCTCTAATTCGCTCATTCATTTCATCCTCGATTTTTTTGAGTCATTCGACCAGGTAAAATAATGAAAGTAAGAAAGAAAGCCTTATCTAGGGGCCTAGTATGCCCATGTGGAATGACAATGGTGTAGTGTATGTGCTCTATCGCCTTGCCTGACAACCAGCCCACCCTTATCTTCCTTCCTTCTCTCTTTGTCGTTGTTTGTTCAACAGTGCTCAGCAGACCCAGAAAAATTCCCAGCAAAACGAGATCTCAAACACCAGCACAGCTGCAAGAGCACAGAAAGAAAGCGTAAAGGCACACGTATAAAATAAAAATCCAGCCTAAAAACGAGGAGACAGCACAAGGATGTCCAAAAATCGGTAGTGTTCGTTCATAAAAGGCTTGAAGACGGAAGGGACAATCGTTTTACGGTGTGGATACACATTAAAAAACGAAAAGAGGCTAGCTCAAAAAAGGCTCTCTATCTGGCTCATACCTTTCCACTTCTCTCTCCCTTTTTTCTCTTCACTTCCTCTTTCACTTCTCTCTCGCGTTCACCTGTCTTCGCACTCGCTCCTCAAGGATGAAGATGAGAATAAGGAGGGAAACAAAAAGATGAGAAGCAGGGAGAAAGTCTCAACCTCCTTTGTTTCTCAACTCTCCATCAACTGGTACCAAGAGTCTTCCAGACTTCAGCTTGTCTTCCCTTCTTGTCTTCCTTTCTTGTCTTCCATTCTTGTCGTCCCCTCTTGTCGTACGCGATCAAAGCGTGTTTATTAGAAAAAACAAAGCGCACAAGCGCTTTTCTAATGTCACTCATTCCTTTGTTTTCTCAGGAGTCAAAAGAAGCACCACCATGCAATATCAAGAGGTCCTTCCCTCTTTCTCTTCTCTGTCTTTCTCACCCTCCCTCTCCCATCGATCTACGACAGCACCTCAAATGACAAACGACAATCCGCCACCACCAGGCCTGGACGTCGCTAAGACGGGTTAAGAGGTTGATACCTGACATCGACGATCGCGTGGGAGCAGACCCAGGGCATCTCCGCCAAGGACAAGATGTCCAGATACACAAGGCCCCCGAGGTGACTAGAGTCAAGGGAACAGTTACATCGCCCGAGAGGGTTTCTGCACGTGTGGCGCTTCGCTAGCCACACATGAGGATGAGATCAGCCCTGGAGCGACCAAAGACCCACTCGTTACTGACGAGCGGCTGTTGGAGAGTTCGTTGGGAGGAGGTTATTAATGATAGAGAGGATGGGAAGAATCCCCTTTACTCGCGACTAATTTTATTTTGTCCACCGTTTAACCTGTGAAGAACCAGGTTCCAAACTGTAACTGGTGGATGGTGCACTGAAGGGTGAGGTGTTTTTGATTTCATTCTTTGTTTATTTACATTGGACATTTTTTTGCGGGGGAGGAGAGGGATGAAGTGAAAAAGGAAGAAAGGCCACCATTCACCTCCCCTTCGCCCCTTATGAAAAAATGACTTTGTCTTTTAATAGCGAGAATCCTCGTCATCTGCGGTATTGTCACCGTATTCGAACAAGTTCAACTATTCATCAAAGCAAAGGGGAGGAAAGATGAAAGGGTTAATAACAATCCGCTTTTTTCTCATTGCTCTCGTTCATGTCCCATTGGAAATATATATATATACAAAAAAAAAAAAAAAAAAAAAAAACTTACACGTTCGCGTTTAGCCAAGGCGGTTGACTCTTGCAACTTGCTAACGAGGGCCTGGTTACTGGGGTGACGGGCATAGCGGGACTTGACAAAGACAGTGGCGAGACCATCACGGACCAACTCTGCGTTCAAGCTGCGGTCGGGATCCTGCGAGACGCTGGGGTCATACAGAGTCAAGTGCATCACATTGTGCTCGCGCTGCTCAATAACACCCACCAACTGACGTCCACCCACCAAATCGCGGAAGCGGGTCGCAGCCTCAACACCATAATCATCCTTGAGTTCGGGGACCTTGACATATGACAGGACAGCCTCCTGGGCCTGCTGGGGAAGACTGTTGAACTGTGATGGCAGAGGGACGACGCGGGTCAATGGGATCGTCTCAGAGTTACCATAGTCGACATAGATCACCTCGACGCTCTTGGACTCGGGAACGCTGCGGATGACTTTGGCGCGGTACCACTGGTTGTCCTCTGTGAACTTGGCGCTGACAATCTCGCCGTTGCGGGGCTTCCAGCTCTCGGGGGCGCTGTGGGCGTTCTTGTGATGGATTCCGAGATCAGCCATCATCTTCTCGAGGCTCTGGATGTTCTGGTTGATCACCTGGACGTAAAAGTGGCCTCCAGAGACAATCTCAGAGACAACGACATCCAAGTACTCTTTCTTGATGGGCTTGGAGGTATCGACCTCCTCCTCCTCCTGGACAGCGTTGGGATCCTCGTTGGCCCAGATGTTCTTGCGCTCCTGCTTGGCGGCACGCTCAGCAGAGTAGAGGAGTCCAGAATGCTTGCTCTGGTCTGCGCTGTAACTGTGGATCGTGGCCAAACCTTCTTCGAGGAGCAATGCGGCAACGTTATCAGTCTTGTTGAGCCACATCGATCCAATGAAACCTCCAGTCTTGTCCAAGGACTCGATCTCAATCTCAACCTCCCGCTGCTGGCAGCGGCGAGAAACAAAGTCCAAAGCCTCAGCACCGAAAGGCTCAGCCTTATCGCCGGGGCGACCAGCGGCACGGGGGCAGCGGACACCACCAAGGACAAAGGTCAACTTGCAGTTCTCCTTGGGAATGATCAGCTTGAAACGGGAGCCGTTGGCAACATACTCGACAATGGCCTGCGTACGGCCTCCACGCTGGAAGAAAGGCAAGAACTGCTTGGCCTTGGCAGCGTTCTCGGAAGCATCGGACCACTTGTACTTGGGGGGCTCCTTGGCAGAATGCTTGCCCTTGCCCTCCTCCTTGGCTTTGACCTCGGCAACCAAAAGCTGATCGTAGTATTGGGAGCGGTCCTCGCGGGACTTGATGACATCGGCAAGACCCTTCAACACGAGCTGCTCAGCGACGTTGATCTCTCCGATCTTGATGGTGGCGCACTCGGTGCTCTCGGGGAACTGGTCAGAGGGAGGCTTGACATAGTCGATAGTAACGTGGACGTTCTTGCCAATGAGTCTCTTGCGGAGGAACTCCTTGGCCTCCCAGTCGAACGAGGCAATCTCAACTCCCTTCTGCTGAGCAAGTCTAATTGATTGAATGATTTGTAGAATGACGAATACGGGTCAGTTGATGTTGGATCTATTGGAGTTTTTGCAAACAGAACAAAGTTTCGCCTCCTTGCTACTGCGGCACAAATATCGCCATGTTCTTTACCTCATGGGTGCCTTGATGTTGGAGAGTCTCAGCTTGCGCTCCTGACCCTTGGCATTGCGTACAATAACGGTATCTCCAGTCATGATTCTTGCGACCTATAGTCCATCATTGAAACCAATAGAGTTAGTGATGAGTGATCAGAGTGATGACTGTTAAATTGAAGTCACATCCTCCCTCTTCCCAGAAACTTACAGTGGCGTCGAATTCGTTGTCCTTGCCCTTGGACTTCTCGACGTGAGCCTGCCAGAGGCGGGCTTTGGAAGCCTGAGCCTTGCGCTCAGCGGCACGGAGAGCTGCTGGGCCACCAGTGACGTGCGTAATGCTCCAGTCAGCGACCTTGGCCAAACCCTGGGCGACCAAAGCCTCGGCAATGTTTCCGGCAGGGTGCTGAATCGTCCCAAAAAAGTTGTTTCCGTTCTGTCCAACCATCTCCAAGATCACGCGAACCTCACGCTGAAGCAAACGCGACTCGACAAAGAACTTGGCCTAATCAAAAGCATTTCGTATTGCTTGTTAGTGCTATGTTCACATGTGTGGAAATCGTGAAAGAGAAAAAGTTACGCCACCAGCAGCAATCAATGCCATAAAATATGGATCATACCTCCTCCGCGAATGGCTCAACGAGGTCGTCGGTGTTGGCGATTCCTTGACGAATGACGGGTGCCCTGATTCCGGAAATCATAAGAGTAATGTACTGATATTCGTCGTTGGGTAGCGTTAAGCATGCGCGGACAGTAGAACCATCACGAATGCTCTCAATAATAGCTATCAGGGGTCATAAAACGGTAATAAAAATCAGTTTCTCGCGTTGTTGCTTCGTTCTCCAATTACCCCAACCCAACGGTTCCAAGGGTGGTGTCTTACCCTGAAGAGGCTTGCCCTTGTACTTTTCCAGGAATGATTCAGCGTCTCTCTCGAGGTTATAATGAGCTTTACGAACGCCCTACAAAGGGAGAGAAAAATAACAAAATCGTGTCGTGTGAGTATACTTGAACTACTTATTTACACTTCTTCCTTTGTTGATCCTGTGAAAAGCCAATATCCAATGTCGCCTCCAATCATCTCCAGTTGAACATCTCCATTGACACCAGCCAACAAAGCAAAAACTTACAGATGCACTATCAGCCCAGATACCGCGCTTAGCAGCCTGAGCCTCAGCCTTGTAAGAGTACAAAGCCTCAACGTCGACATTCTCGGCATCCGAGGCTCTAATCTCACGAACATCTGCCCATCCTTCACGGACGAGCATATGGGCAATGTTCTCCTGGTTCACAAAGATGGCACCGTATTCGCGTCCGGTGCTGGGAACCGTGTAGTCGACCCGGAACATCACCTCCTTGCCCACCAAGAGCTTGCGGAGGTAGTTGCGGGCTGCGAACGCGAATGGCTACTCAAGAGATTAAGAAAAAGTGTGAGAAAATAAAAAAAGTAAAAAAAGGGGGGGGGGGGGGGGGAAAGGTCAGTTTTGGACTGGAGGAGAGTAGATGGTGCTATTTCCCCATCTGATCAGATCATTGTTTTTGTGTGAAAAGAGCTGATGAACTAGCGTTTCTGTTCATCACGATGCGAGAGTATGAGTGTTGCGATTTACCTCGTCGGCGCGATCCTTATTGCCGAGCTTAGGTGCTTGAATGTAGTTGAGGCCGAGAGTGCGGGTGGCAGGTGGGGCGCCTTGGCGGGGGCGTCCGCTGAGGACGACCATGTCGGCGGAGAGGACAGACTTGATAGTTGCTTTACCAGACATTGCGAATAGAAGTAGAAGTAGAAGTAGAAGTAGAAATAAATAGAAGTGGGGGTATGTCGAAATGGGATGGGAGTCGGAGGAAGGATGAAGATGAGAAGAAGAAGAAGGAAAGAGAAACGATGAAAGTGAAAGACGAAAAAGAAAACGAGAAGACGAAGAAGATGAAGGAACGCGAGAGAACGTAAAGAGAGAGGGTGTGAGTGCAGTGAATGTGATGAATCGCGCTGCTATTGGTGGAGAGCATAAACAGAAAAGGACACTTCTCTATGGGGGAATGCAAACCATCGCGTTCGACTGAGGTGGGTCGGGTGGAGGGTGAAGTGGGCAAGTGGACACAGTGACAGGGAGAGGAAAAAATAGGGCTCTGAGAGCCAACGAATAAATCGCATCGCACTCACCCGACCTCCCTTGTCTACTCCACAACACTCTTTCACCCCTGCAACAATAAACGCAGGTCAACCAACAAACACAAACATACAACAGCATAGCACCCACTCTAAACACTTGTCGAAAATCATTCAACCGTATTGATGTATTTTGTCATTGTTTTTTTTTTGAATTAATATGATAAAGACTTGAGCACTTTAGAGGGACATGACCCCGCTGAAGCCACGCTGCTTCTCTTGGTACTTGGCAATCAAGAAGGCCATATCCAACGCCTGCTCATAGTTCAGACGAGGATCGCAATGGGTCTCATACCGGTCCAACAATTCCGCATCCAACAGCTCCATCGACCCACCGACACACTCTGTCACACGGTCGCCGGTTAACTCGAAATGGACGCCTCCCAAATGCGAATTGTACTGCTTGTGGATCCGGATCGCCTGCGACAGCTCTCGGGTAATATCAATCAAGTGTCGCGTCTTTACTCCCGACACCGACTGCTTCGTGCTACATTAACGGACACACATATACGAAAAAGAATATGGTCAGTACACAATGGACTTCTCGTTTCTTGTCATTGTTCGCTATTTGCTTGCTCCCTTCCAAAGTGTCACTTACTTTCCGTGCATGGGATCACAGGCCCAGACGACAACGTGTCCAGACTCCTGAACGGCCTTGATATGGCCAGGCAAGTACTTATCGACCTGATCAACTCCATAGCGCGTAATAAGCGTCACCTTGCCGATTTGCTTGTCAGCGTTCAAGATATCCAACAGCGCCACCAACTCATCAGGCTTCATGCTGGGTCCACACTTGACTCCGATAGGGTTCTCGATACCTCTGAAGTACTCGACATGGGCGCCATTGAGCTGACGCGTACGATCTCCGATCCACAGGAAATGTGTGCCGACATTGTAGTACTTTTGTTGCGACGAGTTGGTGGGATCAATCATCTTTCGTGTCAGCGCTTGCTCGTACTCCAGCAACAGACCTTCGTGCGAAGTAAAAATGTCGACAGTCGAGAGCGAGCTCAAGGGGGATGCACTCTTCGCCCCTCCTGCATTGGGATCTGCGCCAATAGTCTTCATGAAGTCCAATGCATCTGTGAGACGGTCGACGATGGTCTGGTACTCCTGGCGAAGGGTCGACGATTTGACATGGTGCAGGTTCCAGTTCGAAGGGTGGTGCAAGTCAGCAAATCCCTCTATTAATATTATCGTCCATTGAGATTTTCATAAGATTATTAGTGCATGTAGAGAACAAACCATGGGATGGGGTCAGCACAGGAACGTTTGCAAGCTATCAACGTACCAGCCAAGATGGAGCGAACATAGTTCATGGTCGCAGCCGAGTGGAAGTAAGCCCTATTGAAACAATCGACGAGAATGCAATCAGTCATGAGTATTCGAGACTATGAAAGTCAACAATCAATCCTATTAGAACCATCCTCACAGCGACTTACCCCAGCAATCTCTCGGGATCAGGAGAACGATCTGCAGGATCATATCCGTTCACATTATCTCCGCGGTAGCTCAGAATCTCCTGCCCTTCATGCATCTCTGTAGGCTTGGAACGAGGCTTGGCATATTGACCGGCCATACGTGCAATACGGACCACAGGCATACGTGCGCCCCAAACCAGAACCAGCGACATCTGAAGGAGAACCTTTAACTTGGCCTCAATCGGACTCTGTATATCACAGTAGCAGCAATGAGTAAGTAAATATAAATTGAGTTGGGTGTGCTTGCATGCTTCGTTCAGTTGCTGTGCTACCACTCTGAATAACGAAGAAAGAAGTTGCCGTTCGGCGTTATGTTGTTATGTTGTTACCTGGGAGCAATAATCAAACAGCTCTGCGCAATCGCCACCCTGCAGCAAGAACGCCTTCCCTTGGGCAACATCCGCCAATTGTTGGCGGAGTCTGTGAATCTAAAAAATTATCAGCGTAGAAACGTCAACGGCCGTAGGCATGACTTAATAACTTTGTTCTGCCTCAATACGGAGTAGCAATCTTTGACGCCACCGTCGTTTTTTGTACCTCGCCAGGAGCAACCATGGGAGGTAGACGTCCAATCTTCTCAAGGACTCTGTTGAGGTGGGCCTGGTCGGGGTAGTCGACATCCTGCAGGACTGGCTTTGAGGTCCAGGAGGAAGGTGACCAACCATCGGCGGCGACAACTGTTGAAGGCAAGACTGGAGTATCGACTCGGAATGTCATTTTTCTGTTGTTTGTTTGTTGGTGAGAGAGGAGCGAGGAGCGTGCTGAGGATGAGGAAGAGAAAGAAAAGATGAGGAATGAGTAAGTGAGGTTTTAATAAAGGATGTTGTTGTTTGACGATGTATGAATGGGTGATGAGTCACAGATGGAATAAAAAAGTGGAGAATGAGAAACGAATAAAAAAATCTCTCTCTCCACCTTCCATGTTGCAGTCAGTGCGCCATCCAAAATTTTGATCTTTTTGCTATCGCTCTCACCAAGATATTGATCTATCCGGACATGCTGCCTCTTCTTTCGGCCCTCTCCGACAACAGTTCCTTGTAGTAAGCGTTCAAAGAAAAGTTTGCTCCAAGGGCCAATGCCATACAGCCGGCAAGTATGACTCCCTTCCCCTGCTCTGCTTTGGCGCCGACAACGGCTCAACATGAAAAACCCATCACCCGCTCCACTTCTAGAGTACCACGCCAAGCTCAATTCACTGGCACTGCAAATCTTTTCTTGTTACACAGCCCATGCGATCAGATAACGTTCCAAGCAGTAGACATCCATTCGCCCGCATCTACTTTACTACATCTCTCTTCCATCAAGAACTTGCCTCCTTCTTTCAAAGAACCGTACACCACCTTTCGCCATGAACTTCCTTGCCCGCTCCGTCCGCGCCGTCCGCCCCGTGCGCATGGGTAAAGCTCATTCCATCCCAGCAAAACGAGCAAAGACAACTCAGATCAGCAACCTTTTTTGCAGGAACCCAGCCGCCCATCACAAGACGGTGTGAAAGCGGGGACTCAGGAACGTCGAAAAGGAGACGTCGATCTAACCAGGAACGTGCATGCAGGACCAAAGTGGACCGCGTGTGAACGCATACCCTTCAGGATACACCATCGAGCAGCAAAATTTTGCACTGTGAAGGGTTTTCGTACTCTTCAAGGAAGGAGACCATGGACTCTCTGTCGCTCTATCATATCATATCTACCACAATCGTCAAGCGTCACAGACCTCTAATTTGGCTGCACTCTTTATCATTATCCCCTACACCTCTCAAATAGTCCGCTCCTACGCCACTGAGGCCGCCACCGCCGGTCTCCGTCTGACCTTCGCCGTCCCCCACCAGGTATTCCTCATTCTTTGATGGGTTTTCCTGCTTAAAACCGATCATACTCCTGCCTACTATCTTTCACCTAACATTTTCCCTACTTTTTTTTATTGGGATCCAATAGACCATCTTCAAGAATGTCTCGGTCACCCAGGTCAACATTGCCGCCGTCTCCGGAGATATGGGTATCCTCGCCTCCCACGTTGCCTCCATCGAGCAGCTCCGCCCCGGTGTCATCGAGGTCATCGAGGCCACCACCACCAAGAAGTTCTTCGGTAATCATTTTGATATCATATTTTGGCGTTCTGCAGTATGTTTCCCGCGAAAACGTTTTACTACCCATTGGAGTAGAGCACTGCACCTATAACGGCCAGATGTGATCCCCCAAGAGTTTACCATGATGATCTAACTCGTCGAGGTTCTTTTATGTCAATGAAAAACATAGTCTCGGGAGGTTTCGCTACCATGAACCCTGACTCAACCCTCAACATCAACGCCGTCGAGGCCTTCCCCGTCGAGGAGTTCAGCGTCGAGGTAAATCTTCAGGAAAAAAAAAACCACTCGTCGAATACAGAGAGAGGATTGGGCAAAAGGAAAAGTGTTGTCACTAATGAATATCTCGCTCCTATCTTTACACACCTACTAAAAAATAATAATTAGGCCGTCCGCCACAACTTGGCCGAGGCTCAGCGTCTTTCCAACTCGGCCGCCACCGAGGAGGAGAAGCTTGCTGCCAAGATCGAGGTCGAGGTCCTCGAGTCCCTTCAGGCCGCCATCCTTGCCAAGTAAACGCGAAAAAAAATAGTAGTCGTCAGAACCAACCCCCCCTCCTCTCACTCCACCCCAGCCGATTCGAAAAAAATATAAATGCATAAACACAAGCATCCCATTCCTCACAGGTCTCGATTATTATTATTTTATTTGTGCTAGTATTTTGCTTGTGTTCGTAGGTGTAAATGTGTAAGAAAAGGATCCAAGAGATGTGAAAACAATAAGGCCGGGTGAGTGTGTGCATGTACGATTGAAGCGGGGAGGGGGGGGTTTTTCCAATTTTTTTTCTTCTCCCTTTCCTCCATCTCCTCCATCCAATCTACCACAACACTTTTTCCAAAAGGGGCAGCATCGTTCGCTCTCTCAGATATAGGTAGGTCGTTGCCCGTTGGTGTTCACGTCGTCCTTGAGGGGTAAAGAACTCGATGATCCGCTATGACCAATCCCACCAGATCCAATATCCAGAATCTCTTGGAAACTCTGGGGGCTGTCTGGAGAATTAGATCCAATATCAAACCCTTCGCCGAAATCAAGCGTCAACCGCTTGAGATTCCGGCTGAGCGCTGAGGGGTGGTACGATCCATCTGTCGGGCTGTAGTTGTGATCGTCATCATCGTCCAACAAGGACGTTCCCTTCTCCTCCTCAGGCGTGGATGGTTCCTCATCCTCCTCGACAATCGTGGCCGAAGCGTAAGGTGGTGGCGCCAAGTCATCCTCTAGCTCGTCCGAATCAATAAGGTCGGCAATTTGAGACTCAAGGCACAGTCTGGTGATCGTCTGGTAATCACCTTCCTCATCCGTCTAGAGTAAGAGATGAAAACAGACATGCGAAATATGATGAAGAATGTTTAGAGAGGTACTTCAAAAATGCGAAGGTTGCAAGAACGGCGCTCCAAAAGAAAATAATGACATACCATGACAACATGAATAGCGCCGGGTTGGTTGGCAATGTGGTGCAGGCAACGGATGTTGTTTCCGGGGATAATTTGCACAAGATCGCCCTATGTACGGCAAAGCAACCGTGATGAAGTTAGAACATGTTGATCCAAAGCTATAGTCAGACTCAGTGACGGACTTTCAAGCGAGAACTTACGGTTTCAACGTGACGGATCTCGATGAACGAAGGGTCAAAGGCAATGACATATGGCAATGAGAGTGCGCAGAAGGTGGGCATTCCTTCCCAGTGGATGATCCAATTATTGCGCGCCCGACGACCAATCTTGTCCACGTAGAATGCGAATTCTGATAAAGATAAAAAGAAACATAAGAGTCAGGTTTGCTTGCAAACATTAACGAGGCGACATTGATTGACAAATAAACATCCGGAAGACCAAAAGGTGTTGTACCTTCGTAGCAAAGCAAGAAGGTGAAGCTGTCGCCAGCTCCAATACGGTAAATGGCAAGAGGCTTGAGGTTCTCATCCTTCTTGTGGACAAAGTCTAGGGTGGGGTCACTCTTGTCGAGCAATTCCTGTGTGTTGGTGTTGAGATCGATGAGCTCGAAACCCTTGCTGCATCCAACACAGAGCGTGTTTCTCAAGAAATGAAGCGAAGTGACCTCACGGGGAATGTAGAACTCCTAAAAGTCCATGTAAGAAGAACGAGTAAGCACCTGCACTCGACGACCCAACGCCTCTGCAAAAAAAATAGCGTTGAACGTACCCTGTGAACCTTGAACATTTCGCTGTTGCCTCCACGAAGCATGGTCCTGAACATGTGCTTGTTCTTCTTGGAACCGTCCTGCTCGATCGGCTCAAGAGTCTTGATGCTGGAGTTGGAATCCAAAGCATTGCTTGAATTCTTGACAGTTCCAACAAGGGTCTTGCCCTGGCAAACACCAGTCTTGAAGAAACTGATAGAGGATCCCAGCTTCTTGCCTCTCTTGTTGGGGTTGTTGGGGTCGTTGGGATCGAGCGCCTCGAGTCCATAGGCAAGCAAGTGCTTCTCTGCGAGCACAAGCAAGATGCGCTCGTCCTCCATGACATCGACTTGTGAGACGCGCTCGCGTGGCAAAACTCTGATAAAGTGCCCCTTAGGCTTGCCAACAAAAACGCCAGAGTCTGTTCCGATAACGAGACGCTTTCCATTGTCTACCACCATAGCGTAAAATGAAGTGTGTATGTAAATATCATACATAGCAGATATGTGCAAGTCAACTTTTCCAGAATTTCAGAAGCGCCGTGCTTACCATAAGTCGAGGAGCAGTTGACCTTGTTGCTGGCAGGGAAGTACCTCTCGGAGACTGGAAGAAGTTTCCACGAGTCGGCCTTGTTCTTCAGCGCCTGAATCTGCTTTTGGATCCTGTCCATCCAGTTTTTCCGTCCAGCATGCGTGGTGGCGTACAGAGTGAACGAACCTCCGTGACGTCCGATGTGACTAAATACGATGGGGAACCCTGACTTGTCGGAGGTGATCTTGGACAGTGGGTTCGAGGTGGGTGTGATCTTGGCGACAACATTGCTGGCGTGGGAGGGTTTGTGTGGTATCAACGACGATGTTCGACGAGATGACTTCATCGCAGGTTCTTCCATGGTCGAAAGTGTCAAGAGTTCCAGACGAATGGGTCGCTTGTGGACCTTGTAGCCCTCGGGACCCTTGCCCTTCTTCTCTTTGGTCAGCAGGAGAACATGATCAAAGAGGAACACGTAAATGTCGGCATGCTCAGAGCTGGTTCCCTTTTTCTTGAGTGGTCCCTTCATGATCAGTTGGCGATCCTTGGCAAGAAGGTTCAATTCCTGAGGAAAGTTGAAAACCCAATTCAATGTTGCGGCGTGAGAAAAGAAATATAGATAAAGAAGATTAGGGGAGGTTACCAAATAGAAATGTTACCAGGAAATGCTCAACAAGTGCATTGTAAAGATATGATAACATACCATTGGCTCGCCCTTCCATGTCAAGCCCTTGTTGATCTGTCGCAGGTTGAAGGCATTCTCGCACTTTCCTGACTCCAAGTTGACCTTTTGCAAAAAGTCCTTGATGATGTTGACGACCTGGGGTATCGCCGTCTTGTCTGGGTTGTCGTCCTTGGTATATTTGAGAACCGCCTCAAGCAATAGCGGATAACGACCCAAACGAGTTGTGGGTTTGGTCAAGTATCCGTTCAGCTCCAGCTTTCTCGACTCTGGTCTCCTCTCCGTTTCCTAAACGCACGAAGAAAGAATGCACCAAAAGAGCGTATGGCGATAAGAATCTGAAATAATGCGCTTCAACCAAACATAACTGAAACAATGGAGTAAACAACCCCGACGTACCTCGACGAATTTGCTAAAGGCACTATTCGTGGACTTTTCATGCTCAAACTCGTACTTGGCCTCGATCTGGTTCGCGCCGTACAAGACAAAAGGCGCAAAGTTGACCACATGCTCCAGGAAGATGTCGCCCACCTCGGGTATAACAGAATACGTCTGCTGTCGCTTGAGAAGCGCCTCTCCAAGCTTGGAATTGACAGCATATACGTCCTTGATGTTGTAAAAGACTCTGTCGATAAAGGATTCTCGTCGCGATTCCGGGAGCAGGTCCATGTTCCGGATTGGCGTTATCCATTTCTATTTATCAAGTTACAATGAAATTGCCTGTTAGTCGTTGTTCATGCCTCATAAACAAACACTTTTTTCCTGGCTGCATATTGTTAGCATACAGCTTCATGTCCTCGTTGGTACATACATCGTTAAGATATTTCAGGTCGTTGACAAAGTCCTTCTCGGTGTAGATCAACTCGTAGATGACTTCCTGACGTTTTTTCTCGTCAAGAGATACGGCATCCGAGATTTCCTTTGGCACAGAAGTAATCCAGAGTCGCTGATCCTTCTTTTCCTTGGATGACGATCTGCTCAACGCCCGCTTGAGGCCGCCATTAGGCGTCAAGTTCAGCCGAGATTGCTGCATCAATTAAAGATTATAGCCCAAAGTTAGTAAGATGGGTCCTTGATATTCAAAGTGTGATCCGAGAGACAGAATCAATCACCAAACATACCTGCTCCAAACGACGTGGGCACGCGATGCTGTAGCAAAGTTTGTCTCGTGTGCATGTAGGAGAGTAGCAGTCTGTCAAAAGGGTAAAGACACCATTGACAGTGTCCAGCTCATCCGTGGCTTCGGGTGCTGGGTAAGAGGGTCGATAGTCAATGGACTCCATGGAGCGAATGCGAGGTCCTCCTGTAATCGTCTTGTTGCGGAACTGGTACAGCTCATTGACACTGTCGCGAAGTCGGTGGTCATATGTCACATCGTGGAAGAGCTTTTGTGCATCCAAAGCTCGTCCGAGAAGCAACGCCAAATTCCTGTCTGTCGTTTTGATAATAAATGCAATTTTGTCCTAATATCCATAATAGCGAAGAACCGAAATGTTAAGGGACGATCTAAATGCTTGAAGATATTTCAAATTGTGAAAAGTAGGTCTAGGGTAGCATAGGCACTTACCACTGCATCCCGTCCGTCAAAGCAGTCCTTGTATTCAATAGAGTCCTTGATGCGAGGGGATGTCGTAATCCGTTGAACAAAGGCGTTGGCGACACGTGAAAGCAGAGCTGGGTAAACAATGGGAGGCCTCTTGACTGCTGCTGGTGGTCCTAGTGCGCCAGCGGAGATTGACCCCAGAGCAGCCTGTCGCACTGCTGGGTCAAAAGTTGGCGGGCTGTATGAAGAAAATGACTGCGAACGCTCTCCTTGAAGACGAGAAATTTTGGCCTGGGCAGGCGGCATCCGGACGTACTCTGCACTCCTGCGGGAAGCTTCTGATTGTGGGAGACTGGTGACAAGGAAAACGGGAGGATTGGCTGCACATGGGAAAAAAACACAAGAGAAAGGACAAATTTGAGGTCAGTGCGTCTTATTGCGCGTGTCCTTCGTTGCATACATTGGCCTTGATTGCCGAGATTCTCATGATCATTCTTCATTCATATCACTTTCCCCTTACCTGATCGATTGGCCAGGGGAGGATTGGAACCCTGGCGAGCCCGACCTGGAGAAGGAGTACGTGCACGCATCGAAAAGGGATCTGTGCGACCAGGAGGGTATCCTTGAGCCGACTGGATAGAAATCTGTGGAGTCGAGCTGCCATTGGGCGTCGTCGAACGAGGCACCGATATACTGTCAAAGTCGGCATAGTAATCCGATGCAACAGAGTGTCCCGAGTAGGTCGATGATTTTGATGCAGAGCGCTGGCGATTGGGAGGGAAATCCATGCCGGGCTCGGGATCTCGACTGTACATGTTGGGGGCCGGGTAGAGCGCAGGTTGGCGGTTTGAAAATCCAGACTCTATGCTTGCTGTCGAGTCCAGGCTGATTCTACCGCCGTCCAAATGCTCGCTAATGGAGAGCTTCCGGTAGGGCGCATTGGTGTGGTAATGGCCTTCGGGGAAACCGAGCTGTCCGTTGTGATGTCGGGGTGTTGGAGAAATGGGGGCGTCGGATAGTTGATGGCGAACCAATTGGCGATTGGGACTTGAAGGAAATGGCGGTTGTTGTTGGTAACCAGGTGAAATATTAGGAGGGTAACGACCGTTGCTGTACTGGGAGGCAACAGACGGTTGTCTGTCCAACCCTTGGTGGTCACCTCCATAGTATGTAGGTTGAATCTGGTTGGAAGCGGCACGTCGATGGGTGATGGGAACGCCCCCGTTCTGACTAGGTTGGTCGTTCCATGAAGCAGGTGGCGGGCGGATATTGGGATGATGGGCTGCTGGGCCGTTGCCGTACGGTTTTTCGTGATCCCAGCCTGGAAGCGATTGTGTTGAGAATCGATTGGATGAGAATTGGCTGGCGATTGGGTATCCTCCCTGGGAAGACTGCTGAGGCGGTGGACGCATTTGGGGTCGATGTCCCATTCCTAGCCCCGGCCCTGGTCCTGGTCCTGGTCCCATTCCTCCAGGTCCTCCGTTACCCATGGGGCCATCCTGTCTCTGCGAATAAGCTGGTGGTGTGGTGCGAACGGGTCTATAGTCGCCAGGATATCCTTGTCCTTGGTTTGAGTTCATTGGGCGAATAGGCGGTGAGCCGTAATATGCACCAGAACCAGGTCCTCCAGGAGGTCTCATGGATGGACCGTTAGGACGGACAGGCCCACCAAGCATAGATGGCACTGGTCGGGAAGGTCCCTGGGTCGAGAATCTAGGTGAGTATGGATCTGCGGCGGGTCCTAGTCCCGGCTGCTGGATGCCTTGTTGTGAATATGGGAGGGAAGTGGGCGGGCCTGGCTGGACGGGCGATGATAATACAGGCGGCCTCTGAGAAGGAGGAGGAGGAGGCGCCACGAAACCTTGAGGCGGTCCATGAGAGCCAGGAGAAGCCAGTTGCTGTTGCTGTAGTGAAGGTTGAGCGTATTGTGATAGAGGCTGCTGAAGTGAGGGCTGAGAGGGTTTGGCAGGCGATCTCGCTGGCTGCTGGGTTGCATAGGCACCCTGAAGTGGGGCTGACCCGGGGGCGACCTGGACGGATGCACGATGTCTTGAGACATACTGGGCACTTGTGTAGCCGTGATTGGCGCTTGTGACGCCGGGGCCGAATGAGGCGGCGCCCACGGGACCAGCCTGGGGTGAAGTGGGAGGTTCCTGCGGAAGTGCAGGGGCCAGGTTATCGGCCATGGATTAGAGAGGTGAGGATTACGATGCAAGAGAGTACAGTAGTTGTAGTAGTTGTAATAGAAGATGATGATGATGATGGAGTGAGAGTACAAGAGGTGCTGTTGTTGTTGCTAGTGTCCTTGTTATGTAAATAGGGAGAGCAAAGGAGCGGGAGAGTGTTATTGTTTTTGTGGTGGTTGGAAGGAGGGATGATGGCTGAGGGAGAGAGTAGAGTAGACGGATGAGTAAGATGAGTGAGGAGTGTGATGGAAGGAGTAATAAGAATAAAAAGAGAGGTAGATAATGGCAACAAGGGAAGAAGGATGGATGGATGGATGGAAAAGGATGATGGGTGGGTGTGACAGGACAGACGAGGAGAAGGGATGAAAGGGAAGGGAAGGGAAGGAAAGGGAAGCGTAAAAAAAGGAGTTTTGTCCACAGTGCAACTAGACGCACTGAAGGTATATAAAAAACAAGGCGCGCGCCAGAGTCAAGGCAAGAAAAAAAATCAAAATAAAAAAAAAAGCTTCTTTCACAGAAGACTGCCACAAGGGTGGGAGGGATTAAGAGGACATGAGAAGAATGATAGACGAAAGAGAAAAAAAGAATGCCTGGAAGGTAACCTTCTTCTTCATATCATTCATGGTTGCACATTCACTCAGATACTGTGTACCCTAAAAGAACGTGGTGGTGCCCATTCTCTCTCTCTCTCTCTTTTCCCAACATAGCCAGCCAGTCAAGGCCAGCCATGCTCGTATGAGCCCGCTCATTCATGGACCATGAATATTTTCAATGAGAGACTGGGACTGGGAGTGTCAGTCGATGTGCTCCAGACTCAACTTGCTCACTCAACTCAAGTTATGCACAGGGGGAGGGCAGGCCTCCTCTCCTTATCTTGTGCCTGTCCAATCCTTGTGTAGACACATTTTGTTGATGTTGTTTGTTTTGTTTGCCACCACATCCCACACACACGTTGCTCGTATCCCCTCAACCAACATCCAATACCCGCAGATACCGCCTTTTTCACACATGCCCAGAACAGGCGCCATCTGCATCCCATCCGAGACAAACACAACCTGCAGTCAGATTTTTTTTTCTTTGTCTTTGGAACACTCACCCACGGTGGTGACACGGTGACGTCTTGATCACAAAACACGACGCCACCACTTCCTTCGCTTTATTTCACCTCCCCCCCCACACACACACACGTCCTACGCACGCCTTCTTCCTTACTACTCTTTCAACAAACATCCTAATCACCGACGACAAAGAGATCTCACAATGGCATCCCAGGACAACAACAACGACGACATCAACGCAGCATACATGAACATGCTCAACAGAAACATCCCAGGCGTCGGAAACAACCCCCTCCACCCCGCCTCCACCACCATCACAAAACCAACAACGATGCACCTCTCAAACAAGTCCACCAACGCCAACCTCACCAGCTCGCCATCAGTAACCAAAAATCAACAGCACGCAATCGATACCCTTCAGGCAGCTATCAAGGACGCACTCTACATCTCCGAGGGCGAAGAACCATACCAAACCGTCCATATCTCACCTACCACTACTGGTACCGCTGGAGCCACAGCAGCAACGGCATTGACGAAGAATACGTCATTTCCAACAGAACAAGAGTTCGTCACTCTACTCCAAACCTCCCAACTCTTACCCTCCTTCCAACAATTGACCCAAACCGAGGACGAGGACGAAGGAAACACCTGCGAAAAATCATCCAACTTTCGACCAATCCTCAACAAGTCCAATCCTGGATCCGAGAAACTTGCACAAGCACTCCACGATATCTTTGGTCTCCCTTCCACTCCTGAAGTAATGACAGCAACTACTATTACTGCAGTTCCTGAGAACGACAAGATGGTGTTGTACAGGGTCGCCGATCCATCCTCTTCAACAAAGGTTCATATTTGGATCCTTGGCTGGATCGATGGTGATCTCATCGGTCTCCACACCATTGCCATCGAATCGTAAACCATAATAAAAAAAACAAAAAATGCGATTATGCATCCAAAATAAAAAAAAGGTCTTGCGAAGAAAAAAATGAAATCTGAAGAAAAAACAGTTTTTTTATTATTGTGGTGCGTGCATCTATGGGCGTGATCCAGATCAACACAAGTGAAGAATGCGGGGGGTGTGTGTGTTTGAGGGGTGGGTAATATGAGATGAATGAATAAAAAAGAGCAACAAAACAAAGTAAAAAAAAGGACACATGAAAAGCAAAAGAGTCGGGAGTGCGTGTATCAATCAAACCATGTGTTCAAAATGATCTAACTGAGCGAGAGGAGAGAAGCGGGAGATGGGAAAGATGGAAATAGAAAGATGATTTACAGGTTGGAGATGACAGCGAAGGTGAAATCGGTGGTGGTGGAAGAACCGCCCATGTCAGGGGTCTTGACAGCGCCGCCCATGATGGTCTTGGAGACAGCGTTGGCAATCTTGTTGGCGTGATCATCGAGACCAAGGTGACGGAGCATCATAACCGACGAGAGGATCATGGCCGAGGGGTTGGCAGTGTTGCGTCCCTGGATATCCTTTCCGACGTGACGGCAGCCCTATTAGATTGTCAATTGGAAACAATTGTTAGAAACAAGAACTAGGATGCAATTGTAGTGGCAAACACTAGAAAGGCGATTGGAATAAGGCACAAAAAAAAAAGGACACTTACGGGCTCGAACATGGCGTACTCGCGACCAATGTTGCATCCGGGAACGATACCGGGACCACCGACGAGACCAGCACCGACGTTGGAGACAATGTTACCGTACAAGTTGGGCATGACCATGACGTCGAACTGCTGGGGCCTAGAGACAAGCTGCATGGAGGCGTTATCGACGATCATGTCGTCAAACTTGATGCCAGAGGAGGCGTACTCCTTGGAGACCTCGCGACAGGTGTTGAGGAAGAGACCATCAGCCAACTTCATGATGTTGGCCTTGTGGATGCAGGTGACCTTCTTTCTGTTGTTGCGGAGGGCAAAGTCAAAGGCGAAGCGGGCAATGCGCTCAGACTTGGTGCGGGTGATGACCTTGAGGGACTCAACGACACCGGGGTAGGACTGGTGCTCGAGGCCAGAGTACTCTCCCTCGGTGTTCTCACGGATGATGGCAAAGTCGACACCCTCGTGGCGGGTGGGGTAGCCGGGGATGTTCTTGCAGAGAACGAGGGAAGCGTACATGTCGAGGTCCTTGCGGATGGTGACGTTGAAGGAAGAGTGGCCGAGGGAGGAGACGGGGGTGTAGAGGATACCCTTAAGACCGACCTTGTTGCGTCTCAAGGACTCGACCGACTGCTTGAAGGTCAAGTCGTCAGCCGAGGTGTAGCCAGAGACATCGAACTGCTCCCAGTCGACAGGGACGTTGGCGGCCTTGAAGATAGTCTTAACAGCCGAGGAAGTCTCCTGTCCGATACCGTCACCAGGGATCAAGGTAACGGTGTAGCGACCTCCAAGCTTGGAACAGGGGACCTATTATCCATGTTTGCAAGGGTTCGTCTTATTAGTTCTCTGTTGGTTGCCCTTGTATATTGACGACTTGCTTCTTATTCCCGTGTCCATGGTCTTTTCCTTCTTCATTCTTTTGATTGCCCTTCTCCATAGCTACTGCAAGGGCCGACTATTGATATGTAAATCCAACAGACTTGAGAGAAAGCGAAAAGGGCAACGAGACACACAACTTACATCCTGAACCTGGGGGAGGATGGAGGTGGTGCTCATGGCACGGGGACCCATCTACAGATCAGAGAACAAAGGCAACAACAACTCGTTAATATATGTGAATGTTCCTTGTTACAACTCGAGGTTATGTGGGGTATGTCTGAAAGTCCAAATGGCAAAGCAAAGGGTCCAGAGCAACATGTGTTGAGTGTGTATGCATGATGTGGGTGTGGGAAAAGTTGAGGTTGCTGTGGTCGATCGAACGAAAAATAATATTCAAAAGGGGAGCGTGTGAGAGTTGAGAAGGAGTGTGAGAAAGTAAGAGATTGTTACCTTGGTGAGGGTGGAAGTCAAGGACTTTGAGAGGGAGATGGTGCGGAGCATGGCTGGTTGGATGATCGTGAGGGAGAGGAGGGGAGAGGGTTGATGGGAAAAGGGATCAAGAGGAAGGAAGAGAAGAAGGAAAGGAGAGGAGATAAATAACAACAACAAAAAAAAAGAACCCCCGCACTCGTCGTCGTCGTCGCCGTGTGTGTTTATCGATAAGAGGGCGGGTTGCCAAATGCGGCCGTACACAGTCACGTCACTGCTGAAGAGCGAGCAGAAAGCATCATCGTCAATTTGAGAGCACTTTTCTTGTGCGGGGAGGGGAATGAAAAGTATTTTCTCTCTGATCAAGAGAGAGATAACGAACAGTTTTCCCATGTGGGCGGGTGTTTCCCTGGCCCGTGTGTCAGCCTGTTCAGGCACCATCAAAATTCATCACATCACCACATACATTTTTTTTAATCAGTTGTGATCAGTTCCTAATCAGATAGATACACCATTCACATAACACTCGTTGCCACCATTTTTTTGCTTTGTTCTCGATGCATGTTCTCATTGCTGCTTATGCTTTCTTTTTTTTTATTCTAAACTGCATCAAGAAATCTAATAAAACAAACAACGGGCCTGGAATAAAGAAAACGCACACTGCAAAAAAAAGAACACAAGAAGGGAAGGGGAGCTCATGACAACTGAAAAACAAACGAAGAAACGAAAGGGACAGAAAAAAACCATTAAGCGAAGTTAAGAGGTGTCGATTGAGTGGAAGGGTGTTACAATCGGGCAAAGTCGAGCGAGAGAGGAGGAGAAGGGTAGGAATGTAAAAGAAAATAGCGGGGGAGCGTGGAGAGTGGAGAGGAAAAGGCATTGTGGGGTATGAATAAAAAGGTGGTCAAGTATGAACAGGATTGCCCTTTTTTAGAAAGAAAAAAGGGAGAGAGAGGAGGGGGTTCGTTATGGTACATCCTTGGGTGACAAGGGCTGGAGTAGCGAGAAGAGGGGAGTGGGTCTTCAAATCATCAACTAAAGAAGAAAAGCCACATCTCAATGCAAAGGAACATCAATCGCAATAAAAAAGATCTGTACAAAGTGGCCTACAACAATGAGAGAAAGAGTAAGAAAAGAAAGAAGTGAAAGAAAAAAAAAGTAATCAGGTTACACCAACCAATCAGAGATCAACGCGACCAGCCATCGTCCTCTCCAGGCGCCTTGGATGAGACCATGCTGTTGGGTTCAGGCACACACTTGTACTCGCCTCCAACACACTGAAAGACCTGCTCACCAAGCACAATCTTCTTCGGCAAAATCATCCTTCCTCCATCCTGCTTCCAGGGCCGGCTGCCATCATCCTGCGACATCCGCTGAAGAGCCTGGCCAGCCTTGAAAAACTCGACCAGCTCCTGGTGCGACAGACCAGGCGACGAACTTCCGCTCTGTTGTTGTTGCTGCTGCTGCTGCTGCTGTAGCTGGTAGCTGGAATGCTCTTGGTCAGGCGACATTTGGCTAGGCTGCATAGGATGTTGCTGCATAGGATGTTGCTGCATTGGATGTTGCTGCATTGGCTGCAGCTGGAATGGGTGATGCTGTTGCTGGGAATGTTGTTGATGCATATGCTGCTGTTGTTGTTGTTGTTGTTGTTGTTGTTGTTGTTGGAACTGCTGCTGTTGCTGCTGTTGCTGTTGCTGCTGTTGCTGTTGTTGCTGTTGCTGCTGCTGCTGTTGCTGTAATTGGTTCTGTAGCTTTTGCTGTTGGCGAAGCTGCTGCTTCTGTGTACGAGTAGAGCCGTTATTGCGTCCAAGACCTTGAGCAGCTTGAGTATTGCTTGAAACATAGTTATTGTAAGCAACATAATTGGCCGCGATTCGGTTGGCGACAGGCATGGGACTCCGCGTGGGTGGACGACCACGTCTGGCCCGGACAGTGGCAGACTTGACACCCATTCCCGCAGAGAGTGCATACGCCGTGCTCAAAGGCATGGGTGATGAGTTTCGGCGCGACAAGTCCAAACGGGCAAGACTATACATGGGGTCATCTTGCTCACTGAAACAGGACTCTCCGTCAACATCAATATCGTCGTCGTCGTAGGAGCCCGAGAGCGACCGATGCTCCTCCTCGTCGGCGGTGGATCCATCCAACAGACGATCATCATCTTCCTCGTCATCATCGTCATTGTCACCCATAGAGTTGAAGCGACCCATCCGGTGGAATCGGTGTTTGCGGTTCAGGTCGTTCGCTTTCCTAGCTTGGCTGGCACTCGAATCGTCCTCGTCCAGATCCAGATCTAAGTCATCATCCTGGTCGCCATCCACACTCTCGTCCCTCGGGTAGTCCTTGTTGCTGTTGAGTAGAAACGATGTCGAGGACAGCTGGCTGGCTGTGGGCGGTCCTCCAGATTGATTGAATCGACTGAGGCGACTCACATCATTGCTAGAGTACCGTCTCTTTAGGTTAGGATGGATATGGGTCTGTTGGAGTCGAAGTTGCTGGGCGCCAATGACGGCCTGACGCTGACCAACGACACATTCAGAGGCACGTCTACGAACGACTGTCAAGTGGATCGAACCAAATCCAGGAGTGTCTGGTGGGATGCAGTCATTGACAAAGCCGGCGCCAAAGACAGGGACCAGCTCATGACGCAGCTTGTAGCAAGTCTTTTTAGCCAGATCGTAAGCCTCCTGGTGCGGCATCCTAAGTTTTCATAAGCAGTTATTGAATTGGATCGGAGAAGGAGGTGAGGAGGATCAGAGAAGTAAGAGGAAGGGTGGTAGTTAGCATCGAATGAACTGGTGTTTGCAGTATGCTAATTTCATGACACTGACGAGATCATTTATGGGACCATGGAATTGTCGGGGCAGACGTACCAGGTGCCCTGGATCTTTAAGAACCCGCCTCGGACCTTGCGGATGATGGTCTCTAGGATCGGGTTGGCGTCAATGATCTTAACAATGTCTGCTTTCGTCTTCCCCAAGGCCTTCCAGATGCCGGTAAAGTGGACGTAGAGATTCTCTTGATCCCACATAATAGGATGGCCATAAAGGTCATACTCGAATACTATGTTGAAGCATTCACCAATGGAAATATCGAGAATGTTAGAAGTGGAGGAGCGATCCATACTAACGAGGTAGTTTATCGGCTTGGATGCGTGGTGGTTTACCTGGGATGAACCCTCTTGGGTCAAGGGAAGTCGAGTACTTTGCCTTTTTGATGTTGGGCACAAAGTTTTCGCCCGTACCTGTTGATGCATCTCCGGCGACAGACGCAAGGGTGGTCGAGGACGACGAGACAGAGGGCAGGGAAGCTGTGGAGACGGGGCCAGCCGAGTGGTTGGAGTAAGGATAGGCGGGTGGGAGGGAAGCACTGGCGGAGGGTGACTTGATGTTGATGGCAGAGACAGTGGCGATGGACGAGGCTGAGGACGAAGAGAGGGGAGGTAGAGGTGGAGGAGGGTGGTTCAACTTTTTGCCACTAGCAGGCTTGTTAAAGTCCTGGTGGCTCTCCTGCTGCTGCTGGTACTGAGTTGGTTGGAGAGGGTGAGAGTGTTGCTGTTGCTGTTGCTGTTGATGCTGGAGAGAGTGAGGATGCTGGAGAGGAAGCGGGTGTTGGTGCTGAAGCGGGTGTTGGTTGTGATGCTGTTGATGCTGCTGTTGAAGCAGCTGTTGGTGGCCAAGCATCCAGGGAAAAGGGAACTACTTGAAGTGAAGGGAGGTGTTGAGGGAGCGGAATAAAGGCCAAGACGAGGGCGATGGCCGTGATCTCGGAAAAAATGAAAAAGCTGGCAAAGGCAAGAAGGGGAAGAAAGAAAGGGAATTCTGGATATGACAAGGTGGAGGTGGGTTTATCTGAAAGAGGAGGAGGAAGAAGAGAAAGGAATTGGAGCGTGAGGGGGACTCGAAAAAGCTGGAAGGATGAATTCAAAGGGGCAGAAGGGGTTAAGGACAGACAGGACAGAGATACACAAAAGTAAGGTTATGATGGCAAGGTGGAGGGGTGATGAGAGAAAGATGGAAAGAGTGAGAAAGAAGGATAGGAGGGGTAAAAGTAGAAAGTGGACAGGGACAGGAACAAGAAAGTAGAAAGGAATCAGAAAAGAAAAGAGAGAAAGAGAAACGCCAAGGATGAATGATGTACGAGGGACACAACAAATGCGATTAAGACTATTGCAACTCTTGTCTCTGGTTCTTTTTTGCAGGCAAACCAGGGTGGAGGTTACGCTGCAAGTAATTCTCGCGTGGAGGAAGAGGCGATGACAGCAATCAGCGTACAGCAGCAGCATTCAACATTGATTAACAATAAACAATATTGAAAGAAAGAGAGATGAGCAACTTGACGATGTGGCCCTTGTGGATGCTGTCGATGATGTGGGTTAGAAAAGGAAAAGGAGAGGGGGTGGGGAAGATCACAGATTGTCGAAGGGTTGCGAGGAATGAGGAACAGCTTCTCTTTTGGAGAGAGTGCAATTTTTTTATTTTTCATCGGACAGATCTGTCTCGACTTGACCTACAACCTTCTGTATCTATTTTTCTATCTCTCCTCCTTGCTGCATTCGGGACACGGAATGTGGTGCGACATTGTCCCACTACTTGACATTTGGATCGATGTGTGCCCTACCCACCAGTGGGGAACGTGGAGGGATGGAGCGAGAGGAGGGGGTAAGAGAGTGGTGGTGGAGAGAGGAAGAAGTAGTCGCAAAGTGGCGATTTTCAAGAGAAAGGAAGGGAGGAGTAGGATGAAGGAGAGAGAGTGTAGGAGCTGTTTTGTTCGAGGGTGGCAATCGACCTTGCACCAATGGATACCTAATACATGTGTGTGCATAGTGCAGGTTTATTGTATGTGGATAGTGATGGATTGATGAATGCTGATGATGATGATGGTGGTGATGATGCCAAAGGATATTTTTGGCTTACTTTCTCGCATCAATGCATCCCTCAAAGAAAAACACAGAAAAGAGAGGCATGGTATCCTTTTGTTGTCTTTTGTCTTTTCGTCTGATAGCAAGAGGCCCGAGGGAATAGGGAGTCCAATTGGACTGGACTGATGCGATTGTTGACTGGAGTGGCCCTTTCTCGCTATTCTCTCGTTCTTCCCTGTGAGGGCGAAATGACAGAGACAACGAAAGAACACGACAAGGGGATGAACACACAGAGATACATCTCATTCTGCCCTTGCACCTCCTTGCCCTTCCTGTGCCCCTTCCTTCTCCCCTCCTACACCTCCACGCAACAACAAGAATATAAAAAGCATTATTCAATGAGTAGAATGAGTGAAACAATAGGGCAAAGTCAGAAGAAATAGGAAAGCTCATTCTGCTTCAAATATCTCGACCCTTCCTGAGAATTCCATACTTTGTTCATTGTTCAAGGGTGCCTCTTGTCATGGAGATCGGTCTCGACAAACAAGGCTATGTTAGCAGCAAGCCCTCCACTTTTCTTTGTACTCTCCCTCCCCTATCCGATCCGACTCTTACTATTGGCCAGCGAATTGACGCGCCCCGAACAAAACCCTACACTTTTGATGAGAAACTAAAAGAAAACCAAATGACAACAAAAAAACCACTTCAATTGGTTGAACCCTGGGCCTATTATTATTTAGCTTACTCTTTCGCTTCATTTTTTTTGTATCCCCTTCTCCCTTCCCTGTCTCTCTTCTCTCTGTTGTCTCTTTGACTGTCTGTCTCTCCTTCCCTCCTCCCTCTTTGTCTCTCCCTTTTCTCAAGGTGCACTTTCATTGTGTGTGTCTCTCTCTGTATGTGCGCTGCACCCCTTTCGACCCCCCTTTGATCCCTTTTGATCCAGAAGGTTCAAAAAAAAAAAGAAAAGAAAGTCAAAATGGGCTAGAAACCAAAAGAGAGTCGCTGAAGAAAAAACACATTGGGCAATTGCATCCCTCGATCGTCTCCTTTCTTCCTTCCCTACACTCTGCTCTCTGATGTTTGTTCACCCTCTCTCTTTCTCTTTCTTTACTCCAAGATATCCTTGGGTGTATGTTGACAATTCAGGCAAGTGGATCTGATCGGGTCAGAGCGCGGTTCATCGTCATTATGCGCCACCAATTTCCGTAGGTTTTCAACATGACGTGCTTTTTTTTGTCCTCCTGTCTCCTACTGCTATCCATGTTTGACAAGCGTTCGCAGTATGTGGTACATCTGGACGTATGCATCTGAACCTGGGGCAATTGGCAACGCTCACGCGCATCCTGGCCTCCTTTGGCGTAACTATCATCTCTACAGGTCTGCTATTGGCGATTTTGTAGGCGAGCATGCATACTTCGGCATAAGATAATATAGATGAGCTCGCCATGACGGCATACGAAGGGCACCAGATGGTATTTCATGTGACAGCAGTCACTCGGACTCTGTAAGAAAATCTTTACGTGTTCAAACGCCGAGTGCCACTTTATTTCTGCCACTGGATGCATGCCTGCCATGTCATCTTCGTTTGTCGTTTATCTCGTGCCTCGTCTTCCTTCTTCTCTTTTTGTTGTCTCTTCTTCATCCCTTCTGCTCTTCTCTCCTCTCCCTCCTCTCCTTTACGGATCTTCTACCCTTCTATTAACAGATACCATACCAAACCATCCTAAATAGCTTCCCGTCCATGCACCTCCTGATAGATTCATATCTTATCCTTTTTCATACTTCTCTCCTCTCAACTATCTCTTCAACTCTCGGCGCGCCATCGCTCTAAACCGACAGTGAACAACAACAGCAATCACACCATGGACGACCGCGCCTCATCACCCATTCACTCCCACAAAGACAACGACTCATTACACTCCTCATCCAACAGCTCCGAAGGGAAGACCTCACTCCCTCACTTCGACAGACTCTCTGCAGCTGGCAAGGTCGAACCCTTAGTCTCCGCAACGGTAAGTTGGCCCTTGCGCCATTTTTTTTATATGCGCACTGAGCTGCGGGCTTTTTCCATTCAAAACTCACAGACCCAACGAAACCATAGCGACTAATGTCTTACGAAACCCTTGCTTTGTGTCATCATTGTAGAGTAGTAACATCTTCGACGCCGAGACTACAGTAGGCAGGACAGCCACTGCCGGCAGTGCTTCGCAATCATTACAGAGTATCATTCGCAAGTCCAGCAACAACACCCTCGCCAGTTCGCCCACCAAACACTCAGAACTCGACCTAAAAGTTGCACTCGTCTCCGACGATAGTACCTCGGTCTCCTCACACTCTCACATGCCCGCCGCATTTGTTGGCACAGCCCTCGAGGCCCACTCTTTCACACCCTCAGCATCAGGTTCAGCCGCAACACCAATAACAACTACGGAGACATCCCAGCCAGACACATCAGTTCGCCCCATAGCTTCCGTCTCTTCAGTACAACCAGCCTCTTTAACACCAACTGCAATACAGGGATCTTCCCCTCCAATAGCTATACCTGACACGATCGAACGTGCTGCTACAACTGGCAGCGATGCCTCGAGCGACAAACGATCGTCTGTGAGTGTTTTTACCACGTGGTGGTCAGGTGGCAGCTCCGCGACTGTCAACGCAACCAATCCTGGCTCTAACTCAACCCACGAGAATTCATATACCCAGCCGCACGGACTTACCTTACGGACGTCCATGCTCAACATGACATCAACAGCATCCTCCCCAACGTCGTCTACAGAATCCGCACCAGAATCAGCCAACACCTCTTACTCCAAACCGGACACCTCTGATAGTATGGACTGGGTACCTTCAGGACCTGAGACGGCCATCCTCCAGAAAACACGTGGGCTAGTTGGTCGCGACAGCTCCTCCCTCCCTTCCTCTCTCCCATCATCCGCCACATTTCCTTCTTCCATGATCAAGCACACCCGACCTTCCGCTTCTGTCAGCGAACGCAGAGAATCGACTTCTTCAACGCAGGGGCTTCTCACATCTACTCTCTGGAGCAGGCTCGTGACTAGCCAGGATACTCTTGCCAAAGTGACACCGGTGGGGCACGTCCCTTCTGCCACAGCGTCTGATGAGTCCAATGCAATGGATGTGGATGAAGGCCAGGTCCAGAATGCGGGACTCGAGATTTCACCAACACATGCCAAGGGTGCAGACGGCACAGCCAAGACAGCAGATCCTACACCTAAACCAACTTCCGCTGTTTCCAAGCTCGCAGACAGCCAAACCAGCTCTTCGAAAAAGCGGTGGTCGATTTTCGGATATGGCGCAAAGGATGACACCGAGGCAGGGCCTACAAAGCTGCGGAAGAGTGGCGACGTCTTGATCGAGCCAGAATCCCGACCTTCAAGCATCAACGAAGTAACACCAGCAATACCGACATCATCTTCGACCTCGGCTCTTGCTTCTGCCGTTCCTTCCACCAAGGCTACTGCTGCCAATGTGCCAGTCACAGCAACGTCATCGGCTACACCGACTACCTCGATCAGGCCCCAGGCCCAAGTGACGGACCAGATTGCAGATCCTTCGGAGGAAACTGGACCAATAGCACCAGCGTTGGTCGGAACGTCCCAGCTGAACGTGGTTGTCCCTCCAGGAAACGCTGTGATCAAGAGCAAGAACGATACTACCACCAACCCCGACACCAATGGAACCGTGTCAAGCAGTTACAGCTGGCTCTCGATCATACCTGGCCTCGGAAACAAGACAGAGGAGGCGAACAAGACCAGGGAAGACATGGTGATCTCACATCAAATAACCGACTATCAGGAAGGCAAACGTAAGGATGTTGATGGAACCACTATCAACTTTGGAGAGAAACAGTCTGGCCGGACATTTGCACAGCTGGCAGAGGCGAAGAACGCCAATGAGAGCGGGCTTGTTCCTAAGGAAGATCGCAAGGACGGTTCCAAGGACAGGCAGACGTTTTCACAGCTCAAGGAAAGCGAGAACAAGGAGAATGGAATCGCCAAGGAGGCAGGAATGGCTGCTGCTTCTCTCTCCAAGGTCGTCCTCCGGAAGAAAAATGTCGTTCTGCCCGACTACTACGAGCAATATTCGGATGTACACCACAGTCTGATCGCGCTGCCACCGAATCTCCCGCATCAAGGGCCTCATCGTACTCGCTCCGCATCGGTCATGAAGAGCGCCGTCAATGTCCTCAGCAACCTGTTGTTCTCCAACCCTTCGCCTCAAGTTCCAACCTCACCGCAGATGGAGCAACAGGGTACGAGTGGAATCAGGAAGGTCGTGATCATTGGTGTCCATGGTTGGTTCCCTGTCAAGCTGATCCGAACGGTCATTGGAGAGCCTACAGGAACGAGCAAGAAGTTTTGCGATGAGATGCACCTGGCGCTCAAGGACTACCTCAAGGTGCACAAAGTGGAACTGGAGCCGGAGGATTGCGCGCTGATTCCGTTGGAGGGTGAGGGCAAGGTTCTGAACAGGGTCGAGATTCTGTACCAAAACCTTGTCAAGAACGAGAAGTGGAAGACTGCCCTTCATGAGGCGGACTTGGTCTTGGTCGCCACGCATTCACAAGGAACACCAACCAGTACTATGCTTGTCGCCAGGTTGATTGAGGAGGGGATGCTTCGAATTGCAGCGGAAGATCCAAAGATGCAGCGAATCGGTATTTTGGCGATGGCCGGAATCTCTCACGGACCCTTCCCCTTCTTGAAGGGCAACTTGATCGTGCGATGGTTTGAAGCCGAGGCCGCTCAAGAACTGTTCGAGTTCATGGACTCTGAGACCGAGATTGCCAAAAAGTACCGTGAGGCTCTACGGATCGTACTGACGTCAGGGGTCCGGTTCACCTGTGTTGCATCTTTGGAGGATCAAGTCGTCCCTCTGTACTCGGCGGTCATGACATCGATTCATCATCCCTCTATAGTGCGAGCTGTCTACATTGACGGAGCGACGTACCAGGACGACTTTTTGACCAATTTGATCTCGTTCTCGCTACGACTCCGGAATTCAGGTATGGATGACCATGGTGTGCTTGTGCACTTAAGCGAAGTCATTGCAGGATCATTCTACGGTGAAGGGCACTCTGCTGTCTACGAGGAGCGCGAAGTGTACCTGTAAGTCTCAATTGATCTCTCTCTTGTCACTTTGCCTTTTATTGTCTTTGTATACGCTTCTTCTTTACTAAAAGTATTACTTCGTCTTTATTATGACAGACTGGCCATTCGCTCACTGCTCGAGCCACCAAAGAGTCTGACACCAGAGACGGCTCGCAGCGAACCGATCCTTCACCCCTTCCGAGCCAAGCAGACACTCAACCCATTCTACCTCCCTTGGGGCATGCGCGGTGTCATGGACGAGATCGAGGCGCGAGGTGACGAAGAGCTCAACGAAGAGATGGATCGACTGAAGAAGCTGTACGACGAGTGGAACCCAGTTTCGAAGGGTATGAAGGAGATCAAGTTTAGACTGGAACCCGTTCGCTCGAGACTTTAGATGTAATTATGATAACATTGTACAAACTTGTAAAGTAAAGTGAGTAAACGCGTTGATACTCTTTACCTCATGTGCTGGTACCTGGTGGATTGAAAGGCGACTGAAGGAATTTCGTATTTTTTTCGGCGCAAGGTGAAACTTTTAGTGGCAAAGGCTTTTCATTTTATGTGAGCGCCACGGAAGAAAAAAAAAAGAAAGGTCTCCTTCCTTTCTACACACATTCACCTCCCTTTAAAAACGCCATGGACTTTGCCATCCCCCGTTCCTCCGCGACAATCTTGGTAAACAGCTAGAACACGCATTTCACAATGAAAAGGATCTTGTTGTCACTTCACAATCAACCATGGCGCACTCGTCTCTAATCAACTCCCGCTTTGCCTACCACTGTAACAGCTCGTAGGACACGCAGGTATCGGCAAGCGGCGACTGGCCTCATACATCCGGAAAGAGATCGTACCACCACCTACACCCACACCATCCTCCACAAATCCAGCAGCCAACAAGGACAGTAACAGCACAACCTCGCCATCAACACCAACAAACGTCACTCAGCCATTCAACAGATCCTCATCCTCAAACACAAAAGTCAGTTTCAGGACAGCAGAGAGCATACCAGATGGCATCAGACATGAGGATGGCTTGGTTTCGTTACTACCTGTTTTCAAGGCACTTCTTTCAACCATCGACAATAGCAGTAGCACAGTGACGGGATTGAATGACCAGGGAGCCGTTGATTCCGTGGCACGGTATGATCTGATCCTCTTGTTGATCACCATGGCGAATCGGGACTCATGGGACGACTGCAAGCGGGCGATTCTGAGACTGCACCCGGGCTGGTTCCTGGGCCGTGTTGCCATTGTCGTCACCGAAGGTTAGAACAAATACTCCTTTTGTTTGCATTGTAGCTTTGGTACTTTTTTTTCTGTCTGTACGGCTGAACTGCATTATTTAACACCAACTATTTTTAACTCATGAAAACAATAGTCGCGAATGTGTCAAAGTACGCGTTTGACAGGGACGAAATTCCAGACTTTGTGGAACAGTTTTACGACATCCCAACCGTGTGGACCAACCTCAACGTGTCCTCTGAGGCAACACTGGCTGCAGCTCAGATCGTCAGGCTACTGGAGATATCTTCAGGATACAGGCGAGAGGACAGAGACTACTCCTTCACAGGCCTCGCACAAACGACGGCAGCGTTTTCATCCACAAGAGTACAGTCCGCTTTGTTGTCACCGGCGAGTCTTTCTGGATTGTATTTGGGATCGAATCTTGGAAGTCGAGCCAATATCACGTCTTCGTTCGTCAGGGCACCGATAACCTATTATGGGCCAGTGACCGTCATGGAGATGGATGATGCTCAGGAGATGGTCGCGGAGGAGATGAGTTCCCAGGCAGATTTAAAACGTCTACGAGGAGATTTGGAGGATGAAGGCGCGTAGTTGTTCTTTCACACACCCTTGTGAAAATAAAGCAGCAAAACGGACGCGGCAGGCGAGGAGCTCCGGGACAGCGCACGTGACATGATACGAATGCGGCCTAATTTTGCCCGCACATAGCCCGAGTTGCCCGTTTGACACCACACAGGCAACAACTAAGAGGGACGACCAAAGACAAAGAGGAACCACCGGGGGCAGGCGCGACGGGATGATGTTTCGTTGTTAAAACAGCGTAACATCATTCTGCTTTAATTATTACCTTTTGCGTTGAGTCGTGCATTGATGAAAGAGGGTTCAATAGAGAAATATTTAGAAAGGCGAGGGCATGACCGGATTAAAACGACAGCGAAAGGGCGATTCCTGACCCCAGTTTTCGACCATCGAGTCAAATGATGAACCGTTTTTCTCCACAAACACCGCCCTATAAAACACTCGACAGCTTGCCGCTTTCTTTTTCTTTCTCCTTCTCCTTTTCTCTACAAATATCATTGAGCGCTTTCACAACCAAACAAACAACCAACCAGCCAAGCAAACAAACACGACAACAAACATGAACAACTTGCTCCACCTCAAGCATCAGGACCGCATTGGATGGATCGGTCTGGGGGAGATGGGTTACAACATGGCGAACAACCTCCAGAGATACCTGGCCTCGCTCCATTTGAAGCTGACTGTCTGGAACCGCACCCCCGCCAAGTGCCAAAGGATCCACCGTCACGGCGCCCATGTTGCCAAGAACCTCGAGGAGCTCGTCGCTACCAGCAACATCGTAAGTACCTTCACCTATCTTTTTCATGGGAGCGCGAAAGATCAGATAAGTAGGTAATGAAACCTGTATGTTGATACTGACACTGTCTGCCTTTTTGTTACATGCGATATAGATTTTCACGTCGCTGTCGAATGATGCGGCGGTCGAGGAGATCTACGCACAGTTGATCGAATATGCAGAGCAAGTCGAGCATTCGATCGTCTTTGTCGAGACCTCGACCATCTACCCCGCCCTGGCAACCCAACTCTCTCAAAAGATCCTCTCCCTCCCCCAAAAGCACTCTTACCTCCAATGCCCCGTCTTTGGCCGCCCCCCTGTTGCCAAGGCGGCCAAGTTGATCTGGGTCACCAGCGGAGGGGATGACAAAGTCATCAAAAAGATGTGCCTCTACTTCACCACCATGTCCAAATCCATCATCCACCTCAAGACCACTGACGTCGCCAAGGCCTGCAGTTTCAAACTCGTCGGAAACTTTTTTGTCGTCGGTTCGATAGAGGTCCTGGCCGAGGGGTTGACATTGGCCGAAAAGTCTGGTGTGCACCAGGAGGATGTTTTGAAGTTTATTGAGGCGTTCTTCCCGGCCCCTGCTTGGCTCGAGTATAGTCGCAAGATGGTTGATGGACATGTTTCGGGCAAAGATTCGGGATTCTCGGTGGATTTGGGGTTGAAGGATGTTGGGCATATGAGACAGTTGGCCAAGGAGAAGGATGCTTCGTTGCCGACTGCCGATCTTGCGTATGGCCATTTGAAGAGCGTGCAGGATAAGGGGTTGGGTGACCAGGACTGGACTAGTTTGATTAACCCTCATCGTGCTGCGTCCAAGTTGCCTTCGATGACTGGTGCTGCCAAGGTTGTTGAGCATGAGGAGGAACATGCTGCCGTTGCCAGTGCTGTCCGCGAGGAGTAGAATAGCTTCTATTTCATTCCATCCACTCGCTTTGATCACTTCTTTTTTTCTTTCAATTATTTACTTTCACACGCACATTTTATGCTAGTGCTTTCGGCCACGCATTGACAATATGAATAGATACCCCATTCAAAAATCTTTTCGCTCTTGAACTCTTGTCAATCGCATACGCAAAAAAAAGGGTACAGGCACTTCCTCCTTGTACGGGAGTGTTTTTAGTTTGCCATGATCTCCCTCGTCTTTCCGGTTTCCCCACACTTGCTTCCCCGCAAAGACGTGTGCGGTGTGCGAACCAAAAAAAAAAGTTCATTATTAGACCCAAAAGCTTGATAGTAACAACCTATCTAGCGGACTAACGGTCTATCCGCTCGCGCGCTCTCAGGTCTCGCGTCGCTCTTCCCTCCCCTCGCTCGCTCCCTCCTTTTCCCTTTCCTCCCACAACAATGACCGTGTGATACCTTGTACAGTACATGTTCATAACAAAAAAAACAAGGTTCACAGAACCCTGGCAAGAGCGGGGAGTAAAAATTCGTACGTGCGGCGAAGCATCACTCTCTCTTGTACCTCTTTTTCATCCGGATATTTATCCATCACAATCTTACGAACAAACAGCACCCCTCCCTTCTCTTCTTTTGCAGTGTGCGAGGGAGAGTGAGGGAGAAAAAGGCGTTGGTTATTGTGTTGTTTGTTATCGCTTCATCCAAACTTAACAGTTTTGAATGGAAAAGGGGTTTCACACTAGTACACGAAATATACCGACGGGGTATTTTCAATATCCTTCACGTAAGTCTTTGTGCAGTTGGAATGATAGTGTGGGATCTTTTTTATATCCCCAAGCGTCTGGTTTTATGGTAGCTCTTGGTACTTGCCTATGTTATAATCTATACCTGTATATGAACGAACAAAAGGCCTAGGTTTCGTATCTATCTTATCGTCTCTGCTTGCGAGATACGCAGATGTATACAAACCCTTTTTTTGTTTTCTTGGTGGGGAGGTTGTGTATATGTCTATGCAATTGATGAAGCTTCCTAGGCACATTTCTTTTTTCAAGGGTCCGGCGACAGGAAAATACGGCTTTTGATGATGCTACAACACCAGCACAATGAAAAAATATGAAAGAAGATTTAATTCAGGGTCCTTTTGGCTCTTAATCATTTCAAATGGGCGCAGGCTTCACCAAACAAGATGGCATCACGTATGTGAGTGAAGAGGTAGATGAATTCGAGACAGTCATTAATTACCATTTACGCTCATCTTGACGAATTATCCTTTAAATGAAGACAATAATGAAGGCACCCCTGAACGAGGAAGGGGTGTGAGTGAAGGTGAGTAAGTGACGGTCACACAGGGGTCCCATGAAAAAAAAACGTGCCAAAAAGGGGAGGATTAGCTTCAGGGGGAAAAAAAGAGGGACGGAAGAACTACGAGAAAGAACAAGAGATAGCGTGAGCTAATCAGATTCGGGGGTTGTGTTTCTTGTCTCTGTCGGACATCAGGGGCAGGGGTAAGAATTGATTAAAAAGGAAGGAGGTCTGGCCCAGGGGCACTTTGGGCTCTCCACTGATTGGCCCGATGTGAAACTTTAAAGAATTTTTGTTGATGGTTGTTGATGAAATAAGAGAATGATTCATTTACGATAAATTAATTGTAACCTTTTTTTTGGTTTTGGTGGCGGATCTGTTTGCCATGTGTCCAGCTGGTTGAACAGAACAAACAAGTCGGTGAGGGGCTACCTCACTAAGGGCGCTGAGTTGTTGCCTGCTAGGGGACTGAAAAGGAAAAAAGGAGCGGGGACACAGGCCCCGGCTCACAATTGTTCTATGCGAGGGTCCTCTCTGCTCTCAATTCACACTTTTTCTCCATGCTACTGCGACGGAGTTTGCTGCCATTCAATTATCTTTCTTGAATGAGCAAAAAAAAGCTGGCTCTGAACACTTCAAGCTCGAAGACAAACAAGTGAAAAAAAAATGTATAAAAGGTAGCCATCAGTTCCTCCAAAGAAGTGTTCATCATCCTCTCTTACACAGCCAAGCAACTCAAGCAACTCTCCAATCTTCACTTCACACATTCTCGCTCTTCTCTCTATCTCTCTTACATCACCTTTTCTTTTCAATATGACTGTTATGTACAAGTTCGTTCTCCTCGCCTCGGTCGCTCTTGCCGTCTCAGCCGCCCCTATCAGCACCCCCGCCCGCCACTCGACCGCCGTCGACCTCAGCATTGCCAGCCTTGCCCAGGCCCCCACCTTCTCCTCCAACTTTGTCGCCCGCGCCGATAAGGGTCACGAGGGTCACGAGGGTCACGAAGGCCATAAGGGTCACGAAGGCCATAAGGGTCACGCAGCTGATGGCAGCTCTGCTTCCCCTGCTGCCACCCCTACCGAGGACGGCGACAACGATAACAGCTCAGCCACCCCTAGCCCCACCCATACCAAGGGCGGTCACAACGATACCAGCTCAGTCACCCCTAGTCCCTCTCCCACCAAGGAGGCTGGCTCCGGCGACGGCAACAACGATGACAACTCTGTTTCCACCGAGGCTAGCGGCGGCGGCGACTTCTCTGGCCGCGGTACTTGGTTCACCGACTCCACCGGTTCGTGCGAGGTCCCCTTCGACACCAACGACCTGATCGTCGCCATGAACGCGGACCAGATGGACGGGTCCTCCCAGTGCGGCAAGTCCGTCAAGATCTCTTACGGCGGCAAGACCGTCACCGCCAAGGTTGTCGATACCTGCCCCTCCCAGTTCTGCTCCTCGGGTGCTTTGGATCTCTCTCAGGCCGCCTTCAAGCAGCTGGCCCCTCTTAGCGTTGGTGTTATTAACATCAAGTGGCAGTTTGCTTAAATGTGCAAAAGGCGTAGGGCGGCGGCGATGTGAGCTGGTATCATGAGCTGCTTCCTTTTTTTGTATCTTTTCTTTGTAGTATATCTGTATCTTCATTACTTTTTCACCATCACTCGACCTGAACATAGTTACCTTCCCTTCACATCCCATTCATCGTCATCATCATCATCATCATCATCATTGCTCATAACACACACGCATCAGAGATGCTGTTCTTGTTCATAGAATAAAAACGATTCGCGGTTATATTATCTATTTTACTCAGCTGTTGCACCATTCATCGAAACGTCTCTACACTACCACATTGCCATTTAGTTTATAAGTATGATAAATCCTAGTTATCTTCATTTTTTTTCTGTCTAGAATGTTGTGATGAGAGGGTGCGAAAAGAAGGAGAATAGGAAACTAATCTGTGTTGTACAATGGGATGAGGCTAAGAAAAACATCTGGAAAGGAAAGGTGGAGGTCTCGCTCTGGTTAAAAGAAGGACTATCAAACAAAGGTCTTGCAGGAGATAGGACTACGACCCGCAACCTGTGCCGCGGCGGCGGTAGCAGCAGCGTCAAGCTTCGCGCTCTTTTGTTCCAGGTCATGGAGGGTCACATCTGAAGTATCAGCCGCGGCCGATCTTGCTGTCGCCATGGGGGTCTTGGAGGTCGTGTGATCGAGCGCAAGGTCTCCTGACAAGAAGTGTTGTGGGAAGTGTGCCTGGTGCTCGTTCAGAGAGTACAAGCTGCTGTAACTTGATGAGCAAGTGGACAGGACAGGAGAGATTGACATATCTTGCTCGGCCATCATCGAGGCTGAAAAGCTGGCTGCAGACCCATTCACCGGCATGATCTGGTTGTGGTAGTTGTGCAAGTGATGATAATGGTGATGATGCTGCTGCTTGACCGATGGGATCGGGATGTTCATTGAAGCGCGGAATTCGGGCGAGACTGGTACTGGGAGGTCTGCACCATAGATGGCTTCTGGGCTTGGCCAGGCAGAGGCAGGAACTGGAGCTCCAACGCCCCATTGGTATGACGTTGGGGCGCAGTCGTCACCATTGGCCGTGGCCGCGACATCATCAGGAATGGGCAAGGGAGTTCCGGTGATCGAGGGGCTCATGTGTGGCCAGTTCATGGACAAGGCAGTTGGCCGGCCGGGGTCTTGGAGGGCAAAGTAGTCAAAGGCAGGCAAGTTAACCAGATGGGTCATCTCTTGACTGAGGGGCATGGGGGACGACTGAGACCGACCATGGAAGCTTGAGGGAGTCATCGCAGGCATTGTAAATTGGTACGGTGTTGCAGGCGTGGGAGGGGTCCACTGCCAGGTCGTTGGGACGACGGGGTCAAAGAGCAACGAACTGGCCGAGAACCCTGACGGCGACAAGGACGACGTACTCGAGACACCTCCAAACTGAGGCAAGAGGTGAGGGAAGCCAAAGTTGAGCGAAGGGAACATGTCAGGGTCGAGGGGACCGGGAGCGGCATGACAATACGAGTCTTGCGTGGTTGATGTGGATGGCCTTGTGCGTAAAGGAGCGGCTGCGTGTCGGGGCTTGGGCTTCTGAGCATCTGACCGGTTAGACTGGCTGTGATGAAAGCAGTAGTCCTTGACGTCACCTGGTCTTGCCAAGTGGGCTGAAGCCTGGGTATTATTTTTTGCGGTGGTTGTGGTATACGGAAACGCGCTTGAGTGAGAGACACCACGTCCTAGGGAGGAGTGCATCGATGGCATGGGCGTAGGCAGATATGACGATGACAACTGAGGTGAAATGGAAAGAGGAAAATGAGCAGGAGCCAAGGCGGACAGGGGCGAAGGTTTGTATGCGCGAGGCTTTGGAGAATCAGGCGTGGTTTTCAATGGGGCACTGGCAGCGGCACGCATGGTTTTGGCCTTCCGTCCGGTGCCGCGCTTGGCTGGCGTGAACTTGTAATAGGGGAACATGAGGGCGTGCTCCTTCTCTGCGGCCTTGGCCAGCTTGAAGTAGTGAGCTTTCCGTTCTGGAGGCTCATTAGCCCATTGTTCGCCCAGAATCTTAGAGAGCTCTGCGGCAGTGATCTTTGAATAGCCTGCCGAGTGCTCTCTCCTGTAAATGATGAAAGCGTTTGGGGGTCGAGGCACCTTCTCTTTCTTGGGGATAGTGTTGTGGATGATGGTGGAAGTGGAGGGTATGCTGTAGGTAGACAACTCGATCGTTTCCAGTTTGATAGGGTGATGGTAAGGGTCTGTTGATTCTAGGTAGGAGGAGGAGGAGGAGGAGGAGGAGGTCTGGGTTGGTTTGGGAGTTGGCGTGAGGGGAAGACTTGAAGTGGATGAGCCGAGTGTTGTGAGGTCGAACGATGAATAGTCTGAATTTGTTGCTGCGGAGGAGAGGGAGGATGAGCTGTGGTTGGCGGGGTTGAGCGCCATCCCCTGAGAAGCGAGGTATACCATTTTTTGAATTGTGTGAGGTTGAATGAGATGTGGAGGGAAGGAGCAATGGAGTGTTGTGGAGGAGAAGAGGGAGAGAAGACGTTGTCGTTGGCTGGTTGGCTTAGGAGGGAAATAGGTGAAGGGTGGACTTGAGAGTGGCGTTGTGGTGAGGTTGAGAGTGAGAATGTAGGTGAATGTGAGGAAGGGTTGAGGGAATAGAAAAAAGGGAGGATTGGGAGTATATGGACAGAGAGATGAGAGGACGGGAGGTGTTGATACAAGGCTATGGTACGTGGAAGTAGATAATGAACAAGTCAAGACAAGAAATAAAAGACAGCAAGGACAGAGAAGAGAATAGAAAAGAACAGATAGTAAGTACAAGAAGAAAATGCTAGCGTGGTAAGGAAAGTTGAAGAAGTAAAGGTTGAGAGGTACGAACAAAAAGAGAGGCACTTTTGGTGGGAATTGACCATAGTCTTATAGTCGAAGGACAGACGGACAAGCTAAAGGGCAGAGAAGGAACTAAAGAGTGAGAAAGAAAGAACAGAGAATGAGAGGAGACTAAGAGAACAGCGACGAGAGAGCCGTCGCCATGGGCATGGTGAGGGGGTGATCTCGACGCTATGCATGAATGTATAATAAATTGTAAATTAAAATACATGATTGAATATGAATCTGTGCTTTTTTTTTTTGCCGCCATGGCAAAGACACCACGGACAGCAGAATTACGGGTAGAGATCCTTCTTAACTCAATCTCAACACTCAATTCAATCGTTCACTCATTCTAAACAACGCATTGTTTGTTCATTCCAACAGTACTGATCCCTCCCTCTTCGATTGCAAGAGTTGCAAAAAAAAAGAGAGAGGGAGAGGGGAAAAAATGTGCGTGAGCAACCAGAGCACAAAAAGTAGCCACAGCAAAACCGGTAAATTGCAACACGTTTAGGATGGAAACAGCAAGAAGAGACGACAGCTCGTGCCCAGATGGCCATCCCAGATTCTCTTTTCTTTCTGTAATTGGACATTCACCTGAGCATGTTGCACACACGACAACCAAAAATCTACCGATAGAAACGGAAGGGGATAGAGCAGAGGAGAACAAAGAAGAGAGAAAGAGGACACGTCCTACTCAAGTCGCACCTATCAACACCGAAAAGTTTGTTTACACCCTGGCAGAATACAGTAATTTTCGCCTTCTTGATCTTGCAGTTTTGCCTCTTGAGTTGAGCAAAGAACCATACCACGTCGTTATTATTTTTATTCCAACCAAGACGATGCGTCAAATATAGAGGCGAATTGGTCCTCAGACAGACCAATCCCTGTCCATGAATATGAAAAAGAAGGAGTAGTACCACCCCTCTTCTTCTAAAAGATAGCTTCGTTATTACAATGCAACAGCTTTAGAATAGGGCGAATGAGCAAAAGAATCAAACGGAGCAAGACTATTCAAACGCAGCGATCTGCTAAATATTGTTCTTGGTCAATTTTCATTATTTCCCCTTGTTTTCCTATGCTCTCTTTTTTCTCACCGCAAGGGTGAAGAAGGAAGCTGGACCGAGAAGAAAATAGAAAACAGAAAAAATAGGATTAGAAGTGGCAGAACATTTGTCTACATGCCCATGATGCCAGTGGTGATAGGGCTAACAATGAGATTGAGAGCGGGAGAAAAGAAAAGAGAAGGAACAGGGATAGAGAGAGAATCCTCTTCAACCATGGCCCCTCTTGTCCGAAACGAATATTGAAGGGCTCACTTGCCCCCTTTCTCATTTCAACGGCAATCAAGTCATCTGTCGGTTTGTATATCTATTTCCGATGCATTGGCCCCGTAGAAATATGTGTAGGGCGGATCCCTGTATCGTTAGGATTGGAGGCAAGCCAGGCATTTCGAAGTGAGCACCTTTTGTTTTTTATTTCTGTTCGCTGTGTCTTCTTTCCTCCTGGCTCAAACGTCCTTGTGACATACCATGCCTTGCCTCCAAAAGGCATGGCATATTGAGAATGGAATAGAAGAGAATATGCATCCTCCAGTTTGTTAATTTGTTGACCCTTCTTTTCGCCTCTGAGTTCGATGGCCACTCCCTTCACTAGCGTGGAGAGCACTCTTCCTTTTTCTGTTCTCCTTCTTCTCCACTCCCTCGCACTCTTACCCCGGACTTCGACGATGCCTTTTCCCTCCAAAAATAACGACGTACCCTGCCCCTATTTCGGCCCTGAGGGCAACCCCAATATCGTCTATTAGACCTTTAAAACCCGTCTCCTGTATCCAGGGGACAATATTGAACTTCACGGGCTCACAATATGGAGGCAATAAGAAAGGGGGTTCAGAAGAAGCAACCATAGAAGAGGCGCGCGTAAAGAGTTTCGCGCATGAGCCAACAAAAAAAACAAAACTGATGGACAGGCCAACCAGCAAACAAAAGCAACGAAGAAAAGAAACGAACGGACGAATGACTTAGAGAAGGCGAAGGATAAGAGGCACAGTGAGTCGCGTACAAGATAAAAATACCACCATTCTTTCGTATGACTGAGCGGTGAAGAGAAAATAGGGGTGCCTTCCTACTGACCGTGATCAGAACAAATGAACCTAAGTATAGTAAATGCTTTTTCATTCATTGTTATTTTTTCAGATACCCAGGGATCTCGCCTTCAGAGGCCCATGGGTCGCATGTCGTTGTTGTTTTGTTCCCATTTCTTGGGAGATGAAAAAAAGCACTGGGCCTCCCTGTACAGCTGTTCCATCCTCCCCCACAAGTCCCTGAGCATATCTATGTCCCTCGTTCTCCACCATACACATGTTGCGTGTTGTAGAATGTTATTTGTTAGCTTTGTTGTGTTGTTATTTACTTGTTGCTATTGAATTGGAACCCTGTTAAGCCTTGAAGCATGTGTACATGTTTACCATGTACCTCTTGTGGAAAATATCGTGTATTGCATGCAGGCCATGCACCGCACCATAGCATTGTTTCAGTGATAGATATTGAGAGGACCAGGGTTTGTCAGATCAGACGTTTTTTTGCACTAATGACGTGTTTGAAAATGGAAAAGTCCCCTTCCCCTATACTTTAGCACAAACAGCATGTATTTTTTGTGTGTGTATGTGTGAATGGCTATGAGTATGTGAATAGTGAGGATGTCTTCTACAGTTGGATGTATTTTTTGGTGAAACTTGTAAGCGCTCCAAAACAAAACAAATACGAATCAGAGGGCAAAAAAAAGCAGATTGGGATTCATTGGAAAAAAGGACCATCAGACGAAGATAGGGACACAGCATGTTGTTTACAATGACAGGGGACTGTAAGAAAGAAAAAAAAGTTAGGAGAAGAGAGAGAGGCGTAAAAAAATATATGTCCAGCTTTAATTTTTGGGCCGAGGGTGGATGCATTGTTCGCCGGGTCGTCGCCACCAGAGTTTTCAATCCAAGGCAAGGTAAGGGAAGTCATGGGCTTTGTTTTGAGCAAACTATGCAACCATCCCTCAAGGTTCATCTCTCCGTGACCAGAACAGAGGAGGCCAAGGCATCTCTCTCAGTCCACTTTGTCTCTTTATCATTTAGACACTAGCACTAAACGTCGAAAGCAGCACTACCATCACTTTCTGTTGGCACGTTTTCCACTGCTCGAAAGCTATTTTGGCGAAGGTAAAAAGTATTGGGTCCACGTTTGCCCCTGAGGCGAACGAACCATGTGAACCATATTCCGACTCGCATGCTCTCCTTCTTTTGCACGGCTTCTTTCTCGTCGCAGTCTCGTTCATCTCTCTTTTTGTATATGGCAAACAATGTTCCATCGAAGGTTTGCTGGTTTTTTTTTGGCCACTCTTAGTATCCACAGATCACACCATGAATCATGTAGCAAAACGAATGGCAAACAACAAGCCCAGATAAATGAAAAAACGATAAAGTCGACAACAACACGACGACAACGGACACAACTCAATTGATAAGCACACGCACTCAATGCATCTGCCTGTTGTGTGCCCTTTTCATTCTCAGTGGGTAAACAAACAAACACGACATGACAGGCTAAAGGAAGACCTCCTCTGCTCTGGAACGCCCATTGCATTCTGACCCAATGAAAGTCCGTCCTCTTTGCTGTCCTAATCGGGAACTACCACCAATTTGGGCAGCTGTGTAACCATCCTCGGTTTTGTATTTGCATGTATATGGGTGCGTTGGCAAGTTGGGGGGTTGATGCATTGGTAACATTGCACATCATTTTTTGGCATGGACATGCAGTGCGGATCAATTTCATTGCCCGCTCACACCTTTCCGTCCAGAAAGAGTAGGATAAGGGGTAGAAAGAGAGTTAAGACCTCAGACCTGGGTCCTGAACTTTCTCTCTTTGAAGGACTCTTTGACCTCGTCGTTGTCTGTGTTTTTTTTAGGTACACAGAAAGTAGATGAGGACGAGCCTCCCCATGCGTGTGTTTATGTGTTTCTTTCAAACGATCTACCCTTTTTGCTTTGCGCGTTTCTCTGGCTTGGCTTTTCATCTGTGTCCTCTTTAATCCAGCTCAATATTTTCCTTCGTCTTGCACAGATGGCCAGCGCCGTTTCGGATAACAAACTCAAGTTGCCTACAATTGATACGAATCTACTCCGCTGGGCGTCAAGGTCTCCTTGTTGCCGTGAGTCGGTGGACGTGATTTCCTGTGCTGTGATTCCTGTTGTTCGTTCGATTCAAACACGTTTTGATTGGTACTCTCCTTTCTCTCTCTCTCTTCACTCTTCTTCCCTCTCCCAACTCGTCGTTATGCCGCTCTTTATATCTATCCCTATCAAAAGTCGGTTTTCATATGGTCAGATAGCGCATTTCGAGAGCACTTTCAACATCATTCAAAAAAAGAAATCTTAGTGCTGTGCAGATTTTTGTAATATTTCGCCTATTCTCCTTCTCCAGCTTGTTTTTCGTTAGATCTTTCTCAATTACCGGCGGTATCAGCGGTAGAGATGGCCTGGCTCAATTCCAAAAAAAAATAAAAAAATAAAAAAAAGCGATTCATCTGCTTCGCCGATCAATTTAGCGCGGCAAAAGAAAACAAATGCGACTGGAAAAGATATTATAAGGCGTTGCGCAAATGGTCAGAGAAGAATGGCAATAAAGAGGAAAAGGAGTGAGCGGGATGGGCCACGCCGTTAGTTCTAGACCTCTTGGAGTCTTGTATGATCCGATGGGCCTACCGATTCATGCAAAAAAAATTGGCAAGAAAACAAGAAAACGGACAAACAAAACATTCAAAAGTCAAACCATAAACAAAGACCGACCTGTGCTACGCCCCTCTGTCACTTTTTCTCCCTCCCTTTTTCGTGTGCTCTCTCGCCCAAGAGAAAAAACCCTCAACGGAATAGAACAAAGTGAACGCGATAGAAACCAAAACAACAACAACAACAACAACAACAACAACAACAACAACAACAACAACAACAACAACAACCAACCAACTGAGTAACAAACCAACAAACCAAACAACAAACCACTGTGCACAAACAGCATCCACCATGCGCACTCCAATAGGTTGATATCGTTATTTGATTCCAACCCCCAAATCGATTCTCTTAGTATCTGAATGTGCAAAAACAGAAATACCGAAAACGAACACCAAAGAGAAAGGGCTTATGGTGAGCATTGAGGATAGGTATGGTAGGCTAGGTTTCTTGTACCCAAACAGGCGTGACCCATTCCTCTCTGTCTCTCGCTCTCTCTCTGTCTCTTTCTTTTTCTTTTTTTTCTACTATCCTATTTCCCCTCTCTTTACATTTGACTTCTCTCTTCTTCTTCCTCCTTGTCCGGTTTTCGTCTTATTCATGTTCAGTGTCTTGCGCGTCTCACTTTTCTGTCTCTCCTTTCCTCCTTTGCGCCAGTTCAGTTTCTCCAGAGAGTACAAGGGCAGTCAGCATATAAGTCACTACAACCATCAGCACAGACCCCCCCCACACACGCACACACACACGTCGCTTATTGATAAAACATCCCACAGAATAAAGCGAATCTGTAGAATGACCTGAGCGGTGCCATCGGACAAAACTCTTACGCCTCTCAAAACAACACCTGAAATTCTGACGTAGTTTTGCGTTTACTGTGTGTTGGTTGTATATCGAAACAAATGTTATGTCGCCTCGCTGTGCTACATTAATAGTCATCGTCGGTTCCTTCGTCAGACCCATAGTCGCGTCCAAAGATGGACTTCTTCTTTAGCTTGGACGGGTCGACTTTTTTATCATCCTCAATCACGCCAGCAGTCTTGTACCGCAACTCTAGCACCGCCGTCGAAAAGTTGTCCGTGTTGCCCAGCTCCTCGAATCCAATCAGCCTAAAATAGATAAAACAATTGAAAGAAAACAGAATGAGTACGAAGTTGTTGCTTTCCCTTCGCCTTCTCTCTCTCTCTCTCTCTCTCTCTCTCTCTCTCTCTCTCTCTCTCTTCCCTCTCCTCCTTCCTCTCCCTTCCTGCTCTTCTATTTCTGCATCTCTCCACAACATGTGGTTCCTGTGGTCAAATAATCGACCTCCCTCATTTAATTTCCAATTCATTTCCCCTGCCTGTTCCATCTGTCCTGTCCTGACTTGTCCATGAGGTATCTGTGCTAATTAACAATAACAACTCGATTATCTTACCTGTCGACTGCAATTCCATCAACGAATGAGATGACACAGGGCAAGATCTTGACCTGAAGCTTTTCCACCAGGAAGGGGGCGTCCTCGACCTTGATCTTCACAAACTTTGTCTTGAAGTGCTTCTTTGCCAAGGTCTATATGAAATGTATGAGTCCATACCAGAGAGTAATATTGTTGGTTAGAGGAAACTGATTGTGCCGACTATTTTTAACCGACTTTGATGACTCCAATAACTTCGCCCCCATTTCAATAGGTTGTTATATCCAATAATTGTCGCCATTGATAGATGGTTGTATCCAACCATTGGCGCTTTTGAATAGTCCTGTATCCAAACTATTATCACCTTTGATACGTGGTTGTGCACACCCAAGGTCGCGTAGTCTCTTTTTTTTCCTTCCTGATCATAACTCCTATTGCCACCTAACAAAAATGGCACGCGTTCACGTTACCTCGAGATGCTTATCGACAATCAAGCAACGTCTAAAATCCGAGTGATAAAAGTGCACGACACAGTGCTTGGTCTTGGTCGTAATATCCATGACCTCCTTCTCGTCCGTAATATCCTTGTACACGCCACTCTGACTCTCCATCATTATCTTTCTCTTCTCCACCCTACATTTGCAGATGAACGAACGAAAAGAAGGAAGTTGTTAATTGGAACTCTCTCTCATACACATACTCACATTTTACCGAGCGATAAAGAGTACTAACGACAGGTGAGACTTACTCTCCTTTCAACTCCTCCATTCGCTGCTCACGGAAGCTGGCCATATGGTAGTCATCATTCTCGAGCTCCTCAAACAACTCGTCATCGTCCAGATCTGCCTCATCTCCGCCGTCGTCCTTGTCGATGGTATCGTCATCAACGTAACGACTGCTCTTGATGTAAGTGCTGTTGGTGCTGGTGTTGGTGGTGGGGTTTTGGTGACTGCTGCTCTTCTCCGATCCTGCTCCTTTGCTACAAGTCAATGGTATGAGCGATAAATGCGCGGGTGAGTATGAGCTATGAGGACTAAGATCAGCGTATGTATAGATCCAGCAAACATAGTTCAACATGCTAAGAGTTGTCCTTTTCCCCCCCAAGCCTTGTCGGGCCTGAGAAGGAAGACGAGACAAGGGCGAGTTGGAGATGGTGAGACTTTGCTCATGCAACGTTTTGAAGGCCATGTACCTTGGGACAGGCCCTGTTCCTGATGGCGCCCCTCCGGTATGTCCTGCTGCTCCTGCTCCTGGTGCTGCTGCTGCTGCTGTGTTCATGTCTGCCATTGGGTTCTGTGTTGCTTTGAGATGTTAATGATGGTAGATGGGAATATTTCTTTTCATCTAGCCTTTCTCCCCTTCTCGTTTGTTCGTTCCCTTGTCTAGTCGGATTTTTGCCAAGCCACTCAACTCCATTCAGTTCTGCAGCGCGTTCAAGAAATAAGCTCATCCGACGCGTATACTCCTCATCAGCCATGAAATATATTTTTTTGTATTTTATTTCAAAAGAGGTATCTAGGTTGTTGTTTTATGAGTGTTTTGTTTTTTTTGTTTCTTTTGTGGATAGAGGTGGTGAAAGAGAGAGGGGATATCGAAATGTAACAAAGAAAGACAGGACAAGGCGAAATAACAAGAGCAGGTATGTAGGTGATAGATGCGCCAACAAATGATACTACAGAACAAAGAAAGAAAAAAAAAAAAAAAGACAACTCGCGAGAGATATAGAACAAAGTCTCTCAAACAGAAGGGAAGGGGGGAAACAAGACATAAACGGGAAAAACGGGAAAAACGGGATCGAGGCTCTTCTCAATCTCTCAGTTTGACCAATTGTGCACATGGCTTTGTTGAGATCCCCCCTAGACAAAGAAAAAAAAGCGAGAGAGAGGAGAGAGAGAGGAGAGAGAGAGAGAGAGAGGGAAAGAGGGAGAGAAGGAGAGAGGAGAGAGACAAGAAAACCGCACATTCATTTCGGAGGAAAAAAATAGAGGAAAAAGGGGGGCGAACAAGGGGCGGGGGATAAAAATGAAATCGTGAAATGTGATACGATTGAACGCACAACGGTTGAAAAGGAGGGGGAGAACGAAAGAAAAGAAAGAGGGAGAAAGAGATGGAGAGGAAAAGGCAGAGATTGCTTTAGTCAAAGTCGAGCAACTCTCGGCTGCGGTCGTTCATAATCTCCATCAGACTGAGTACGCTTGTGAGGAGGAGGATCTGGAGACCGTTCTTGTCGAGGACTGTTGCAGTTGATCCATTTGAGATCGTCAGCTTGTCCGAGGCACCGGTATGGCTGCTGGCCAGCCTGGCAACCTTTGACACAGGACCGGCCCCCGCTTGGTGGCAGACAAGGACATCCGAGCCTGGAGCAGCATGGATTCCGTGACCACCGGGAGCAGTCCACTGGTAGATACGTCCCTCAAACTCAAAAGCCCAGCAGATGTTGGTGTTTCCCTGTGCCTCAATATAGCGAGGATCTGAGCGCTCATCGTCTTCATCCCCGGGCTGGTAGATGACCGGCATTTTGGCTCCGTTGGCACCGTTCTTCTCGACGGCCTTCTTGAAGGCAACCATGTCTCGGAACTGGACGTTGATATCCTTGGAATCGGTTGTCAGGTAGAGATCGAGGAGATGCTCACCCTTGTTCTTGACCTTGCAGACCTGGTTGCCCTTGAGGTCCTTGATCGTCATGTTACGGTTGACTGCATCCGATTTGGACTGGAAGGTATAGTGTTCCTTCTTGTTATCGGACTGGCACTTGATCTTGGGCGACAAAAGTCCCACGGCGGTAAGTGTGAAGGATGAGGACGGGTTCATGGCGGGAATAAATTGAGCGGGTTCAGAGCGGTTACTGAGGAGGGCTGGAGCTGGTCGAGCAAGGGACATAGGCACCGGGATGGGGATAGGTTTTTGAAAGAGGAATTGACGAAGGATTTGTGACTTGGATGTTGAAGTGGAAGTGGGTATAGCGAGAGGATGGGGATATATCTAAAAAGGTGAAGAAAGAGACGAAGCATAAAAGGAGGAAGGAGGATTAATTCGTGTTCATAAATAGTAGAATGACAGTGCTCATCCACCATTGAACAAATTCCTCTCTCTCTCACTCTGTCTTTTCTTTCTCGGTCGAGCAAGGAAGGGTTTGAGAGAGACGGAGGGATGGAGAGAGAAATACGGAGTATGACTGGGTCGGATAGGGTGAGAGAAAAGAAAAATGGACCATGCAATAACAAAAAATAAGACCCCAGCCAGGCACAATAATTAGAAAATTACGATAGGTAACAACAAATGATACCCATGCGTAGCTGGGTTATTTTTACATTGTTGTTGTTGAAAGGAGACAACTGGGGTGCTGTGAAAAAAAACGACATTTTTGCAGTCGGGGCAAGGGCACTATTTATGAATGTTGACGCGTTTGAGAAGGGGAGAGATCTGAGAGCTGAGGATGGATCTGGTCTGACTTGGTTGTCAGTGTATGTTGTCAAAGGAAGGGCACGCACACACACAAATGCAAACAAGTAAAAAATGAGGAGAGAGTGGGAGAGAGAAATAGAACAAAGGTTGTAAGGGAAAGGCAGGAAGGCGCGAAAAAAGGAGGGAAGAGAAGAGGAACAAGGAGGAGTAAAGAAGAAAGACAAAGAAAAAGCAAGACACGAAAAAGGCTTATATTTTCAAGAATCAAAGAAGGGCAATATAAAAGGAAAAGGGAAGGACTGGGTGAACTGTGCTTTTATTCACTGTCGTGAATAGAACGACCAACGGCAAAACAATGAACAATGAACAAGCATCAAAAAAACCTCCGTGCAAAAGCACCCTTTTTTGGGATGCACTTAATGTCATTCGTCGAGCTCCCCAAACGACCCCGTAAAAATACAATACCGTCGAGTAACGTCGAGGCAAAAAACAACAAAAAACAAAGAGGTTGCGTATCATGTTGTTCCTCTTATTAGTATTGAGCACGAAGAGGAGGAGGGGTATCAACAAACAGAACAAAATAACGATAAATAAAGGCGGTAAAGTTGAGGATGGCCCACTTCTTCTTCCTCTCCTTCTTCTTCCAACAGTTCGAGGGATGAAGGGAGGAAAGGAGAACACATTTTTTTACCTGCCTGGGGTGAAGGGTCGAATTAGCACGTTCGGGATCCTTTCCAACATCCCCTCCCCCCACCCCCCTCTTCTTGTATCTTTTTGTTTTTCGCTCTCTTTGCCTGTAACCCAACTAGACAGCCCCGTTGGTTCCGCTAGTCGGCGTTGCATGTTGCAGTACCTTTTATTGATCTCTCAAACACGCGCACGTTATCCTCTCACACATATCAACTCCTTGCCATGCTATACCACACCCAGTCCATGTCGCCATGCATTAACCCATTTTTTTCTGACACCCCTCGTTCGATATGTTGGTACTGCTACAGGAAGAAACACTCCTTTTTTGGAAGGGAAAATTCGTTCGGAGGGACCACAGCAGTGGAGAGAACAGACAGAGAGAGCTGGAGGCCAATTGATAGGGGGATGACAAGGACGGGAGGAGGGAGGGGTGGTTGAACAGGGTTGGGTGAGGTCACCAGCCGACAGAGTAGAAAGAGTGGGGGAAAAATGGAGAAGGAAGGCCGAATGAAAGGTGAGACCTGACGCGCTTGTTGGCGTGATATTATTTTGTTACACTTACGACGATCGAAGGCTGCGTAGATCGGACGGAGGGAGTATAATTGAGTGTATGAGTGTGTGGGCGGGGTATTGCTGGAGACAGAAGGAGAGTGGAGGGTTAATGCTGCTGCTCCTTGACGGAGATAAGGACGAAGAGGAGAGAGAGAGAAAGAAGAAGGAGGGCGCGGAAGAAGAAGTAAAAAAAAGTGGAGTATCGAAGGGAATATATTTGTTTTGTTTGTGTTCGTTGTGAGAATGGAGAGAAGAAGAAAGGGGGATTGAGGAAAAATCCTCGAGTATAAATGTGTTTTCGCTTCCCTTCCTTCTTTGCTTTAAGGTGCGGTCGCGTCCAGAGTGAGAGAGCATGCCTCATTTCGGATGGCAGGAAAGGGGTTGGGATAGGACTGGGTTGAACAGCATGAACAACGCAATAATACGATTGAATTGATGTGGGGAGAATATACTCTTTTCTCTTATGGCTCGACCGTAGATGGGGAGGACAGACGAAGGAACGAACAAATGACTTGACGGAAAGGTACCTAAAGGCGAGAGCAACTCATACATATTTCACTGCCGTATTGTATTGTCAAAAAAAGAGAGGCAGCGACGACAGACAGCATCCCATATTTGAGCCGCAGGACAATTGAGAGCAAAGGAGGCAAAAAAAATGGACTGTGCAGGACTATAACAACAGACAGAAAATGGGTAATGAACGAGCGAGCAGAGAGACTTGGGGAGTGGAAAAAGGAGAGCAATGCAACAACCAAAAAAAAAAAAGGGATGGCCAAACAACGGACGAGCGTGGCGATTCAATCGAGATCTATATAATTTAGTTCTCGGCCGTCCCTCTAGTCCTACTCCCACTCTCCACCACCACCGATACCATTGGCAATGCCCAACAATGCATTATCCCAGCTGTTGTTTGTTGTGTTTGTTTTCTTTTATTCCGGGGTGGCAAGATCCTGCATGCTGGGGTTTGTGTCCTTTTTTTTGCCTGTGTTCACCAGCAGGCTCCCATTTGTGTCTCTTGTACACTTTTATCATACACACATTCTTTTCGCTTCGTTTGAGTTGTGTTCATCTGGCCAGTGCACATAGTTGTCTTGCCCTGAAAATATCTCAACATCAGCAGCGCGAGTAACAATGATAACGAATGGACAACAGTTCCGGAGGGTAAAGTCAAGAGGGGGTAGAGGCGGAAATGGGTTTCTTCAGTCGGCAACGTCCCGACATCTCCATTTAATTGGCCAATGGAACAAGAATGACATGCATTTGGCAACGTATGGGAAGGAGCAAACAATTGACACAACAGAGAATATATCGTCGTCGCATTGAAAGCTGTAAAGGGTACTCCAAGTCGCGTACTGAAATGTAAAGTAGCCTATCATTGCCATGGTGTATTTCCACTCCTGAAGAGGAATGGGAGTGAGTGTCTGAGCCGAAGCATTCCATCCTAGTAGAGCAGCTGCTACTGCAAAAAGACAAAGGATATATACCTCTAGGAGATACAACGATCCTTGATCACTTGAACACACCAATTCCGAATGAATAGCTAGCTTTTGCATTGGCAACCAAGGTGAGAGAATAAACGAAGACGTAGCATTGCGCCGACAGGCGCACTTCGTATTTCAGCGTTCGCTGCCTCAAGCCAAGGATGAACTTAGTGAGCACAAGCGGTGTAAAAACACGAAGCCCATGGCCAAGTGAAGGCGTATATGATAATCGGATGTAACTGTAAATGACCGTGGTTGTTACTTTGTTGTTCTGTAACCTCCCTCGTCCACTCTTGACCTTCGGGTATTTACCCTTACCCTTTCTCACACACAACTGTACTACACTCTCCCTTTTTCTCTCGACTCTCTCTCTCTCTCTCTCCAAAACAAAAACGACGGAAGGGATCAAAATACAACAACACAGCTGAGGCAACCCATTTTTCTTCTTCTGCAGGATCCTAATTTGCGTCTAGCATTTCTCAGTTCTCTCTCTCCCTTCCTTCGTCCCTTGTCTCTATCTTTATGTTTTTGCGTAATTGCCTTTAACTCCAGGGCGGTGATGAACCATGTTGATATTATCCAAAACAAGCCCAGCGCCGCCGTACCCTCTCTCTTTCTCTCCCACCCCCCCATCCCCCCCCTTTTTTTTTTCTTCTCAGGAATAGGGAGACAGAAGTGAGAACATGACTGGGTGACATCTCAAGAGAGAGACTATGAAGGGACAAGGAGACATTGCCGCAGGCAAGAAAGTGCCGTGTCGATGTTGTTGTTGTTGATGTTGGCCTGCAATTGATACCATGCAGCCCTTGAATTGAAATCCCTTTCTTCGAGGGAACTTGCATTTATGCAAACCTATTTGTGTTGGCTTTCATGTTGTTTGGACTTGGGTCCTTCCCTCCTTCCTGTCCTTCGTCTATCCTTTTTCTTTCCCCAGCTCTTCGCCCTTTAACTCCTTTTCTAAACCCTTTGTCCCACTTTCAATATCCCAGAAGTTAATTGTCGATCCCTTTTTTTAGTGCAATAAGGAAACCTTTCGTGAATGTAACATGGAAAATAGAGTTTACGCCTCTATGCGACATGTTCAAAAAAGAAACAACATCCCTTACTTCTTGAAAGGAAACAAGAATGAGGTCGCAGGAAAGAATTCAAAGCGACAGCAGCCCAGGCAATTCTAAACAGACGCGCTGTTTGCGATTTCAAACACAGGAAGAAAAAAAACGCGATTAAAACATTCAACACTCACTAAATCTTCATTCTTCGATAGTTTTTCGCATGGCGATTGTTGGATCGGGTCACACCGTCAGAGCAGGAAGAGCGAACTGGTCAAGTGGAAAAGAAAAAACAAGGAAGATAGCCCCTTCATTCTCCCTATCCTCTTTTCCCCTGATATGAACAAACAAAAAAAATCAGGAAAGCTTGTCAGGGCTATGATCCTGTTACAACCTTTTTTTTTTTGGCTCCAACGCGCTCTGCTGTGCAATGTGTGGGAAGAAAACGCATTTTTATTTTACTTGTTTTTCTATTATTTCTCCCGTGCCAATTATGGTCCTTAGACATCATAGTACCACAGAGCAGAAAGACTTAGCGCCATTTCGAGGCTCTACGACTATTCGCATGAAAGAAGGAGAAGAGCAAGAGAGGAGACAAAACAAGAAGAAAAAGGGACGGAAGGGGAAGAGCGCGAGGGGCGTGAGAGGCATGAGTAAAAATAAGAGTGAAGAGAAGTGACGAATGAGGAGGGCTAAAGAGGGAAGAGAAAGAAGGAGGATGGCAGTTGGAGCAAACCCAAAAAAAAAAAAAAAAAAAAAAAAAAAAAAAAACCCCCATGGTCAAAGGGGAACCATAATTGTCAGAGCCCTTTTTTGACAAAAGAATAAAAAGATTAAGGAGAACTTGGCAACGACATAGCAAATAGAGCAGGGCTCGTGCGCCTCCCCTCCAACGATGCTCCTTCTCTCGCGTTCTCATCCCAATGGCCTATCTAGCTCCTTTCTTGCTCTTGCTCTATCGGCTCTATTGAGGCCCAGGGCTCATTCGACACACAGCAAGAAAGACGCACGTCCGATCTGGGTGAAGGAGCCAGCCGTGAAAAAACAGCGATGAGTGAGGGAGACATAGAGAGGGATAGAAGAATCAAAGGATGGTGAGAGGTGTAGAGATGGTTCTATTTAGGGAGTAAGCGTGGCTTTATTTCTATTGCTCTTTCGTGAAAAGACTGATTTAACCAGTGTGTGAAAAGTAGAGCAGCATTACGATCGATGGAAACGAGCAGCCATGAAGCAGTTTAACCTGTTCATATAACGCGCTTGCAGTTGTCCTTTCTAAAGACGATCGATCTGTCGCTCTCTCCTTTCGATGTGCTAATTCTAGTTCTATCTCTAACTTCTGTCTTTTTGTTGTTCTCCATCGCGCTCATGTTCACCTCACGCCTATTCTCAGCAGTTCATTGTTGCGATTTGATAAAGTCGATCCATTGATCACTTTGTTGGACTTTTCATGGTGTTCTACAGGCGAGCTTTTGAGCCTCGATGGGAAGAGGGAACAGCAGAAGCTACTGCCCTTCATGCGCCCTAGAGATTGTCTATCTGTTATTCGTTGTTTTTTTTATATGCGCAAGAGGCTTAACGGTAATTTATCATTTTCCCGTATTGCCTGCGTTTCTATTTTTCATGCATATCAAAACTGAAATATCAATTGAGACACGGAGAAGTCTCTGTATTGGCATTGGTATTCCGGGGGTCTTGTTGGTTTTGCTTGATGTCGTACTGGATCGACGCACTCCAAGGTGTCTTTATTATATTAGAGGCGTGGTGTCGATGAAAACTACAATCGGAATGTGCCTCGATCTGAACCGTCGATTGGTGCCTTTTTTTCGTCCAGCACAGCAAAAAATAAAGATGCTACACCAGTTCGCATCCGTTAAGTGGTGTATTCATTTTCAGGTACATATTCCTCAATATTCTAAAATAATGGCTGGAGACAAAAGAAGGGGCGAAAGGACGAGAGAGAGGAAAGGATAGACCGAAGGAGAGATAGTTGAACATGACTTCCCGCCTAGGGTCATTCTTTCTCTTCTAGGCTATGTGCCTTTTTTGTTTGTTCGCAAAAGAAGACAAGATATCGACAATGTTCTTCTCATAGTCCTTTGTTTCTATATGTTCTCGACCCCTTCGTCTGCTCTCTGTCCAACTCGTGCATGGCTCATGCTCATATCTATCTCACGCTCGTACTTTGCGGTTTTAGTTGTGCTCAGTTGTATTGAAAACAGAAAGGAAAGATAAAGAGGTGCGAGTCCCCCGCTTGCTCTGCATCAGCCAGCCCATCACTTTTGTTTTCCTGTCCTACTGCCGACATCTACCCCCTTCTTTTCTGTTGAGGAGATTTATGCGCATATGCCGCATCACCCCCCTGTTCATTCTATTTTGTCCTTTGTCCTCCCCTCCTTCTACCTTCTCCTTCTCCTAACCGCCCTTCCACGTTTGTCCAGCAGGGTGTCCCGAGCGTGCATAGGGGGTGTGCTTTTTGGATGAAGTCGAGATGTTGTGTTCAGCAACAAGACTAGATTTGCAACAGGCGAGTGACGACACAAAGAACAATTTACTTATTCTCAGAACTCAATTGAAAACAAAAGCATAGAGTAAATGATTTACCCGTCTCTGTTGCTTTGATTTTTTTTTCTTCCATCTACAATGTACGGGCCAGACACCCCTGCTTCCTTTTCTTTTGAACATCATCATCCCCAAACAATCCAGCCCATGCTTTTTTCATTTCTGATCTCTCTTCAAGAAAGAAAAAAACCACAACATCTTCCTATTCTTATTCTTTTTTGTCGTCTTTTGTGATCATGCCATCTCGCGTCATTGAATACTCCTCCCCTATATCCCCCCTCGGGTCAGATCCGTAGTCTTGTTACTCTCTTTCGCGAGGTACCATGACCAAGTCCCCCCCCCCCCCATTATTTAGGCCATTATGCGCACCCCTTCCCCTCTTTTCGTCCCTTCACCTCCCCCTCTCGGGACAGTGGGCCATGCCATGCATATAGCTTGTGTTCAATCCCTCCTGCATCCTTTTTCATTGTACGGTTCTCTCGATTTACACCCCTTGTTTTTCCCATTATGCTAATCATCCCTTTTTTTTTTGCCGAGATCCCCCCCACCCCTTCCCATCCCCCTTGAATATTTTTGACCGTTGAAAGGAGGGAGAGACACAGGAGAGAGTGAAAGACAAGTCATGGCATGGCATGACATGGTGGCACTGCATGACATGCCACGGCAGCACTCGGTCCGGTGTATATAGTATATGACTGCAAACCATGATGGTATGAAAGCTCAGGAACAAAAAAAAACAAAACAAAAAAAAATAATGGCCCAATCACTGCTCTTTTGCTTGGCATGAACAAAGGGCAGAGAAAAAAAAATTGCAACGGTCGAGCACAAAGAAGAATACACAAGGCAAAGGCATGCATTGTTTTCGACACCCCACATGCACAATTGTGCCTTTTCGGCCTTTTTTTGTTCCTTCTTTTTTTCCATTATGAACGAAAAGTGGATTAGGCAGGTTGGTGTTCACTTGGTCTCCAAGTATCAACACCTGCTCAAAAGAGACATTCCACACCTGCACAACAATTGCGGCTCTTACGGGTCCAAAGAGACCCACTTTTATTCTCTCCCTCATATCGACTGAATAAGAAAGAAATAGAAAAAACAACAACGCGATGCCTAAGCTCGATTTCTATGCAGAAGCATGAAGATCTGGAACTTTTTGGACAAGGGAATCGACAAGTGTGTTTCCATTCAAAATCTGGGTCGTGCAGATCACAAAGTCTCGCTGCCCACCTTCCTGCGATGCCAAGAACCGCGTAGCAGATATCTCTGTAAAGGTACATCCTCCAAGGAAGAACACCAGCGACACTCGAGGCTGTCCATTCATTCCTATGATATACAATTCAGTGAATGATATTGATGTGCCCAGATTAGCAAAAGGAAAAAAAATCGATGCAAATAATTAGATCGTCGCAATTCCGCAAGGGCATTGGAGCAATAATATGAGCGATGTGAACATAAAACCTTACTCTTGGAAGGCCTAGGCTGTCCATCGTCTACGCGCTGAGTTTCATCAAATGTCCGCCCAGGGAGCATCCTCAACACATCCTCGAACCCCTTCCACCCATTCCCTCCCGCGATTCCCGATCCTTTTCCTCCCGGTCCGCCAGGCTGCTTGCTGTCTTTTCCACGCTGCACCACACACTGCACCAAACGCACACTCAAGGGCGCATATCCCGAATACACATACGAGATATCGTTGGGCGCATGTTCGTTCACTTCGTCCACAATCAGCGACAGACTGCGTCGCACGAGTCCATATGTGTTCTTGGTCGTCGTTTGCTTCGTCAACATGCCCAACCGGCGTAGGTTCTCCAGCGTCTGAATATGCTCAAATCCATACGTCTCTAAGATCTCCCGCTTGAAGAACTCGAACTGCTTTGGCTTCAGTCCACTGTTAACGAGCGAGTACAGGCAGAGCAGGCGAAGAACTTGCACCAGTGGTGCCTGTTTGTTGATCATTTCCTCGATATACTCTGGCTCCTTGTTCGTCGCAATTCCCGCCACCACATCTATTGTGCAAATGGAGGAAGAGAATTTGCATTAGCAACAGCTCGCGATGCAGCAACTATACATGATGAGATTCGTCGCTCACAATGACACGATGCACTTACTCTGTTGCACTTCGAGAATCCTGTTAAAGTCATCCGTCATGGTATAGTTCATAATCTCCTCAGCAAGCGCCGTGTCTACAAAGGTCGCAATAGAGATATACGAAAACCACATCAGTCATAGGTCCTTCGTCTACCATCCATGGCTTGACATGTGTCCGTATAACTAACGCAAAATTGGACTTACGAAGTCGGAGAGATTGGTGCTCGGCTGCCAAACCACCCATCTTGACAATAAACTGACGAATCTGGGGCACCGTCTTGGCGTTGTGTCGTTCTTCGTAATCGGCATTAATGCGCTTAGCGACCTTGTTCAAAAGTCCTCCGACGACAGCGAAGTTGAGATCACGAAGCTCGTCGAACAGCTTGTCGCCTCCGTTCAGTGGGACCTTCTTCTTCTTTCCCGTTGGAGCAGTCGCCGATGACTGCGTTCCTGATCCCGACCCTCCGCCCGGCGGAGCCGATGCTGCACTCGCCAAACTAGCATCCACCTCCACAAATGCTATTTTTTTAAAAAATAGGATAATAACGCAAGTTGGGGTGAGCACAAAATTTCAAGAAATAGTTTCATCCGCATCCAAGTATGCATGCTCGGAGCACACTTACAGTTCTTGATGTGGAAGATCTCGTCAATAAGACCCTCGTAAGTCAACTGGGTACAAAGAGGAGTCACCATATCAACACTTCGGTCGATAATGATCAAAGAATCGATATTCTGCGACAACTGCATCGTCTGTGAAGCATCCAGGTCGTCAACGGCCATCTCTCGACGCATACGCAGCATCATATCACACAACGCCTTTGAATAATCGCCCTTTCCAAGGATTCGAGGGAACAATCCATAGATTCCCTGGAGTCGCATAAGGGCCTTGGCAGCATAGTAGATCGAAGTCGTGTCCTGTTCCAGATAGAGCTCCTTGAAGGTCGAGTCCCACTCCAAGCTGAGCACGTCGTCCTCGAGTGGGATCAGGTCAAGGTGGTATTCGCCCTTTGTGATCTCGCCAAAAACGCCCTCATCCTCGAGGACCTTCTCGCACAATGCGGTACGTCTAGGGACAAAGAAGAGCGAGTATGTGTAGGATCCTGCGCGGGAGTCCTTTGTGTGCGTATGAATGTGCTCTATCGTAGGCGTTCATAAACAACATGTAGAGTCCATATTAGCCATGAATGCCAATGAAATGATAGTTCCGTCGTCTCAATTGTGCGTAAGATGATGGATCACCTACCGGCAATGTATTTCATGTAGTTGACCTGAGGCCGGCAGATGTAGATGAGGTTCTTGCAGTCGGTTTCCAATGGTCCCGGTTGAAGGTGGTATATTTTCTCAACGCCATGATCCTATTCGACGTGAGTACGACAAAAGTCAGGGTGTCAGCGTCAAGATAACCAGTTGCTTGATGTAATGTCCTTTTCGCTGTCAACTTGCAACTCCCGTGTCGTCCAAGTGTAAAAATGATAAAAGGAGCTCTCTGCCCTATGTTCTTGAAGAAAGCTTGCCTTGAGAAGAGCGAATTCTGCAATCAAACTCAAGGGTCCACTGAGGTTTGGGTCTAGCACCAAACCCTTCTTTCCTTGCACCTAGCAACCATGGGAGAGGAGAACATATAAAGAGTTTAGCAAATGCAACGTTGTTTCTTGCATGCTGTAAATGAATGCGAACCAGAAACAGCATGGCTGTGTGCGTGCAAAGGCATGCGGGCGTACAGAGTCGAGGACGTTGACGAGTTCTTTGCGGGCCAAGTCGCGCAGGGAGTCGATGTTGAGTGAGGTGTGGCCCAGATGGGCGCCTGTGGGTTGGGCGGGTGAGGACGCTGCGGCGACTGCAGCAGCGGTTGATGTCGACATTGTGCTTCAAGAGAGAGGAGTGAAGAGAGAAGTGAGGGTCAGGGATGAGCCACGTTCGTCCGCTTCCTTCGCGCTCGAACTCGAAGGGAATGGGGACCGTTTTTTTTATGTGCCTTTTGTTCCCGTGATTTCGTAAGGAGGACACATGGACGGGCCATCAGGCATGGATGCGTCTGACCGCGAATCGACTCCTTTTACATACCTTCCAAACGTCCTTCTTCCTCTTTTCCTGTTCTTTCGTTCGTTCATTTTCTTCTACTTCTTCTTCTTCTCTCCCTCTCTCTTCTTCCCACACTCACTCTCTTACCGCTCTTCTCAAGATTGCACACTTCCTCCCTGTATTGTACAAAACGACACACCCTAAAAAGACAAGGATAGGATGAGCCCGACGTCCGGACAACCAAACGACACGCCTCTGAACGGCCAGCGACCCAACTACGGGTCCCTCACACATCTGAACCAACCAGCAGCAGTACGAACAAGAGCTGGTCCCAATCCCAATGCGCCGCCCTCACCGGCCTCGTCGCTCAAGTCAAGACAAAGACAGCAGGACGGCACAGGGACAGGGACAGTGGCAGGTGTCGGAGCAGGAACAGCAGCAGCAGGGACCAGGAATACAGCAACGTCTCACCGATCTGTCCAAATCACCGTACCTGGGCAAGGCGAGCACGGAAACACACATGCTAACAACGGCCAAGATGAAGACGATACAGGTTCCACCTCGTCACGGTCCTCTTATTCGACATACTCATCCTCAACAGGTTCCTTACACGCCCTTGACCACCACAGCCACAAAGGACATTCCCATGGAGAAGGTTGCGAGCCTGGAGAGGAGGAGGAGGAAGAAGCCAGTTCTCGACGTATGTTCTGGACCTATGTCGGCTTGACTCCCATACTGCTCTCGATCCTTGTTCTCTTTGCGGTTCTGCTTCAGTTCTTGCCTTCCTCCGCCGAGTCTGACGAGTATATCGTGCATTGGGGTAAGTCAGGATGAATGATAGTTGCGATATGTCGGTGTTGTATGATGACATTGCATTGTTCTCGTTGTGGTGGTGGTGGTGGTGGCCATGCTTTGTCAGTAAGGCGTGAGCAGACAGACGACGACAAAAAAGAGAGATTCTTTTTCTTCCTCACTATTTTTTCTCGTTTATGCGCTTATTCTTCGTTTTTTTTTTTGTTTACTTTCCAAGCGTCTTCTTCTTCTACCCCCCCCTTTTTCCTCCTTCTAACCCAATCTCACCCCTTCTTTCCACCTGATACTATGCGTCAAGGAAACAAAGAGTAACACACAACACCAACTGACCTCTCTCTCTCCCCCCTTATGCATGGCGATAGATCGATTCGGAGAAGGCGCCATAGGATGGACAATCGCCTTCGCAGCCCGAACACCACTCTTTGCCCTCTTCTCAAAAACCCTCTCCCGCTCCCACAACCCACAGGAAGACTTCTACCTCTGCGAATGGTCAACCCTCCTCTCCGCCGGCGCACTCGAAGAGACCCTCCGCCTCGCCATCATCTTGTTCCTAGGGATCGGGGAGGACTTTGGAGCAGTCTATTGGTTAGGGTTGGGTTGGGCAGGTGTCGAGACGGTTTATTATATTGGGCAGAGTTTGATTTATACACGGTGGTTGGCGTCGCCGTCGTCGGATGAAGATTATCGGACTGTTGCGACGGGAATTGGTAACGGGGTAGCGGCGACGACGAAGATGGTTGTGGCGCCAACAGTATCCACTTCTTTGCTTGCATCCGCGAACGCCTCAGCAGGAGGACCATCCACATCGACCTCCACGTCAGAAACGCCGTCAAGCCTCGAATCAGGATACACCAACGGCAAAAGTCGACTCACCAACCACACCGCCATTGAAGAAGCTGAAGACCTCGTCCCAACCCGCGAAGCACGGCATCTCTTGGGCCTAGACCGCCCCTGGTGGAGTCTAATGGGCCGCACATCCAGCATGATGGTCCACATCGGTCTCTGTTGCTGGCTCGGCCACTCGGGTTGGAGACTCCTCCTCCCCGCCGCAGCGGTTCATGGATCGTTGTATGTGATTTGGGGTGTGTTTATGCCCGATGGGTGGAGTGTCCCTGCGACCAGTTACGGGACCTGGATTGCGGCGCTGGGGGTGTTTCTTATCGGTTTGGCGCTCTATGGCGAGATCGTCTAGGCTTTTTATCGAAACGTTTTTTTATTGTTCTTCGCGTCTCTTCTCTCTCTCACACACACACACACACTCACTCTCTCTCTCTCTCTGCACGCGACAAATAAAAGGACGTTTTTGGATCAAAAAATTGTGTATGCTACTCTTTTTTTCTTTTCTCTGAGAGATGGTAATAATATGCATGAAGTTAGGCGTGTATCCCTTCGGCTGTCAATAATGGACAACGCTGGGATAATGGTGACTGCGTTTTCGGCGCAGGTAACTAGTCTAGTTCGAATTATGGAGGTCAGGGGACCATGCAGACTGTTCACTTGGGCTCTTGCGACTCAAAGGCGTCGGCCTTGTCAAGGTCCGCATCCAAACCTCGCCTGCAGCGGCAATGTTGTGTGCTCCAACAATATCGCGGTGGAGCCACCTTCCGCATGTCAGGCACACGCATGACCTCGTGGTAGGCTTGGCGAGACGGGATACCTCATTCGACTCGAGGCAGGTGGGACAAATGCTTGAAGTGAGGTATTCATCGACCAACACCACGATGTGCCCAGCAGCAACAGCCTATTTTCATAAAAATGCACAAAATGAATATGATCAGTATTTGTTCTTTCTGTATCGGACAAATACAACTAACAGGAAATAGAGAAAAAACCGTACCTTTTGCGCAAAGACCGCCTTGAAGGACTCATGGGGGGATGCGAGGTTAATGCCTGTACGGAAGGACCCATTTCCATAGCAGAATAGCGTCTTGGTGGTGCACTCCCTGAGGATGGCATCGATGGCGAGGTCCATCTCTGCCTTCTTGGTCTTCTTCAGATCCCAGCCCATGGCTTTCACTCTTGCAGACCCATAGAATCCATGCAAGATATCCTGAACAAGGAAAAATCGGAACGTGGATTGCTCCATGTCTGCAACTTGTTGGTATTGTCGGGATGGCAGCACGTTCAGGATCTCGCTGATACTCGGAATCGACGTTCCTCCATCCGCTTGCCCGTCCTTCTGCTCGGCTCATAACTTGCCCTCAATCGTCTGACCTGGACTGACGGTGATCCTCGTTGTCGACAGATCCTGCATTTTATGTCGATGGGCAAACACAGGCTGGTAAAGCGATTTTCTGCTCACGACCAGATTCTTGGCTTCCAGACCAGGAGGGAGGATGCTGTTGGTGGATGCTTGGTCGTTGCGTCGATGTTGCGGTTCAGCGTCATCATCTGTCGCCACATTGGTGTCAATTGAAGTGAGATAGGTCCGCAAGATCCTACAAAATGCTGCCGTGTTGACCTCACCGGGGTCAATACCCCAGACATCAATCTCCTCGATAGACGACACGCCAAACTCGTCCAGAATTGATTGTAGTGTTGGGAATCTGTTTTCGATCCGATAGATAGGGTTAAAGGCGAACTTGCTCCTGTAGGGCTTGGTGGTATCAAAGCAGGTGACATGGAGTTCCTTGCCATTTGTCGAAAAGATGTTGTTGAGCGCGAATCGTTGCGGGCATAGGGTCGGATCCTGTGAGAGGAGACTTGTCGGCAAGGGAGGGGGACTCTTGTCGCATGCAATCCCTTTCTCTCGACAGTCACTGGCGTAGTTGATGAAGCGGAACTTGTTGTCCAAGTATGAGTGAAGGATATTAGGATCAAAGATGGCCGGATGATTGTTGGCAAGAGCTTCCATAGTTGTCGAGCGTCTCCCGTATGATGTCTGCCACACGGAATGTGACTTCCTGATCTCATCTGGTTCTCCATAGAATAAGATCCTGATCAACTCCCCGTGCGTCAATTCGACGAGTGCGGATGCTTCTTTGGCGGCCATGATCTTGGAAGCAGCAGCAGCGCACGGGTTCGGATTCTTCTTGCTCGTGGACCACAGGATTGGCGGCAGAGCCCGCTCCTCAAATGTGATGAACGGATCGGTGAAGTTATGTCGAAGGCAGAAGAGAGGTCGCATAGCCGGCGGCAGACGTTCGGCCTCTTTCCACCAGTGACGGATGTATCCACCGGCAAATCGCATGCTGGTATCGTTGTCGCCCTCTTCCTCATCCTCGTCCTCTACGTCCTCTTCGTCGTCATCCTCGTCCTTCTCGTCGTCATCGTCATCCCTCTCCTCCGCTGTAGTTTGTTGGATTGCTCCAACAGTCTGGGATCCCGGCTGCTCCTTAAATGATCCAGCTGGCAGGTCGGTCTTGCTCCAACCACACTTTAACATCTATTTAAGAGTCGAGCAAGGACTGTGAGTTAGTATTTGAAAATGGTGTAGGCTAAAAGGATCATGTAGCACTACGTATATGGACACATACCCTGGCTCCAATGGTGAATGGCAAATCCCGAAAATGTTTTCTCAGCTGAACAGAGAATTCCGCCGCTGCATCAACAATCAACCGTCCAACGCAGATGGAGTCCTTGTTGACAGGCCGAAATCCTGGTAGGATCTGACGGAGACGATCATAAGCAGCCTTCGAGATGTTCTTCGCCGCCTTGGACTTTTCCTTGACTGTTTTAGGGCGACCGCGCTCGATCTCTCCGTTGAGGATGAAGGAGAACATATGCTTGATAATAGCGGTCCCGGCGGCCTTCTCCAACAGTAACTCGACCACGTCAAAAGGCTCTCCTGCATCCTCCTCGCCAGCGACAGCATCCAGTGCTCCCGAAATGTCCTCTCCTCCCAACAGCTGATCAAGGATCATAATCTCTACTGCCCGAAAAACAAACATCCTGGCCTCTGCCATCGTCGCCACTGCCGAGTCGATCCTGACCGCCATATCCTTGATATCCTCGTCGCTGAGTTTAGCAAGTCGCCCAGTCTCTCGTGCCGGCAATAGTGATCGCCGTAGGCACCCCAGAACACTACCGATCGTCTGTGTTGAAATTGCAAAGGTGCTTGAGAATCCGGATTTAAGTTGTGCAACTTCAGACTTCGGCTTCCTAGGTTTGCGCTTCCTAGGTTTGCGCTTCTTCTTCTTTTGTTGGGAGTTTTCGCTGGATTTCTGCTGGGACGAAGAACCGCTTGTTGTTTTGGATGTATCTTTGGCGTTGTTGTCGGAGACCGGGTTGTTGATAGACGGAGATGACTGTTTCTGGGAGCGAGGCTTAGGCACAGTCATATGGGAAAGCTCAGCCTCATCGACGTTTGGGGCGTCGTGGATGTTGACAGTTCTGACTGAATACCTCTTCTGAATATCGGTCCTTGATTTGAACCTAAGTTGACAGGAGTATTGGGAATAATGAACTTTGCAACGAAGCGTAGGAATTCAACGAAACTTGAAACATCTTCAAAGTGTAACTAAACTTACTGTGACTCTCTCCACTGCTTGTGTTTGGCTTCTGACTTCTTAGCCTTGAATCGATCCTTCCGCTGCTGCTTGTGTTTCAGGGATCTTTTCCGCTTCCGGGTGCATTCGGAGATCGTCTTGGAATCATATTGCGTGGATGTTGACGGGGGTGCTGATTCGATGTTCGTATCGGTGTCCATGCCCATGTCCTTGGTAGAAGACAGTTTGATCGGGACTCGCTCTGGTGGTAGGTGCTGTGTGAAGGTGTGGGTGTCGTTCCTGGGTTGCTGAGGCTGCTGTTGTTGACTTTTGCGAGAGTACAGTTCCTGTAGTATCATGGTAATGATATCGTGAGAGTGAGGACTCTCGTCGTCCTGCTCCAGCGGTTCTTGTATAGGCCTCTCCATCCTTTTGAAAAATGCGGTGATTGCATGGCGATAATATTCCGGGCCAATGTGGATGATTTCCTGTTGCTTGTGTCGAGTAGAAGTCTGCTGTATTGATCTTTTCTTCCGTTTCCCCAGTTGACGCTCAACTTCGTCCAGGTAGTTTTGAATGAACGGCATCAATGCCTCGGCTCTGTGGTCGTTGTCTCCAGATCCTCCCAGCGGCCCTAGGCTTGTCAGATCAAAGTCTCGTATGATGTCGCAGTTCTTGTGAAGCCCAAAGTACGGAAGATTCTTCACGTAATCGTTGGAGGTTACGATACAGACAAGGAGAAGGTGCTGTTCCGACGGCAGATCTAGACGGTCCAGGAGCTTGGTCTTGTCGAACAACTGCAACTCCCTCGTCTTGCCCACGGGCATCATGATGTGGCGGATCCCCTCGTAGACAATTAGATCACTATCAGAAGTGACGATCATGACAGAGTCGGGGTCTGGGGCGTCCTGACACACTCTTGAGAGGCATGTATCCGCTTGATACGGGCACAGGTGGATCCGCCAGCCTTTCTCTCTCAACACCGGAAGGATATCCTGCTCGAGACTCCCTCGGGTAGGCGGTAGTTGTTCTTGCAGGCCTTGAAGAGCTGCTTTGTTGACCGGGTTGAACCGCTGACCTTCGTCTGTAGCTTGTCCAGTGCTCGCTTTAGGGTCGCGTTTCTCTGCCGATGTTCTCCTCGCTTCTGCTCTGATGGTGAACCGTCCACATGAATGATGGTGAGCTCTTTGTCGAATTCCTTGGACAGGATATCATCCAGGACGTGTCCTACTGCTCGGAAGGTCTAATAAGTTATGTGCCCAAAAAAAACAAAGGTTAGAGGAATCAAGGCGAGCGAGCACTTCACTTCTAACGGAATGAGTAAAAACACAATTGTAGGTTACCTGCAGATTCTTCTTGTCGACAGGGGACAGGCCTTCTGGGTTGAGGAAAAGGTTCTTGTAGCCGAGTCTATCAATACTGTCCTCGATCAGCTCATCCAATGTCTGTTTGGGATCAAAAGGAATGGTGACATCAAGGGAAGGGGTATTGGGGGTTGAGTTATGCTCGGCGATGTTCTTCCTTTTTCGAGATCTTGCGGGCACCTCGGTCTCTAACTGCAGCTCTGGGGCAGGCGTGATTGTGGCAGAGTCAGACCCGGCCTTGATGCGTTGTTGGAGAATTTGGAATGCACGTGCCTGTAGCAAGCGGAAGAAGCGGCATAGGAAATCCACGTGTGTTGATTTTCCTGCATCCTTACAAGACCCCCCAGGTATTCCCTCGCTCTCGTGCAGCTCTTTGGGAAGGCCACGGATTCCCATCACGACAAAATGTAGAAATAGAAATGTTACGCTGTGTTCTTAGGAATGGAGGCCCGTGCTAGACTAATGGAAATTAATAACGACAACGATGGTTAGGATCCATACATGGGCTTCCTGCATCGACTTGCACGTTCATTCGCAACTTGCATCAACTTACTTGACGGTGGCGGGTGGGTTGGGCGGACAGGCGGTAAAGAAAAGCAAAACGCGTTTTGTGTTGGCAACGAGTGAAAAGGAGAAAAAAGGAAGGAGTGTACGTGTATGTTTTGTTTTGCTTTGTGATAGTATAATGGTGGTGATGAAAGGAAAGACGGAGAGAAAGGAGGAAAGAGGTAGGAGAGGAGGAAGGAAGGAGTAAGTAAAGAAAGAAAAAATAGAAATAGAGGAAAGAGGGGCCTTATTTATATGTCTCTGTCCTTACGGGTGACAATGTGTTGCCGTCATGTCCTTGATCGTTGAACATTGATAGACTCGCGGCTCCCTACGTGGGTTGGAGGACGAGGGTCATGCGAGGGGTTCAGTTGATCCCTTGATACAATCATTGATTGTGACACATATGTCATTTCCTGTGAGAAGGCCATTTGCATGGCCCTAGTACACCCTCCTTTTTAGCTTTACGACCCAATAACTCTCAGATCCCCACTGGCCGTAAGGGAGGCATTGTGCCGTTCTCAGAAAAAAATGACCCTCCTCGTCAATACCGCGCGAGCTCCAACTGTCCGTAGATGTGTGGATGGGTCTCCTGACGCTCAGCCATGGTTGTTGTCCTCTTCCCGTATGTCGTCTGCTGCTTGTTCCTGGCTTCCTCGATGGCATCCGGTCCCCGATGAATAGTTCCTTGATCACCTCTCCGTACGAAGAACGCTGTTTGGCGGCTGCCCAGTTGTGAGTGTAGCGGGTGTCCTTCTATACGTTGTCTAGCTGAACTGTCTTCTTCCCCAGAGAAGCGCAACCAACGCTTTGTCGTTGATGTCGATGGAAGAATCGCTCATTTTGGCCTGAATGCAGAACCGGAGTCGCTTGGAAGATGCTAAGCGGAGGAAGTATCACCAGCAGAGTTGAATATGACCCGGTTTGAAAATGATCTTCTTGGGTCGCTTGAGGGCGTCATCGTCGTCAACATCCTCGTCAACATCAGTAGCACCGGCATCACCACCAGCGTCTGTGTCATCTTCTTCCATTTCAGGAAGACCATCGCAACAATGGACAACTTGGAGAGCTGGCATCTTTCTTTTATTTAATAGTAGCAGTAACACGCGATGCAAGGTGGAGAGGGCACAGGACCTTAAAATTCTAACTTCACTTTGAGATAATCTATTCTAAAACCCATGGCGCGTATGATACTGTTACAAAAAGATGTGGTGGCTAGGCAGTGGCGGCGATGCCTTAGGTTAGCAGTCATATCCTTTAGTAGACATAGTATTAGTAGTGCGCCGAGCCCTCTTGTCTGCTCTTTGTCCTTTTACACATCACTTGGACGAGAGCAGTATTGACAAGAGTTTCGCTGGCACGCTGCAGGTAACAACCCCCTCTTTATTAATATGAATACAAGGTCCTTTTACACATCACTTGGACGAGAGCAGTATTGACAAGAGTTTCGCTGGCACGCTGCAGTATATCGTTTTGTGTGATTCCTTTAGGACGCTATTATCACTTCCCCTCCCGCCAACCTACAACCCCTTCCCCTCCTCCGTACCAATTGAGGACCTAACAGCGGTCCTACAACTCTGGCCGTCGACCCTCTCCCCTGAGTAACAATACTCCTCAATCATTTTTGGTGCAAAGAGGAACCTTGCAGAGAGAGCAGATTCGCTGGGCGGTTGAGGATATGCTTGTGTTATGTCTTCTCGTTTCTTTTATCTGCACAGGATGCAGTAGGGGCGGTCCTTGACTCGGACGGGGAAATGGGAGCCAGTCATGAGTAGTCAGTAGTTCATCGTTTGGTCCCATGAATTTTTTCGAGACATAAGGGGATACTTGGGTAGGGGTGTCGCGACATTTGGCGGACACTATCAGATCCTTAGCTTGGAACTGTCGGAACCCCCTGTGATGCATGAAAGAGCCGAAGAGTTTGTTGATGAGGTACGCGTTGATGATTGTTGTATCCAGTAACCAGAAGAAGATCGGAGCCCATGCGCGATAAGTCCTGAGCTGAGTCGAATAGTAGCTGCGTAACTGGTCGGCGATGTCGACTCCGTTCATGTGGTGGTTGTAGTCATCGATGATTTTTGGGATGGGGAGTAACGCCCTGGAATGTCCTTTATAAGCATCCCGCACTGACTTTGCGTTGGCGCTTGTCTCTCGAGGGCGTCTGCGATCATAGACAGCGGATCAGTCGTTATCGCCGAGGCTGAGGGCATGGACGGTGAAGAGCATGGAGACAGGTCTATTGTCCATCCAGAACACGGTAAGAGCCTGAGGTGGATCGGGCGATTGTCCGCAGCTAGCTTTTATAGGCTAGCAGAGGGCAAGAGTGGTGACTCTCTTCGTTAAGTAAAAGAAAAGGAAGCGAACTCATAGAGAGAAATGCACCCATCTATCACAGGCTCTACCGTTGAGAACCAATGTTGCTCAGGTTCGTTGGGGTTGGAGACATGAAAAAAACGCCTCAGTTGTTCGAAGCGGACGAGGGAGATGAAGTTAGTGATGTTGTGTTGAGGACATTCAGGGAAGGTTGAACAATACTCAGAGACAGTGTTCTGCCTGAATACGCCCATGTAGACAATGATGCCGAGGAATATGCGCAGTTCGTCAGGTGTGGTCTTTACCCATTGGCGCAATCCTTCTCCTGTGCCGGCTCCTTTTGATGCTGCATATGCGCTAGTGAAGGTGGCCATATCCGAAAATACTTTGCCGCTGAAGAATAGGCTGAATATGTTTATTGGTGCCAGTTCTTGGTCGAGTTGAAGAGCACGGGGAAGGTTGGATTGTGCTGGGTGTCCATCCTTGTAGTGGCGAAAGATATTGTCGAAAATCTGGTACAGGCGGGAGTTCTCTAGTCTCACGAACGGGCTTCTTAGCAGCCTTCTTGGCAGCCTTCATTTTCTTTGTCGGTGGAGCTGGAGCATCTATCACCCCTTCATCTCCTGCCTTCTCCTCCTCCTCGTCCCCAGAGCTATCTGTACCAGGCGTTGGTCGAGTACGACAACGGACCGAAAACAACAACTCCTCCTCCTCCTGTGCCTCGTCAACCTCCTCCGCAGATGCTACTACGGTGCCTTGAGAGTCAGAAACGTCAAAGGAACCGAGAAACTCGAGACTGGAGTCCATGAGTGAGTAGGGTGAAGTCGATGTGTGAGAAAAAAAGGTAATGGGTTGCGGGATGATGATGAGAAAAAAAGAGCTGAATCCGAGAGTGATGAATGTAATGTGACGAAGACGACAATGACACTCCCACGATGTAGTCTTCTAACCCGTTTTATTGGAAACCTGGATAAATCGAAAAAAATGTGGTGCAAATTTGCACCACAAACAAACTAGGGGATATGAAATGGCGTATCGGTATGTTGTCTAGCAAGAAAGAAAGCGACTACGGGCTGGTAGTATCAACAGCGCCGGCAGCAGAGGTCAGTCCAAGATCCTTCTTGCCACCACCCTCGAGATCAAACTCTGTCAAAAACTATTAGTGAAAACGAAGGAAAAGCAGATACGTTAGCATAAAGAGGCCCCACAATTTGATCGGTAGGAAGTTTGTGTGGTGTCATCAAGATCAAGAAACGAAGCACAGTAGCCATGTATGAAGCTTCGTACCTTCTCGACTTCGTCCAATAGATCGTCACCATCTCCATCTTCGTCGTCCTCCTCATCATCATCGCCGTCTACGTCCGCATCCTCGCGAGAAACCTCCTCCAAATCATCGTCCTCATCGTCGTCACTCTCCTTGATCTTATCCGCAACAACGCCAGCACTAACAGCGACGGCGGCGCCGGTTGCGGTCACAGGAGCGCCAGGAGCCACAGGCACCACAACAGCATCAGTATCCTGCTTCTCTGAAATCGAGGCAGTAGACTTGTTCGCGTCGGCAGTAGGAAGAGAAGACGAGCTGGAGCTGGAGGGGGTATGCTGTGGGCGACCTCTGCCTTGGATACCGCCAGCAATGCTTCCTGCCAGTTTCCGTCCCTCCGACAACAACGAATCGAACACCTCCTTCGCGAACAGACCCCGCTGACGATCCAGTGGCTCCAATAGCTTAAACGAGTCAGAGAATCCAGAATCAAAGAGCCGCTCGAGCGTCTCATCTGCCAACACAACCATGCGGAAGCTGGGGAGTGACATCTGGATTTCGGGCTCTTCCTGAGGTTGAGGTGTAGTCCCGTTGGTCGTGGGTTTAGAAGCAGATGACGCCTCAGTTCCTGACTCGTCCTCCTTGGTCTCCTTGGACTTCTTTGAATCTTCATCCTCATCATCGTCATCTTCATCCTCTACCACAAACTCTTCCTTCTTCACAGGCTCGACCTTCTCAGCAAACTCGAAAGCATTGCGGATAAAGTTGGAGATGGCTGGGAGATAGGTGTCACCATCATCATATCTGTAGATAAAGAGCAAGCTCTCGGACATGCCCAAAATCTCGTCGCGGTTCAGCGTTCCGTCCTTGTTCAGGTCGTGCATGTCAAAGAAGAGCTGCATGCGAGACATCATGTCGCCGTGGATAATATCACCAAGTCCGGTGGTGACCTCCTGAAGCGAAAGAATTCCAGAACCATTCTCGTCAAACCGCTCAAAGAGTCGTGAGATAAAGTGCTTGCCAACGACCCGACGACGCTCACGGGTTGTTGACGTGGTAGAGGTGGAGCCACGACGGCGGTGCTGTGATGATCCATTGATTGGTTGGATCTCATCACCCTCCATCTGATCGTCCTCGACCTGCGCCCAGTGAGCAATGCTTCCCAAGAACGACACGAACGTGTTAGTGTCCAAAGCTCTCGCCTCCCCCTGCTTGTTCGATCCACGTCCCGACTGCGAGCGGCCATAGAACAAAGCCGAGTAGAAACGATCGTAGATGACGCTCATCTCGTCCTTGGAAAACTTTCCGGGGGCGATGTTGCGGAGTTGACTGCGCTTGGTGAAACTTCCGATGTTGTGGACGACCTTGAGCTGGTGATTCCTCCTCAGCTCGGCAACCATCTCTGCCGTGACTGATTCAAACTCCTTATACGCCACCAACATCAGCTCGTTGAACTTGGTGAGTGCTCGCGCCTTGGGGTTGGTGCTGTTGGGGAATGCTGACTCGTCCAAGGTGCTAAAGTACTTCTTCAGCACATCCATGAAAGCACCGTCATCCTTGGACGCCAGCAGCTCATCCCCGTTGACCTTCATAATAGCTATACGGAGTATTACAGCGACAGAGTCAGACCACTGCTTCAACAACCTTTTCATTTCAGCATATACATTACTGACCTTGCAGTGATGCGTTCACTTACCCAAACTGATCTGGAAGAGGACCTTGGGACCCTCAAAGAAGAAGCAATCCAGGACCCTGAAGGCGTACACCAAGGGCATTGAGTTGATAAACAAGCTCAGGAACCAAGGAAGACACGCCACTGAAAGCTGCACGTCAACCTTCTTGAGATGTTTGCTCAAAATTGGCATTGTCTTCTCCAGCAAGTGCTCGAGAATCGTCTGATCCAAAAGAGCACCGTACATGGACGTACTGTAGTATCCAGGTAAAAGTCGATCGCACAACACGTTCAATGTCCAGAATGCCTGCTCCTCGCTCTGATAACTATTTGTTTGTGGAAGATGGAAAACATCATCCGTTAGGAATCTGGCGCCACAAGTGTAGTCGTGTCCAATGACATATTGCTTATACTTGAAAACTTACATCAAGATGGCACTGGTGACAATGTTCATCGCCTGACAGTATCCAAGATCGGGATTCTTCCATGCATAGGCGCTGAGCACATTCCTGAGACGGTTAATACCCTGGTTTGCCTGGTAAGCCTCATACTCAGGGAGAGATCTGCAAAATAAGGCAAAAGAGCAAGTTGGCATGTGAGGTTATTTTTCATCTCGTTCCATGTCCAAAAAAAACATAGAGTAACAATCCATACCTGTTCAGGTCCTTCTCGATCTCTTCCAAGGACAGCGACATCTTTCCTTCATTATCCTTGAGCAACTTAGCATATTCGCCTGGGTTCATCGCGCGAAGGTAGAGTGATCCACTGCAAGCCTCCCAGACTTCTCCACGGAGCTTGTTGGGGAGACCGACACGAATCAGTTTGGGGAATGTAGCCGCCTTGTTCATGGTCAGGTTTCGCCCATTATCCTTGAAGTACTGAAGCCAGAGCTTGGTCTTGCTCTTGTTTTTCAGCCTAAGAAGGTTCGATATAATCATTGGTATTGTCAGAAACTAAAAGAGCTAGAAATGGATCATTAGATTAGCCACCAAAAAAAACAGCTTGTCATTCTTACTTTTTGGGGTCACCAGGGAACTCAAAGATCCATCCCAAGCCAGAGTCCTTCTCGGAAACATCAGGGCGGTCTGCCAACAGGGCTTCGGAAAAGCAAGTGGCAAGGAAGGGCTTCAAAGAGCGCATAGCTCTGACTTGGAGCTTCAAGTTGGTCTTGAGAGTGCCGCAAAACTTTTCGCACTGGGTCCTTGGTCCATTGAGACGGAAGACAAGTCTCATTTGGTGCCAGGTCAAGATGTTGAGGGCATACATGGCAGAGCGCGAGTTCATTCTCTCAACACGACGGATGGTGAAAAGGGGCAGTGCGAGTACACATGGGTTGGCCTCCGTGCAAATGAAGCAGAGGAAAGACTCGGACATGTAGATTCGTCCGTGGAACATGTCCGTTTTGTCTCCATGAACCATTGTGGCGCTCGACTCCTCCATCAAATGCTCCGATGTCGGCAAGTTGAACCGCAGCTGGAATTGGCTATCCCGCTTCTGCTCCTCGAGTCCCAATCTGAGTGGACGAGTTGTCGGTGCTGGTGAATAGAGTGATTCGTTATTGTCCAGATTGTCGACGTCGACTGAGAAGACATCCTTGACGCTCTCTGGATCATCTCCGTTCGACTGACCAGGTGCATGCTCCAATGCCGTATTCCTTAGGAGACGTTCCATGGTCAATGTTGTCAATTGAACGAGAATATCGTAGGTTTCATCTCGGTGGAAGAGGTTGGAAAAGAAGTACTGTGTAATGTTAGCTCTATGTACTTTTGGCTTCGTAGGGGGACATCATCGACTGTTACAACACTGAATGCATCTTACCTCGCGTGCGTCCTTCATGACAACACGAATGGCATCAGCAAACACTCCGCGCTTGCTCTTTTCCTTTTGAAGATCACCAATATCCTTGAGCTCGAGAAAGATTTTTGTTTCCATGCCCAACATAAACGAGTAGAAGCAGAGGTAGTTCTCCGAGATGTACATCCAGCCCTGGTTCATCATCTTTCCGTGAAACGAGCACGAATAGTAACTGACAAGTCGTTCCGACGGCAGGACGTTGAATGTCTGGCGGAAGGCGCGAGAAGCACTTCTGACCTTCTCGTCTGAAGTAATATCATCTGTGCCCTTGTCTAACAAGGGATGTTGCATGAAAAAAACGACCATGCTTGGTCAGTCCCCTTTGTTTTTTTTGGGCAAGTGTAACGGTCCAAATTCGCATTATGCCCTTTTTGTTGGCCTGTCATCTTACCTGCTCGTGTTACCAACGATCGGATCTTTGTCAAGACCCATTCTTCCTTCTCCTGCGCATCGTCCAGTACTTGAAGTCCAAGAACGAAATTTTCTAAAAGTATATGGCACCACACGGAGGATTGGATTAATGTCCGGCAGGGGTGAGTGGAGGCTGAAGGGGCTCTGACGACAAATGTCATGCTTGTAAAAGTCGCTCATAAATTCACACCCTTGAACGTCCAATGTTCTGTTGTCCTTCCTGGTTGACTCTCGATCCATACCTTGTATCCATGTCCAGGCGTGGTCAATGTTCTTTTGTGCCTCCGCCTCGGCAATCATCAATGCCTGGGCATTCAGCTGTCGTCGAAACAGAATCCGAAAGGGCGCCTGCTTGCCATCGAAGCTATTGTTAACGAATTGGATGAAGACGAAGACACGCGCGCGGAGAATAAGCAAAAGGACAAATTAGCCAGGCGTGTTTATTTTTGGCGTTATGTTACATTCTTTGAACCTCCTCTTGTTCAATTGATTCCGATCCCCAGCTGGTGCTCTCATCGATAGCGTGGGCCAAAAGGCGTGCCCTCCACGTTTTTTTTACAGGAAGTATCATTATGGCGAATAACTTACACGTTTTGGATGGTGCCCAAGAACGAGTTGAGGAACTGGTTCTTGGAGGCCTTGGTGCGCTGGAGGACAAAGTTCTCGGTCGACTGGACTGTGTCAAAGAGTGGGTTGTACTGATCGCATGGTGTCGGCAGGATGAAGACGTTGTGAGGAGGCTTGAGATGAGCAGCCATGACCGAAGAGATGCGAGAGGCCGCGGGCCAAGAGGAAGTTTTTAGAGAGTGGGCGTGGGTGTACGGTCTATTTTTACTTTTATGTTTTCGAGGGTAACGAGAAGGAGAGAACGGGATGAATGGAACTCAATGGCAAGGAGGAAGGGTGATGAAGGGTAGAGTAGAGTAGAGTATGCGAGTTCGTTGGGGGGTGATGGTCGAAGGCGCGCGATGGGGTTTTGAGGGTAGAGTGGAGTGAGTGGGTAATATGAGTAGAAAAGGGTATGTGTGGAGGAAGTGTGGTAAAGAAGGAAAAGTAAAGTCAGAAACGGGAGAGAGAGAGAGAGAGAGAGTGAGAGAGCGAGAAAGTAAGAAAAATGTGGACGGGAAGGGGGAGGAAACAAAGAAATGAAACTGAAGGACAGCCTGGGTGTTTACCCAACGAACAGCTCTTTTCCCACTTTTCCTTCCTTCCCTTGCTCTCATTCTCACTCGCATGTTTGTGATACAGATGCACACACACACACACGCGTGCGCCCTTACAGGCGGGAGTTTGTTCGACTCGCAGACAGACAGTCCAGCACACGCTTCGTATAACATCTGTTGTCTTCGTTGTCTTCCCTCGAGTCAATCAGTGCACGTCGCGGACAGGAAAGCCAACTAAACTTCCCTTGATAAACGGTCAATTGCACGCCCGAGAACCAGGAGAGAAGGAATTACACAACCCATGATACTTCTTATCTGCAATGGTCCCTTGTCGACCATTGCTTTGCCTTCTCCCTTCCTTTGGCGCAGCGAAAAAAAAAAAAAAAAAAAAAAAAAAATCCTTCGAAAATTGGGACGAGTCACGTGGGGCGGCGGGGGACTCGAAGGCAACCAACTCTCTTGGGCGACGAAATGTCCGCCATCAACAACTTCTCTCCCTCATCGACAGCACATTAAAGGACAAATGAGACCCGACCCACATAAACAGGCCGCCTCGAGAAAATACCACAACAAGGTCAAGTCTCGGGGAGGTAGCGCTGCAGGAACCACAGGAGTAGGAGAATCGACCTCAACCCCTGCCTCAAGAGGCGGAAGAGGAGGTGGACAAGGGGCAGGCGCTGGATCCAATCGTGGCTCGCGTGGAGGCGGACGTGGTGGACGTGGAGGATATCGTGGCAGGAGCAATGATGACGAGGATGAAGGCGAAGGCGAGCCAGACGAGGATGGTGAATACGGTTCGTGTCTCTTTTGTTGATCCTTAACCTGGAATTGCTTTTGACAGTGGACTTGCACTTTATCCAAGGACATTTAAGCATACTTATCGCCAATCCTCGATATTCCAGCCCCTAGAAAGAATTACGCCAGGCGCAAGATTACAAGCAATGCAGATCGGTACGCCGAACGCGATGTAGAAGGTAAAATCATTGGCGCCACTAGTCGAAAACATAAGGTGGTTGAAACTATATTGGGCGCTGTGAACCAACTAATGTTTATTTTATTATATAGTGAACGAGGAGGAGGAACTGGAACAAGGCATAGACAGGCAAACTATAGCATTTCGTGAAATGCTCAAGGACTCAGGTACCGTTCGTCCTTTATAAGCAATAGCAGAGTCAGTCAACCATGGATCTGCACTGCCTAACGGGATTATTTGTGTCCTATTTTCCTTGGCATTTCATTCTTCTAAATCTGGGGATTACGTTCCCGCCACGTTCCCTTTCCTTTGTAATAGACCAGAAGAAAACATTTGATCCAGCGGCATATTTCCGCTTCAAGTCTGAGAAGGCAGTCGAGACACAGGATGCATTGGAGGATTCGCAACAGGCGCGCAAGCTGTTGGAAGTCCGCCTGAATGACATTGAGGCTGCATTGATGACGCTCTCAATCAAGGATCGTCTTTGCCTCCGAAACTCAGATGTGAAAGCAGTAAGTCGGAAAGCTATGGATACGCATTTGTGGATCAAGCACGTATCGCACCTGCGTTGACATTGGAGGCATTCGTACTTACCTATTATACAAATTGCCTTCTTAACGTAGCTCGATCGGGATATTGTGGGAAAGGTCTCGCTGACAACAGGAAAACCGATCGTCCCCAAGCTGGTCCGAGGTCAAGTTGCCGCGGATACCTTGATCAAACCTTCTGCTAGTGCTGGTGCCGCCTCTACAACCACAATGTCAGCCCAATACAGCAAAGCAGTGTCAGGGTCATCAGATGCCAGCAAGCAAGGTAGGAATATTGGATTTGAATGGATAGGGCACAAATCATTGTACCATGGCCATCTCGATACGGCACATCACAAAAGGCGGCGCAGAAGTTCCCAAGAATGTTGACAAAAGATATTGTGGTTTGTGGTTTTTTGTTTGTTTGTTTGTTGTTGCTTAGATTCAATAGACGACGATCTGGATGAACTCCTCGACATTACGAAATCATACGGTCGTGCCCGTCCTGCACCAACACCATCATCTGATGCAGTGACCTTGTCTGCAATGGTCAAGCCTACCACTCCTACCGCTGCTAATGCATCTAGAACAAAGTTTTCATTGCAACCACTTTCAAAGGGTGGTGCCAAGGCGACGACCAACGATAAGACCAGCCCACCTGCACGTAAGGTTCTCCCGCCACTCAAGAAAGGAGCCCCATCATCGGGTCCGGCCGAGAAGAAGGACGAGGCTTGGCTTGACTCTGTGCTTGGGATTTAGAGTCCTTGTATTGATTTATAAAAATAACGAGCATGAACTCTACAAGCTATTCTTACTTTGTTTTTATTTTTCTCCGACTCTCTTGCGGACAAGCCATGAAGGAAGGAAGGACATGCGATTGTTGAAAAAGGGTTGAATTGGGGATGACAAATGTCGACAGTGCCCCCGCTTTCTTTTTAGTTGTCGCGTTCGTAGGGTGGAGAGGAGACGTGAGTGTTTGATGTGGCGGTGCAAAACACTCTCTAACACTCAATTCCTTTGCACATTCACCCATCCCCTGCTTGAGAGACATTCAATGTTGGGTTTTGAACCTAATCCAGGGCGCAGCTTGTGCACACAATCGCAAAACCAGTTTGTAATTAGAAAAATAGACGGACGCAGACGGACACCATTTGTCCACGCTAGTTTTGCCACTGTAATATCTCTGTAGGGGCCTTGGATTGTCGAGCATAGCCCTAGAAAAGGAGGAGGAAGGACAAGAATAAGTTTTTGCTAGTGGGAGCAAGATGTTGAGCCATTGACAGCAGCTAACGTGTGATGATGGGAGAGAGAAGAAGATGGACCATCGCCGCCTTTTTTTCCTTTTTTTCCTTTTTTTCCTTTTCTTCCGGGTAGCGTCCATCCAGACCACAGTGGATGAGCACTTGGGCTTTGATTTTCCTGGTTTGATTGATTTGCGTTGTGTGTTTCCCCTTGTTTCCCCTTGTGGGCCACTCACTGACCACTGCTCCTCCTTTGTTCGCACCAAGAAGACACATAAAAAGACGCCGCACACACACGATCAACTGCTGCTCTCCTTCTTCTTTCTTGTCGTCCTGCTGCTCTTCGCTGCTTCCCTTTTATTTGTTTGTTTGTTTGTTTTGTTCTTCTTCTTCTTTCCCTTCCTTTTCTCTTGTCTTCCTTCCTCCCCTTCCTCCCCTTCCTCCCCTTCCTCCTCTTCCTCCTCTTCCTCCTCATACCCATACCATAGTACCCATAATAATAATCGAGCATTTCCCCCTCGCCATCTTCATTTCCGTCTTCGCCTGCCTGCCTGCCTACCTGCCTGCTTGCTCCTGCCTGCTGTCAACCTCCATTTTATTCTTCCTCCTCTCCTCACCCTCCCACCCCTCGCTCCACCACCCTCACTCACATACACCCTCACTCACACTTTTAACCCCCCCTACGATTATTTTTGACATTCCTGCATCGTTCAAACTCAAGGGATGCATCCAGTTGCTCCTCATTCACACCCCTTTCACAGCCACATCAACGACGACAACAACCATCCCTCATGTTCGCAGCAACGACCAACCTCGAAAGGAAACCCTCCATCCGAACCCACTCAGGAACACCCCGCTCCATAAACAATTCAGCAACAAGGCCACCTCGTCATGAGTCGACTTTGGAAATCGAGGTCGAGTATGTCAGCACCAATGACCTCTTCTTGGAGAACAATAACAACAGTGACCACCACAACAGCAGCGGCAGTAACAACGACAACAGCTCCTTGTCTTCGGGTCGTCCTCATCCTACCTCTCCCCTACAAGGGGTCCAACAAAGAAGCAAAGACCATGATCAAGAAGACGCAGAGACGGACGCGACAGTGCACCTTAAACGCCAGGAACAACGCCTCCGGTTTCAGCTGCAAGACGATCACTTTGCGCGCGACTATCTCCCGACTTATGACACCTCCACTCCGGCACCAACTCTCAACAGCTCCTTGTCTCTCAATCTCCTCCCTGGCACGTTGACACAGCGACCACGATACCCGCCTCGTCCGCACTCCTCCCCCTCCATGACCGTGAACAACAAAAACAGTAGCAGCAACATGACAAGAGACTCTATCGACCAGACTGTCCCTCCTGCCCAGCCTCCTCCTCATCCTCCTCAGCGCACTCTCCATGTCGATACTAGTCTTCCATCTCATCAATACCATCCTCAACAACAGCAGCAACAGCAACAACAATTGCTTCGACCGTTGCTTCAGCATCACCATCACCAACATATGCAGCAACAACAGCAATACCAGCAGCGGCTTGCGGAGGCAAACGGCATCCAGCAGCAGGGTCGTCAGGGATCTGCAGTAGCATCGGATCGTATCCCTAATAGTACACCCCCGCTGATACCCTCCGCATCTTCTTCCGCAGGGTCACCGCCGCGCACGGACGGCGAAAGTGTTTCAACTACTGGATGTCTGAAACTAGCCGACCAACTGTTCAAGAGTCTAACTGAAGACGACGATGAGGGTGAGGATGAGGGTAAGGATGAGGACGAGACTGGAGGACTTGACTACCTTGAGCAATCGGACTCGGGTCATCTTTCCCACGATGAACAGGAAGATTCTTTACCAAGGCACGAGCCCACCCAACAACAACTGCAGCAACAGCAGCGGCAACAGCAACATTATCTACAGCAGCAGCAATATCAACAACAACAACAACAACAACAACAACAACAACAACAACAACAACAACAACAACAACAACAACAACAACAACTGCAGCAACAACAACTGCAACAACAACAACTGCAGCAGCAACAACAAAATTCCATTTCTGTACAAAGAGCCGCTGCAGTATCGCCTAGACCGCCATCGGCTCGCTCACCTAGATCTTCCGCATCAAATGTTCGAAACCCAACAATGCACAGTGAGGACCCCAATAGAAAATATGTCCCCGAGATGGAGACCCAGGAGACACTCAAACGAGAACGAACTCGGATCCTCTCCCGACCTGCCATCTCTAGCTATCGTAGGATTAACTACAGGGACATTACAGACATCAAGCCGCTCAAGAAGGGAGGGTTTGGCGAGATTCATGTTGGCGAGTGGTCTCGTCTTCGGGTTGTTCTCAAGCGGGCCTTGGTCGATCATGGTGAAGGAGTAGAGCAGTTTGCTCAAGAGGTTAGTACATTTGTTGTTTATTGTTATTAGAATTTTGCTCAAAAGGCTGGCTTGTAACACCTTTTTTTATATTTTTCGACTCTTTACGAATTAGCTGGAGATCTTGACACGAGTCCATGACTATGACTTTATTGTCCCCTTCTACGGAGTGGCGACGGACCCAACGACGCATGTCAAGTGCATTGTGATGAAGCACTGCAGCAACGGTAACCTGTGTACATTCCTGGAAAAGAACCATTCGACCCTAAGCTGGAATGAGCGCTACCGCCTCTCGATCGAGATCACCAAGGGGCTTGAGTTTCTTCACAAGTCGGGGTTCCATCATCGCGACCTGCACAGTGGCAACATTCTGCTGGACGACAAACGGACGGCGATGATCTGTGATTTTGGACTCAGTCGATCCTCGACCAAGGCGCAGACTGCTGATATTGTTGCTGCTGTCGGTGTGGCTTCTTTCCTGGCACCAGAGCGGTTCCCGACAAAGCGACCCATCTACACAGCGGCTTGTGATATCTACAGTCTGGGAGTCATCTTTTGGCACATCTCGTCAGGCCGGATCCCGTTTGCGAAACGGCTTCGGGAGGCGGCGTTGTTGAAGGAGCTGATGGAGGGTCATCGGGAGCAGATTGTACCGGGGACACCCAAGGAGTATCGGGATATGTTGGTCAAGTGCTGGGATGTCAACCCTGCGAAAAGACTCAAGATCGATATTGTGATTGCGATCCTGCAGACGCTGATGGCTAAACCGACTGAGCCTGTCCACCAGATCGCAACCGGGTTTATGGTCCCAAGTTTGACTCAGTCAGCGGCTTTGCCGATGCCACCCGAGTTGAGCGCCAAGATGTCGACCCTTGAACGTGCCTCGAACGCTCTCAACAAGATGGTGTTTGATATCAAGGATCCAGAGATGAAGGAAACCGTCAAGTACATCGAAGGTATGTCGTGTCTCGGTGTTGTTGACTTATGCGCCACCAAAATTAATACTTGATACGAAATAACTCACTCTCTTGATGTGGCTCTTAGAAACGCGCAAGTACTTTACGAACCAACGTCTGCCCATGGAACCCTACAGCCCAGCCAACCCACCCAAGACACCCATCTATCTCTGCCCACTCGTGGGCGATATCCCCGCCTTCAACTACTACCTCCACCACCGTGGCCCTTACAACCCCATCAACGAATCCAGCTCCCAAACCGGTGATACGGCATTGCATCTGGCTTGTCTTTTCCTCGAATCTCCCCTGGACACCATTAAGGTCCTGATCGAACTCGGCGCGGATATCAACCTTGAGAATTTGCAGGGATACACCCCCGTCATGATCTTGGTCTCGTCCAATACTCAGTACTGCTTTGAGGCGCTTAAGTTCTTCGTCATGCGAGGAGCTCGTATCCCGGCGTATATTCGGAACCCGATTACGCCTTTAAACAGTGCACAAACTTACGCGCTTAATCTTATCAGTGAGTCTCGACTGTACCAGCGCCCATCGGCCTTCCCTCCACCAGCTAGTGGTGGTCGGCCGGCGACTAACAGTGTTATCCCGCGATGGAGCACTCAACCACCTCCACAGCAACAACAACTATCGGGACAATCACGGACATCCTCTCAACAATCCCCTCCAGGATCCCGGACCGACCGCCCCTTTGCTCAAGGTCGTCCCTTAATCCACGTCGTCGCCGCAATGCAAGAAGACCACCGGATCCTGGACTGTCTTTACGAAGCCGGACTCGATCCTGCGATGACCTTTGGAGGCGATACGGCCCTCGTCGCCGCCGCGGCTCATCTCCGGATCAAAAACGTCGAATGGCTCCTCAACAACGATCTTGATATCAGTTCTACCGATATGGGTATCCAGCGCGCCATCCAGGCCGTCAAGATGATCCATGGTCCGGCCCCGCTATCCACCGGCGAACTCCCCAGCAGTATGCATTCCCCCTACAACCCTAATGTTGGTGCAGACGGTAAACCCACTGACGCCGTGAAACAAAAACAGTACCTGGACGAACTGCGCGATTTGGGGAAGTACTCCTGGGCGGGCGTGGCCTACAAGGTCTCGGAGAGCGCTGGCAAGGATATGGTCGGTCCCGTATTACAGCTACTGGAACAGTGGACTGGCGGACGGAGGATTCAGGCCCGGAAGGAGGTTGCGACGAAACTGAAGGTCATGTATGGACACGAGGTCCCACCCGAGCTTGTCGACCAGCAGTTCCCTTATTCTCATGGCAGGACATCTTCTTCTTCCAACTCGCTGGCGTCTAGTGATAGCAGCAGTAGCAGTGGTGAAGGTGTCGGCGCCTATCATCCGCCGTCGATGGCCATGCCTGCCCAACATCAACTGCACCAACAGAACCGTCGTCAGCTTCAGCAACAGATTCAGCAGCAACAGCAAGTCCATCAGCAGCTTCAGCAGCAGATCCAGTTCTACCAAGGTCTGGGCGGCAGTACCGGTAACGGCAACGGCAACGGCAACGGCAACGTCAATGGGCAACAGAATGGCAATTCGAGATCTAAATTTACTCAAGGCCACAGGATGCGGTCGCTTCGCAAAAGTCAACGCGCTCTCATCGACGAGGCCTTGAACGAGAAGACGTCCATCAAGTTTTGGTAGACCCCGATCTCGCTCTCCTCCTCCTCCTCCTCCTCCTCCTCCTCCTCCTCTTCCTCTCAGATCGAGAGCGACATGCGCATATTCCGCCGCGAACACATTAAACCTAGAGAAGCACCACAAACTTTTGCATATTTCAATTCTTGTGTCCTGGTCCAACCCATGTTTAATTATTTGTCAGAACCGTCTCTATTCGGTGGCGAGGTGCTTTCTTTTGTGAGTGTGTCTAAAATAGTGGGGACATTGTAACTCTCCATGGTGGGGTGTTTGTAAAAATACATGCGAAATGCTGAACAAAAAAAATGTGCGATAAAAAAAGGAATGGTGGTGGTGGTGGGACGAGAAGAAAAAAAATAATAAACAGAAAAAAATATGCTTAGATGTAGGCACGGCTACCATGCTTAGCCATATCCATAATACGCACACCTCTCGTCAAAGGGTTCTGCATAGTCTCAGGGGTCAACGTAATAACACAGGCATAAGTGCACTCCTCAATCGCATCCTCCTTTCCGAAAACAACCTCACGCGTCAACCGGTTGCGGAAGACGGTCACCTCCTGAGTGTTGAACGAGATGATCAGGACAGGAATATCGTTCTCGAGAACCTTGGCCGAGACCAAATCGACGTTACGGAGTTCAAGAATCTTGCAGTCGCTCACGAGGCCCTGAGCGATCTGGGCCTGGAATCCAGCGGTGAGGACGTTGTAGGTTGCCTCAGAGCACCATTCGTTCAAGGTCTCAGAGTCGGCGTTGAGGACAGCGTCCATGATCTCGGGGATGATGAACTCGCGGGCCTCCTTCATGAAGTTGTCCATCTTGAAGCGGGGGTCGATCATTTGGAGAGCTCTGATGGTCTTGGCGTTCTCGGTCTCATCCAACATCGAGACTATTAATGAATGGCAAGAAGAAAGCAAAATATGTGAGTATACTTGCAATGGGTTCTTTTGTCGCTGAGATAAATGAAAAAAGAGATCAATTCGAGACATGAAACTCAAAATTTCATGCGGGTAGGTACGTACCCCAGACGTCGGAGATCTTGTCGGTGACCACGCGAGCCCAGGCAACGAAAACATTGTTGGAATCCTCATAGTTCTTTTTGATGCTGAAGACACTCTGCATCACCGGGTTGGTATCCTTGAACTTTGACCAGGTCTCCTTCCATGCAGAGTCCTTGTGAAGAACCATCGACTCTCCAGCGCTAAGAGCACAATTCGATTGAAAGATGGTGATCGGGGTCAGAATACAAGTCCAGATCAAGGGAATGACCTTGTCAATATCGTACAAGTCTAAGAACAAAAGCAAATTCGAGTGCTTACTTGACATCCTCCTCGGTCTTGGGAACGGCAGCAGCGGCAGCCTTCTGGGCCTCCTTGGGGCTGTAGTCAACGGCCAATCCACGGGCACGACGGCGCTCGGCCTTGGAGATGTATCCTCCGTATCTGGACTCGGTGTCCTGGATAAGTGTCTCTGCTGACTCCTTGACGTTCTTGAAGTACTCGTTGTCACGGAGGGGCTTTGTTGAAGAATCGACGGACTCGGCAAACACCTTTCCAGTCTCAGAGAAGACCTTTCCAGTTTCCGAGATCTATGTAGTCATGTGCGTAGTAGTGTGGACAGTGTAATGTTAGGAACCATTGCTCGCCCTTTGTCCTGAATTGATAATTGAGAGGGGACAGTGACAGGGGAGATGACAACACAATACATCATATCATATCAGAAAACACAATAGCATTACCTTCTCCTTGGATCCCTTGATAAACTCGTTCTCGGCGGCACCCTTCAAGGTCTCGCTGACGGTCTCTCCGAGCTTGTCGGTGGCCTTCTTGAACTGCTCTGCGGTCTGCTTCAGCTTTTCCGTTGCTACGCTTGCACCAGCAGCACTCTCCTGTTAATTTATCAAGATCGAGGGACGTCAACAGCAGCAAGGAGATCGAAAAAGTAAAGGGAAAGGGAGAATAGAAGGAGACAAAACAAGGTTTCGTTAGTCACAAAAGTCGTGAAATCGTCATATATGGACATGCCGACATGCCCGTCCAACAAAAACAGGTTAAAAGGATAAAAGGGAAAACAGCGAGCACAACGAAGCAAAGGAAAATAGACAACAGAAAACAACAAAACAAAAGCACATCAAACAAGTGGAAGTGGGGGGGGTTACCTTGGCTCTCTCAAAGGCATCCTTGGCCTTCTTGAGGGCATCGCTATCGCCAGCCTTGCCAGACTCATCCTGCAACTTCTTGACAGACTCCTGAAGCTCCTTGTTCTTCTTGATCTGCTCCTTGAAAGTCTCGACAAACTTGCTGAACGCACTCTGGGACTCGTGTCTAGCGGTGATCAGGGGTGCGCGGATATGACGACCGGCTGGGTGGGCGGTCAGCCGTTGTGAGGAAGGAGCGAGGAGTGAGCTGGGACGGATCGCCTTGGCGGTTGTGGAGGAGACGAGGGATCGAAGGGCCGACATGTTATTATTGTTGTGTTCCTGGTGGTCGAGGTTGTTGTTGGATTAGTCGGGTTGGAGAGGTGATGCTGGCTGATCGGGAGAATGAGGACAGAAGAGAAAGAAAGCGGGAAGAGGGAAAGAAGGAAAAGTAGAAAAGGGAAAAAAAGAATGGGGAAGAGTGAGGGACTGGGGGGGGGAGATCTCGACAGAAGCGCACAGAAAGAAAAAAAACGGCGGTCAATTGTGGATCTGTGGCTTTGCACGAACCACCTCATACACTTAGCACTTTGTGCGGGGACTGATCGGAGGAAAGGAGAAAAGTAGCCGACTCCTACTTTCGTCTTCTCAGGAACACAGGCACAAGAACAAAACTCTCACTCCCACAAGACACGCACATAGGAAGCAGTTGAAGGAATGAAAAAAAAACGCAAATGAATACATGTTGTAGCAGATATAATGAGCTATGGTAAGATAACAATGAAAAAAAGTAAAAGAAGTTTGGACGTTGCTGTGTGCAAAAATATGGGAATCCCTATCCAGTCGGTGTTTGCTCTCCTATCTACTTCCTGTCGTCCTTGGTGGCAGTCTCGGCAACCGCCTTCTCAACGGCCTTCGAAAGCTCAGGGTCAAGTGTTGCCGATCCGCTGACAAGGGGCTCGACAACATCAGTGATGTTCGATTCCGTGGGCTGATCTGGGGTCTCGGTAGGCTCTCCTGGTGCTGGTGCTGCTGGTGATGAGGGCTTGCTGTCCTGCTGTTGTGCCTCTGTGATTTCCTCCTCGCCGCCAATGTCCTTCATCATCTCAGCCAAGAGCTGATCAGCAACATCCTTGACCTCCTTCGATGGCTCCTCATTCTCGGCCATCATAGCAGCAACAGATCGGTTTCTGCTCTCGCCCTTCTTGGCCTTCTCCATCTTCTTCTCTCCAACGCCCAACTCCTCGTTCTCCCAGACAGTGACCTTCATTCCGACACCAGCAATAGCGTTTTGGTTCAAGAACTGGACCCAGCGACGGACAACGTCGGGGTGGGTATCCTTGATGGCCAAGAGACGCTTGTGTGTCTTTCTCTCAAAGGTCTCCTGAGCCTTTTTGTGAACAAAGGGCGACTTGTTGACAGTCCACTTGGAAGTTTGGACGGGCAAGGGGATCGCGCCAGAGCATGGCATCTCCAAGGCGGCAGCAGCGCGACGGGCGAAATCAGCAAAGAACTCCAGTTGGTGAGGGAGGTAGGAGCGAAGATGAAGGTGAGCGACGGTGATGTTGTGGGTGGTGGGGATCTGAACAGGCTCTCCGTAAACAAGGCCGTCCTCAGCGGACATGTCTTCAGGAAGGGCGTTCTTCGCCGCTGGGGTGCTAGTAGTAGGTGCGTGTCCAAAAGTATCGGATCGTATGTTGTCGGGTAAAGAATAATACAAACGGCATTAATATCCTGTACAAGGTTTCCGTGCTTGCATGCCAACAACGCTCCAAGATAGTCCAGATACACGCACTGAAGACCTCAATGCTGTTGGACAGTTGCTTTTGGTCCCTCGTCTGTTTTCATTGCGAGATCCTGTACCTGAGAGAGCGGGTGGCGATGGCGACGACGGACTTTTTGGCCGATGCCAATCCTTGTGCGGACAAGCTTGTCTTGAATGAGCTCAACATGGCTGTGATTGATGTGTTGTTTGGTGAGTGAATGAGTGGCGGTGAATCGGCAAGTCGGCTGTTGTCGTTTAGGGGAATGAACCAAGTTGTTGATTTGTCCGAGTACAAGCAACGAATGAGGGAGAGTCTTCGCTGCCACAGAGACAAAGTCAATCCCGATATCCGCTGCTTGGACAGCCAAAACAGTGGCGTAAAGGGAATCTAGCAAACAATTATGCAGTCACATTGTTTACTTGCAGCTTTGTATTTTCTTTTTTTTTTTTCTTTTTCTTTTTTCCCTTTTACTTGCTTGCAATAGTAGTGCTACTTCTTTGTTCCCCTCTGGCTGGCTGCATTCCTTTTAGTCACTTTCTCCCTTCTCATTCCTTTCACCTACCTTGCATTCGACAGCAACATCGCCATCGAAAACACTCGCTTCTCTCCCTCTCTCTCTCTCTCCCTCACACACACACACGACTCGTCACCTCAACCGACCACCCTGCACTTCAACTCGCACCAAATTATCTTAAACACACAATATGGCTGCTCCACCGCCCCAGGGCAAAATCCACCTTAAAACAAGGTACTTTTCACCACCTCGCACCATCACCATCCCTTCCATACCTACAGGAAACAAGGACTCGATAACACGCGAATCAATTGACAGGGGAATCTAACGACTTTCTTTTGATAACAACCCATTCTTGTAGCTTTAAATCGACGCAGACGATCGAGTCTATCTACACTGGAGGCAAGGTCTGCATATCTCAGGATGAACAGTTCCTTATCACAACCGTTGGCGAGGATATTGACGTTATTGAGATCAAGACCGGAAAGAAGCTTTGGAGACTCAAGGGTGACACAGAGATCATCACTATGTTTGCAGTCACCCCCGATGGCCATACCCTCGTCAGCGCCAGCAGGAGTCTTTTGCTCAAGACCTGGGATCTTCGCACAGGAACACTCGTCAGAAGTCTGAAGGTACAACTTCAAGCACCTTTTTTTCTACTTTGAATACCATTACAACATACAGATTCAAGACCAATTGGACCACTAATACTCGGAAAAAATGTTCAACTTGTGAATGCAATAGGCCCACGACGCACCTATTATTGTCATGGACATTGACAGGTCCTCTTCATTGGTCGCCACAGGATCTGCTGACGGCACAGTCAAGGTCTGGGATATCGCAGGAGGATTCTGTACACACAACTTCAAGGGACACGGTGGTGTTATTTCAGCCGTCCTCTTCCACCCAGATCAGTCCAAGACGTGGCTGTACTCGGGAGCTGACGACTGCACTGTCCGTGTCTGGGACCTTAAGACCAGAAAGTAAGGAACCGTGTTTCCGTTTTCTGAATCACATCGCTGCCTGTCATTCTAAGAGAGCGAAGACTAACCGTTTCTTCTTTGATTGCTCTACTCAAAAAGGGCTCTTGCCGTGTTGGAATCTCACGTTTCTGTTATTCGAGGATTGGCTGTCACCCACTCTGGCAACACTCTCATCAGTGGTTCTCGTGATAAGGTCGTCAACGTCTGGGATCTGACCACCTTGAAGCTCGCCACCACCTATCCTATCTATGAGACTCTGGAGACTGTCGGTATTCTGCAGAAGGGCAAGATCCAGCGCATTGGCGACAAGGACGTCTCGGACAAGGATATGTTCTATACCGCTGGTGATGCTGGTGTTATCAGGATCTGGGATCTTAGGTCGGGAGAGTTGATCGCCAAGCAGAAGGAGGAGCAAGGAAGCAAATCAGGCATCTCTGACGTCTTGTAAGTTTCGCACCCTTGGGTCAGATTGACTCGAAGCCACACACCGCTCAATAACGATGAGCCGTGCAATAACGCTCATACTAACACAATACGTCTCTTTGTCAATCTCCCACTCAGGTACAACACAACATCGCAGCAATTGGTATCGATCACGAGCGACCAGAACATTTTGTTCTTTGACGTGGAGAATGACTTGAAGCGCGTGAAGCAGATTGTTGGATACAACGACGAGATTATCGATGTGGCGTACATTGGCGAGGAGGAGACTCATTTGGCCGTTGCTGCGAACAGTGAACAGATCCGCGTTTTCAACTTGAAAGAGTTTGAGTGTGACCTTATCTATGGACATACCGACATTGTCATCTGCCTGGACAGGAATACAGATGGCACCCTCTTGGCTTCTGGATCCAAGGATAACACAGCCAAGGTCTGGGCGTTGGATTTAGAGAACGAGGATGCAGATGAGAGATACAAGTGCATAGGATCGTGTGTTGGTCATGCAGAGGCTATTGGAGCTGTTGCTTTGACGAAAAAGACCGATGGTCTTTTGTTGACCGGATCTCAGGACAGAACCATCAAATGCTGGGACCTCAGCACAGCTGGTACGCGTAGCTCTTTTGTGTTTTTTTTTCTTGCGCTTTGTTAGCTGTTCGTCACCAAGTGTAAGAAATGACATTGACCCCCTTTCTCCCTCCTTTTTATTGCACTTACAGATTTGGATGAGCCAGATGAGAACCTTCGCTTCAAGTCACATTACACAATCCAGGCACACGAGAAGGACATCAACACCATTGACATTGCACCCAACGACAAGGTTTTCGCGACTGGATCTCAGGACAAGCTGGCCAAGATCTGGAACCTTCAAGAGGGTACTCTGATTGGAACCTGCAAGGGTCACAAGCGTGGTGTCTGGTCTGTCAAGTTCTCGCCCGTCGATCAGTGCTTGGCTACCAGTTCAGGAGACAGGACGATCAAGATTTGGTCATTGAATGATTTCAGCTGTCTCAGGACGTTTGAGGGCCACACCAACTCGATTCTCAAGGTCCACTTTATGACCTCGGGTCTTCAGTTGGTCTCTTGCGGTTCGGACGGCTTGGTCAAGCTCTGGACGATCCGTAACAACGAGTGTGTCACGACCCTGGATAACCATACCGAGAAGATTTGGGCCTTGGCTGTTCGCAAGGATGAAAACATGGTCGTGACAGGAGGCGCTGATTCGATGATCAACATGTGGGAGGATTTCACCGAGATTGAGTATGCCGAGAAGAAGGCGGCCAAGGCCGATCAGGTCCTCAAGGAGCAGGAGCTGTCGAACTACTTGGCGCGCAAGGACTGGAAGAACGCTATCACATTGGCCCTGTCATTGGAGCAGCCCTTCAGGTTACTCCAGCTCTTCAACCAGATCCAGCAAGACCGTCCTGAACACGATACCTCGGTCACTGGTCTCGAGGCTGTTGACAAGGTCCTTCTGGGTCTCTCGCCCGATCAGATCGCCAAGCTGTTGGGCTATGTCCGCGACTGGAACACCCATGCCAAGAACATGCGCGCCGCCCAAACTGTCCTTAACGCCATTCTCAGACAACGCAAGGTGCAAGAGATGATTGAGATTCCTGGCATCAAGGATCTGTTGGATGGTCTCTTGCCCTATAGCGACCGTCACTTCCAGAGGGTTGAGGCTTTGACTGTCCGGAGCTATGTCGTCGATTACACTGTTCAGGCTATGGATCTGATGAGTCTTGTGGGCGGCATGGATGAGATGGAGATGGATGATGAGGAAGGTGAGGAGAGTGAGGATAAGAGTTTGCGGGCACAGAGGAAAGCAGAGGAGGAGAACATGGCCAAGGAGAGGCATGAGGCCCTTGCTGCTGCTCGTGCCGCCACAGCTCATACCTCAACTGCTCAACAGCCTGCTGCTGCTACTGTTGCAGAAGCTGCCGAGGATGCTGAGGAGGAGGATGATAGTGAAGACGACGACGACGATGAGGAGGATGATGACAAAGATAGCGACGAGGAGAACGAAGAAGATAGCGACGAGGACATGGAGTAGTAACTGAAGTAGCCGTTTTTTTGCACATTTTATCCCACACCATTCATGAAATAGACATTTCCCACATTTTGCATTTTTTTTAAATCCGTGCTCCTTATCATCATTCATTCATTCAGCACTTAAACATTGCACACAGTGACCAAAAAAAAAAAAAAAGATGGAAGAAGTAATTTATTTTCAATCTGCCGTTCCAACCCGCAACCAGGGGAGGTATTGAAGGAAAAGGGAAAGCAAAGAAAAAGAAAAGATACATGTTTTTGGGGAGATATGATTGGCTCTGAGGAATTCTGATTCGTCGCCAATGGCATTTTTCAGGCACAGGCACAGGCACAGGCACAGGGACCTCATATACCCCATATCACAATACCATGTCCGCTTCCCATCTCTTTTCTTTTATATCTTCTATCTTCTATACATTATACGCTATATTTTCTATCCCTACCCACCATCACTACTACGCTACGCTCTTTAGCAGCATTTTGAGCAGTACTTGCTTCTTTTAACCATTCACTCTTTTTTCTGCACCCATTGTTGATCTTTTGCTTTTGATTTTGATTTTGATACTCTTTTTATTTTCATTGCAGGTGGGGACTAGGCGGTGTCTTCTCTTACAGCCTTCTGGTCTCGGCAACAATTAATCAATTGGTTAACAGTCCATGACTTTGCCTTGAACATTGCATCGAGCTCCGACATGGCCCTCTGGATGGCATCCTGTTGATTAAGGCTTTCATCTGTTGCTCTGATTTGGTCGGCTAGGTATTCGACCTCCTCAACCACTCGCTTTTTGTTGTTGAGTTGTTTCTGGTGTTTCCTGGAGATGCCCATTGATTTCTTTCCTGCCTTTTGTCGTTCCTGCTCGAATTTTTGATATTCTTCCCAGATAGCTGCCACGTTTCCAAGCCTGTAGTTGACTGAAACTGTGACGCCGCCTGTCGTTGCATTGATACTGGTTGTGGTGGCGGTGGCGGTCGTAGTTGTTGTAGTTTCAGTTGTCGGCATGGTCGTGGATGGCTGCTGTTGCTGCACAGGCACAGGCACGGCTTGTAGAGGTATCCGCTGGGACTGGGGCTGGGACTGGGGCTGGGACAGGGCAACTGGGGCACATCTCGGGACCAATGCTGTTACCGGCGCTTGCGCGAGTTTTCGAGGAAAAGAAGAAGGACCCGACTGCTCAGAATGGGCCTGGAAAGCAGTGGACACGGCTAGAGCGGGAGCGGATCCAAATGCGTGTTGACATGAGGGTGCTGGGTATGGTTGATATGAGAGCGCTGAATATGACTGCCAGGGAGGGAGGGCAGAACCAGGGGCGGAGGGGCCAAGTTGGCTCATCAGATAATCCAACTTGGACTCGACACGGGAAATAGTATCCTTGAAATAGCTCATGCCACAGTCAAAGGGAGCGTCCACATACATCATGGCTTGATCCAGGCGTTCAGCTGCTGTCCTCCGAAGCCCTTGTACCTCGCGCTCCATGTTCTCCAAGCTCCCCGGTAGCCTCCCCATTATCTCCCCTTGCCGAGCGAGAACTCGTTGCTGGTCCTGGAGAACCATCTTCACATTGGGATGCATGTCCGCTGGCAATGCCATATCCTTCGAGCTCAACGCTGCCTCTACCTGCTCCTTAAAGGCCTGGAAAGCCGGCGTCTTGAACACTCCGAATGCCAATAGAGGCGACTCGACATCGGTGAACCTGTACAAGTACTCTGCAGCATCCTGAAGGATCACACGTCGCAGGCGAAGAAGTGCTTTCAAAAAGCATTGTTTCGCCAGGTCAGATTGTCGAGTGGTGGAAGGGACAAAACTTCGGATGTTCGGATCGTACTGCAGCGGCAAGACACTGCTGAATTGGGAAGGATCATTGGCGCTCCTCTCCTCCATTTCGTGTATGCACTCCGCTTGCCATTTGTCGTACTCAGAGCTGCCTGGAGGTCCGAATGCGGTCTCGATGAAAGGAAATATTTGTCGTTGCAGGTCCAAACTAGGTGAGATTTCGTTCCGCTTGAGATGAAAAGGTACTTGTCCGCCCAGGAATCCAGCCATTTGAACCGCGAAATGGTACGAGGGTTCGTCATCGTAGTACTCGTCCAATCTGCTGCTTTGATTTACCCAACGGCCTGCCTTCTTGGTATCCTCTCGCCTGATTCGTAACATCTTGGCCTCGGCCGCACCGCTATGGTGGCCGGAATGAGCGATGTGACGGCACGACACGCGCTGACGTTTGAAACAGTCCCTTGTGGAGTCCGTTTGGCTTTCATATGATATCATATCCTTCACGTTGGGCCAAGTGTGGATGAGCTTCGTATTGATCCAATCGGGATCATCAAAGTCCGGCGGGGGCTCATGTTTGACCTAAAGTCAGATCCACAACGTGCCAATAAAAATGGGGCCAAGAGTACATATCAGAGTCAGACTTGATACACCCACTCAACGCAGACGTAGAAATAAAAAAAAATAGTGGGTACAGCAGTGGAAACCTTGGCAGAGGCCGTGCCAATAAGTCCCGGACCCCTATAATTCTATGACTACTGAATACAAATGAATCGAAGATTTAACAAGTGCGTCCGCGTCCGTTGTTAATGAGTCGCCCTTAAGTTGATGATGGAGTGCGGATTACGAACTTTGCTCGAAATCAATTCAATGAAACTATTATAAAAATATAGGGGTCCGGGACTTATTGGCATGGCGATGGGCATGAGAAATGATCGAGGGATTAACCCATACTAAAGGTATGAGATTGAGAAATTGACGCGGATACAGGCGAAAAGTAAACAACTGGACGAGAAGGGCTAGCGATTCCAGATATTGTACAAGTCGTCCTAGAATCTCATCCATGCTATCATCTTCGTCCCAGATTTTATAGATATCGTCGTGCCCCTCTACGTGTAGCGGAGAAACCAAGGCGATAAGAGAAAAGACAAGACAGGGAGAAAACTCGAACCTGGAGCCAGGGGGCGTAATGGGTACTGGTACATGATCGAACGCGAGGAGAAGGACGGTGCGTCCATCCAGAATACGTTTACAATGGACGTTCGCATTCAGCTTCTCTCCTTACATACACAAAATGTGTTGCAGTTGTGTGAGCTCACCGAGGAAAGCACCCTCCTAACAACCAACCAGGGCAGAAGCCAGAGCCAGGTCGCCCTGAAAAAAGCGGCCTCCTTCTATGTGGCCAGGACCAATTGGTCGAATATCAGTTGCATGTAAGTGCGAACAATCAACAACGCACAAAAATGGAAGGAAAGAGAAGGGAAGACGGGGCAATGGCTGTTCGCATTACATATCTTATGTCAGACGTTACACGTTAAGTGGCAAAAGAGCAGCGCATGAACAACGAATGGCAAAAGTTATATTTGCTGCATATGCTACTCTTTACTCCTTGAACAAGGTCTCCACACATGTTGTTACTATAGCTTTTCAGTGCACAAAAATGTAAACATCCATGAGAGGAATGACGTTCTCCATGCATGTCTACCGCTCCTCGATTGGGCTGTTTATTATTTTTCTGGTATTGCGCGGTATTATGGACATGACATATGTGTATTATAGTCGGGTAGTTACGAGAGGATATAAGTGACGAGGAGAGTTGCCCAGGACAGAATCGATACTGTGAGGTGATCCATACTGGGGGCAGGTTGGCGCTGAGAATTCGCGTCCGGAAATAGTCCTGGCATCCCTGGCTGCTTGTTGATAAGGTCTATATGAGCAGTGGTCGCCGTCGTTGGTGGTGGTGGTGGTGGTGGTGGTGTTGGCGATGATGACTGAGCCAAGGTAGAGGTTGAGGTTGACATGGATACTGTAGTCACCGTACCCTTGTCGCCCTCTGCCAACTTCCTCCTGCCGTCTAGTGCTTCCAGTTCAGACGTCAACCGCGCCAGCTGCTCATAGTTTGACATTGACATTTTGAACTCGTTCTCGTATCCAGACAGCTTTTCTACAAGGCTGGACAGTTGGTTTTCCCGCTCCCGTAATGTCTGCTTGAGTTCCCGCTCGCCATCTATTTTCATGTGCCCCATGCATGCGCCAATAGCAGAAAAATAAATCGATGACATAATGCAATTAGTGGGCTACAGCCATTTGACGCACAGAATCATCAAATGAGCAAAGAATGCACTATGGACAATGACGAATGAAACATACCACACTTGCGACGGTACTTCCCCTCGGCTTGTTGGAAGGCTGTCTGCCAACTCTTGAGTGATGCTGTAAGGTCCTTGACTTCCGTATGGAGCTGTCTGGTCATTTCTGGTTGTCCCCGCACAAGCTGGCCCTGGTGTTCAGTTCCCTCTACTCCGAAAGAACTCTGGCTGTGGCTGATCTGAAGCTGTCGGTGCATCAAGTCGACCTGCTGAACAAGGAACTCGTACTCCTTTCGCCATCCTTCACCGTCCTGGCTTGTCAGCCTCTGTAGGTGCCCACTGACTTTGTCAAGTTCCTGGTTCAGCAACCGATTGGTCCGAGTGACATGAGCAATCTCTGTCTCCAGTGAGTTGATCCGCGTCTGCATCTTGATCCAGTCTCGAGTCGGCATCACAATCTCTGGAAAGTCCATGCTGGCGCCATAGTTTGGATTCATGAAGCTGTTCCTGTTCGAGTATGGCAGGTAGTGTCGACCTCCACCGCCCATGAGAGAATCGCTGCTTGACTCGAACATACTGAAGGACTTGGCACGGATCAGAGCTCCTGAAGAATGATATGATGGCGAGGACACCGCTGTCGGCAACTCTGCTCCCTGGCTATCGCTGTCGTGATCTTCATCTTCGGAACTTTCGCCCGGCAAGGTTGGTGATGAGATCGAGTCCTCGAATCGAGTCTTTTTAATAATCGAAAGATGTGTATGCACCTCTCTGTCCTTTGTCTTGCCCTGGGCTTCTTGGTCCATTGGTTGCGATACTGGTGGTAGTGGAGGCAAGGAGAGAGGAGACACTGAGACGTCATAATCGTGCAGAGGCTGTCTCCGTTGACTGGAGTCGCTCATATCGGTCTGCGGTGGTGGTGGCTGTTGTTCTTGGACTTGGTTTTCCAGCTGGTTTGATTGTTGTAAAGACTGTGGTTGTTGCTGCTGTTGTTGTCTAGTCTTTTTTTCCAGCAACTTCATTCTCTCATGGCGTTTCCTGAGCTGGCTCGGCAGTATAGGTTGCGGCGATAGATTATCGCTGCTGCTGGTGAGAGTTGTATTGACTGGAGTAGTAACGGTATTTCCCTCGTGGTCAATGTGCATGTGCATGTCTTGATGCTGCTGCTTGTCGTGCAGATCGAGAGGAAAGTTTTTGGGCTCAGTCATATCGACAGTGCCGCTGTCGTCGTTGTCTTGTTGTAAAGGGTTCAAGGACAAGGAAAGAAAAGAGTTGTGGTGTTGAGCAGTGTCTTGTGGCGAGAGTGGTGGAGAAGGCAGGGAAGAGAGAAGACGATCCTTGGCGTGGAACGACGAGGCAGCCTAGTGTAGTTTGAAGTGTCGATTGTTGAGTGAGCGAGTGAATGACATGCAGGTCCGTAGAGAAAAGGGGGTGAAGAGAGAGTGTGTGTGAGAGAACGAGCGAAAAGAGGGGGCAAGAAAGAGAGAGAGGAGTGTGAGTGAGAGGAGTGAGAGAGAGAGACAGAAGTGATATGAGGAGAAATAAAAAGACGTATGACGGCAAACAGGCTTGTCTTGAACAAAGAAGTCTTAGAACGGCTGAGGTTGTCCGTCATGGACAGGTCACACGTTCATTTCAAGGCCACAGGCTGCAGCCACTTCCGGGCGCCCCTCTTTGCCCTCTTTCTTGAACAACAACACTTGCCACCAACCACGGACCCCATGAACTAAAACACACACTCGTCCGACAACTCATTCGCTGGCTCATGTGCATTCAGACAAAACAGGCTCATGTGAGAGATGGTCATGCCAATGCAACTACCCTTTCATCTTTTACGCTTCCTGACAATCCGTGCTGGTTGTAGACAGAGGAGGAGGAGAGAGGAGAGAGAGACAGGCAGCCCAGGCTGGAATCAAAGGATTGAGACTTACAGAAGGAGTAGTGCCAGGACGATCCGGTCCGTCAGAGGGACCTGACGAACGGGTTGATATTAGCATGGCGGGTCGTTCTGTCGCCATGGTGGATGTATTAAAAGTAGGACGAGGATGGAGTGGAGGGGGGTGTGGATAAAAAAGAAAAGGGGAAGAGTGAAGAGAAAAGAAGAGAGAAAGCAGAATAATCCTCAAGAACGGCATCGATATCGTAAACAACAAACGCCCGAGTGACCAGATGATATGTCTGCAGTGAATAGCACGGAAAACAACAAAGGGGACACATGGTCCACACTTGCAGCCCCAATCGACGGATCAAACAGGGTGGTATGGTCCACAGTCTCTCTGCCTCTTTCCCGATGCAGACATACACATCCTTATTCGTCCTGTCAAGACTTGATCCCTTCCCTGTGGCGCGTGTTGGCTTGTGGCTGTCTAGAAGGAGACATGAGAGGAACATAGACATGCAGAGCAGCAACAAGATCCAACTCCAACCCTAGTTTTGCTTTTATGACGATCAGCACCCTTTGTTCTCCTTCTCTCGCGTACGTTAGTATTTAGGTGTCTACGGATGTTGCCAAGACAAAGTGTGTCCAAAGAAGCGACTACGGGATCATTCTGTTTTGTCTGCCCGAACGCCACTCCATAACTCGTCATACGTCCTAGAATAAAAAGACGCGACTCGCCCTCTCACACTCGACAGGCAGGACGGTATTGCCTAGGCTGCTGAAAACAATAAGCAACAAAACAAATGAAAAAACATGATCGAGGCGAAGGGCAATGTGCTAATGCAAATGAATATCGCCTCCACTAGACCCATGCCAGTAAACTTATGAGGCAAGCGTTGTGCTTGAAGCACCTCATCTCTGCACCTGTTGTGCCCTTATCGCCTCTCTTTCTCTGCATCTGTCCCTGCCTGTCATCGCCAATCGATGCCATAAATGCGCGTTTACACACTTCTTTGGCTTGGTCTCTAAGAATAGGGTTCCTCTCTCTTCCATTTGTTCCCTTGTACACTTACACACTAGTCGATTTTTAGACACGTCCATGGGAAAGAAGTCAGGAGACTGAAGAAAGTACACTGACGACACTATGCAAAATAGTTCTCTTACACTCTCGCGCGCCTACGCCCCTCTTCCGTTGTTATATTTGTGTTCATATTCCCATTGCACAACACCATCCTATTCTTCCATCATACAGCCCAAGTCGTCCTAGTGGCCCCTAGCGTCTTATTAGCCCACAGACCCTGAAATGGACTAATAAAGTAAATAGAAACTGGACCTGGAGGTCGTCATTTATGCAACAAGGAGTGAAGGGCTGGATGAGATGATGATGACTGAATGACATTTATCCTATCACCCATTTCCTTTTCTCTATCCTTCGATTGTAGTCAGGGACCCAACTGACCGCCGTTGGCGCCATCCCTAGTTTAATTTTGTGTATAAAAGACACGTCTTCAGCACCTTTTTTTTCCCTTCATCTCATCATCACTCTTCTCTCCTCAACTCAACGCAACTCGCTCAACTTCTCAACACCAACTAACACGTCCAATTCAACCATGAAGTTCACCACCACCTCCCTCCTCGTCGCCGCCATCATGGCCCTCGGAACCGCCTCAGCCGCCAAGCCAACTTCCTCCGTTATCACCGTGACTCTCCCCAGCACAAACTCCACCGCATCCCCCACCGATTCCGCATCCCCTACTGAATCTGCGACCTCTTCAGGCATTGCTACCGCCACTGAGACCGCAACCATTACAATCCCTATCATCACCACCATCACCATTGGCGTCCCTACTATCATCTCGACCACTACTGTCCCCTCGGGTACTCCTGCCCCTGGTAGTGGAAGCGCTGGAAACGCGATCCAGGCCCCCGTCAAGGCTATGATGGCTATTGGTGGTGTTGCTGCCCTCGCTCAGTTCTTCTAAGTTCTCGGTCAATTTGAAACGATGAGAAGCACCAGTAGTTTTTTCTTTTTGCTTTTCTTACACCAACCCCCATCTAATTATTAGTGTATCCCCCCCCCCCCATCTCTTGTATCTAACCCTTGTATCTTTGCAAAACGTCGAAGAGACCCTTGTCTTCGACATACCCTACTTTTCAATTAATCTTGAAAATAAAAATAAAACGTTTGGCAACCCTCTCTTCTGAAGGTGGCCTGGTCGATTATCACCAAAACTTGTGCGCTCCAATTGTATATGGAATGAGAAGAAAGAGTCGCGGCAACATGAAAAAGAGAGAGAATAAAGAAACGCGTGCCTTCTTGGACAAACAACAGAACAAGCATATCGCGGGCCTTTTTCATAAGACTGACTGGAAAGTTAAAAAGCGGATGGCGCACAATGGACACGGAAAACCCAGACTAAAAAGGAGAGAAGAAAATCAAAAAGAGGGAACGAAGCCCGGGGCGTCACCCAGGCTACCACCTAGTATCCCTCTCAAGGAAAAGAAAAATTGAATGCGAGTCGATATTGAACTCGAAACACAAAAATGATTATTGGAGAACCTGGGCATCGATCCCAGTGCCTCTCGCATGCTAAGCGAGCGCTCTACCATTTGAGCTAGATCCCCGATCTCAAGCTGTTTTGTTGATAACACTTAATTTTTGCTGACATTTTTATATTCACATACCTTTAAGCCTTGCATATAAGGAGCGACCCGTCAAGAGGGCGCTTGTTGGCTACCCAAAAGTCGGGACACCTTACCGAGGAAGCGATTCCAGGCGGGGTTGAGGTGGTGTGGATCAAAGGTCACAGCAACATCCACGGAAACGAACTTGCGGATCAGGCGGCGAAGGTGGCAGCACAGAGTGGTTCAGTGCCCTGGATGGTGGATCTCACTCAACAGACGGATATCACGACCTTTGCACATTGTTACGGCGGGATTGTTGAAATCGATCTACGTCAGCTCCTCAAACAACAATCGACAATCCGTCACCATCAGGCCTGGACGTCACAGAGGCGGGTCAAGAGGGCGATCCCTGACATCGAGGACGTGGAATGGAACTCGACCTTGGCTTATGTCCACGACAGGCACGCAGTCTTCACCTTTTACAGCAACAGCAAGGACTCCCATCAAAGAACACATCACATCAAAAAGCTGCATGGAATGCTGCCCACTCTGAACTCCATGCAGGCTCGCAAGCCCAACCTGTACCCAACATGCGTGTGCCGACGATGCGAGCTCGAGAAGGAGGATAACGATCACGTCTGGAAATGCCCTTCGGCAGCTGAGACCACCACTGAGATCTGGAAGGAGGCCATGGGCAAGATTAATGAGTGGGGTGTGCAGGCGACAAACAGCTACAACGCAGCCAGGAAGCGGGAATACAAACGCGCGGTGGACAGAGGTCGTCAGGTACCGAGGCCAGTACCCATACACTGGTGGCCCCCTTCGGATGCAGATCATGTACGAGGATTTTCCTCCATCGGTGGAGCTCGAGCCGTGCACAGGCGGTAGTCCAGCTCTCGATCGAGACGAGAAACCGATGTGGAATGTGTCGGATCTCCTCCGCGGCATCACCCCCTTGAGCATGTTGACTGAATGGTCCGCGGTCTTCCGGACCCCAATGTCCATCGCCAAGACAGTCCTTCACAAGTTTGTTGGCTACCTGGAGGCGCAGGCCTCGGAGCTGATCTGGAAACCTCGGTGCTCCGCGACGATCGCGTGGGAACAAAGCCAGGGCATCTCTGCCAAGGACAAGACATCCAAGTACACAGGCCCCCGAGGTGACTGGAGTCAAGGATACGGTTACATTACGCACGATGGTTTCTGTCCGTGTGGCGCTTCGCTAGCCACACATTGTGAAGGAAGGTGCCCTGGAGCGACCAAGGACCCACGCGCTGCTGACGAGCGGTTGTTGGAGAGTTTGTTAGGAAGGAGGAGGTTGTCAATGATGGAGAGGATGGGAAGAATCCCCTTCATTCGTATCTAGTTTTATTTTCTTCCGTTTAAGCTGTGAAGAGCAGCGACAATTGTTGCGCAGAGCCAGGTTCTGGACCGGACTGCGACTGGTGGATGGTGCACTGAAGAGTTTGGTCTGTAGTTCCCTTTTACTTCCAAATAACTTCTCTATGCTGTTTGTTAGAGAAATAAAATTGTGTACGAAAAAAAAAAAAAGAGGAAGCGATTCACTGGATGGTGGATCTCACTCAGCAGACGGATATCACGACCTTTGCACATTGTTACGGCGGGATTGTTGAAATCGATCTACGTCAGCTCCTCAAACAACAATCGACAATCCGTCACCATCAGGCCTGGACGTCACAGAGGCGGGTCAAGAGGGCGATCCCTGACATCGAGGACGTGGAATGGAACTCGACCTTGGCTTATGTCCACGACAGGCACGCAGTCTTCACCTTTTACAGCAACAGCAAGGACTCTCACCAACGCACACATCATATCAAAAGGCTGCATGGAATGCTGCCCACTCTGAACTCCATGCAGGCTCGCAAGCCCAACCTGTACCCAACATGCGTGTGCCGACGATGCGAGCTCGAGAAGGAGGATAACGATCACGTCTGGAAATGCCCTTCGGCAGCTGAGACCACCACTGAGATCTGGAAGGAGGCCATGGGCAAGATTAATGAGTGGGGTGTGCAGGCGACAAACAGCTACAACGCAGCCAGGAAGCGGGAATACAAACGCGCGGTGGACAGAGGTCGTCAGGTACCGAGGCCAGTACCCATACACTGGTGGCCCCCTTCGGATGCAGATCATGTACGAGGATTTTCCTCCATCGGTGGAGCTCGAGCCGTGCACAGCGGTAGTCCAGCTCCCGATCGAGACGAGAAACCGATGTGGAATGTGTCGGATCTCCTCCGCGGCATCACCCCCTTGAGCATGTTGACTGAATGGTCCGCGGTCTTCCGGACCCCAATGTCCATCGCCAAGACAGTCCTTCACAAGTTTGTTGGCTACCTGGAGGCGCAGGCCTCGGAGCTGATCTGGAAACCTCGGTGCTCCGCGACGATCGCGTGGGAACAAAGCCAGGGCATCTCTGCCAAGGACAAGACATCCAAGTACACAGGCCCCCGAGGTGACTGGAGTCAAGGATACGGTTACATCACGCACGATGGTTTCTGTCCGTGTGGCGCTTCGCTAGCCACACATGATGAAGGAAGGTGCCCTGGAGCGACCAAGGACCCACGCGCTGCTGACGAGCGGTTGTTGGAGAGTTTGTTAGGAAGGAGGAGGTTGTCAATGATGGAGAGGATGGGAAGAATCCCCTTCATTCGTATCTAGTTTTATTTTCTTCCGTTTAAGCTGTGAAGAGCAGCGACAATTGTTGCGCAGAGCCAGGTTCCGAACCGAGCTGCAACTGGTAGATTGCGCACTGAAGTGTTTGGTTAGTAGCCCCCTTTACATCCAAATGCCTCTATTGTTTGTTGTCAGAGGAACAAAATTGTGTGCAACGCATCCCCGCATTTGGCACTCGTTTCTGCAGAGAGTGGACATCTGGATGAATTTCAAAAAAAGGATCGCAAACTGCTAAGGATATTGTGCTTTCACATAAAAAAAATTGCAAGAAAGGCGCACGCTCTACTCAACCAGATTTGCAAAATACAGCTGGTGTTTTTGTTACTTTATTGTCCGTTCAAATGTTTCGTCAGGATCGAGAGTGGTAGATTATCAATGAACGATAACCATGCCTTTATTAATATACTACATAGTTTTACTATACTGTTTGCTTGTCTCTTGCTGTTCGACTTGTGAGTTGAAGTGCTAGGAGTTAAAGAGAAAAGAAAAGGAAGAAAGTGAGAGTACAGTAAACTGCCCCAAACTGCCCCAAACAGCTAGTCGATCAAAATTAAGAATGTGAGGTTAGACCCACAAACAAACGAACTGCAAGATAACTGACTGGCACTGTTACTATCCAAGTAGCTTTCCAGTAACAAAATGGAGAAGGGACACCCGCGCATTGGAGAAGGCCATGAGACACACTGCTAGCCAGTGACGAACTAGACCGCTATGCGATACCCTGGCGTTTAGTATCTGCCCTGGTCAGTACTTCTCCGTCGTGGATTGCTGGGTTGGGAAGACTAAGAAGATATCTCGGGGGGTCGTTGGTGTGGGAATGAGAAACACTCCGCACTTTCCTGTTGTCCTGCTTGCTTGCGTTCGTGCTTGCTTCCATCCTGAGGACTCAGTACTAGCAGCACACCCTGCATCGTAGGTCAATGACAAAATGGCGGGCCAAAAGAAAAAAAAGGAAAAAGGAAGAGAGAAAAGGCGGTTAGCATATGTCCGAAGTATCTAGACGATCACGATGCCAACATTCACAGAAAGCCTCAGCAAGCAACACTCTATAGAGAAAAATACTGAAACCGCATAATCCAAGGCAAAACAGTACGAAGCGGTCGCCGTACTGCACAGGTAACTGCCTATAAAAAGTGGCATCCTCTCTCTCTCAGACTCCAAGCACTAACGACCTTGGGAGGAGACACTAGTCTTCCTTTTTCACTTCTTACAATGTTGTTGAATATAAGGAAAAAGCACCGTCTTATGTCCATGGCATGATAATCTGATGTCCAGAGAAATTCAAACAGAGACGAGAACCAGGATGATGAGACCTTCGTATGGTGCCACATTCACATCAAATAAAAACCAAAACCTAATTAATCCGGTTGGGGGTATCACCCCATTGTTGTAATCCCGACCATGTTGAAATGGCCTCTCGATAGGTGAACGCAACATATCAACCCTTATGTGATGTGGGATGGGTGTGTTTAGGATCTGGCGAGGCACGCCGCCCATGTCACACCTGCCAATTAGGCAAAGAGTGATCCACCAAGGGGAGTCTCCTTCCAATCATGGGCGTTTCTCCTGTGCAGCAATTGTTGTCGTGGCTGTGGGTGGTTGGCTGCTTTGGAAATTCTGGGTGGAGCGAACAACAAAGCACCTTCACCTTGACACCTGCCTTTGCTCCTGCCTGCTTGCTCCTGTGGCCTGCTACTGCTTGCATGCTCCAATGCCTTGCTTGTTCATCAGTGCAGGTCGCTCCCGGGGTTGAATGAGGACACAAAGGGAACTCGCGTCTGACTCGCCATGTTAACAGAACTAGAAGTAAACAAAACAAAAAAGCACAAGTTACTGTTAGTACATTCAGAATCATCGCGGTATTGATTGGTCGTTTTGGGAAGAGGAGGAGACCGAATGCATCATTTGGCTGTTGGTGATGAGGAGAGAGGGAGGAAGAGAAGAGGGAGGAGACAAGATATGCTGATGCTTGCCTTGTTGTGTTTGTTGTTGTCCATGGTGGGTCGTTGGCCTGACTTGTATTTCTTGCTGCTTGGTCGACAGGGAAAAGAGAGGGTGGGCTGGTTGGCGATGAGTCGAGGGGAGACGAGGAAGGGAGGATAGTGTTGTGTCGAGCGTGTCCTTAATCAGTTTTGTGTTTTCTTGTTGTTTGTGTTGTTGATGAGAGAGAGGAGAGAAAAAAGGTGGTGAAAGGAGGAAAGAGGAAGAAAGAAGCCAAAGAAGAAGAGAGCGAAGGACGCGGGTTGATTAACAAAAAAGACAAAGAGGGGTGTGAAGAAACAAGTAACTCATACACGAATTTAATTGGCTGTGCCCTTGCTGCGAGTACACACGCAAAACATGACGGGTGTTTACTTCGTGAGGACCTGGTTTTTGCTGCCATTCCCTCACTTTGTGGTTCCTTCGGTTTTATTCATGTCCCGGCAACCAAAAAAACAGTCTTCCACTTTTCCCACACAAAGGTCACTAGACAGGAGCTTATTTCGAATGATATCCGAACAAAGTGTCTGCGATAACTATTTGTCCAGAGCCTCTCGAATATGTTTAGTTGTCATGAAGTAAGCAATTGGAATGAGAAGAACGCAACGCCAATAAAACAAAGAATGACACAGATGTGCAGTCGGGCCATTGGTTTTGATGTGGTTTGTTTTCTAGAGGGGTAAATGATCATTACCAGGGGTAATGTTTTGAAACGCAAGAGAGAGAGAGAGAGAGGGTGAGCAGTAAAGGGTGAGCATCTACGCGGTAAAAAGAGAGCACAACAATAGAAAAATGCCAAGACGAGGTCGCATTATTACACAAGGGATGATGGCCAGATCCAATCAGCTGGAGAACGGAAAAAAAGGACGAATGTAACAAAACACACGATGACAACAAAAGGAAAAGGGTAGGGAAGCGAGGGAAGTGCAGTATGTAGGAGGGAATCACGAAAAAGACAAAAATAAAAAAGAGAAAGGGGGATTGGGATTGAGCGGGAAGAACGAAAGCCGAGGTTCAAGTTGAATTGAGCGAATTGCGGCAAGACCAAATGCACCAGACAGTGTTGCAGGCACACAACGACTTTTTTTTTTTAACAGCATCATAACAAAATGCGGAGTAAGGATGGCGAAGTTGTTATGGATCAAGAAAGGGGAAGGTAGGGGAGATAGAAATGGAAGCGGAAGTGAAAGAAGGCGGACTTTGGTGGTCAAAGCACCCGGTTCAATAATTTACATGGTCAACTTTGCTTGATCTAGCCCACGAATCATGCTCCTCCGCAAAGAGTACACGGGTCGTGTTTTGTTGTGCTTCGTGTCTTCTATATGTGGAGCAAACAACAAAGTGAGTCATGTATGGCTACGAAGCATGGATTCAGAAGTCGAAAAGGTGCCCACACAACAGACCATTCAGTATCGGACACGACATGTACTCATAACTGGTCTGGGCTGACCACCACTGCAGTCTTGCCCCATCTGTTATGAATTTGTTTTTTGTACCGGTCCAGCCTAATGGTATACAGGCGTTCGCCCTTGTTCTCTCCTTGCCCATTCTTCTCGCCCTCGCTTTCGTACCCTCACTCCCCTTTTATACCCCTCACCCCTCGTTCGCGTACTAGCAACTAGCCCTTTTTACAATCCTCGAACACTGCTCACCCTGCCTTCCCCTGTACAGTAATCAAAAATCGTATGTGAAAAGTGTTAGGAGACATATGGAAAGAAAAAAAGCGCAGATAAAGGAGAAAGAGAATGAAAGAGAGAAGGAGGCCCCCTTTTTCGCCGACCGTTGGAAACAGTAATGGATGATCAGTCCCCAGTTCTAATGGCAAACAATCAATGGCGCCCGGAGCCTCAACGCCTCCGTTATTTTTATTCTTTTGTGCTATTGTACATTTTTGTGTGTGTTCTCTGGTATTTCCTTTTACTTTGTGTTTTTCTATGCTTTCTGCTTTTTTTTTTTGGTGCACGATCCAGCGTGCTGTGGGGTATACTTTCTAGTTGCTACGAACGAAAGAGAAAAGAAAGAAAGAAAAGAGCAAACACGGTGTTAGCAAATACAAAAAGGAACAATCATGAGCATCAAAAAAAAAGCTCGAGACTTTGTGTTACCGTGAGCACGTACAAAAACAGAGTGGAAAGGGTTCTTCAAGAGGATAACCGTTAGTCGTCCTCAATGGGGCCATTCGGTCCAGCGCCGTTGGCCAAGGGAGCGTGCTCCAGTGCAATCGCGTCTTGGTCCGGTTCATCATATTCCTCGACAGTATTCGGCATCGTAAAGTCCTCATCATCGACGTCGTCGTCGTGTCCGAATACTGTGTAGGTGATGGTCATGAAGGGAAGCTCTTCCGATACCTCGTCCACCTCTGCCTCGTCAGAGGTTTCGGACGGATTATTATTATTGTTGTTGTTGCTGTTGTTGCTGTTGTTGCTGTTGTTGTGGTTGTTGTTGTTGTTGTTGTTGTTGTTCTTGAATAAGACCGAGAAGGTCAAGCCCTGCTTGCAGTACGCCATCGCGGGTGATTTTTGTTTTGTCGTTTTGCTGCTGCTGTTGTGGTTGTGTTGTCGTGCGTGTGTGTGTGACGAGAGGATGTGGAGGAGATTGTTTGTTGACTGATTCTTTTGTGTGTGGAGAAAGAAGGAAGGAGGTATCTTTTGTGTGAGCAAGGGTGGGGGAAATAAAGACAGAGGAAAGCGTGAGCAAGTGTGAATGATAGTAAGAGAGGTGGAGAATATGGAAAAGAGGGAAAGAGAAAAGAGAGAGGGAAAAAAGGATCTGAGGGAAGGAATACAGGGAAGTTGTAGAGAGAGAGAGAGAGAGAGAGAGAGAGAGAGAGAGAGAGAGAGAGAGAGAGAGATGAGGAGAATGGATCGTTGTGTGCAGAAAAAAGAAGAGAAAAAAATAAAGAAAAGAAGAAGAGAGAGAGAACAAGAAGAAGAGAGAGAGAACAAGAAGAAGAGGAGAAAAGAAATACGCAAGGATCAAGTTGGATGCGCACCGTTGGGGTATGGATAGATGGGATGGATGACATATATGTGCGAATGCTGAAATTAATGCACAAGAGCAGCGAACGAACAAATGTTTGGCCCCTTTCTTTTTTTTTGCCCCATTTTTTTTCCTTGGTGCGGAATGGTGCAGGAACACAAGGGTGCCTGTGCATTGCTCATTGGTATGTACATCCTCTTTTTTCCTAAAAAACAGATGCACAAGTGGAGGGACAAACAATCACATACAAACATACAAAGGAGAAAACGATAAAGCAGATAGAGTCTGGGTACCACATAAAATACGCAGGGAACCACAGAGACACACGGAAGACAGAGACACGACACCCACACCCACACACACACACACACACACGCACACAGACAAGGAACACATGCGCATACTGACGGGACCCACACAGACAGGACACACACACATATACACACACATAAGAAGGAAGGAAAGATGGATCATCTTAAAAATGAACGGCGTATGCGCAAGGACAAAAGCGAAGGGAAAAGGATATGACAGGGTACAGTTTTTTCATTTGTTCAAGAGAAAAGATGTCATTGAGGAAAGCATTGGGGTGATGGCAAAAGCAAAGAAAGAAAAGGGAGCTACGCCAAGGAAAAATAAGTGCAGGAGTAGAGTAATGTGTAACAAGCCATATATATATATAATGTGGCAAAGCATGCATGTTCGTTTATTTATCAATTGGTTGTCGCTGCTGACCATGGCGGAGTCCGGCTAAAAAAAATGATGTTGAATTGAAAATAATAATAATAGTTCCTTAGGTGGTAGTCAAGTGGAACACACAAACAACTCAATCACGGATAAAACATAAAGTCGAGCAATTGCACGATAGACTTAGCTGCTGTGGCGTAAGGGGAGGACAGAGATGGAGAGGGTGAGGGTTGGAAAAAGAAAAACAACAGAAAGGAGAGGAGTGTAAAAGAAGTAAAAGAAGGGGTCGAAGTGACAACAAATTAACCTTGATGTAGTGTGTTTGCGTTTGTGCGCGTTCCCCGGGCAAGATTAGGATCTCCGCTGCCCTTTTGCACCAGGGGCACGAGGACACAATATCTATACGCATCAACATAGAGTCTTCCAATTGGCCCATTCCCGTTTGTTTTCTTTTGAGAACCCTCTCGCTCTCATCCTGAGCCCGACCTGTTGCGACGTTGCACTCAACAAATGTCAACAAAAAATGTACATGTACAGTACATTGGGAAGAGACTGCGCCAATAAGTCATACGGTCAAAATTTTGGGTTTTAAAATACAAGGGAATGAATTGAGGCCATTTTTTGACCTTGCCTCCTGATCCAGTGGAGCGACCAAAAGAACTCCTTCTACATGGGCTGGACGTAAGGGCTATTCTTCGGGTTCTCCAGTGAGAAGGTCATTCGAGGGCAGTCGGATTGGAGCATTGCTAAGAATAGTGAGAACTGATGGAGCGATGAGGGTCGAATGTCAAAATATTTCTTTTCTTTTCTTTTTTCTTGCAGGGTGGGAAGATGAATAATGGTTACTCTGGGGAAACAACCTTGTTCTAATCAACTTATTGACTATTTTAAAAAAATATAACACCATTACTTCTTGGCCCGACCTCTACATGACCCCCTATTTTCGATAACGGCGAGTCCAATGTTGACTCCATAAGAACAAGTCCCCCCTCGCCGATGCAGCGACCTTGATGAGCTCCAGAGACCATCCCCTTTCCCCACAACAATTGCCAACTGGACGGCTATAATCCCTGCAGAGGGCAGTCACCATTCTCTCCAGACTCTCTCCTTTGATCGATTTACTTGGCACAGGTTGAGACCTTTCGATTGCGGACAGGTAACCAACAGTTTGCGATAAAGAGCGGATGGTAGCTTGTCATCAATAAGGACCACACTTCAGACCCCAGGATTGCCAAGCTCCACTGGCTCGTCCACCACGATCGCCAAATGAGAACCGTGTCGTTGCCGCTTTTCGTTTCCTACCAGACGCGTCACGACCCAACAAAGACCAAGGTTTATCGATTGTTTAGTGTATCCTTGATGAGAACCTTGGTTTTCTTGGCTTGGACTCCGGCGATCTCGAATCTCGTCTCGTTTGGTGTCGTTGGAGATGACACTAGCGATTATCCAAACTACGCCGCCGATTGGTATGACGGTAAGGACTCCTTGTTCCTGAGTGTTTCGTTAGGTGCTTTATATTCTATAAGCAGCGCCGCGGCTCGATGATAAAAGAGATTGAAACCTCGCCACCGTAGGTCGGAAGTAATAGAGTTGTCGTCCCAGTATATCCATGGCTTTCGGTGAGGGGTGTGATCGATGTTGCTGGGAGTGCACTTGAGGATTGCAGCTTTCGATGGTATCTAAGCTAATAAAGATATTGCAGTTGAAGAAAAAAAAAATATGCGCCGTTCCGAGACTGTTATAGTTTGCAATGGGAAAAAATAAAACCAGAAACCATTAAACACCTTCGTTGCATCCATTAAAAAAGAATACACACGGTGTTGGACGTACACAAGCTCAGCACGCTAATAGACTGAATGAATCGAGTGTATATTATAAAGTCGTGAACGTCAATACACAATGTACATTTCGTCTTTAGGTTTGATCCCACTCCTAATTGAAGTTACGGTGTTATGTAGTGATATTGTTACTTACGCAATCAAGGTAGTGTACAGCAGCGTGGTTTCAAGTTATTTTTTTCTTTTTCTTCTTTTTGTTTCTTTTCTATTCTATTCCACACACACACACCCATATCCTTACTCTTTTCTCCCCTTTCCACTCTCACTCTGTCATGGCCCTCTCAGACGTTAAACGAGGAGAGATCTTGGGCATGAGCAAGAATGGCGTCAAGTCCCCCAAGATTGCCGCCACTCTCGATGTCAGTGAACGAACTGTCCGACGAATCCTCGCCCAGTACAAGGAATGAGGATCTGTTCTCGCCAAGAAGTCCCTTGATCGCCCCTGCAAGTTCACTGAACGAGATACCCGGACCCTCGTTGCCGTTATCCGCAAGAGCCGTCGTACCACTCTTAGTGACATCACCAAGGCTCTCCCCATCAAAGTCTCCGAGGCTACAGTGAGAAGGAAGCTCCATAGTCTCCGTATTTTCAGTCATTCTGCAGTAGTCAAACCACATCTTACTCCTGCCCATAAATCCGCGAGATTGGTTTTTGCGAAAAAGTATAAGAATTGGATCGCAGACGAATGGAGGGAGGTTGTATGGACAGATGAGTCTTCGTTCGAAGTGGAGAAGAAATTTCGAAAGGTTCGAGTTTGGAGGACAGAGAAGGAGAAGTACCATAACTCCTATCTTCGCCCCATCATTTAAGAGCGGATGAACGTTTGTGGTGGTTTAGGGTGCGTTTGTTCGAAGCAGTATGTCCAATCTTGTTGTCATCCCTCCTGGCCAGAACAAGGCGGTGGACTTTATCGAGCTGGTTTACAAGGGTGAGCTTCTTGGGCTCCTAGAGCAGACCTCCAACGCCTTTTTAATGGAGGATGGGGCCTCTATTCATCGTGGCAAGGTATCCAGTCAATGGAAGTAACAACATTCTGTCACGCCTGTCAAATGGCCTGCCCAGGGTCTTGATCTCAACCCCATTGAAAACGCATGGTCCGTCCTAAAGAAACTCACTTATGGCATGCCTCAAAAGATCAAGGTTGTTCTTAAGAATAAAGGTGGTCATACAAGGTGGTAACTCGCCCTCCCCTCCCTCTATTTTTTTTTTTTGCTCAATTTTTTTTCCGTGTTGTACCTTTGCGATAACGACATCATTTTCACAAAAGAATAACATGAACCAGCATGCGCGGGGGACCTGAAAGGTGTAACCACGCTTTCGAAATGTTTCGCGGATATGATTTGAGGGATTTGTTCATCTTTTAGTTACTATGCAACTCTCCGCATCGATTGCTCGGCATTTTTTTTGATCCGTCTATCGACAGGGGATTGAGAAGGGGAAGGCGATATGTATGCGCTTAGGACAATATTGTGTTATTATTGCTTATGAAAACGATTCAGATCCATAGGCTGGAGGCTGTTTTTTCAGGAAGGGGAGAAAAAGGGAGGGGAAGGGAGAAAGAACAAAAGGCGAGGGATGAAAGAATGTAAATACAATTCAATAAAGAAGCTTGAGAGCAAGCAGGGTCACGCGCACAACCATACACCATCAAGTGCGCCGCTATGATAACCTTTGATTCAAAAACAACCAAGAAAATAAGATATGGTCATACGGTGAATAATTTGCACTAATCGCAAAAATAAACGCAAAGCGAGGAGGGATCATCGGGGAACAAAAAAAAAGGTAATCATCAAGAAACTCACGCGGAAAAGAGACGGGTTCGAATGTAATACGAAGAGCAATCCACGTTGAATATGAACAAGAAGAAGAGGCAAAAAAGGGAACAGGAACCTGAAAAAGGTGAAAAGAACCCCGCGGAATGAAAAATTAATGAGGCATCTCCATCGTCTTGGAAGGCCATGGGGTGTGAAGTAAACGGGGAGGAGTGTAGATGCGGGAGGGTTATCACTTCTTTGTTGCCAAGTGAGCCTTTAGTGCTATAAGTTTGACTCTTATCTCTAGCACATTATGAGCATTGGCAAGAGTAAGGGCTTCTACAGAGAGAGAGAGAGAGAGAGAGAGAGAGAGAGAGAGAGTGAGGGGGAGAGAGAGAGTGAGGGGGAGAGAGAGAGAGAGAGGGAGAGAGGGAGAGAGGGAAAAAAAAGAGAAAGCGATAGGTAAAAGAGTGAACCATGGTTGTTGCAAAAGGGCAGATTAGACAGAGAGCCCGAAAAGAGGAACGCAAAGCAATTGTATTTTGTACTGTACTTAGGTTTCTTATTCCTTTGAACCTAATCACCACGTTTTTTCAATTTTCATTTCCCAGGGCTCTCGCCACGTGTTTTCCCCTTGTCATTTCTCAGTACTTTTGTTTGATACGGATACCCAGGCGTGTTGTCATGCAACCCTCCCTATCAAGTCCTGCTTACCGTCCATCTACTTTACAACCTCACAGGTACCTGCAGTATATGCCTAAGCAAGGGGCGAAGTAGAGACTGGGCGACGAAGAACCACCCCCTTTTTTCAGCAACCGTTAGAAGTGTCAATGGACCGATCATCAGTCTTCTTTTTCATCTATACCTAGTAAGCAGTGGCGTTTCGAATGTCAACGCCTCCTTTTTTTTATTCAATGTAAGGGGTCATGCTGGGTACACTTTGTGCCTATGAGAGATCGAAAAACATAGGAAATGAACAGACAAGTCAGTGGTACTTCGATAGTAGCACAGATCGAAATAAGAAACGAGCAAAAGACTTCCCACGCTATGAATTACCATTTACAAACCCAATGATCCTCAAAAGGGCTGATCATGATCACCATTAATGACCAAGAGGGCAACTTGACAAGCAACCTCATCCAGATCTGGCTCGTCATATTCATCGACCGTGTCGGGCATGTACAAGTCCACGTTGTCGACGTACTCGTAGTCATCTTCATCGCCATTGTCTATTACGAGGTTAATTGCCAAGTGGGCGATCTGGAATGCAATCTCGTCAGGGTCTGGCTCGCCAAAGCTTATAATAGAGGAGGACATGGCCACGTCGTCGCACTCGTTAAAATCATCATCCTCGTTGTTGTCGAAGGGCGGGGCTGTATGTTCCTGCTCGTGCGCCATCGTGAATGATATTTTATGATTGTGTGAGGAGGGGATACGGGGTTTGGAATGTGTATGTGTTGGGTGAGAATGAGAGTAAACTGAAGCAACCGAAGGGTTTAAAGGGAGTCGATCTTGAGGGTGGTGGAAGGATATGCGAATTGTGTGGCTATGAAGAGTATGCAAAGCGGAAATAGCGGTGCTGGGAGTTGAAGAAAGAAAAACTCAGTGAGGGGATGAGGAAGGAGACGGGAGTATGAATTGCTATGGACGGAAAGCAAAAGAGGGGGAAAAGGGGATGTGGGGAAAGTAGGAAGAAAAATAAGAAAGGACAAGATCCAGAAAAGGACGAGTTGTGGAAGCAATAGAGAGGATGGGCAGGGTTTGAAGAGAATGGTATGTCGATTGAGGGAGGAGGGGTATGATGCGGCAATTAAGGGTGTAATGTGGATATACAAGCTGGAGAGTTGGTGAAAACACAGAGGGAGGAAGGAGAGGATGAGAAAGTGTAAGGAAAAGAAAAATGAGAGAGGTAGGTGGTCAGGGGAGAGATGTCGATGGTATTGATAGAGGGAAGGATGAGCAGAGGGGTCCTTTTATGTTCGAGGGAAGAGAAAAAGAGAAGCCGAAAATCTGAGAAGGACGTTTTACTATAACTGTCGGTTGGCTCATTGTTAATAGTGGATTATGGAGTTGTATTAAATTGTTGGTTGCTGTTGAATAGTAGAATGTATGGAATTGTATTATATTGAATAGTTGGCGATTGAATTGAGTTGTTGGCGATTGAATGGTGAACAGAGCACTGACGAATGTAGTTTCGTGGAGATGTGGAATAATAAAAGGTACGACAACATCAAATGCGCATGCATGGATGTGTATGTGAAGCGGGAAAAAAACACTATTGAGAAGGAGGAGTAAGACGGGAAGATTGACAATGGAGTTAGGCTCCGGAAATGAAAAAAAGGGAGCTATGTTGCATTCCTGAGGTTAGCTTATTAATGGTAGGGTTTATGGACAAATTCTCCAACTCAAACCAGAGGGTCGCTGCAACTTCCTCCTCTTTTTTTGCTCTTCTCCTCAAAGCTGAAAAAGGTTCTTTTGCCCTTTCAATTGAGCTAGAACAAGGTAATATTATCCCCACCCATACCTTCTTTTCTATCCTATGCTTTCATTTCGTTTTTTCTAGCCTAGGGACAAGAGCAACGGGAAGGAAAGTCATTGTTTATTTAGCCGCACTCATTCTTGTCCATGGTGATTGCTTGTGACTCGCGAGGCATGGTGGGCTCGATGGCGATACGTCGAGGGAGGATGAAGACGAGAGGGCGGTGTTGTGTCGAGTGTGCCCTTGACCAGTCCTGTGTTGCTTACAGTTGTATTCTCGACGAGAGAGGATGGGACGGAAAAGAAATGAGAAGAAAGGAGTAACACCGAGACAAGAATGTAAAAGAGGCAAATGCAAAGGGGTTAGGAAAGGGGGAAAGGGGGAAAGGGAGCAAATGATGATCAATTGGAACAGAGTAACTGGACGCGATTGGCTACTCTCTAAATGCATGGGTCAAAGCAATATGAACAAAATGTTCGCTCAGTTATCATCCACATCTTTACAACCACGACCGCCTTCCCTCTGCTATAGCAAAGACAGTCAAACAATAGCTCTATTGACTAGAGCTCGAAAGAGGTCTCTGCGTCGCGTGGTTGTCGAGAACCACTCGAATGCGTTTTACTGTGAGGAACGGGCGCAGAGTGATTGTTGAAAGGATATTCGAGATGACGGCTGAGACTGATACGCGTTTAGCGCGAATCGAGGTACACAGTCAACACTTTCGATGGATTAAGCAGCGCCATCAACACCACGGGGTCTACTTACTATTAGCACTCCAAACCCTTCAGGATTTCATATATGCCGTCTCCCTCTCTCCCTCCCAATTCATCCTCATGGACTCAGACCATTGTAGATCAACGTCTAAGTACTGTACTGGCCGACAAGGCGTGTCAAGGTTAGCAAAAGAGCAAAGTGAAGAACACCAAAGCATACACGAATGATTCAACTCACCAGGAGGTCATCACAGGTCGAGCAACACGTCCATCTTTTCCTCAACAGTAAAATTTGCCATTCTTGGAAGAGGAGATGTTGGAGAGGGGCTACAGAAGGACAGCAGGAGGGCGGCAAGAGCAAGGCAAGGGGAAGCAACAGTGGGGCAAGAGTTTGTTTTGTAAGAAGGTTATTGCGTCATGGGAGTGCGAGGTGGAGGTAAAGTGACTGTACCCTTTTTTGCTACCGAAATTACAGTCACAGCCTCTTCTGAAATCCCCTATGTCCCGACCAGGTCTTCACAGTTCACACACAGTTAGTGCGATTCTTAAGGGTTTTGTCGTGCCTTAAGGACACTCGCCTCTTCTTCAACCTCCCTCACTTCTTCACCCTAAAACGTCTAGCGGTTCTTTTACGTCTGAACATTTTAAGTAAAGGGAAGTTACCGAAATAAGCAGTGTGGGTGGATGAGAGACGGAGAAAGACCATATGGCGGACAAAGGCATAGAAGAAACAAGCCTAAGAGATGAAGCGAGTAGCTTACTTTGCTTGGGTGGTGGAGAGTGCCAAAGAGAAGGGAGGTTGTTCTCGGTCTGATGGACTCAGACTGCACTTTGGACAGCTTGGTGGCTTGTCGCTGCTGCAACAATCGAAACAACAGACAGCAACGGCAAGCTGTTCCAGGGATCATCATCACACAAAGCTCCCATGGTCCGCGATAGAGCTGGGAACCAGAGCGCGGACCCGCATCGCTCTATAAACTCAGTACACTTCTTAAAACGCAACATGTGTACACATCCAGCAACTTCTGCTTTGTACTGTTGTAGCAGTCAAACTAAGCGCAGTGCTTATGTATTAGTGGGTGGCATCCGTCAGGTCGTCTATGAAGAAGTCGAGCTTTAGTTTTTGATGTAGGCCTAGTTTACTAATACGGAAAAACGAGACATGACTTGCTGCTCCACAGCGATCCAGGGTCGCTAGATGGACGGGTATACGTTTTAAAAGATGTGCAGCACAAATGGCTCTCTGGAATCCGGACTGTGCAGGCGTTTTTGGTCTGCCCTTCAGATCTGGAACGACCCCATTGAATACATGCGAAGAAAAGGTTGAGGCATGAAAATAAAATTGGCGGGAAAAAAGACAAAGGCATAATGAAGGGATGGTAGAAAGATGGCAGCAAGGGGGTTAAAAAATGGCGGGAAGTAAATACATCTGAAACAAAAAACAATATTGGAGAGGAAATAGAACAAGCAGTGATCACTCTAAAAAACAACAACAAACAACAAAGAGGATTAGGGTGGGTGGCGAAAGGTAAGAGCTGATAAGGATGGGCAAGGGGGAGGAAGGTTGGAGAAGGAAGCAAAGGCGAATTATACTCTTTGGAGTGTTAATCCACTGCCGCATAGCCTCATGCTACCTGCAAATCATGAAAGTTGGGCATTCTCAAGAACCATCCAGTGAAAAGCGAGTGATGGTGGGTGCAATGCAATACAATGCCAAAACAACCAAACAAAACAGAGCAAGAGGGCAACGACAAGCAACAAGTACACGTATTCACGCTATTTTTTGCGCTTTTGTGATGGCTTTTCGGAGCTGACTTCAACTCCTCAGGTCTCTCAGCCCTATGTGATGCACTGTAGTCCGCTTCGTTGTCTACAGCACCTGTCCTGAATGCACACACAACCATCTTCCATCAAACAAAAAATCTTCTCCTACTCTCAATACCCTTTTCGAAATTCTTTTGCACACATGCCCTCTCCCAAGTGTGAGCTCCTCCGTCTTTTACCTCCTCTTGTTGGACGAACCGCAGAAAAACATTGTTGAAAAGAAAAAGTGAAAGAGAGGGAGCACAAATTTTTCCCTTTTCACATCTATAAGCAGAACCAGCAGGACCAGCAGAACCAGCGGGATCGGCAGCAACAGCAATGTAATGGCTGATCAGTCATCACTTTCAACAACAAACAAGTGAAGGTGTATAAAGCATCAGGGCTCTGCGTTTTTTTATTCCCTTTTTGTGTTCCTTGTCTTTTGTTATGTTTTTCTAATGTGTTGTATTTCGTTCATGTTTGTTTCCAGCGTCGTGTCTGGTGGGGTTTGTCTCACAGATGCTACGGAGGCGAGGAAGCAAAGGATTGCAAAAAAATAGGGATTAGCATAATCCTTAGTAGGGTAACACATGTTAGACATGATCATTCAGTTGAGAAAGAGAGGGTCACAACTCTGAATTACCATACACAGGCACAACCCGTATTCAATGGGGCTGACCATTGTTGTCGCTAATGATCTCGTTCGGTGCACCGTTCATGGCCAAGAGGTCAACCTGCCATGCGACGCCGTCCTGATCTGGCTCGTCGAAGGACTCAACGATGTCGGGCATGTACACATCTTCGTAGTCGTGAACAAAGTCGTAATCATCATGGCCATCATCTTGAATGTCGCTATCCAATGCAAGATGGCCGTTATTTAGATGGGAAGCCGTCAAAGCGATCTGAATGGAAATCTCGTCGAGGTCTGGTTCGCCGAAGCTTATGGTAGAGGAAGACATATCCGCGTCGTCATTGTCGGGGTTGTAGGCGCTGTAGAAATTATTGTTAAAGAGTTGAGTTGGATATTCTTGCTCCTGTGCCATCGTGAATTGTGTTGCTTTGTGATTGTTATGGGCGTGTGTGTAGGGAGAGAGAGAGAGAAAGAGGGAGTGTGTGTGTGTGTATGAGTGAAGGAACAAAGGGCAATGAAAGAACGTGAGTGAGAGACAAGAGTGAAAATAATAGAGAGACAAAGCTGTGAAAAAAGGGATCCCTACTATCGTTCACGTCTGTACATTTAACCCTCTTTTTTGGATTCGTGTAACTTGGCACGAGAAAGGGACTTGTTGTGAAGAGAACGAAGGAGAGGACAAAAATGTAACGCTGGGATGTCAAATGGGACGGGGTATGAGGACGAGGATGGAGGATGGTACGCAAAAAGGGTTTGATGAAGATGAAAAATAAAGCAAAGCGGGGATTTAGAGTGGAGGGGCAGAAAAGGGACAAGAGAAAGCGGATCGTTGTGCTCAAGAAGTCAAAGGGAAGAAGAAGAGGGAGAAGATGAAGAAGAAAAGAAAGAAAAGGGAAGAGAAAAAGAACATTAAATATGGAGAAAAGAATGGAGCGGTAATGTCAAAACAACGAGCGCGAGTCAGCCTTAAGAGTACAGTTAGTGGCCCTGGGCTCCTCAATTCATTCAGTCATTCATTCGTTCATTCATTCCTTCCATGTACAGTAAACTAAAAAATCGAAGAGTAAAGTAAAACGAAGGCTCTCAACAGCCAAACCACACTCTCAACAGCCAGATAGAAACATCCCCCATTTTCATGTTCTTCCAATCAGATCAATGCCGCCTTGTTTTTTTTAAAAAATATCGATGTAATATTCATTTGTATGTTGCATCACACCCCAAAAAGACTATGAGTTCTTCTCTCGCGTCTTCTTTTTTTACTTGACCTTGTGGCGGTTGAGGAGCTTCATCAACGTAAACGTCAACACGTTCCAACCCTAGCGAACCGAACAAGAGGCAAACAGGTACTTGTGAGTTAAAATACAGTAACAGGGTATTTCCGTCAGTCAGAAATCAGTCTCCTGACAATCACTTACAAGGCCAATGTAGATCATCGACATGATAGCACCCTCGTAGTGCTCGAACGCGTACATGTCCCCCAGCACGTTATGATTAATCTCGTTATAACTATCCATATACGCACAACACAAAAAGCAAAGGATGATGACATAAAGTAAGTTACCACAAAGTTCACACGCGATCATCGACATTGAACATAGTCAACCACAACTACAACCACAACAAACAAAACAAAAAAAAAAACTTACATCCTCGAATCCATCTCCTTCAGATAGAAAGCCTCAACACCCCATCGAGGGGCACTAATATCCCAAACCCACCGAACAGTCGCATACCCACCGCTGGTCATGACCTTGTACAGATGAGGTGCCGTTCCACTCAAGACCAGCGCCCAGGCCAGCGACATACCCGTTCCCGCGAGTCCAAACATCGATCTGTTGACGACTGCCGAGACAAAGTATCCGAGCGAGAAAGCGTTGATGTAGAGGAGGAGGATGACTAAGAAAAGGGAGCTGAGTTGTTGTCGGTATGCAAAAAAAAATATGAATGCTCCCGTGTACATGCATGCTAATTTTTTTAGGGAGAAGGAAGGTAGGCAGAGAGGAAGGGAGAGAGATGTGGATTTGGCCACCACAAGTACGTGATTAGAATTCATCACCACAATGGACGTTCGCTCGTTCATTTCCTTCAACAGGTATGACGACAAACACAGAACAAAACAGAACAAACAGCGAACAGCCTAACCACTAGACGATCTTGCTATTTACCTGCGACAATCATGCGTGGTACATCTGCCAGGAACTTGGCCAGGTAGTAAGGGAGAGTCGGCATGCCGGCCGAGGTATCGCGCCAATACACAGCTACATTAGCAGTTACAAATAACGAAATGGTCAGCCCTTTTGCCTTTTGCCATTGTTGTTTGAACAAAAAGGAACAATTGAAGAGAGTAGAACGAAGAGAGAGGGAGAGGTGTACCTTTCTCATCACCAAAGGTGGAGGCACCAACGCTGATACCCGCGAAATAGACACCGAGGGACATGAACATGCCGACGTAACGGATATCATCCAGTGGTGTGGCACAGGACAACTGGATTGCTGGAGGGGCCATCGCGCAGATTTCAGCCGGCTGACGGGCTGGTAACAATAAAATAAAAAGGTGAAGAGAGTATTAATGAGGGGTGACAAAAACAGCATGCTGCGAAGAGGCGATTCAAAGGCTGTGGTCTTGGGACGTACGGGTATACATCATGTCCTTGGAGGCAAAGGAGACACAGAGTCCGCAGGCCAGATGAAGAGACTGGTCAGACAAGAATCCCATCTGCGATCGATAGTTCTGAAGACACGCGCGTTTGAAGCTAAGGCATTCACCGATTTCAATATTGCAGTTAGAGAATGTTAAAGCCCACAACTGACAGAGACTACATGCATAAATAACCAAAAAATGAAATAAAAATGGCGTACCAGAGAATGAAGACGCTGCCAAAGGAAGGCGTCTCACGGACGGGATCCTGCTCTCCGGTGAACTTGCACTTGATGGTCCACAGCCAATGACCCATCTCCTCAAAGACGTCGCGGATGTACGAGACCGAGTCTGCCCAGCTTGTGATGAACGACATGCGGAGGGATGTCCAGAATCCTTGTCCTTGGTTCTTAATCACCTCAACCTGGTCCGTGGTATCGGTGGAAGATCCGGCCAGGTTGGAGATGGGGACACTGAATGTTGGTGACTGGGGTCTTGAGGGTTGGTGAAGGGCCATAGTCGAGACGTGGCAATCTCGTTCCTCGGGTAACATGGCTGGGTAGAACGATTTTTCCGTGGTATCGTCGCTGGACTGGTCCAGAGGGTACAACTGGGCCTGCTTCATCGTGTCGCGCTTCTCAGGGGATCCTTGATTTGATCCATCATTTGACAGGCGGACTGTAATCATAGTGTCACTCTCGCGGATAGCATGCTTCTGCAGTGTCTTGGACAGGGCCTTGTTGCGGCAGTGGTTCTCCCACTCATCAAAGAGCTCTTGGGTACGCTCACGAGGGGTCTTGGGCTTGATGGTATCTTGGTATCCATAGGTCATCGCATCATCATCCTCCTGGCTCTCATATTCGGGAGCACGCGGAGACTTGTCAACGCGACCGGCTGCAAGAGAAATAAAGAAGTCGGCAGGACTCTCATCCTCAGGGACAGGGTAACCAATGCTCTCAAAGTAGCGTGAAGCCTCACCTCGTGGACCCGAGTAGACGACCCGACCTCCAGATCCCAGCAAGAGGAGATCATCAAACTGGTTGAAGGCATGGGGTGAAGGTGAGTGAACGACAGCAGCGACAGTCAGGAACTGCTCCTGAGCAATCTGCTTCAACAGCTTGCAGACCTCAAGCGATGTAGCAGAGTCCAGACCGGATGTCGGTTCGTCCAAGAACAGGATCGAGGGGGATGCGACGAGCTCCATACCAATGTTGACACGCTTGCGCTCACCACCAGACACACCACGAGTCTCGACATCTCCGATGGGGTTGTCCATGATATGACCGAGACCCAGGAACTGGATGACTTCCAACACCTTGAGACGCTTCTCATTGTGGCTCATGTGTACCGCCTGACGCATTCTCGCCGAGTGCTGGATCAAGAACAAAAGTGAAACGGAAAAGAGTGTCAGTAAACTACCTACTTCACGCATTGTAGAACCCCTCGACCGAAGTGTGTACTTCTCTCTTTGTACACATACCATGAGAATTTCGCGAACCGAGAGGTCGGAGAGCATCACATCTTCCTGGGGGACGAATCCAATCAGCTTCTTCCAAAGACTCAATGTCTGTTCCTTGCCGTTGACTTTGATGCTTCCATCTGTCTTGGCCACCTTACCGGCGAGGATTGACAAGAACGTGGTCTTTCCCGCACCCGAGGGTCCCATCACAGCGCACGTCCTTCCTGTAATCAGTCTGCCGCTAATGTTCTACACAATCGCAAGGTGCAAGAAAGGAAAGTATGTCAGTATACGCTCCGTACTGTTTTGCAGTGACAAGAATAGCATCAGTAACACGAATCCACATACCTTGATGATGTCAACTCCGGTAGGGAGAGTAAGCCCCAACTTCTCAAACCGAATATCAAACGACCTCTCAGCCTTGGGAAGACTCACCGTACTAACATTCATATTCCCAGCTGCAGCAGCCGCCAACGCCAGACTACGATGACTCGCTGCAAAGTCCAATCCCCCACCACCACCTGGGGCGGCTCCGTGACTGGCGATTTGAGATCCTGACATGAGTCGTTTCTGATCCTCGATGATGATGGACTGTGCCAGTTGGGCTGCCTCCCTCTTTTGACGCTTTTCATCCTCCAGATCATCGCTGTTGTCGCCCAGCTCGCGGAGTCGCTGTCGATATCGGAGGCGTTGGGCGCGGAAGATTCGCTTCTTGATGGAGAAAACTGCCATGGTTATCAATGCGAATGCAAACAGGACGGCGCCGAGACCGTATTTTTCGACGGCTGACGTACCACGAGGGCAAAACGCCAAAAAGTTGCACGGGAGCTATTTATATTTGTTAATCAGAGATAAGTAAAATGAAGGTTATTAGAATGAGAAGGCGGTAAAAAACAAGATGGGCTACAATAGGATCAAGAGCTGGGCAGGACTTACGGCGCGGGTGGAGGCAGCGGGGCAAAAGTAGCTGGCGGGGCAGACCTCGATGGTCTTGGTGTCTGGACTGCAGAGGTATCCCTTGCAACAGAGTGTTGGCTGAGCCGTGTTTGCGGGACAGTAGAATCCTGGCAGACAGGGAACCGAAACGTTGGGAGCCGCACAGAAGTGTCTAAGCACCAGTTAAAAGGGGAGTGATGCCGGATGTTAGGAACCAAGAGTACAAGAGCAAAATACATGACTAGTAACTGCGTGCCTATGACATGGACTGACTTACCCCGCTTCACACGTCCAGACAAGTCCTGAGGCAGAGTCATCGCTGCGAAGAGGTGTTCCTGCAACAGGGCATCCAGGCAAGTCGACCTATAGGTTACATAGAAACGACATGAGAGTACCATGAGTGCATATTCAATGCGTGCCGGTTCCTGCCATATGTAATCATGCAAGTATGGACATGGTCCTATTCCCTTGTACTACAAACAGGAAAATAAAATAAAAAGGTAATTACCGTTGGATCCTTGAAGTGATTTATGGAATACAAGAAAGTAAAGATACTCTTATCGGGCTCAAAGTCCATTGGCAACGGCGCCCTCACATCCGTCCTCGTCTCGTTCCAATGAAACCTTTCGATGATACTCTGCAACTGCTCCAGCGTCAGCTCCTTGGGGAACTTCAATCCAGCAGGAAGGGAGGACTTGACCAGGGTACCTGTCAGCTTCTCACCAATCTTGTTGACATCGAGCGACTGTATGTCAAAGTTCTTCATGTCGATGTTGGGCAGGTCGAGCGACGTGAGATCGATGGATTTGGGATCGAATGTCTTTGGATCGAAATTTTTGGGGTTGAAGGACTTTAATTCAAAGGGGTTCTGAGCAAGAACTCTCTGCCCTTGACCCTGTTGTTGTTGTTGTTGCTGTTGTTGTTTTTGTTGATGCTTACGTTGTCGTTGTTGGATCTTGAAGTGGTGCTTCTTCTTTGGGTGCTTGTGATTGCTGTGGTGGTGGTGACTGCTCATGGGATGGCGAGAGTGACGATCCTTGGTGCCTTTTCCGCGCCTTCTTGGTTTTTTGTGAGCGGAAGAAGGCTGGGATCGTCGGATGTGAGGGTTCGCCGTATCTGCGTCTGAGTAGTAGATTGTCATGATGGGTTGGTTCCTCTGTTTCTTTGAGTGATCTTAAGTAAAGTGATATCAAATGGTGGTGGGTGTCAATTGGTGTGGGATAAGAGCAGGTGAAACCGATTGCCTGTCAAGGCAGAGCAATGGTGAGGTGTTGCACTAGGGTATAGAAATTGAAGGTAGAAGAAATTGGGAGATGTTCTGATGAAAAGAGAGGTAAAAAATGACGAGGAGACAAATATCGGTGTCGGAAGAAAGGTAGAGATAGGGTTGTTGGCAATGGGCAGAACTCTTTGGACGGGAGATCGCAAAGAGAAGGGATGAGAAGGAAGGAGGAGAAGAAGTAAAGAGAAGGGCGGTATTAAGAAGCAATGGATAAAGTGAACAAAAAGAAGAAAGGAAGGGAAGAGGAATGAAAAAAGAAAGAAAGTGAGTACGAAGAATGAAGGAAGGAAGGACGATGTCGGATATGGACTGAGCGACAAATGGGGAAGTGGTGGATTAAATGGACAAAGGCGCAGAGAGGCAACGAAGAAGACGAAAATACGCGAATGACTCGGGACGAACTTTCACCCTCACCCTCACCACCTCAGACTATCAACACTATGTACAAAGGAAGAAAGGGTGCAGTCGAATCTCAAAGGAACCTTTCCACCTTCCCCTTTTTTCTTTGAATAAAAGGGAAGTGGACACGTTCTGTTCTGGCCTGAAAAAAGGTATCCTTGTGGAATTTGAGAAGGGGGCGTACTTACATATTTTCGCATGTCTACTTGTTCTTGTCCATTACCCTCACTCTCTCTCTCTGTTTCTTGCGCGTTTTCCAATGGGAAAGGCAGGACACACACGCACAGTAAACAAATGAAGAGATAAACAAGTACAGAACCGCGACGAGCACACTTCCCATATATCTTTTCATAATGAATGGTGCTTCTGTCCTTGGCACCGTTTGGTCCTCCCTTGTTTTCTACGCGCGCGATTTGTGAGAATAACTGGGAACACCTGAATCGCTAATCTGAGAATTCGCGTCCTCGCCCAGCAATATCTCTACAGCCACCATGAACCCTTAAGCGAGTGGCGCTAGGTGGTTGGTCTACCCTTGACTGTACTGTGTCGAACTCTCTTATTTGACCAGGTGGCTTTCCACGCACACGCCAAGGCTGATATGTGTCTGGTGCTGTGGTCGACACTACAGCCCTCGCCAAGAAGCTGTCCATCTAGATGCAAATCATAACCACTACCAATGCATGTATGTGGATGGGAGTGAGTGATAGAGGTGAGCATGGGACTCGGTGTGGTGTTGTGTGTGGACTGCAGCGTGGTCTTTCTATCCTTGCTACTTTTCGGCTAATTGAGAGAGAGAGATAGAGAGGCAATTGACAAGGGTGGGCACAAGTCCTAGATTATATATAAAAAAAGGTTTTATATCTCTTTTGTAATTCCTTACAAAACCCTCTTCCCCTCTATCCTCGTGGTTAACACACACAACCCCCTTCAGCTTCATACTCTCCTTTTCCCTGGCCCTTCTGCACTCCACTTTCTCATTCCTCCGCCTTTACCTCACAACCAACCAACAAACGCAACCAGCGCAACCACTCTAACAACAATCACATCCGCCATCTTCGCCGCTCTGAAACGTCCCTTCTCTCTCTTTGACACACACCCCTGCCTTTTGCATTCCCTTTTGCATTCCACACCCATCCTTCCTTCACCTGCATTCCATTAGCAGGGCATCCCATCCTAATCCACCTCCTACCTGCAATAATACAAGAGTGGTGGCATCAATCAAAAGGAAAACACGAAACTACACCGTATCGTGGACAAAAAGTGACAGAGAGAATCCCAACTGCACCGTTCTTTGTAGTTGACTCCCTGTTTAGTCAGTCTGCAACATTACACTCCGGCGTGGATGGGGTCTGACCGGCGAACATCTGCCAGGGACTTATTGACACTGTCCCAGAAAGTGAGCAGTAAGTCTCTTTCATTCCTTTCTTTTCTCTTTCTTCTCTCTTTCTTCTCTTTCTTTTGTACTCATTTAAAGTGGGGGTAAAGGGAGGAAGGCGTTGCAAAAAAATGTATAAAGACGTTCCATTTTCAACAAATTGACACAGTGGTATACCTTTCTTGCTTGGTTGTTTTGTCCACTTGATAATAGTGTTACTACAACGTCAGAGTGACAAACTGCTGGGCGAGATCGAGGATGCCAGAGGATCGCTTACTCCCGAAGAGGAGGCCCAAAGGTCAGAGCAATGTCAACAAGGTACATATCACCCCACATCTAGTGGGTTTTTCTATTTCAATTGAACATCTTTTATCCACATTCAATGTTAATTAACTTGATTGTAACCCCACTCCCTCTTACCCTTCTGTTGCGCCATGTGGTTATGGGTTTGTAGCAATTGATTTACGCAGGAATGTCTGGGAGACAAGCAAGCTGTTCAAGAGTGCTCTAGACCACGTGGAAGAGATTGACGACGAAGACGAGGCCCGCATCTTGAGCGAATCCACGGATGCTCTCCAAGTTCACGTCAAGAAGGCCCTTCAAAGTAAGTATACGAAAGAGACCGTTGTCTTTCTTCTTTTTATTTGTGTTGGTCATCTAGACGTCACCAACGGCAACAACGACTGACCTATTTTAATTCTACTTGTTAGTTGTTTCTTCTCCAGCTGACTCCAAGACATCCAAGGTATCAGGAACACCGTTATCGTTGTCGTCCACTTCCACTACCACAGATACTCATGCCAAGTCTCTTCCGATCCCGACAGGATTCGCCGCCAGGTCAGCTGCAGGGACGACAATACCCTCTGGAACGCCACCAGGACTCTCGGGATCATTGAATCGCCATCCGCTTGGCTTATTCTCGACCTCACCCAACTTTGGCGCTCAGTCACCCTTTGCGTCACCAAAGCGCCTCTCTGCAGCACGTTTTCCCTCGACGCCCATTACAGATCCTTCTGACTCGGAAGCAGAGGCCGAGGCTAAAGCTGCACCACCTTCACCACCTGCAATAGAAATATCTGACCCATTGGCTCTCTCGACCAACAACAACAACAACAACAACAACAACAACAATAACAATAACAACTGCAGCACCAAGAGCAAGAACACAAAAGAAAATGTTCCCACGCCAAAGAAACGACCAGGGACAACAAACGGATTATCGACGATCAGTCTCGACGATGGACCGTTATCGATCGCTACTACACCTGTACTGACGGCGTCTGTGAGGTCAACAGCCAAACACAACCGAGCGGATACCGGTCTGAATTCTGCGACAACGTCGTCGTCTCTGTCGTCTTTTGCATCGTTTTCAACACCAATCTCGTCACCCCTGGATACGCCCATCTCCCCACCGACAAATGTGCCCAACAAACCGTCCTTGACTCAGAGCAGTCCTCAACGGAACACTAATTCGGAAAACAAGTCAAGATTACCAGAAAGCAAAGTGCCAAAAAGTACAGATGCAGTCCGTTCCCCCTTGCCTGTGCGAAGAGTTCCCAGAGGACTCTTTTCTACTTCATCCACAACATCGATGTCAGGAACAGAGTCAATCAATAGCAACGGACACAACTACGGCAACGGGACAGTCGGACACACACTCGGGAAAACACCAGTCGCCTCGATGGACCAAATCGTTACTACATTGGCACAGGAGTCGTTCGAGTCACCCACGAGAGGCAGGACTCCGACGCGCGCACTCAGCCCAGGATTCTTGTCTGCCTCTCGACTGCAGTCACCGCCAACGCCCTCGGCTCCAGGCGATGGCCCAAAAAGTCCAACCTCGCCTCGTTTGCAGCGTTCACAGCTAAAACCTTCTCCAATCCAGACAGCACCTAATTCTCCGGCAACGGGGCAGTTTCCCAGGAACGAGATAACCAATGCCGAAGAGCAGATGTCGCAGTTGGCCAAGGATCTGGAGAGGGCTATGAACCCTACGCCGACAGAGCCGGTTCCTCAGCCTTACTTTTTGCAAGGAAAGGGGCTTTTAGAGCGCATCCCTAATCAGGATTCTATGGATGATGGCGATGACCAGGACGACCAGTATTCTGAGGTAATTAACATATGTGCTTGTTATGGTCACTTGTTCATGGGAAGTGTGCATATGAAATACGGGATCTAATTAATGTTTGATGTTGTGGATAATAGGATTCTGACAGGAACGATGGACAGACAGGTCAGGATGGCGCACCAGGGTTATCTCGAGGCAGTGGATCGTTGCGGCGTCAGAGATCGGGTGGCAAAAGGCGCTTCAGGATTTCGAGATCTCGATCCCGGAATCGATCCAAGGGTCGACAGGAACGAAACAAGCCCGATCTCCCTATTGAAATCGGATACACGTCTGCCTTGGCATCCTCGGAATGGCCGTTTGACAACGCGCCAACACAGCCGCCTTCCCAGTCCAGTCTGTCGGCTTTACAGCATCAACAACTCCAGCGGCAGCGGAATGCGTCTTTGGCAGCAGCGGGTTCGAGGCAGCAACAGATGCAGCAGCAAGGCGGAGCTCATCAGCGTTCGGCGTCTCAACCTACATCGTCTCTGCACCAACAACATCAACCAAGAACTGGACCTCGGTTACCATTCGCAGAGTCGGTAACGGTCAGCAATCCGATTCGGGTTGGACGCGGGATTGGGTCTTTTACGGTGTACAATGTCTCGCTGACACTGTGCGACCCCGCCAAGGCCAAAGTGCCTCTTCCGCCACGCCAGAACCAGAACCAGAACCAGATCAGGAACGGAGGCGATGGATCATCGACAGCACAGGATCAACATACCTCCTCAGCACCGCATGCTGGACATGCAGACGCTCAGGGATCTGACCAACTGGTCAATAACAATAATCTTAATTCATCACCTACGACAACAACTAATACGGGCATCACAAGCAACGCAATGGCGGAGGCGCCTCTGCGACCACCGCCCAGCAAGGCGGCTCTAATGATGACTCGGTCACTCTCGTTTCCAGAACTGGGCGACTCGGCAGAGAGGCTGTTGATGGAGATGCGATCGATGGAAGAGGACGACGATTCAGCACCACCGCCACCACTGCCTTGGCGACCACTGGCGACTACTGCAGCACCGTTGACTACACGGCCGTCGCATGCGAACACCGAGCCAGAGTTTGCCTTGCCACCGTTGTTGAGACCTCAGAGCGCCCCTATCCCATCACCACCACTACCTTTCCGTGGATCTGAGAGAGGGATCGGAGGAGCAGGAGGACGAGCGATACGGGGTCTGGATGCGACCATCTCGCGAGCAACGTCTGCCCAGCAGGTGACAGCAGCGCATGGTCATGGGTATGTCTCCCCACCTATCCCAACCAGAGTCGTAACAGGTTTCACATCAGTCGCGCCAACATCCTCATCCTCAATGTCAGGACTAGGATCGAACGCAACTCAAGCTCCACCACGTGTGATACATGTACGGAAACGCTACACAGACTTTGTAACACTGAGGGGGCAGCTAGTGGAGACGTTCCGAGAGCCAAGGAAGGGTGGGATCCGTGACGCGCGGCAGTTGTTCTCGAGGTCTTACTCTTCTTCTGCCGTCCCCACTATCCATGCCTCACCACGTGGTGGTGGTGGTAACCCTCTATCGGGCGGGCACAGGGTTTCGCCGTTCATGAGTAATGACGAAGACGAGGACTATAACGACGAGGACGAGGACGACGATGAGGATGGCACTGGATATTCGTCACATTCCAGGATGGCGTCTTCAACATCTGTCACCAGCACTTCCAGCCAGCAAAGCGCTAGCGGGAGTATTATCCGCGGGATGCCCAAGTTACCGCCCAAGAAAGTTGTGGGCAAGTTCCGGCCCGCGTTTGTGGAGAAGCGGCGGAGGGAGTTGGAGTACTTTTTGGAATGGGTGGTCGCTCATCCGATCATGGGGGATTCCCCTGTGGTCGTGCAATGGTTCCTCGGTCCTACTGCTACTCCTACCCTTTGAAGTCCTTTTTTTTTTCTGTCTTTTCTAGTGTATATAAGCATCCATAATGTAATATCTCTTACTCTGCACCGTTTGTGTTGTGATGCTGTTGAGATATGATTTTAATGGATAATGGTGGGACAGAATAAAACAAAACAAAAGAGACGAAGATGCTGGTATGAAATGAAAAGAAATGAAAAAGTAAAAGAACAAAAACAGATCTTTACCTGCGACCGCCACGTCCGCCACGTCCGCCACCAGCACCACCGCGTCCGCCACCAGCACCACCGCGTCCGCTACTAGCACCACCGCGTCCACCACTAGCACCACCGCGTCCGCCGCCACGTCCACCCCCACGTCCGCCGCCACCTCCGCGGCCTCTATCCGTCATCGCCGTAATCTTTCTCTGCACCTTGCCTTCGTAGCCTATCATATAGAAAAACAACAACAAGAAAACGGGTTAATGGATGAAGTGGGGACAAAAAGCGAGAGGGCTTTCAATACGGATCGAAACCTTGATACACAAGGACACATAAGAAAACTAGAAACTTACGGAACTTCTTCTTCTTCTCTTTAGGAGGGTACACCTTCTTCGCACCCTTGGCAGAAGTAGCCGACGAACTTCCAAGCTTCTGACGCTTCTTATCCCCACCCTCCTCACCATCCACATTCTCATCATCCTCCCCATCCTGCTCCCCTGATTTAGACTCATTCTTCTTGGCAGCCTTTTCCATAGTAGCAGTATTATTTTTGGGGGTTCCAAAGGTCCCGTCGTCCTGATCCATGTCCTCAATGACGGTGACGGTGGTGAGGGAGGTCTTCGTCTTGAATTTGGATTCCTTAGGGTCCTTCTTTTTCGAGTCCTCGTCGTCAGAAGAGAATATTGTGTCATCCTCTTCGTCGCTCAACGCCTCTCCGTACTTGATCTTCAGCTCTATTTTTACATGCCAGAAAGAAAGTATATTAGCAACAATTACAATCCTCAAAAAAGACCCCTTTGCAAACATACCAATCCCAGAACGAACACCTCAACATGGGGAGGGGGGGATTGACAGAAAAAAAAAAAAAAGACTTACGGCGGCGGTACTTCTCATACTCCTGAACTTTCTCCTCCTGCATCTCTTTACGGGCAGCACGAGCCTCCTTCCTGGCCTCAAGTTTCTCCTCATGTTCCTTCTGCTTTGCCAGTTCCCGCGCCACATTCTGACGATGCACCTTTCGCTTATGGAATCCAGTCAAATACTCCCTATCGAGACACAACAATTGATCCATAAAAAAAGAAGGTATACGGGGTTAGTTTTGGTACATGGTATAATAAAGGGCAAGCCAACTTGGTATGGACCCCCCCCCCCCCCCCCCCTTGACTGTTCCCTGGGCATCATGATCTAGCTCCACTTTTTCATGGAAAAAGGACGGAATCCCCTACAAGTAACAGACATTGACCAACAGGGGGGTCCATTGATCGATAAGTGGAAAAAAAAAAGCCACGACAATAAACGTACTTGCGGGCTTCGGGGTCAAAGGTGACTTCGGCCAGTTGCTCCTGACGGGCTTTACGCTTCTTTGCATACACATCTCCACCGCTCGATAGCGCCTGCAAGTTGGTGGTATTCGCGCTCATGATATTTTTTTAATCCTCCTGCTATTTCTGCTGGGTTTGTCCTGTGGAGAGGGGGGGGGGGGAAGGGTGAAGGTATAAAACGACTGGTGCTGCCTCCTTGGAATAGATAACAAAGTTCTGGTTTCTGAAGGACGTCTTTGAAGAGATGGTGAAGAGGGTCCTGAGATGCAGAAGCGAAGAGTGATGGGCTACCTGCAACACAGCGCTGAACTTGTTCAGGTTCAACCAAAAAAAAAAAAAAAAAAAGAAAGAGAATGTTGTTGTGGCTTAGATGGACTGTCTTTTCGATACTGGGTTGGTCCGTGCTTTCATCGTGCAGATAGATAGTCGTACCACATATGCTACTACCATTCCCTGTCTTACATCAATTCTTCAGAAAGCTCAATTGGGTCAGCAAACATGTCAATGCATTGGGCAGACAGCATCAAAAAAATTGTTCAATTGGCAATGAATGGTTCACATTCACGATAAGATGTATGTATTGGTGATATTCATCTCGAAGGTTATTTCTTTACTATTTTGAATATTTGTTAAAGACAACACATAGAGAGATATGGATAGAAACTACTAGTACAGAGGGGGTCTACATGCAGGGAAAGCACTTGCTGAAAGAAAAACGACGAAAGAAAAAGACGTAAAAAGTACAAGCGAAAAAAGCAACGCAAAATAAAAGGGAATCAAAAGGAAAACTATGTACATGAGGGGGAAAAAAGCAACAAAAGGTCAAGCAAAAGAAAAGGCGAAGAAAAAAGAAACCCTTCGAGATTTAGCCGCGGATGCAGGGAGTTGGGGAGTTGGGGTAGCTCGAATATGGGCTGGAGTGGGGGCTTGACTCATAGAAGCAGTAGCGATCGACCAAGTCGTAGTAGCCAGAGGAGCCCATGCCGTGGGCCTTAGAGGTAGGGATCGAGATGGGGGCAGATGCAGAGGGGGACGAGGAGAAAGAAGAGAAACCAGAGCTGGCCTCTTGGTCACGTCCATTCCACGACTGGCTGCGCGAGAGCTGTTGCTTCTTGATGGGCATCGATCGGTCGAGAGACAATTGGTCAAAGCCAATGTGGAAGTGTTCTGGGGGCGAGGCGGCAGAGAGGTATGAGTTGACAAATTTGGGCGACGAGGCATAGAGCGAGTGGTGGTAGCCAGGAGGAGACTGGACGGGAGTAGTGATGTACTCGCTTGGCCGGTAAGCGGTCTGGGCGACAGGGATAGCGTCGCGCTTGGCCCAGGTAGGGGTGCTGCCGATGGGCTGGCTGTAGGCAGCGGAAAGGGAGGTGGAGAGGTCGTAGCGGTTGTTGGCGTTCTTCTTCTTGAGGACAGGCTTGGAGAAGTCGGGCATTTGGGAGGCGAGGAGGATGGAGTTCATCTGCTTGGAGAGATCGGACACGACAGGAGGGGCGACGACGACGACGCGTTTGCATTCCACATGATAGTTCATTCCGTTGTTGCTGTCCCAAAATTCACGTCCAATCACCTGATACCGCACCGCAAAGCAGAACGACCGCTCTACCATCGTCTTCTCCATCTCCATCGGAATCTTGAACGCAAACCGATCAAGCGCCGACCCAGGGATCGACTCCTCATACTCGGCAGCGACCTCTGTCTGCGTCTGCCAGTAGTCGGTCGTGTAGCGGACAGAGACGCGCTTGTGGAAGGCAATGTTGTGGATCAGAATCTTGCCCTGCAACTCCGTCTGGTCCTGTGAGAGCGCCATGGTCTCGACACGCAGAGGGGCAGCGCCGGCGGCATTAATGTCGCCGGGTTGGAAGGTGCCAGCAGCAACAGGGGACCAGTTGGTGAGCGTCAGCTTGATGTCGCTGGTCGACTCGCCGTTCTGGCGGGCATCGACGATGGTCTCGCGGTCAGATACGCAGGAGGGCATCTCGCCCTGCAAGAAGAGGCGAACATGCTCAAGCTGGGAGTTGAAGTGGACGTATTTGGGGCTGGTGAGGGCAGAAGGCGAAGTGTAGGATCGGATTGTCGAGGGCCTAGCCTGGCCATTGCAGATAGGGCTAGCAGTTGCAGGGCTCTTGAGAGCAGACTTGATGGGAAGGCCGTTCTTGCCGATGAGGACAGTTTGATGGTTGCGAATGGGGCTGGGGGTGGAAGGGGTGAGGACGGTGGTGAGATTTGTTGTCTTGACAGGAGGAGGAGGAGTAGCACGCAGTGGCGAAGGCGAAGGGGAAGAGGAAGCTGTGCTCATAGGAGGAGTGTGTTGTCTGGGGGTATTGGGGCTCTGGGTGTTGACAGGGATTTGACTGGAGGTGTTGTTAATGGAAGGAGAGGAGCGTCTGAGGGAAAGGGTGACTCTTTTGTTGGAGGAGGCGATGGGGTGAGGGATGGTCCTGAAGACGACGCGGTCGGGACTGGCGAGGACGAAGGGCTGGGAGTGGTCTGCGGGGGATGTTGACAGCGACATTTGTTTGTTGTGATATGTGTGTGTGTGTGTGTGTGAGAGAGAAAGGAGACTGCAGTGGAGTAAAGACGAGAGAGAGAAAGAGAGAGAGAAAGAGAGAGAGAGAGAGAGAGAAAAGAGGGTAAAACGAGGAGAAAGATAAAGCGGGGGGAGGGGAAGGGGTGTGATGATTTGATATGATGATGATGAAGGGGAAGAAGGGGTGAAGAAAAGTCAAAAGGAAAAAAGGAAAAGAGAGAAGGGGAGGGTGGAAAGGAATAATGAAATCAGATATAAAGGAGGTGCGTGAGAATAGCAGCGGGGGGTAGGGTTGGAGTTAGGAGTAGGAGTGGAGGTTGGTTGAACAAGAGAGAAGAAGAAAAGAGAAAGAAAGAGATGAAAAAGAGAGGCGGCGAAGGCAATGGTTTTATATTGAAGGGGGAAAGAGAAGAGAAGAGATAAAGAAAGGTTAGTGAAGGGATCATCACCTTACATAAGAACAGTAGGCATAGGTATGGTATGGTCAAGCCAAGTAAAAAGATATCGGGTGAAGTATATATGTGTCGGAGCAGAGCAAGCAGAGCAGAGCAGAGATAGGCGGAGCAAGTAAGCACATCATCCTTTGTTCTCTTGCGAACAAACAACCCCCTGGCTCTCGTTCGTTATCTTTTCCATTTTGCCAACCAAAGTCCACTTTTGGACCATATGCCCCCATTGTCCATATCTGCCCAGAGAGACATGTCACAGGTCACAAACAACCCATTGCTGTTGGCACAGTCCAATACCGTGTGTCGATTGAATCCTCGTGTTTAACAGACAATTGAGAAATATTCTCCGCCGGTGTCCTACAAATGGACAATTCATTATTATTACCTTGACTAAGATTATTGCCTGTCTCGACTGTGTCTGTTTCTTGTTCTTTGTCAATGTGTTTCGACGATGATTGGTTCTAAAAGATGGACAAAGACATTAAAGAAAGGAGGCGATTAGACTCATTTCCATACAAAGAACGAAGAAAGGTCTGTTCCTGTCGAACTAAAAAAGACCTGCTTAATGGTGGGGTTAAAACTAAGCTACCGTCCACTACACTACTCACAAATAAAAAGCACGTAATAAACATCCTCCTCCTCGCCAGCTCAAGTCTTTTTTATGAAATACTGAAAAGGATAAAAGACTATACGTGTTGTACAACAACGCGTTTGCATTGTCTGCATTGATAGAAAAAGGGTGTGTTTTATGGTTACGGGCAAGTAGACCTCATGACATCCTCAGAAAAAAAGAGAAATAGGCCCGTTCACAGTTCACATCAACATAAACAAATAAAGTGCGAAAACACAACAAACGACTTGATCCAAGTCAGGATGTACGCACAAGCAGGAAGTGTTGGCTGGCGTGAAGGAGGAAGATGTGAAGAGAGGTATGTGGAGGAAGGGAGGAAGGGAGGAAGGGAGAAAGGAGAGTGTGAAGGGGGAGATCAACAAGGATGTGATAAACGTGGAAATGGACCAGGATGAATAGGAAGAGCGATGTTCTAGAGAGGTAAGCCAGTTGCCTAGCAGCTCGCAAAAAGGCCAATGATGGGCTCGAACCATTTAGGGTCAACGAAGGCATGTTGGTCCGACGGTAAAAAAAAGTTGTGGGGTACCAGGGGTGAAGGATGGTTCGTGTGGACGCATTGTTGGGTATTGAAAAAAGGAGACGGGGGGGTGTATGCATGAAAAGGGCTTTTTTCCTTTGCTAGTTGGGCAGGGGTGCGTGTGTTGAGTGGAGTCAAAGTAAAAGAGAACGAAAAAAGATAACGCCTTGACCATCCCCTTGTTTTTCCGTAGTAGCACACTCCACTTTCGTAGTCTGTTTTTTCTTTCCTTTGTGCATCCATCCCTTTTTTCTTTCCCTTGGGTTGCTTTTACTCCCAGTCATTTTAAAAAGCACCGCAAACACAAAGAAAAACAAAGAAGAGTAAAGGAGGACAAACAAGACAGCACCCACCAAACTCAAAGGAGATAAGGAGGTGACATAAATATAGAATAGATCGCACATCCATGCCATACAAACACCATTGATGCTTGTTTGACAGTTGATTAAGTAGAAAAAATACGCAGAAGGTTGCTTCCTCCCGTGCGTCCTTCCTTCGAGGGATGGATTGTGCATAACCCTCCCAGTTACAAACAAGTAAACAAACAAGTGGTGAATCGTGAAGTAGTTTATGCTATTGTCCAACATACCGAAGGATGTGGAGAAGGACAGGAAATGTACGAGGTGTGTGAAATGATGGTAGGATGCAATGATAAGAAAAAGCAAGTATTTTCAAAAGAGCGCGGTGACCGGGGTGGGGTCAGATCAAGTCAGAACATAAGTGATCGATTGGTTCGCATACATCGTACACCTTTTTTCGTTGCAAAAAAAAGGAGTTTAAAGACAACACAGAAAAGAGGGAAAGAGAGTTCTCAGCACAGATAAACGGGAGACGCAGTAGCATAAGCAAGCAACGGGAATAGAGTATGAAAGATAAGGGAAAATATTTTTTTTACTTTGGAAAGGGAGGAAAAGGCAAGAAAGAAAAAGGGCACAACAATAAAAAATACTTTTTTTCTGGTTGTTCCCCATACAGCAGCTTGCTGTGAAAGCAAAAAAAAAAAAAAAAGAGTGAGTATTGAAGGAGACGGATGAGGGTAGAGATCGTTACCTGTTGACAAGAAAGAGAAAGGTGGGTAGGGCAGAGAGTTTGTTGTAGAAGGATAGGATATGATATGTGTATATATGAGAAAGAGAGAGTGTGGGGGTGGCGGAAGCGGGTGGTAGGTGCTGAAGAGAGAAAAAGAAGAGAAAGCCGTTGTGTCTGTGTGTCGGGGAGAGGATGGTAGTGCAAAAGGTAGAGAAGCAGCAGTTGGTAAGGGAGTACAAAGACGAACGAAAAACAAAAGAAAAAGAAAACGAAGAAAGAAGCGAGGGAGCCCTCCTTTTATATGTGCTATGTCAAAGAAGAGAAAAAAATGTCCGACTGATAGACTTCATTCCCTATCGGTCAGCAACTGATATCTTTTCTCCCATCTGATCAGTCATTCAATTCAACTCAACTCAACTATCAGCTATCACTCAATGATAACGAACAAAAACGAAGGAAAAATGACTGTGCCTCATCTCCACACATCAGCCTCTGTCCGTAGTCATCTCCATCCTCGACATTGCCTCTTCTTTCCTACCGTGTATCATCCACAGTTTGAACCACCATGGGCCACACTCTCTTTGTCTCCTCTTTCCTCTGTTCTGCTCGACCTAACTGACCTGCCCGCCTGCCTGATATGGTCCGTTCATTTCATAAACTGAGACCTCCCAGAGAAAAAGGCCGCATTTCGTCTTCCGTTCGTCTGGACTCGGTCACTGGCTAAGTGAACTGAAAATGGCTGACTGAGGGTGGCAGCTGAACATGTTCCTCCCTGGATAATGGCTTGTTTCGCCAGCCACCCGGTACTCTTCGCCAGCCACCCGGCACTCCTGTAGCGAGCCAACAAAGGCCTCGCTCAATCCACTCACATATTCTATTCCACTCACACCAAAGAGAGTTAAGGGAGAGATTAGAGGAAGAGAGGGATACGATACCATGGACTCTCCTCGGAGAGAAAGAAACTCAGAGATAGATAGCGAAAGAGGAGAGAGTGTTCAATGAACAAGAACAAAGAGAAATGAGCATTCTTGTTGCAACACGTTCAGTAGGGAGTTAGTGTTGTTCCTGTTATTGAAAGCTGTAATGGGCGCTTGTCCAATCTCATCTCTCCACTCCCTCTCTCATCTCCTTTTTCCTTCTCGCACTTTGCTTATGATGACTTGAAATAGCTCTTGACGAAAGTTTTTTCCTGTTAGTGATTTCTTTTTTTTTTGGAATATGAGCTGTGATTTGTTCATCCTCACTTCCACTTCCAAACAACACAACAACAATAACAACAAAGCTGGGGAAAACCTTTTTTGCCTTGTCCCTGCCATTGACTTAATAAACAAAACTGCATCAATGCGTCAGTGGTCCAGGCAAAAAGATCATATCTCCCTTCCTCCAAAGGCGCTTTCTTCTTTTTCGGGGCTGGATGAATGTCTTTCCCCTCTCCTTCCTCTCCCGCCCCTACCACCGTTTGTTTATTTGTTTAGTTGACACAAACAGACACAGGCCTCGCATTTTGCATGATGGCCCCACATCCATTGCTGCTGTCTCTCTTTCTTCTCTTTGGAAAAGTGCTCCGTGTCCAAAGAGAGACCGCTATAGCTATAGCGCAGCCAGGGGGTGTGGATCGATCGGCAATGCCAGACATGGACAAAGACAACGAAATCGACAATTGTAAGAGAGGGGTTAGCAGTTGTCAGTCTGCATGCATGCAGTCTTGCTCGTATCTCCAAAGGGAAGGCAGAGAAACCCGCAATTCACTCCGACGTTGTCGTCATATCCGTGCTCACTTACTTTCTCTCTCGGCATGAATAACCAACTGATCTAAAAGAAATCCTAAATGCACCTGCACCTGCAACTTCCCAGTTGGGGTATCATTCTGTCGATCGAACAAGAAGACCATCCAAAGATACAGTTCCCATTCCCAAATGCATGCAACAAAATTGACCCATTTTTCCCACCCACAGTTCACATACGCCCACGTATCTCCCACGAAAGTTAGCTTAGTCACCTGCAATGGCACTCAATCTGCAACACCACAGCAGCCCACACAAGACCCTTCCTCCTACCTTTCGTACTGCCTGATTTGGGAGAGGTGTGATTACCGAGTTGCTTGCCTGTAATGTTTCTGCAATCGGAGAGACGAAATAAAAAATGGGTTTGATTGATCCACCCGCGCACGACATGATTGGGCATTTGCTTGAAATGATTTTCTACTCTCCGCGAGCTTATGTTTGTCTTTCTGCCAGTCGGCAGTCAGATGTGTGCCTGAACTGAGTTACCAGCCTACTCCCTTCTCCTCCATCTTCGCCTGTACTTGTTTTCCTAACCTGCAAAGCAAGCGAGAGTAAGGGATTTGAAGATGGAGGAGAAACTCAAGACCATGAAAAAAATATCCATGGTTTCCTTGTCAGTAGAAGATCCAACCTCTCACAGTATTGTTATTGTTTGTTCTCCCTTGTCTTTGGAGCGTTGGGCTTCTCTTGGGATCTTTGACTCCACTTTTTCATTCTGCCTATAGAAACTTTTCTATCTATCGTAGTCTATCACCCCTACTTTCCTTATCAAGGTCTTCACTCCGCCAATGCTGCTGTGTATTTTTTAAGTATGTTTTGAATGGAAGGCAGCAGATGTGGTGTATGGGGCGCCCAACCTTAACCCTCTTTTTTCTTTTTTCTTACAAGACACTTATCTCCTTTCTTTTGTCCAGCCTTTCTACCCTGTTGCCTTGTTGCTCTTTAGCCTTGTTTATCTCAGTCTGTTTGGATTTTTTTTTTTTTTCGCTTGTGTTCCTGAAAAAGAAAAAATGAAGAGCACAAAAAAAAAAAAGTAGGTCCGCCGTTGTACAACAACAACCAGTTCCAATAATGGTCATGCTTGCCCTCTTCTAAGCACAGACCAGAACAAACAAAGAGAAGCGCAAGAAAGCAGAAGGAGAAGATAACGTTGAGGTACAACCGATGGTTTCTTTTCGGATATGCAGATCTTTTGAGAAGAAGGAGTATCGATTTTTTGATCAAACACATGGGGGCAAACAAACAGCCGCAAACATCGTTCATCGCAGCCTCCCATCTCTTGCTTATGTGTGCTGCATGAACTCAGTTCGATAGACGAGAAAGGATCATATGAGTTTATGATATTCAGCTGGTTAAACCAATACTAATAAACAAAACACAGCAACCACGAGCTTGTTGTTCCTTTTGGTTGGGGGGGTTTCCCGCCTTTTACTGACAACCATACTACGCCTCATCACTGCCCAACGTATGGGTGTGATGAAATTACGTTTGCTCTTTCTCTCCATGCACAGTTTTTATCTAAAGCGTCTTAGTCACGGACATATGTCGAGGAACATGCTCCAAGAAGCTCGAAAAAGATTAGTCAATTAGGTTGACAGCTACTACAACGACGTTGGGGGAGAGAGAACAAAAATCAAGGTGAAAGGAAAACACTCCTCTCCATTCCACAGAGTTACCCCTTTCTTTCCTGGACATTGCTTTAATCATCCATTAAAGATGCGAAGTTGTGCGTCCGTGGTTTTACGTTAGAAACTTATAGAAAGACGCCCAAGCTCCGATGATGATGGATGAATTGTTATTGTTCCTTTTCCTCCTTTCTTGCTCTACACCTCCATCCCACTTCTCCCTTTGCGCACTGTTGCACCTCCCATTCACTATGTATTTTTCATATGCTAAAAGTACTTAATCATTCAACAGCCGATAGTTCTCACAACTTGACAGTCCCCCTCTTGTTCACCTCCGCTTGTCCCCGCATTGTTAGTTAAACCCCATGGATTGAATGTAAACCCCGCTATGTTCGCATCTAAGGTTTTCTGTTCTTTGTCCACGGGAGAGTAGCCAGACAGGCGAGAGATAACGAAAAACGAGAGGCAAAAGTTGAAAGGATACAAGGATAGAGGAGTAACAACGAGGGGGCGCCAGGACGGAAAGAAGACAAAGGAAGGTGGTGGGTTGATATGTTATCTCCGGTTGTCGGAGATGAAAAACAAGGCAACCCAAAACCTGTTCAACTCACCCAACCAAAACTTTTTTTTGGCGGGCGCATCTTTCTTGAAAGGAAGAGAGTGGTGGTGGTGGTGGTGGTTGGGGGGGGGGAGTGTACGCGGGAGAAAGAATTCAACCGAGCCCGTCTAATTGAACGCGACACATTCAATTACGAATATTATTCTCTCGCTCGTTCATTCACCCATACATTCACTATCCGAGAGAGCGAACCATTTATGCAGCCTTGTTTATTTTGCATATGCTATCCAATCCTGCACTTGGCTGGTCGGCACCACACCACACCCATCCCGCCCAAGTTTCTATTCATGCGCCGTTTTGTGAATTATTGCTTGGTGAAGGAGAGCATGTAGTTGTTGGAGGGCATGTCGACGATTTGGTCGAGCTTCATTTGGACATCGGGGCTGGCCGCGACGGCTTGGATCTCTTCGATGTCACGGACCCCCCAAGAAGCATCCTTTCCTCGCAGCGTCTTGTCGAACTATGTGAGGGGTTTCAATAAGTATCAAGGAAGGCGGGTTAGTAATGTGAATGGTTCACCGATTCTTCGGTTAGCCTGCTCCTATTGTGTCTCTCGTGAGATCAATGGTGAGTGGTGGTGTCTCCGGTACGAAAGGAACCCAGAAGAGTGTGACTCTCATCCTGCCTACGCCTCTTTTATCCCAGTTCATGTGCTTATGAATACCAGCCACCACCAAGCCTCCTTTCTTACAAGAACCAGAAGAAAAATGTGTGGCTTACCTCGCGATTGCTTTCAGTGTTAAAGGCTCCATGCCTCTTGAAAGGTCCATAGACCAAGAACCGTCCACCCGGCTTCAGAACCCGACCCGCACCGCGAACAATCGACTGGCCCACAACCCATGGTGAAATGTGAAAGACATTCGTCGTCATCACCACATCGTAACACGGCTGCTCCTCCTCCTCTTGTCCCCGTTCCTGACCGGCCTGAAGGACATGTTTCCAGTGGATCGAGTTGGTAGCATCGAGTTCGAGGGCGGGGCGGATAAGGTGTCCTTCTTTGAGGAGGTCGGAAGCATAGGCGTCGATGCTGGCCAGGAGGGCGGTGTCGTATTCTGTGGGCTGGAAGGAGACATTGGGGTATGCTTTTGAGAAATGGTATGTGTGCTGTCCTGATCCTGATCCCACTTCCAGCACTAGCGAGAGAGAGAGAGAGAGAGAGAGAGAGAGAGACAAGCACAGTAAAGCATAGAATTCATTATTCAAGAAGAAAAGTAAATGAGGAGGAGGATAAGTAGGAAGGATGAGGTGTCAGTAAAAGAGCCAGAAACAATACGACCCTCGCTTGCCCCATTGCCCCGCTGAACACGTACTCTACGACCAGTAACGGGTATCCCATAAACAGTCATCATCTTCATATCCCAGTTCAACTATCCATATAACTCGCGCTCGCAAAAAACATTATTAACAATACCTTGACGAGCAGTATCGAGATAGGGCCTCAATTGGTCCAAGATCACGTCTTTGTTGCGATCGGCGGCTGCGAAGAAGACCTTGTTATCCATCAGGACGTATTCGCTGCAGTTCTGGCGGAAACCTGCTCCTTCGGTCTGAGACACTTGTGCTGCGGTCGTGGTATCGTTCGCGTTGGTATTGGTGTTTGTGACCGCTGGTGTAGGTGCAGAGGAAGTAATTGTCGTGTTAGCTATTTGTTCAGTTGTTGTTTCTTGTTTTAAAGAGCAAAAGAGAAAAGTGCGTTCGGCGGTATTGAAATAGTCGTTGAGAAGTGAAAATGGGGGAGCTGCGAGGAATTGGTGAGGGAAGTGTGCTGAAAAAGCAAAAAGAAGGAGAAAAAGAAGAAAAGAGAGAGAGGCGACAAATGGAACAATTAACGAAAAACAAGGGGGTGCGAGAGAGAGAGATTAGGGAGTAAACGAGGGAGCGATATAGACCTGTTGTTGCAAGGACTCGAGCCACAGCTGTTTGCTCGTGTTCCTGTACCTCCATTAAGTACAATTGGCGACAGCAAGAGGCGTGAATAGTTGTACAAAGACCTACAGTTATTGCGGACGAGCAGCAGTGAAGAGACCATTGATGGATAGATGTGCCTGTGTTGCAAGGAGAAAAAGAGTCGATTGGGTTGGGAGAACAACAAAAAAAAGGCGTTTCGTTGGTGCGCTGCATGGATTAGTGAGCATTTATTCGAGTAGGCAGAACACGCGCCGCCAGTAATTTCTGTGACGTGTTCATTTTTTTTTCTAATAGGGCAGGGCTGATCTTGTTTCGTGCATTCATTCATTTCACCAGACCGCCACCACACAGACTAACCTACTATAATGCCACCAAAGAAGAAAGCCGCACCCAGAAAGACAAAGGCACAAGCTGCAGCGGAGGCAAAGGCAGAAGCAGAGGCACAAGCAGCAGCAGCAGCAGCAGCAGAAGCGGAGGCGAATAGAGGAACAACCAAGGAGGACGAGGAAGAGACTGTCACTGTCAAGAAAACCACCATGACCACAGAGACCGTCGTCACCACAACTATGACCATCGTCAGCGCACAGGAGGAATCAAAGGAAGAGAGCAATAGCATTGAAGAAATCAAGGAAGAAGAGAAGGAGGTAGTAAAAGAGAAGCCTGGAAAGAAAGGTGGTCGTTCAAAGAGAAAGGCCAGGGATGAGGAGACGGTGGAGAAGGTGGAAAAGGTGACAGCATCAACAACAACGACAACGACATCAGAGGAGCCACGAGCACCAGTACCGACAAGTGGTCAGGACCAAGATCAGGAAATGAAGGAGGTCGAGTCTGAGGCGTCATCGTCGTCTGCATCTGCACCTGCACCAAAGACGAATGGCGCGGCACTTACCATGGCAGAGAGGATGGAGAAACTGAAGGGTCTTCGCCAAAAGATGGTAACGCATTCATCCCACTCTATCACATTTCTTCTCATGTTATTACGTTGGCATGAAAGAAATTGTTCTAACCATGCCCTCGTTGTTCTCGTATCATAATATAGAACGCATCAAAGCAGGAGAACAGGAAGGATCTGATGGCAGAACACCAAAAGTCCAAGGTGAACCACAGGGAGGAGGCCAAGAAGGCGAGAGCACGCGAGGCAGCAGAGGAGATGATGGCCAAGCAGGAGGCAGAGGAGGCAGGCGAAGACTATGAGCGTTCACAGTTCTGGAACTACTCTGCAGAGAGTGTCGAGCGCTGGAACGAGAAGCAGGAGGCCAAACGGATCCGCATGGACAACAAGTTTACAGGTAAGGAAAGAATCTTTGTCGGGACTCATCTGCTGACTGTTGCCTATTTATTAGTCACAACCAGCAATTCTTTATCGAGAGCCAGATACAGACTTTTGTCCGCTTTGGAAGTGTCATTTAGCACAATGGATAGAAGCACAAGTTATTAACAAGCCTCTGTATCAATTTTCACCATGGTTTATTTAGACTGGGACCAGATGAATCACAAAAAGTACTTGAAGCAGGTCGGCGAACTCAAGCCAAACTTGGCGGCATACAATGCAAAGAAGGAAGCAGCGATGCATGTGAACGAGGACGGCGAGTTAGTGGTGGCGAGCGATTCTGGGTTCTATCGGGATGCCAACTCGGTGGAGTTCTTGTCGGATGCTAAACCGAATGCGCTTGCGGTAGATCGTCTTGCGGCGGATGTGGCCAAACAGATTGAGGCACGATCAAAGTTCTCGAAGCGCAGGGCACACAAGGACGACGAGGATGTCAACTACATCAACGATGCCAACCAGCGGTTTAACCAGAAGATTGCTCGGTTCTACGACAAGCATACCAAGGAGATCCGCGATGACTTTGAGCGTGGCACAGCACTCTGAAAGATGTCGCTCTGTTGCAGCAGTACAGATTCCCTTTTTTTTTGTGTCACACCGTTCAAATAAATCAGGCTTTCATTCGAGTGTGATATTAAGGGCAGCGAAAGTTTGTTTGCTCAGGGTCTATTTTTTCTACTTTTTCTTCCTCTTTGCTCTCTGCCCTGACCCTCTTTTTGTCGCCACCAAAAAACAACAAGGACGCGATTCATTACATTCTCGAATCAACACTTCTACCCGCCCAACCCGCCCTCGACATTACAAGATCAACACATTCACACGTCACAGAAAGCTTTTTTTATTTTTATTTATTTTCCCGACTGAACACATCAAACCATTCTCGATTGAATCAGAAAGCGGGCGTCATGGATGGAGCATACGTGAAGAAGGAACCAAAGGATGACGGGAGCATCACAGTCCTCAGCGGCATACCCAAAAAGGACAAGACTAAGGTCAAAAGTAGGACCGAGAAGGCGAAGCGCAACGAAGGAGCTGCTACCAACACCTCAGGGTCGGACGATACCAGTGACCCGGACACTCACATTGCAGGCTCAGATTCGAACGACGACTCAGCCGACTCGGACGACGATGACGAAGGAGATAGCGATGTCTATGAGGTCGAGAAGGTTGTGGGCCACCGGTTCGATCAAAACAACATGCTGAGCTACCACATCAAGTGGAAGGGCTACCCGGACGAGGAGAGCAGTTGGGAGCAAGTGGGTTCGGTGTTTTGTCTGGACATGGTCAAGGACTACTGGAAGTTGTATTGCGACCAAGGAGGTAGCAAGACGGACCCAGAGGGGAGCATTAGGAGGCCGACGTCGTCATCTTTAACGTTGATCGGGGGACGGAAAACGAGCTCTTCCACGGGCTCAAGTAACACCAAGCCCAGCAACAGCGGCAGTAAAGGAGGCAAGGCGGGCGGTGGAAAGGGAAGCACAGGAGGACAATCAGGACGAATCAGCCCAGAGCCTTTACTACCCGATCTATCACCCCTGGTGAAATCATCTGCTGCAGCCGCAGTAGCAACCGCAACCACGACGGCAACCATGACGACGACGAGCGCGACAAGTAGTTCATCTTCCAAGCGAGCAAGGACCACGAGCCCTGAGCGTCAACAGTTAACATCACAAACTTCGCGGAGGAGCTCTAATACCCTTGCTGTAACGAATTCTACAGGTTCCAGCAAATCTACGACCTTGAGCACGCCGACCAAGTTGGCTCAAGTCGAGCCAGAGACGCGGAGAGGAGCCACCGCCACAACAACAGCATCAGCAGCAGGAGCAATAACGACAACAACAGAGCAACAGCAGCAATCTAAAGACACTTTATTACCTCGGAGACTGACAGCAGTAGGTCCCGTCCTGATCACGGAGGAGAACTGGATCCCACCGAACCATTGGGATTCGTGGGATGGCCTTGTAGAACGTGTGGAGGCGATAGAGACCCGGAGTGCGGATAAACTCGACCGGTCGAAGATGTTTGTTCATTTGCGCTGGAAGAGCGGCAACCGAATGACGCTTCACCCTCTACGTGAGATCCACGACAAGGCCCCTCGGCGACTGATTGACTTTTACGAACGTCACCTCCAGTTCCAGGAATCCGACTAGGAGGCGAGAAGCGGCTGCAGGATTGGAATCCATGGCCCACGACGCCTCTTTTTATTTTCTGTTCCTCTTTTTCTTTTCTTTGAACCACAGATTTTTTCACTATTTTGCTCTCTCTCCACTCACAGTGTTCTAATCTTTCGGGGAAATCATGATCTACCATCTCCCTTCATATTTTTGCAGCTACACACATATACACACATGCACACATACACACACTCTCTCACTCTTTCGAACCTACATATCGTCATAATACTTACACTTTACTTCCAACCAACCAACTTTGTACCTCACGTTACAATCAAAGAAAAAGTCAAAAAAAGATGACACAATGGCGACTCATTTTTTTTATCAATTAATTGTCAATTGGGATATGGCCTAGACACAGCGAGAGGTGTTCATGGTCCTTCTCTTCTATTATGCTGAATAGTGATGGTATGGTGACCCGTGCGCGACTCAGGTATTGACCCATTTGACGAACAAAAAGGGGAGGGGAGAAAGGGTACCATGAGATAGGGTGAACTGGCCAAGTAGTGTATGTCCAAATAGGTGCTGGTAGGGATGATCGTCGCGTCTTCCTTGTATGTGTGTGAGAGGGAGGGGAGGCTTTTTTATTCTGTTTCCGCGTCCATTCCCTTGTCTTTGACGGAACCACTATCTTTCTCACTAGAGTTCTTTTCACTTTTCTAACCATCCTACAACTACAAGAATCGTGCCCATAGCCAGCGTAGGAGAGCCAAGCAGTCACGAGAACGCAGCCACTCCTCAGCCCAGAGTAAAAGAAAGTTGAAACGAAACGTGCTCTATCTCTCTCTTTCTCTCTTCCTCTCCACTCTCTCACTCTCACACTTTCTCTCCACTTTCAGCTCACTCATTCGACATTTGCTTCCTGCAGCCCAATGTGAGTTGTCCATGTGTCTCTCTCATGTCGACGTACTCACAAACTTTGTTTTCACGCACAGTCCAGGACAGGAAGACAGCAACGACAAGGGACTGGGAGGAGGAGGCGAACAGGAAAAAAAAAAAAAAAAAAAAAAAAAAAAAACTTGAGACCGGAGCACGAAAAGCACAATCTTTTTCATCGGACCTGGACAAGCTTGAGAACATGGATTGTCTAACGAGTGGATGTTAACACATCTGGGCAGGGACAATGACGACAAGAGGAGAAAGGATGGGGACACTGTGCGTACAAGGGAAAGGCTAGCCCAATTGCCTATGACAAAAAAAAGAGATTGACAAACGGGGGTGCAGCATGAGGTCAGTCCAGGCCAAGGGCGAAGGGTCAGGTCAAGCAATTTCCCAAGCCAAAAAAAAAGAAAGCCGAGCTACCGACTAACGTGATTATGGTGTTTGTTACTTCTCCCGTACCTGTTATGTCTCATCTCGAGTGATCAACTCAACAGCTTTGTTTTCGTTTGGGGCAAGTGAGGCCTTGAAATAGTTGTTCGATGAGGGGTCGATAGGGTGGGGGGTCTCCATTCATTTGGTGGTGGTGGGGTCTCCTTTAATCCATCTCCACTGTCTCTTTCCTCCCTTTCCCTTTCCTTTCCTTACTTCGGATGTGAGCTCCCCTCCATTGCTCCTTGTTTTTGTGCATCCAAGAAAAAAACAAACTGGCGGGCAGGTGGAAGAAAGGAACGAAGAAAGCACGACGAGGAAAAGCAATGAAAGGAAAATCAAGGGGTGAGAGTGAATAAACAACAAACAACGAGTAAAGTCGAAGCGGGTGGACAATGGTCGTCATTCATGTTCTCAGGACCCGTTATCATGACAAGATTTTATTAACTTTGTTTTCTCTCTCTCTCACTTTCTTTCTTTCTTTCTTTCTTTCTTTCCGATAAGTAGATCTCATTCCACTTCTTCGCAACCAATCACACGAACCTCGCACGCACACAAAGGAGCCCCTTTCATTATCTCTCTCTTTCTCTCTTTCTCTTTTTTTCTCTCTCTCTCTCTCTCCCTCTCTCTCTCACTCTCTCTCTTGTGTTCATATACTCTCACCCTTTGACCAGCAGGACCAACTTCAACAACAACACTTTCAACAACAACACCTTCAACAGCACCACCTTCAACAGCAACACCTTCAACGGCAACACCTTCAACAACAATACCTGCAACAACACCATCAGCAATAGCAGCAGCAACAACAGCGTCATCAAATGGATCTTCAACAGCACTACGAGCAAGTCCACCAGCAATGGCTTACGGATCAACAACAGCAGCAGCACAACCAGCAGCTCTATGCACAGCACCTCCAACAACAGAACGCTGGCAGGACTACACCCGATCTGCATCGAAAGCGAGGTCTGGCCAACGAGTCGGACGAGTTCATGGGCATCAAGGTATGTTATTTGTATTGTGACTTCTGTGAACAAGAACCTCAATAGAGTTAATGAAGTCCCTTGAACGTGTGCCAAAAATACACTTGGGGGCAAAATGTTGTGAGCGTGTGGTTTGTTTGCGTGTTGGTATTGTTAAATTAAAGGCCCTTTTTTCTCCATCTAATTCTTTCCATTCCTTTTTTCTGACGCGCTCTCATATCCCATCTCGCCTTTTGATGCTCACCTTATGCTTAGAAACGCAATATGGGCTCTGAGGCAACGGCTCAGGGTATGTTTGGCTATCCGGAAACAGGAGCAGATAGCCCTGGATCGATCATGTCGGCAGAAGGGGGAATAGGGGCACAAGCACAGGCGGGCTACTTTGATCAGCAGCCATACTTCTCCGGCTCTTCCTCAGCAGCGACCAGTCCTCACCAGGGTATCGGACTCTACCATCAGCAACAAATTCAGCAAGCCAACACCTCTGCGCCCTCCACACCTGCGACCAATCTTGGCAGCAGCAACAACACCAACAACGGTGGTCAATCTTTGTTGTCGAGGTCCCCGGGCAGTACGTCGATCTGGGGTTCTTTGGCACAAGGCTCGCATTCTAGCCCACCCACCCCAAGTGCGGCATCTATTGCAGGACGGACGACAGGAATGGCAGCCAACATGGTCGCCTCGAACCTGATATCTGGAAGTAATGGTGCTGATGGAGGAGACTTCCAGAAGCGACTGTTGGAGGAGCAGCAGCAGTTGCATGATGCTCAGCAGCAGGAACAACAGAAGCTTCAGATGGCACAGCAATGGGAGCTTGAGCAGATGCAGCGGCACCAGCACGAAGTCCAGCAGACTAAGGCACAGCAACCACAGCAAATGCAGTTTCTACACAGTCCTCCCTCAGCGGCGCCTATTCATCACGACCATAACGATCCAGCGACTTGGGGAAGTTACAACAGTGTCCCCGCGGCAGTTGGAGGAGCAGGACAGTTTACGGGATACTTGGGCGGGTATGGCAAGGGATATACACCATCGTCGATTGGAGGCGTGGCGGCTTTGGCTGCGGCCTCTGCGATGGCTGCAAGTCGACACACACCAACGAATGGGCACCGTGGTGATTCTGGCATGGATATGGACTTTTAGAGGCTAGTTCTGCCTCTCTTGCCCTGACTGTCTGTAGTGCTAAAGGTGAGACACTTTTTTCATTTCACTTCCCACCTTCCCTTCCCCCCTTCCTCTCATTCGTTGCTCCTTTCCCTTCCTTCTATGAGGCTCACCGACCGAGAGAGATGCGATGCAACGTGCATTGTTTCTTGATCTTTTTGCTGGCGCCCATGCATGCATGCACGCCATAATTCATTTTTTGAGATGGATTGTGGTGTTGTTTCGAGCTAGTGTACTGATATCATTTTTTCTTTCCGATCGCTCCTATTAGTCTTCCTCCCCTACGCCCAGACACAACCGCTTTGTCACTCCTCGGTCTTCCCTCTCTCTGCTCTGCTATGGGGTTGGCTCGCAATTTATCCAAGTGCTTAGCTGAGCAAGCGAAAGAATGAGAGATGGGAGCCAAATTAACATCGACAAGGAAAATAAGAGCACAGCTCACAGATTCATAACATTCATTTTATCACTCAAACATACCCCTACCCCTCTCTGTCTCGCATTCAACATTTTTTTTACGACTCACTTTTTTTTAACGAAAACACACTTACATACTTTTTCATCACGAACATAAAAAAAAAAAAAAAAAAAAAAAAAAAAAGGCCGAGAAACAGCTTGGCAAATAATAAACAAACACCAGTTAAATTACTTACTTTCAGCCTCAAGCGTACCAACAGAATAGCGAAAGAGCAAACAAACAAGCACTTTAAACGAAAAGGATGAAAGAAGGTTATGTGAATGCGTTGGTTGTATGTGTATTTTAAGTTAGGGTAGGGTAGGGTAGGGTTGATCCCCCCCCCCATAAAAAAAAAAAAGATAAGACGGGTTTGACGAGAATTTCAATTACATTGTAATCTAATCGTCGTCAAAGCACCAGAGCTCCATGCGATCAAGACTGCCCTGGGTCTCCATCTGAACCTGCTGGGCCATCAACCAGTCCTCGTCATCGATCATCGACAGCATATGGTGATCCTCGTCCTTGTACTTGAGTTTGAGAGGTCGATCTGCCTGGAACTTTTCCTGAACCTTTTGCAACAGTTCCTGGAGAGGCGTGTCGACCCTGACAAGAACTGCCCTCGTGTCAATGTAATGGCACTTCACGCGAAGCTATTGCATGAAAATTAAAAATGTAAAAAGTGTGAGTAACGAATGTCATGTTGGGCGCCACCAAAAAAAAAAAAGTCGCTCAAAGCCAACAAAGAAGCTCACCTTGTCGCGAAGGCCCTTGTAAACAGGCTCGTCGAGGTAGGAGGATCCTTCCTCAGATCGGGGAGTACCGTTACTGCTGACGCTATTGCTGTATGCCAGTGGGCTGGAGTTCATCTGTGAGCCTTGGTACATGCCGCCAGAGGCATTGCTGCGAACACTGTCCTCACGGTTCAATCCACGCGTATTGCTGCCCATCCGCCTCAAATCGGCTACCACAGGTCCGACCGACCGGCCATTGGGTGGGCTAGTGCCATCATAAACCGACGGTGGAGGCGAAGGTCCATTAGAATGTGATTGGTTGCGATGCATGCCTGGGCGCAAGTTGGAGCCCGAGTTGGATCGAGCCGGGATGGGTGAGACGCGCAGGTCCGAGGGCGATTGCTGTGAGTCCAGAGAGAGCGCGTTGATATATTGGTCAACGTCATCCATGTCATCCTGATATCTGTTCCTTCCTCCTGCTCCTGGTCCTCCGGGGGCTGCAGAGTTGGGGCCATTGGAGCGGCTGGTGGGTGGGTACGCGCTGTTGTCGATATCGAGGGGTGAAGGTCTCTGCGCCTCAGTGTTGCGCCTGGTCAGCATCTGGGTTCGAGGCTCAGATCCAGCTGGGCCAAGAGCAGAAGGGCCGGGACCGCGACGGGTCATAGCTTCGGTGCCGTTGAATGAGTTTGCATGCTCCAACATGTGAGGTCTCTCGGGGTCGGTATCTCTCCTTGCCCTTCCTGTTACGCCCCCAGGGACAACGCGCTCTGTGGCGCGGCGTTGAAGTCCTAATTACATTTGCAGACAATGAGATTAGTTAGAGGTATGTATTTCAGGCGGAGGGTGAATGGATTGAGGAATGAATGGGATAACGGGCGGTGTCCCGAAAATATTTTTGAGCAGCAGAAAAATCCAATTAAAATAATAAAGTACCCAATGTTGTCCGCATAACACAGAAACCGAGTAATAACATTGGCAATGGGACACAGAGAGGCGCAATTCCGTGGAGAAAACGGATTGGGAACCAAATGAGCCACAACATATGTTTGATGAGGGCAAGGCTGACAAAACATCTCTTTGTCGACTTGAGAGCAGTGTAACAAAAAAAAGAATAGGAGCCAAATAGCACCAAATTGAACGGAAGTCCAGTTTTTTCTTTGGACCATGGCGAGTGGTGGAAAAAAAGAAGGCGCTAGTCCATCGTCCACCCATATGAAAAAAGATAAAAACCATAAAAAAAAAAAAAGGATGATGGATAGTCGACTGTGGCAAGGGGGAGAAAGTGCCTTACCATTGGGCGGCGTCATTGGTCGCTCTTCTGTCGAGGCAACATTAGTTGGGCCACTCATCTGGACCTGCCAGGCTGACTTCCCCTTGAATCCTGCAAACTGGTCCGAGGCATCGACGGCAGCAATGACCTTGGAGCTGCCAAGGTAGTCCTTCTTTTTCGAGTTTTTGACCTTGGACTCTGCTGGCCGATAAAGAACCCCCTGGGGGACGGTGAAGACGGTGCAGTCCTGACCCTTATCCCTGAGTGCCTGATCCAACATGTCGTGTGCCTTTGTCTGCTTTTCCCGTGTGGCGCGCCAGAGGTCGGTCATACCAAGATCCATTTCGCCGAGTTCAATGTAGCACAAGGCGCGATTGAAAAGTACTTGGCACGAATACAGCTTGAAGTCCAGCCCCAATTGTGTGTAGTCGATGACCATGTTCCCGCGAAGATACTGGCAGACATGAAAAAGTAAGGAAATAGCACAATTGAGATTAGATGATGCAAATATATCATATGGACGGAGAGAGCGTTTTGTCTTGTCTCAATTTTTGTCGTTCATTCGTTCATTCATGGAAGAAGTGATATGAGTATGCTATACTTACCAAGTAGGCATCATGAAAGCAGGTCAAGGCCTTGGCATAGTTTTCAAGGGCGACGTTGGCGACTCCGTTCTGGAAGTATGCAATTGCGAGGTACTGGTCGAGCTTGGTTGCTAGTTCGTAAGCAGCACCCTATGAACAGATAGTAGCATCGCTATTTTAGTGTGAAGAACGGTACATCCACTCACCCAACCAGCTCCCAAAAAAAGTCTGGGAAAGAAAAAAAAGAAGCGGACTCTGGAAGTGTTCAAACAGCCAAAGTAGACGACGGCTCAACTTACTGCTCCTTCAAAGTCTCCCAGGGTGGCAAGGACGACACCGATGTTGAAGTGGATCTTTGCTGAATCGGCAATGGGCTAGAGTAAGCATAACGAGAAAATCCAAAAAAATAAAAATAAAAATAGGAATGAGTCTCACAGAAACAGAAACCGGGTGTTGTCGAGATGATCAAGGCTATGTATGCTGTTGGACATTTCCTGATGAAGGACGAATGAAGGCCGCCTCGTGTTTGAGTGTTCTCTTGCCCCTTTTTTTCTGTTCCTGTTTTTTTTATTTTTCCTTTTTTTTTTTTCCTTTTTCCTTTGTTGCAGCGGAAGGCAAGAGTGAAGATGACGAAGGCGGTCGATGGGTCATCCAGTGGGAAAAGGGGGAGCAGGAACAGAGTTTGGATGATGACTTTGCAGGCTGTATACGGGATAGTAATGTTGTTGTGCGTGTCAAGTGTCGGTGTGTCAGATTGTAGTGTGTCAGGAGGGTGGAGAAGGAAGTCGTCAAGTAAGGGAAAGGCGGAAACTGCAGTTGTTGTTGTAGTGTGTGTGTGTCCTGGTGGTGTCGTACCTCGAAGCACTCGAGGGCATCCTCGTACAGGCCCTGGTCGAATGCCATCACACCCTCGTTCCACTGATCGAGTTCGTGCTATTATTGTATGAATAAGGAGTGAGTGAGTGAGTAAAAGTGTACGAGGGTCGTTTAAGAAGAAGTATGCATGTGTGCAAGAGAGCGTGGAAGTGAGGCTGAATGAGGGTGTACCTTGAGACTGGCCATTGGTTGTTGGCTGTGGAAGGTTACAAGGAAGGGGGCGAAGAGAGAGAAGGTAAAAGGAAAAGAAGTGGAGGAAGGTCGTGAAGAGGAAGGGGGAAGAGGGAAAGAAGGAGACACAAGCGAGTGAAGGAAAAGGGAAGGTCAGTGAGAGAAAGAGACAGGAAGAGAGAAAAGAAAAAGGAAAAAAAAAAAGAAAAAAAAAGATGAGAAGGATGAGGATGAAAGAGAAAAAAGAGAGTGATGAGAGGAGATGAGAGGAGAAGAGAGAAGAAGAAAAAAAAAAAAAAAAAAAAAAGGTGACAAAACGGTTCCAGAGTGTTCAATCACGGAGAAAAAGTCCAAAATATAAAAAAAGAATTTCCCTCTCCTCGAAGGACATGCTCGCCGGGGCATTTTTCAGTTCTTCTCTTGGCCCTGTCCTACACAACCCTCCCTGCTACTCGCACAAATAAAGATAAACAGACAGACAGACAGCCATCGTCACTATGAAGAGAACGGACAACAGAACAGAGATGTCAATTGAGGGACGGAGAGAGACATTTTGCTCTTTTTGCAATGGTGCGGCTTCCTGCTCTCAACAATTTTGGCTGGCTTTTCATTCTCTTTTTCACTTTCTCTTTCTTCCTTGCTATTCTTTACCTTTCCGAATACCCGTCGTCTCTCTCACTCTCTCTCTCTTTCTCTCTTTTTTGTCGCCCTTTTTTTTTATATCCGCGTTCAATTGCAGGTGTAAGTGCCAAGGCGCACCACCCTCCAATTTAAAAAAAAAAAAAAAAAACGCCACCAAATTTACATTTCTATTATCAAGATGGATGTGGAACCCTATACTCTTTTCACACCGCCGACATGGTGATAGGTATCCATGGCGAGGACTGACAAATTGTTGAATGGGTGTGTGTGCCTGGGCCGTTTTATAATGTGTAGATGGTAGGTGTATGTATTAGTCAATTCTTTATCAATTAGGCTTTGGAGTTGCAAAGTAAAAAAAAGAGAACAGGAAAAAGAGAAGAACAAGTGTCGACAGACAGGCGGCGGCATGCAGACGAACCAAGCCATGTATGCAGTGTGCAAAGGAAAGAGTGAGCAAGCAGCCTTGATCCAAGCCAACGACTAGCAAAGGTCTGTCCTCTGGGTACATGGACAAGCAGACTCTCGTTCTCGCTCACTCGCTCAAAGAGGCTGATCACAGCGATTGGCCCGTTCCTCACCTCTTCTCACATAAGCAATTTTTTTTTTTTTGGTCGTCGTCCTTTGGTCGTTGCGTTCAAGTGTAAAGTGGTAGGGGGTGGTGGCCAAGCAGCCAGCAGCCAGGCAAGGATTTTCTATCATTTCTTTCTCACGTTCCCCTTTTCCTCTACACTCTACCCTACCCACCCTTCGGAGTAGCTCTCTTTCTCATTGACAGCCTTTAGCCTTTAGCTCTTTGTCTGCCTGTCTGTCTCTCATCTCTCCATTCCTTACACACACACACTCTCTCTCTCACCCTCCCTCCCTTCCTCCTCTTCCCGTCCAGCCAGTCAAATAAAAGGCGGACGAACAAAGCTCTGTTATATTTTTCTTCCTCCGCCCCCTTTCCTTTCTTTCCTCTTCTTCCTCTTCTTCCTCTTCTCTTCCTCTCCTCTTGCTCTCTCGCTGTCTCGTCTCTTTTTTTTTTTTTTTTTGCTGCCCTCCCTTCCTGTTGTTGCCCTACCCCATTCGTTATCCTCACTCCATCTTTCCCCTTCGACCGTCTACCCAACTTCTTTTCTTTCTTCCTTGTCCTTTTTCATTCCCTTCTTTTACATAGCAACCGCCACTATTTCACCATCACTTCCTCATTCACACACGCACGCACACTCACTCACTCATAACTCATAACTCATAACCCAAACACACGTTCATACAGCATATTCCCGCTCATTTCACTCGCACACACAAATAAGGACGAGAAAAAAAAAAAAAAAAAAAAAAAGACTCCATGCCCATGCCGACCCAACCACAGTCCACCCCCAGGCACTCTTCTGCCGCAAACAGCCAAGCCCCCAACGGCCATCACCACCTCCACCACCACCTCCTTCACTCCTCTTCAACCTCCTCACCATACAGCAATAACGGCAATAACTCGGCCCAATACGAGGACGAACTCCCCGCCTCGTCAAAGGCCCCGCTTAAATATGCCCTCAAGGATATTCACCCCGATGACTCCAAGGACAAGGTCTTTGCCGCCATCCTCAAAGCTCTCCTCTACCTCCGTAACAAGCCTTCCTCCCCAAAGGAGCTTGCAAACTGCATCATGAAGAACAAGTATACCATGCTAGGGTAAGGACGATCGCATATCTTTGTTCTCCAAATTATACCCCTTTGTTACAACTAGGACACAGGAGGGTTCAGGTTTGCACCCCATCTTCCTACTCTCTCTTTCTTCTTTGTCTCCCTTTCATCAATCTGTTGGTCTATCTGGTTCGATACACATCCAAACCAACCTCAACCTCACCCACCCCTTTAACTCAAAAGCAAACAACAGACGCAAAACAGTGAAAGAGACAAGAAGGCGAGCATTCTCTCTCGCTGTAAAAGACATTTATTTTATTCATATGTACAGGGCGTTTAGTATCTATACTTCCCCTCTCCCATCCCTTCGTCTCCCAACGGCAAGGGATGACGGACTCCCTGAACCCTTGGATCGCGGGTCCAACATGGAATATTTTTGTTATTTGCCACTTTCTACGTAAAAGTCTGGAGGTATGATGCGGTTGATGGTAAAAAAGGGTGTAGTTCTAGGCTTTCGGCGGGTTTTTGTTTCCACTTACTATGGCTGGACCCTTTAAAAAAAAGGTCTGTTTCTCTCTCTGAACCAGCTTGCACGGCTTCACTTCCCACCGACGAAATCTTCAACATCACCCCTTTTCTTATTGTTTGTGTTGTTTGTGTTGCCTGCCTGGGTGGTAGTCAAATGAAAAAGGCAAAAGAGACATGGTTCGCTTTGAGTCAGCTTGCACGGCTTCATTTCTTCCGTTTCTGTCTGCGTCGCCAGGCAGGATCGTCCAATGAAAAATACGTCGCTTTGAGCTAGCTGGCACGGGTTCATTTCCCACAGGGAGATCTCTCGCAGTACCCTCTTTTGGTTATTATTACAGGTGGCAGACCTGGAGTCAATCCCATACAACTACTCTTGCCTCCACCACCCTTTACACTTTCAATTGCGCTACACCTTTGCCTTTTCAATCGCACCGACATACGTAACGCACCTCTGCGCTGAATTCATCGATGCCACTTTCTTGGGGAAAAAAGAATGAACAAAAGGATCGTCCAACCCAACGAGTTACGAGTTGAAAAAAGGAGAAAAAAATGTCTTAATCGATATTCAACAAGCGCCCTGTCGCAACCAGTCAGGTTGTCGTGAGAGGTTTGGCTACTTTTGGCTGATTGTCCTTGTTCCTGTTCGGAGAGATCTATTCATCGCTGGGTTGTTTGTCTTTCTGTTCTCTCCTTCTTTGCCGTCCTTCCACTATGTGGCTACAGTCGGTGGGCGCCTTGTTGGAGAAGCGCAAGCAAGCCATCATCTTTGTTCACTTTTACTTTATATCACCGGGATCAAGGCGCATAAAAGCAACAACAAAAGCTATTCTTTGTCTGGACTCTGGAAACCAAGGAGAAAGAGGGAAAGAGAGATATATATCTCGTCAGAATAGCTGGGAGGGCATATTTGTTTCTGGATGGGAAGGCAAAGAGAACACTCGTGAACAAAAGGGCTAAAGAAAAAAAGTTTTCTCTGGTTCTTTTCCAGTTGGTTGTCCGACGCATCCCATATAATTTGGCATATTACTTTTGGTGACGATGATTGTGTGCCACGAGCGACCACGAGGGAAGGGACTTGCTCTTCCTGCTCACTCTCCCTTCTCAGAACAACCACCCAATAAGGTTTCTGACCCGTCTCTCCTGTCTTGTCATGACTCTTCCCCCCCCCCCCCCCTTCCCCGACTCTCTTTAGTGGAGCAACCCCATATGCAACTGTCTCCTCGAGGATATCCCAGCACTTCAAGCGAGCCGCCGAACACAAGCCCCCACGGACTCCACTCCTTGCCAAAGCCGTTGATGAAAGGCATTCACGCAAGATTCATTACTATCTCGCCGCCAATCATATCGTGAAAAATCCTTCTGCCACCACATCAACCGATCTCGATTCATCATCAGGATTCTCCAGTATGGGCTCAGACGAGGAGGACGAGGAGGATGACAATGACGACAACCACAACCAAGGTGGCCGGGACGACGATGATGATGACGACGACGACGATGATGACGGTGATATGTCGGGAGACTCTGCAGAGCGGAAACAGAAGCGTCGGCGACAGCATCAGATCTACCAGCAACACCAGCAGCTCAATTCAGACACCATGCTGCACAAGGCCCGGAGTAGCGTCATGCGGAAGCGCAAGAAGGTCAAGACGTTTTCGGCAATCACCCGACCAACTGTCAAGCGCTTCAAGTCCAAGCATCCGCTGATTGGAAGCTTCAAGGCAACGACACCCACCAATATCCATCCCTCCAAATGGAGACCGGCCAACAATCAGGAATACAGTGAATCGGAGGAGGGTGACGATGAGAGTCTTGACGAGGACGAGGACCTTGATGATGACGACGACGTCTTTGACAAGGATGATCTAGTGCTCATGGACCTACAGATGCCAGATCTGCAAAAGGGCTCGAGACTCCCAACTCCCAACTCTCTCTCCAATTTTTCTACACCCGCCACTCTTTCTTCGCCTAATTCATCCGTTCCGACCTCGGCCAATGGAGCTACCTCGAGCGCCGCAGCTGGAATGCACGGACTTTTGAATGCGACCAAAGTGCTTTCGTTTGACTCGAAAAAGTCGCCTCCTCGCCCTGGAACTCACTCAGCTTCCTCCCTGGGCATTGCAATGGCTGCCGCAGGGAATTCTTCCGCAGCAGGCGACCCAATGAACGAATCGAGCGACGAGGAACAAGACTTTAGCGACTATCACGAGGAAATGATGCACGGCGACTTTGACGACTTGGATGACGACAGGAGATTGGGCGATCGCAAACCCGAGATGACGACCACGCAACCAAAGAGCATTGCCGTCCCTATACCATATGTTCGCAACACTGCTCCTTCGCCCTCATTCGCTGCTGGCGGTACACCCGGATCCCCTTTTGGCCATATCGCCTCGACCCCCACCTCAGGATCGTACTTGCTTGGCATGTCCCCTCGTAGCAGGAAAATGTCGATGAGTGGTCTCTTGATGCCGCCCGATTCACTCCTGCTTTCGCCTCGATCCAACAGCATCTTTGACCCAGAGTACGCCCCCAATTATTTGGCCGATTTCTCTCAGGACTTGTCGTCACCAAGGGAGCACCATTACGTCCCTCTCATGGAGCTCAACAACCCAGAATCGATGCCTGTTTCAGAACTGGATAGGCTGCTCAGCTCTTCGGCCGGTGGTACTTTCTTCCCCAGTCTCTCTCGCAAAGTTTCGATTTCAGGATGGACTGGCGTCGGTGCGAAGCACATTGGCCACCCATCCCACCGCCAATTAAACCTCAGGAACGCTGCCAACGGAATTCTTCAGAATGCTGCCAACTCGTCCCTCAATGCATCTACCTCGCCCTATCTCCAATCCAACAACGGTACTTTTGCTTCACCTGCAATGGTGCATTCCTCAGGCACTCCCGCAACACCCAAGCCTCTTGTGACTTCACCGTCTTACCCACTAATGACTCCCGCCGGCAATGCTCCTGCTTTTGGATCAAATAATGACGCCAATGTCACTGCGACAACTGCAGCCCCTCCACCAGCATCAGTCGGCGCCACCAAACCTCTGTTATCGTCAAATGCACCTGTCACTCCTGCAGTCGTTACCCCTGCTACAGCTACCAACAACGCCCTCAAGACGGAGGACGACGTGGAAATGGGTGATAGTCAAAATGAGGAGGAGGAGGATGAGGATGAGGAGGTGGATGATGAGACAGAGTCCGACGACGAGGATGAGACGGCCTCCAAACCATCGGCAGATCCGCCAAAATCGCTGGTTAGAGTGTCGGTCTATGCCAACTTGCAGGTGTACGAGACCATCATGCCTGGAACCGACTTGAAGCTGATGCGAGTGGCAGGAATCGTCGGTACCCCTGATCCCAACACCAACGGACGCGGAGTTGTCATTCAGAAAAAGGTCATTCCTGCGCTCAACAACGACCAACACGCAGGATTTGTGAACGCTGCTATGTTACGTCTGGCAGCAAGAACAATTATTGGCGACGGGCAGTTTGACATCAACCAGGAACCCACAACACTTTACATCGTCTTGGAAGGCCCCATGGAGGTCCGAGGAGCATGGTAAGGCGCTGATTTTCCTTCACGACATGCTATGGTTTTATTTGCAATTACGAGATCGTTTTGTCTAACATTTGTATCTCCGTCATTTCTGTTATCACTAGGGTTGGCTTGGCAAGGGCTCGAGAGTTGTGTCATGAATATCGACTAGATTTGTTGCCTGGTATCGCTCAAATGCTTCAGGACAATCCAATGCTTGTGGCCGATCCAAGTATGTATTTTTGAAAGTGTGAACAAAACTTTTGGGACAGGAACGCCATATCAGACTTATTGGCATGAGGATCGTATTCTAACGCTTTCGTCTTTTTTTATGCTACACCAGATGCCAAAAAGTCGAAGAAGAAGGGGCTCAAGAAGAAGGACAAGCAGGATGCGTCCGTATCCTTAAAGCCATCGGATGCCAACCGCCGCACTTCGACCGCATCGGGGTTTTCCTCCTTCGACAACAGACGTAAATCCCATGCAGCAGACGATGATACGACCCCTTTTGTCAACTTTGAAGAGCTCGAGGATAGACCAAGGAAGGGGGCGGATCAGGATGTGGAGATGTCTTCAGCCACATCTCACCGGACCGCGGCCTATTCAGCGTCTCAATCGTCCTCGTCTGCCCAGTCAGGCACAGCAGGAGGTGGATCTGATCTTTTGACGGAAGGCAAGGTGGCTCAGAACGGCGCCCGGGAACCAGAGGCAAACCAGTTGTGGGTTCCAACCACGAACGCCGTTGTGCCCAACATTCATTTGACTGTGATCGACAACGTAGCCCTTTATACCACCAAGCTTGTCAACCCTGGAGCAGAGTATAGATTACTGCGGAGAGCAGATAATGGCTATGTCAACGCCACCACTTTGCTCCTCGCAGGAGGCGTCGAGACGGAGCAAGAGCGAAGCATTGTGCTGAGTTTGGAGCTGGGACGTGTTCGTGTCCGTAAGCCAGGCTCGCAATTGTTTGGAACTTGGATCCCTCTGGCCCGTGCACGTGCCTTGGCCGCAACTTGCTCTCTGCACCACAAGCTCGGACCATTCTTGAACGACAACCTGGACACATACTTCCCATCACCGCTGCCGATACCTACCCAGAAGGTGACGCCGAGCGTGGTCACTGCCGGTGCCTCTGCCATGATGAGCCACCAGGCCGCGGCGTCTGCACGCATGAGGACTATTTCGTTGTCGGCTCTTCGTTCGTCGACATCACCCCCAAGTGGCGGTTTGGCCCGTAATGGTGCCCTCAACCACCAATTGTCCCGCGGTATGATGGCCAATACTGGCGCCAGTCATTTGCAACAGGTCTTGGCCCAGCAGGGACATTTGCCTGGTCAGGCGTTGAACAGTATGCTCATGCTCAACGGCAACCAGGCGGAGAGCCAGTCAGGAACTGCGGCCGCTCAGAATGCTATCGCGACAGCTACCGCTGCCGCTGCTGCTGTGACGGCTGCCAACCCTACGCCAACAGTCGCTACTCCTACAACAGCTGCCGTCCCAACCACAGGAGCAAGTGTCACTGCCACAGCCATTGCTCTCCCAGCATCCGTCCCTGTCGCCTCGTTGACTCCAACGACTTTGAGTGGCGCCACTGGCACAAACATTATGCATACTTTTGGACAGGTTAACCAAAACCAGCTTTTTGCAGCGACCCAGATCCGCCCTCTCCAAGGAGGATTTTTGCCTAGAGTGGAGCCACACACCGGGCGACCCATATTGCCCATGCTTAACGAGACTGTCTCGGCTGTTCCTGGCCAGAGTGTGATTCCGGTCAAGGACTATCAGGATTCGGATGACGATACAGAGTCGGACGACGATGTTGAAGGGGTCCGCCAAAAGATGAAGCAGTTGAGAGCCCAGCAACTGGAGGAAGCCGAGAAGTCGAAACAGCCAACCACGACCCTTGGACAAGCTGCGGCTGCGGTTGCCGCCGCAGCCTCAGGACAGCGCACCCCGACCCTGCAACAGCAACAACAGCAATTGCAGCAACAGCAACAACTCCTATTACAGCAACAGCAGATCCAGCAGCATCTTCAACAGCACCAGCAGCAGCAACAGTTGTTGAAGCAGCAGCTCCTCCAGCAACAACAGCAGCAACAACAACAGCAACAACAACAACAGCAGCTCATCCAGCAGCAGATTCAGCAGAACCAGCAACAGTTGGCTGCCCAAAAGGCCGCCCAACAGGCCGCTGCAGTGCAGACATCTCCGACCCAGGGAGGCAAGACTGCACCACGGCCCCGCTCCGATGGAGCCGACGAAGAGGTTCAGAAGTCTCAGCAGCAACAGCCTCAATCTCAGCAAGCAATTGCTGTTCCCGGATCTCTGGCAGACGCGAGCAAGGCTGCGCCCGTTACGCCAGTCAGTGTCGCTACCAATGTTGCTACGCCTCTTGCCAATATTACCACCACCACCGTCCCTGTCTCCGCCGCCGCTAGTACCGCCGTTCCAACCGTGACCCCTGCCGCCCCCAGCAGTGGAGCGAAGCCGATGACCGTCGATGAGGAAGTTGACAGCGACGAGGATATCGATATTGGAGGCAGTGATGGCGACGACGACTTGCGCTAAACACGCATTTTTAGCATATGAACTCTTTTTTTTTTTTCTTTTTATTTTCGTCCATCCATCCCATTCACATTATTCACTCACACAAACAACATTGTAGTAAAAATATAAAAACCCCACTGTACAACATAATTTAGTTCCAGTTTCGTCCATTGGCGAGAAGAGTATACTACGGAAAATTGTTCATTTTGCTTGGTTAGCTGGGCTTGTCGTCCTTGCCTGCCTTGGTCGTGTCCTTGGCGGGTGCCGAGTCCTTCTTGGAGGACGAAATCTCTGTCGCCTGAAGGAGGTCCGAAATCGCATCCACATCGTCAGAAGACGAGGGCTTTTTGGTGTTGGACTTTGACTCTTCCAAATTCTTGGGGACCTGATGGTTCTCGTGGGTGTCCTTGAGGACATTCTCGGTGTGTTCCTTTACATGGGGCTTCTCTTTCTCGCCCTTATCGCTCTCCTGTTCAGCCTTTGCACGTTCTTCAATCTCCTTTTGTTCCTCCTCTGCCTCCTTGGCCAGCGTCAAGGCTTCCAGCTCTTCGGCCAATGCCATCTCGATGTTTCCAGCCTCGAACATTGCCTGAAGCTCGCCCTATTCGCACACAGTAACCCAGATGAGAGAGCATACACGTTAAACAAATAATTACAGAAAAAGAAAAAAAAAAGGGGGGACTCATCAAGCACAAAAGTGCATTACAACAATGTAGCCCAAACAAAAAAAAAAGGGTGGGCTCAAAGTTTACCTCCCAACCACAGAGCTTAGCAAGCTGTCGAACTCCTTCATCGCAGTTGCCCAAGAAGACGGCATCGCGTAGAACGGGGTACTTCCACTTGTCGTCAAAGTCGAATCCCAAGTGCATATCTTCTCCTGCCTTCTCGCGGTTAATCAAGAGGCGTGGGCAGCTGGCGGGGACTCGTGTGATTAAGCGGTTGAAGGGCTCTACTTGGAGGGATGTGCCCAATACGATCAACAGGTCGCATTTTTTGAAGTCCTAAGATGCGGTGGGTGTTATATGGTTATTAAAGGTCGAAATGAAAGGTGGGAAGGGTATCCAAGGCATTTGTGAAAAAGGCCACATGAAATGAAGGTGATAGGAGGAGAGCAGAACTTACGACTTGAGCGAGGGTGCCGAAGCGGTCGGGGAGTTGCTCGCCAAAGAAAGTGATGGTTGGTTTGACCAGACCTTTGCATTCCATGCAGTGTGGGATCTCGCCCTTCAAAATATGTTCTACCACCACCGCGACAGAAAAGTGGACGAAGAAGAAAAAAAGAGCACCAGTCAGAACGATTTCTTGACACCAAAAAAAGTCCTTTGAAACAGAAAAGAAAAAAAAAAAAAACATCTTCCAAAACTTACTTCTGACATAGGAGTTATCACAGAGTTCGTTGCACTGGATACACTCGGAGGTCGCGAAGGATCCGTGGGCTTCGACCAAGAGATCTTCATCCAGCCCTGTCAGACGTTCGAGCATATCAATGTTTTGAGTGTACGATCTCAGCAGCAAGTCCTTTTTGGCCAGCAATGGCAACAAGTAGTGCGTGAACGTTGGCTAGAAAGTGAACACGAAAAAATTGGCGCTCATAATTAATTCTTTTGTACTTTTTGAATGCAATCGTAGGTACGCGTTCACCATGATATTGTGTCACATACAGTAAGAAGCCATGAAGAGAGAAAAACTTACGCGATATCGTCCAGGAAGCAGCTCCTTGGCGAGGCGGTAAAAGGGATCAGGGTTGTCCTTGAAAAACGAGATGTCAAAGACGGCCTCGGGGTAAGGCAGGTTGAACCGTTCAAGGTCGTCGTAGAGTCCTGTTCCTGGGGACCGGAAGTCCTTGATCCCTGCGGCTGTTGAGATTCCTGCACCGCTCATCACAATGATATTCTTGGCTACATTACAAGGAGAGTGTCAGCAAAAGCTAGAAACGAGTACAGCTGATTGGAATCCATACTATTTGGGATTCACATAGATAACCAGCAATGCAAGAAAAATAAATCTCCAGAGATGGGTTTTGCCAAGAGAAGGTACTGTTGTTACCTGAGCCATTGTTGATGAGTTCGGCGACGGATTCGATGGTGCCGTCCTTGAGGATGCGGGTGCGGGTTGCAGACTCGCCCTTGGACCTTGTCGCTCTTGCGTTCACGACGCGAGGCGCAGCCATTTTCTTATAAAGTTTTTTGTGGGGGTAAGCCTGAAGTGGGGTTGGTGTTTTTTTTTCCGAGACGTGCTTTCTCTTTCGCTGGTGTTGTTTGTTGTTGTAGAGTCCGCTGTTGGTATGTCTCAGTGAGGCGAGAAGTTGAATCCCGAGTCGGTTTGTGAGGGACGGTGATTGTCAAGAATGAGTAGCGAAGAATGAACAAAGAGAAGAATGGGGGACGAGTGGAAAAAAAAAGCGCGGACTGTTGAAGCGACTGACCCTCTCTCGTTCTTTGGGCGAAAGCGACCGAGCCAAGCCACAGCAGGCAAGAGTCTGGCCCTAATGGACCCAAAGGAGCAGTGCACCTTCAACTCTCTGGAATAAAAAGATCTCGTCCTTGTTCGTTCATTCATTCTTCATTCATTCATCCATCCCCTCACTCCTTCTTCTTGCAAAAACACGCGCCTTGCAAACGACCCAAACACAGCACAGCACATACCAAGAAGCACTCTTCCCGCATCAACAATCATGTCTAATCGCGCAAAGAAACAGGCCAAAAAAACCGCAGCAGAACCCCTCTCTGAGCTCGAAAAGGCCATCCGAGCCATCGACCTGGCCACCGAGTCGGTCAATGCCACCAAAGAGCGCAAGCCTTGCTACTGTCTCGGTAAAAACCATCACATTCCCCTTCAACCTCTCAAAGGCCAGCTTTTCATCCAAGAAGACTTGTGGACTAACCATGGTATCCAAACCCTGAAATAGCGACAAAGCACAAGTTGAATGTATTTGCTCCCAACTGTCTGAGCTGCGGGAAAATCATTTGTGCTCTTGAGGGGCCGGGACCTTGCACTTACTGCGGCCAACAGGTGGTTTCGATCGATCAACAACAAGCCATGATTCTCGAACTCAAGCGGGAGAAGGCCGCCCTGGCCAAACTACAGCAACAGGCCACGGCAAAGAGGCGTGTCAAGGCAACGGCTGTCAACACAGCAGGATATGCCAGCAAGTTGGGCGGAGGCATGTCTTCAGCTACGGGCGCCGCTGGTGGGTGGATCGGATTAGACGGATCTGACGCTGCACCCGCGATGACTGAGGAGGAGGAACTTGAGGAGGCCAAGAAGGCCTCGTTGGCACAGGCGCACAAAGAGAAGCTGCTGGAGTTTGATCGGACGAGTGCGAAACGATCGCATGTCATTGACCAGGCGACTGATTTTGTGCTCCCGGGAGATCGGCCTAATCTCTGGTTGACGGAGGAGGAGCGACAGGCGCAGGCGGACAAGGCTCGACAGAATCTGGAAAAGGTGACGACGGCGGCGAGCGGATATCAGCGGGCCAAGGTGATGACCATCGATGTGGTCAACCGGCGTGTTGTGGTCGAGGCGTCGGCCAACCAATTTGTCCAGGAAGAGGAAGACGATGCTATTCCGGAGCCTGTCAGTATGTTTGACCAGGCGAAGTCGACCAGTATCAGCGGAGGAGACAGACACGGAGGTCGTGGAGGCGCCTTTGCATTGAACCCATTGCTCCGGCTGGGCGAGAACCCTACTTTTATCCCCAAGAAGACGGCCAAGGATGCAAAGGACAAGGTGCTCAAGGTCAAGGCGGAGCAAAAACACAAGCCCAAGGTTTCCAAGCTGCAGTATGACGATGGCGGACATGCGGCCGTGATGCAGGATCCAGAGTTCTCGTTCAGCTCTGGAGGAGATTCGCAGTCGGTTCTTGCCAGCATTGTTGAACCAAGTTGCGGATAAAAATATTCAAGAGTTTTCTTTTTTGTTCTTAGACATGCATGTGTAGAATACAAGTTGTTTTTAGTAATGAGTGATGGGTTGAATATGCGATATGGGTTGCGAGTAAGTGAGTGTGGGTGTGTATGATAAATGCTCTATTTCTTCTTCTCGTCCTCGCTGTCCTCGTCCTCATCACTACCCTCGTCCGAGTCATCCTCGTCATCATCATCCGAACCATCCTCGTCCGAGTCATCATCATCTCCTTCATCCTCGTCATCCTCGCCCTTCTTGGGTTTGCGCTCCATCTGACGAATGTAGCTCCTGCGCTCACGCTCGTTCATGCCGCTCAAGAGACGCTCGAGCTCGACCTGTTCCGCGATGATCTCCTTCTCTGTCTTGATGTTTGTGGGGACGATATCTCTGGACTCTTGGCACTTGGCACAGACGTTCTTCTCTCCTGCACACTTGTTGCACATAACGTGGTAAGCATCCTTGATCGCCTTTTGCTCACAGGTCACACTACATAGAAGGAGGAGAGAGTTTCTCACTTGATTAGATAGCTGATTTGCAGCAATTGGCATGCAACACTCCTTTGAAAGGTTGCTTCGCTTGCTTCAGACAAAGAAACAATAAGAGAATGAACGGACGTACCACTTCTTCATCTGGGTCAAGGGCTTGTACTTCTTGAACTTCTTGCGCCACATGATGACCTCGACACACTTTTCGCAGAGACCTCCGACGGGCATGGCGGCGATTCTCTTTGTGATCTTGGAGCTCTTGTTGGCGTGGAAAGCATAGGCGTTCTTATGGGCCTGACCGCCCTTCTTGGGGTTTCCCCTGCGGGACGACACCTTCTTGGACTCGTATACTTCGGGCATAGTTGTTGCTGATATGTAAACAGGGTATCTGTTGCTTGTTGGTCAAGGGGTTTCTGGAGTATTGTTGGTGTTGTCCTGTCTTCCTGTACTGATGAGTGCTGTTGGTTGATGGAGGAGTCGATCGATGAAGGTGCTTCGTTCGAGGGAGTTGAGTAAACTGCGGCTCAAAAAAGAAAAAAAAAGTGTTGTTGTTGTGGCAGTCACTTTTCTTGGATGATGGTTCACCCTCGTAAATTGAAAGCGTGCGGGAATAGTTCCTCTATTCCCAGAGCAGTTTTCAATATAGACAGGGTAGGCCTTTTGTCGTTGTTCGTTTGCCTGCGCCTTCGATTGAAAGACTTTGTTGCGATATGTGCTTCCTCCTCGCTCAGCATTGATGCCATTAGGCTACCCCCCCCATCAGCACCTTGCTACCATGGATCACAGCACAGCAGGACATCCTTTTTAACAAACAGCAGACCAATTCAGAGCAAGAAAGGGATGCATGGGACCTCTATCCGGTCGAGAAGGCAGAGGCTATGATTGGCCCCTGCAGTTTCCCAGGCCCTTCTCCTCTTCCTTTCTTTTCTACAGTTGAGCCAGCGTGCCCAAGTCAGCCCAGCCAGTCAGAATCCGCGGAGGAAAATGCACACCTTTTCGGGTCTCATTATTCACCTTTCCGATAACTTGTTTCGACCCTCTCACGCGCGTTGTTTGTTCCCACTCTCTCATCCCTCTTCGGCAAACTATACTCTCTCTCCCCCAACCACCTTCGCACAGTCGACCCTTCGCAGACATAAATACCTGCCCGTAGGTTCTTCCTTCTTCTTCTTTCTCTTGATTCCATTCTTCATCTCTCCTCATCCTCATCCCTCACTCTTAATTTAAACCCTTTGCCCAATAGTGCATGCTTAGATCCACAATGACCGTCCTTGCCAAGTCATCCACCGAACTGCGCTCCGAGTCTGTTCGTTCCCTCTACGACCAGCTCACCGCTCGTCTCAAGGACCTCAACCACCTCAACGGTATCTCTGGTCTCCTCCAGTGGGACCAGGAGGTCATGATGCCTTCCAAGGCTGCCGCCTCCCGTGCTGACCAGGTACATATTCTACGCCCCTTTTTCCTTGCCACAAACAGGCCCAACGACTACTCTTTACACCACAAACTCGTTTCTTTTTTTTACGGGACCGTTGTCGTTCAATAATATTCGAGACTGATTGAGTCCCTTCCTCACTTACTGACCTTCGTTACCCCTGACGACCTTTATTTTAATTGTAGTTGAGCACTTTGGCTGGTGTCTCCCACGAGATGCAGACCTCGTCAGTCCTCGGATCCCTCCTCGAGGAGCTCGAACAGCGCCAGGACTTGTCCGCCGAGCTCAACCCCTACGAGCTCGCCAATATCCGCCTCTCTCGCAAGACCTACAAGGAAGAGACCCTCTTGCCCGTCGAGCTCGTCAAGGCCAATGCCGCGTTGAACTCAAAGTCGGTCGGTGCCTGGGTCGAGGCCCGAAAGGAGTCGGACTTTTCCAAATTTGCCCCTTTCCTCCAGGACCAGGTCAACATTCTCCGCCAGAAGGTCGCCTACAAGATGAAGGGCGGCGTCTGCGAGGAGGCCCGCAAGATCAACGAGAAGGCCCGCGCCAGCTTGGGTCTCACCGAGACCGATGAGTGCTACAAGGGATACTACCAGGCCCTCTTGAACGACTACGAGCCTGGTTTCAAGGATGACCGTCTCCAGGTCCTCTTCTCGGACTTGAAGCAGAACTTGGTCCCCCTCATTGCCAAGATCAAGGCCAAGAACTTCCAGCACGACAACAGCTACATCGAGGGCGACTTTGATGTCAAGAAGCAGACTGAGTTCTCCCACCGCATCTCCAAGCAGATCGGTTTCGATACCGATGCCGGTCGTCTTGATGTTTCGACCCACCCCTTCACCGGAGGTGCTCACCCCACCGATGTCCGTATGACTACTCGTTACACCATCAACAACTTCCAGGAGGGTATCACCGGTACCATCCACGAGACTGGCCACTCTCTCTACGAGCAGGGCCGTAACAAGGAGTTTGTCGACACCCCTGTCTCCCAAGCCCTCTCCCTCGGTGTCCACGAGTCGCAGTCCCTCCTCTGGTGAGTTGTTGCAAAGAAAAAAAGAACAATGCAAGACCCTCTTCTCCTACCTTCCAGGAACACAAAAGAACAAGATTTGTCTGTATCTGTGTTCATTTCTTATTTTGGGTCTCATTTGGTTCCCCAGAAATTAGAGCAACGCCACACACCCATACACACAACGTGGGAAACACTTTTCACTAACTCATCATACTCCGAATGTTCGTGCAATTGCTTTCTATTTTAGGGAGCGCATGGTTGCCCTGAGCAAGCCCTTCTGGACATACACTCTCCCCCTCCTCAAGGAGCAGTTCCCCGACCGCGAGGACCTCCAGGCCGTCACCCCCGAGCAGTACTACAACGCCTTCAACCGCGTCGAGCCCGGCTTCATCCGCATCGAGGCCGACGAAGTCACCTACCCCATGCACGTCATCCTCCGTTACGAGATCGAGAAGGCCCTTGTCGAGGGCGACATCCAGGTCGCCGATGTCCCTGCCCTTTGGAACGCCAAGATGAAGGAGTACTTGGGTCTTGAGGTCACCGAGGACCGTATCGGATGCTTGCAGGATACCCACTGGGCTGTAGGCTTGATCGGTTACTTCCCTACCTACACTCTTGGATCCATCTACGCCGTCCAGATCTTTGCCACTGCCAAGGCGGCTATTCCCAACTTGGATGAGAACTTGGCCAAGGGCGAGTTCCCTGTGTTGAAGGAGTGGTTGAACAAGAATGTTCACGAGCAGGGTTCGTTGAGGGAATCTGGTGATGATTTAATCTTTGATTTGACTGGCAAGCACCTTGACAGCTCGTTGTATGTCAAGTACTTGACTGACAAGTATACCGCCATTTACGATCTTTAAGCTATCTTTGATATGGTACCCTCCTCCACCACCCACTACTTCATAATAAATCTGTAAATATGCTCATCATACCCTTTTTTGTTACCGATCTCGTTATGCCTCTTCTTCGAACCTTATGGAAAATTTAACAAGTTAAACGCAAACAGATATGAGTTTAGAGCATTGCGGTGCGACGCAATTGAGGACTTTGCAATTGATATAATTGATGCAAAGAGAAAAAAAACTTCGCTATCTGAAGTGACCTACAGCCTACTAACAAAAAAAACCATCTTACAACAAATGCCGCGCCACGTAACAATGGGTTCTCCTATTGAACTGCCTATTCGCTCTAATTAGGCAAACTGCATGTTCGAGGGGAACATCTACATCTCAAACAAGATCTGGCGCCTCTCTGCGGCGCTCAAACAGGAGTAGTGTGGGAATGGGATTGGGCGCATCTTGGCGCTTGGCGCGCTTGGCATTTCGTTTTCTTGAACAAGGATGGGTGAGTTTCTACAAGGTTTGACTGTTTTTCGAGACCTTGGTAGGACAGCATTGTACCATTGCACAAACTGCGCCTTGAGGGAAAGGCCAAAGCCAAGAAAGGGAAGGATTATCAATAACGAATGAAGGTCGTGTATGGAGTTGTTCCTGCTTTTGTTCGTTTACATGGTATTGAGTTCCGTGTCACACGCTACCAATACTTGGCCCTTTGCTCTCATTTTCTCCTCCGGGCATTTGGACAATGAACTTCCCTTTTCCCGAAGTTCGATCGATGTTACTGTTGTTGTGCTGTGAAAAGCGTTTATCATAGCCCATGGGCCAGAACATCCATACTCGGCCCTCCTTTTTTTTTTCTTTGTCGTTTTCGTTTTGTTGTTATCGCACTATCCTTAGTGTTGGCAAGCACTCCCACAGATTCCTTACCTCTTTTGGAGTCAAGCTTAGTCTTTTGTGTCTTCCATCGACGCACATATAAAACCCCTCGCCCTCCCTCCACTTTTTTTTTCTTTATCGCCAACAACGACACGACAACATCGACAACAACTTTATTTTCCTCTTCGATCCAAAAAAAAATCCCTTCCTCTTTGAAAATGACTGTTACTGCTACCACCACTGCCGATTTGCGCTCTGAGTCTGTTCGCTCGCTCTATGACCAGGTCATGGCTCGCTGCAAGGATGCTGACCACCTCAACGGTATCGGAGGCATCCTCCACTGGGACCAGGAGGTCATGATGCCCCCCAAGGCTGCTGCCGTCCGCTCTGAGCAGGTAACAACTCGTACTCTTACCATGCATGCTGCTATTCAATCGACACCTCAAAAACCGTAAATTAACCCCTTTACTTATTTTCTCTCGATCTTATGTAGATGAGCGTGTTGGTCGGTGTCTTGCATGAGATCCAGACCTCGCCTATCCAAGGAGCCCTCCTCGACGAGTTGGAGTACCGCAAGCAACACGAGGACCTATCAGTTGTCTTGAACCCCTACGAGCTCGCCAACATCCGTCTTGCTCGCAAGCAGTACAAGGAAGAAACTCTCGTTCCCGTTGATGTCGCCAAGGCTATGGCCGCTCTCAACTCCAAGTCGACCGCTGCATGGGCTGAAGCCCGCAAGGAGTCGGATTTCTCCAAGTTTGCGCCTTTCCTCGAGGAGCAGGTCAAGGTTGTCCGCCAGGCGATTGGGTATAAGATCCGTGGTGGCGCCAACGAGGAGGCACGAAAGATCAACGAGAAGGCGCGTGCTAGCTTGGGTCTGTCGGAGACGGATGAGTGTTACAAAGGGTACTATCAGGGGCTTATGAACATCTATGAGACGGGATTCAAGGAAGATCGTCTCCAGGTGCTCTTTGCGGATCTGAAAAAGCACCTTATCCCTCTTATCGCCAAGATCAAGGCCAAGGATTTCCAGCACGACAACAGCTTCCTCTGTCGTGATTATGACATCAGTAAGCAGGTCGAGTTCTCGCATAGTCTTGCCAAGGAGATTGGGTTCGATACTGAGGCTGGTCGTTTGGATGTGTCGACTCATCCTTTCTCAGGTGGCGCACACCCAACTGATGTTCGGATGACGACGAGATATACTCTCAGCACCATCAAGAATGGCATTACAGGAACTGTCCATGAGACGGGACACTCTGTCTATGAGCAAGGGCGTAACAAAGAATACCTTGGCACCCCTGTGTCGTTTTCCCTTTCCCTCGGCATCCATGAGTCTCAGTCTCTTCTCTGGTAAGTTCTCCAGAAAAAAATATCAGCAAGAAATCTCAATGATACTGTTAATAATGGACACGTATCTGACAAATACTTTTGTTTTCGTATATATTTTTTCCTCATCGAACGTGTAGGGAGCGCATGGTCGGTCTGGACAAGCCCTTTTGGACCTACGCCCTCCCCCTCCTCAAAGAAAAGTTCCCCGAAGACACCCACCTCCAAGCCGTAACCGTCGACCAGTTCTACCTGGCTCTTAACCGCGTCGAACCAGGTTTCATCCGCATCGAAAGTGACGAGGTCACCTACCCCATGCACGTCATCCTCCGCTACGAGATCGAAAAGGCCCTCATCGAAGGAGACATCACCGTCTCCGAAGTCCCCACCGTCTGGAACGCAAAGATGAAGGAATACCTTGGCCTCGATGTCCATGAGGATCGTTTAGGCTGCTTGCAGGATATTCATTGGTCTTTCGGAATGATTGGGTATTTCCCAACCTACTCTCTTGGATCGATTTATTCAGTTCAGATTTTCACCCATGCAAGGGAGCAGATTCCGGGGTTGGCGGAGCATTTGGCGAAGGGGGAGTTCGAGGTTTTGTTGAGGTGGTTGAACAAGAATGTGCACCAGCAGGGGTCTTTGAGAGAGTCTGGCGATGACTTGGTGTTTGATTTGACTGGCAAGCACCTTGACAGCTCGTTGTATGTCAAGTACTTGACCGACAAGTATACTGCTATCTATGACCTTTGAGCAGTTTTCTTTCTTTCCATTGAGTGAGACAAATAAAAATATGCGACACGAACTGATCACGCGATTGCGATAGGTTTAAATAGTAATCGACGCGTTCCGAATGTTAAACTAGGCTAGCGCGTCGCTATCAATCTCAGATAAGTATAGAAGATTTGTCTAGATTCAAGGCCCTTCAGAGTATGCAACACGCCGTCACTTCCTCCTTCCTCCTTCCTCCTTTCCTGTACCTCATCCCTCTCCATCTTTGCTTTTTTCATTTACATGCCAATCCCCCTCCCTTTCTTCTTCCTGTACGTCTCGAGAGGATGTTCGCTATTCGCTGGACCCATTTGAGATGGGCCACAACCCACCACGTCCATCGCAGTTCCTGACGACGTTGACGATGAACATATCATCTTTTTTTGAAGATTCCTTGGTTGCATTACCCCTTTGCTTCATCTCTTTTTTTTCGTCCCCTGGTAACTTCACGTCTTTTTGCGCCTCCCCTTGCTTTCTGAGTTGTTGCTTTGTTATCCCAACTATTAACTCCCATCATCACACTCCCCACCTCGCCCAACTCTTTTTCCTCTTACGGGGTATCACCCGGTCACAGTCTACTTTTTTCTTGTTCATCTTCATCCCCGTTACCACCAGTAATCAATATGTAGGTGAAAACACTGAGCTTCTTGATGGCTAATATAAAATACCATTGCTTTATCTCTCAATTCAACAAAACCACTCGACTTTCAAGCGTTGGTCAATCTCTACTTCTACCTCTACCGCCAGCACCTTCATACAATTGACCAAGTCCTCAATTCGCAAGTCAATCCTCTTCATTTCGCGTAACAGTCATGCTGGCTCTCTTGGCAACATTCCAATCCGCCACTCCTGTCAACGCTGCTTCTCTGATCTCGCTGTCGACCAACAACAACAAAAATCATCCAAATGCTGCTGCAGCGATTAAACGTGCAGCTCCAAGCACCGCCGTCACCATGCTACCGATAATGTGCTCTTAGAGATGACGATTTCCTTGGAGCGCTTGTTGAGACGCTAATAAGTACGTGTAGGAAGCCTGTAGAGAGGAATTAGGACGACGTGAAAAATTAGTTCCCTTTTTTTTGCAGCACAACATAAATAGTTCGAAAACATTCAAAAAATGAAACGACACATGAAAGATGGTTTTGGGTGACGCAGGAGAAAAACTCTTCTGTCATCCCCCCTTGCCTGGTTCCCATTTTCCGAATTGGCGTTACGCCGAGAAGCAAAATGTCACAGTGCAATTGAACAACGTGCAGCTGTCTCAGCATGGACAAGCGACATGAATGAGAGAACAAATTTTCTTTTTTTCTTTCTTTTCCACAACGACCATACGACAGCCATATTCTTCTTTTCGAACAAAAATTATTGTGAGCCTTGTCAATGATCATCTCTACTACTGCGGCCCGCAGTATTTAGGATTTGAGCGTGCATTGGGGATGGGGGGTACCAAAGAGAAAAATCGATACACATTGCTGGTTTCAATAAGACATAGGAAAGGGGGTGAACAAACTTACATTTTTTTACGTATTGATGACGGCGGACAGGAACGGCTGTTGTAGACGAGGATGGATACCTTTTCGATTCTTCCAAAACTTTATTTTTATGCTCAAGGGAAAAAAAAAGATCATTTTCTGGTGCAGCAGAAGCATGTTGGCGTTGAGGGAAAAATACAGGCGGTGCTCTATCTCAACAGCTATAAAATGTCCGTTCCTTTTCTCTATTTCCCCCTTCATCTGCACTTCAGCAATCCACTAGCGATCCTCTTCTCCCTCTTCGGTCTACCTTCACACACACCTGGTATCATAATCCCAAGCCTCTCATCCGAACAAAAATGACCGTCTCTGCTTCTATCACCTCCTCCTCGTCCGACTTGGCCACCGAGTCCGCTCGCTCGCTCTATGAGAAGCTTGTTGTTCTTCTCAAGGACATCTCCCACATCAACGGGATCTCCAGCTTGCTTGGATGGGACCAAATGGTCATGATGCCCAAGAATGCCGAGGATGCTCGCGCCAACCATGTAAAAAAAAAAAAAATGATGACTTCGTCTGTTTGTATGTCTTGGTACGCGTACCCGTTGGTTCATTTTTATTATAATCCTCACGACGTATGATTCTGACCTACGACAATTGTTTTCTTCGATTGAAAAATGAATAGATGAGCGTTTTGGATGCAACCATCCATGACATGGAGACCTCGCCCATATTGGGAGCGCTCCTGGAGGAATGTGAGCGTCGCCGATTGGCCGGAGAGTTGTCGAACGAGTTGAACCCCTACGAGCTGGCTAACATCCGTATCGCCCTCAAGTCCTACAGACAGGAAACCCTCGTGCCTAAGGATGTCGTCCGAGCCCTTGCAACCTCGACCGCCAAGGCCAACGGTGCCTGGAAGGAGGCGCGCGAGGCGTCGGACTGGTCAAAGTTTGCTCCTTTGTTGGAGGAGCAAGTCATGCTTACTCGCCAGAAGGCCGCCTACATGATCAACGGTGGCGTCTGCGAGGAGGCGCGCAAGATCAACCAGAAGGCGCGTGCCGCGCAGGGTCTTTCGGATGAAGACGAGTGCTACAAAGGTTACTACCAGGTGTTGGTCGACAAATTCGAATCCGGGTTCAAAGTTGATCGTCTCCAAGTGTTGTTTGCAGATCTGAAGAAGGATCTCATCCCCCTCATCGCCAAGATCAAGGCCAAGAACTTCCAGCATGAGAACGGGTTCCTCAAGGGAGATTTCGATATCAAGAAGCAAGCCGAGTTCTCGGACAAGTTCCCGACTCGGATGGGGTTCGATATGGATGCAGGTCGGTTGGACGAGTCAACCCATCCGTTCTGCAGTAATGCTCATCCTACAGATGTCCGGTTGGCGACCCGATATGCTTCGGACAATTTCCAGGAGGGAATCACGAGTACCATCCACGAAACTGGTCATGCTCTGTATGAGCAGGGTCGTAACAAGGAGTACGTCGACACCCCTGTCTCGTCGCCACTCTCTGTTGGTATTCACGAGTCCCAGTCTCTTCTTTGGTAAGAAAAGAAAACGCACTCGTTTTATCGGCTTGAATGGTTTGTCTCAAGCTGTTGAAAGATGTGTTCACTGACTATATTTTCTCTCCCGTTTCCTCTCTCACCATTTGCTAGGGAGCGATTGGTTATGCTGAGCAAGCCCTTTTGGACATATGCTTTGCCCCTCCTCAAGGAACAGTTCCCCGACCGCGAGAACCTCCAGGCTGTGGATGTGGACCAGTTTTACCTCGCCTTCAACCGTGTCGAGCCCACTCTCATCCGTCTCGAGGCCGATGAGGTGACCTACTCAATGCACATCATCCTCCGCTATGAGATTGAAAAGGCTCTGATCGAAGGCGATATCCAGGTCGCTGACGTCCCCGCCCTCTGGAACGCCAAGATGAAGGAGTATCTCGGTCTGGATGTCACCGAGGACCGCCTGGGTTGCTTGCAGGATATCCACTGGTCCGTCGGCATCATTGGTTACTTCCCCACCTACACTCTGGGATCAATCTACGCTGTTCAGATCTACAACCATGCCAGAGAGGAGATCCCCGATTGGGATGAGCACATGGCCAAGGGTAACCTGACTGTGTTGAAAGAATGGTTGAACAAGAATGTTCACGAGTCGGGATCGTTGCACGAGTCGGGTGATGATTTGATCTTTGGGTTGACTGGCAAGCCCTTGGATAGTTCTTTGTACGTCAAGTACTTGACTGAAAAGTATACTACCATCTATGATCTCTGATGTGGGTGTGTGTGCTCTTCCACTTTTTTTTTTTTCTTTTTTTCTTTTCATCATTTTTTGGAGTAGAGAAATAAAAATGAGTTTTTTTATTCATTCTTGTCACTTGCTTGTGTGTAAATGAGATGAGACTGGGGAACGAGTAGTACTAGTACTGGAATTGCACAATCGAAATGGTGCGATTGTCCGGGGTTGAGGTGTAATCGCCCTGCAGACCCAACTTTAGGACCCGTGCCACTTGACTTGGTGACCATATTGACGATGTGTGGCCAGACCTGCGGACCCACAATCCCCCATAAAAAAATGAAATAAAAAAACTACATTTCACACAAAACGGCCAACTAATTTGTTGTAGTTTGTTGATAGAAATCGCTGTTTGGAGAAAAGGGCTGTTAAATTTGATGTCATTGATCTCACCCTTGGCCCGTGCGTTCTCTATCCTCCCTTCCCCTGTTTAATGCCCATCATTACTAACAATCACCACTGATGATACAACAGTTCATATACATGTACAGTGGAGGGATGTACTGCTTTGAGGTACGGGAATGTTTGGAAGGCGCATAGGTCAGTCGTCGCTTCTTAGACACGGTGTCTCGTTCCGTGACACCTCACTCTCAACAGTCAACGTTTTCACCGAGTACAAAAAGAAACAAACAAGTAAAATATCTTAGTGACTATTTCGCATAAACCGATGATCAAAACACAGTAGGTGCCCTCAAAGTGCAAGAGGAAATGCCGCTGAATGGATGAATCGACTTTGTGGAAGGCTATGCAAAAGAACTATGTTTGCAGCAAACATATACCTATATAATGAATAAAAAGGGTTTAAAGTGTCGTATCAATAATCAGATTTCTAGTTCAGTGGGTATTGAATCCATATGAACAATAAACGAAACGAACAGGTATTGAGTCCCCACAAACGACTAACAAACGAACGGATAACGAGCCCCCACGAACACATATCGAGTGCCCACGAACGGGTAATGAAGCGAACGGGTAACGACACAAAAATGTATATCGAACCAAATTCACAAGCCTTTCGTTGAATATCGAATCGAATACATATGCTTTTCGTTGACTATCGAATCGAAATGGTACACTATTCGTATTCGGTAACATAGCTCATATCGAACAGATTTGACAGCTCGTTCGTTCGTTGAGAAACGCTGCCAAGGATGCTATGGACTACCTGTATTGCTATCTGGTAAAGGACCCTCCTCTGTTAACCTTCAAGACCAAAGGCAGAGCAGCGGTGATTTTCACTGCAGCCAAGCCAGGAAATGCCGTTGTCCATGCCCGCATCTCATCAGTCCAACTACCGTCAAATTTGAGTGAATTGAACCTCAATCAGTACTTTTTTTCCCACCCTTTTCAAGTCCAGACGCTCCTTGGAACCAGGGAGCACCTCAAGAACAAGCGTGAAAGAAAACTACAGAACCACCGCCATTTTCCCACCCTTGGCACCCCTGACCGTCTTCATGCATTGAGATCCCCTTCCAAGGTAGCTAAAAGACTTTGAGTCGAAGTGGACGGATGTTTCGTGCTCTCGAAGTAAGGTATTCGTGATCTATAAATTGAAGAAAGGACACTTAGGTGCCCATGATCATTTCAGATCTGTCACCGCTAAAAGATGTATCATTGAAATGAGTGAATAAAGATTACAGGACCTTTTTACTTTTAACTAGGTGATATTGAAGGAAGATGTAGTGACGACAGTGATGTCAACGCGCATGTTGCGGTGAACGCAGAAACAAGGAGTGCTTCTTCTCGCTGCGAAGTGATCACAAGGATTCTACTCCAAGGATCATGTCGCTTGATGCATCGAATAAATCTTCATCGCCTAAATCCAGGCACTGTATAAAACTCCAAAAGTTTTACACGCACAAAACCACACATTTCATTGAAATTCAGTAGGATGTGTGTGTTAGTTTACTCCATCTTCTACAATTGCACCTCCCTCGCTGCGTTTTTAGCTTCCTCTTCTTTCTCCCTCTCGTCCTTCTCCTGATCCCTGCGCTCGAGTTCCGCCTGCCAGGCGTCCCAATAAGCATCAGGAACAGTGAAGAGTATCTCCTTGCCCCTCGTGGTGCGGACACGGACCGGCGTGGTCTTGCGTAGACTGAATATGAATAAATGTTCCTTGAAGAACGCCAGAGTCTCGTTAAGCATCTTCAGGGCCTCCGCTTCCTCCTCGGGGTCGATCTCGCTTTGGTCGCCCATTTGAAAAATCCGGTCGCAAGCTAGAGTGAATTCGCCGATCTGCTTGATGTACGTTCGGCGTTCATACTCTTCTCTCATTAGACAGGCGGCCATGTCGGTGATTTTTTTAGTGGCTAATGAATTTTTTCCGGTGAAAGGGGGAAGCGAGGGAAAGGAATGAAAGAAGGAATCAAGGAGCGAGGAAACAAAAAGTGAGAAAGGATGTGTTAATGAGCTGAATAACGGAAGAGTTTCACGGGGCGTGCCAGGTTCTGGGCAGAGACTAATGTGGAGATAAGGGGATGGGAAGGTAGAGATGGGATCGAAGGGAGAAGAGGAACTTACTAGGCTGAATGGTTTTTATTCTAAGACAAAGAAGAGCGGGACCATGGAGAGAAATAGGGTATTTATGTAATTTGATAAGACAAGAACAAGAACAAAGAATAGTGACCTGAATAACTGGAAGAGTTTCATGGGGCGTTGGTAGCTGCTCAGAATCCGTTGAAGATGGACTGGGTCCTCAGTAGTTTCTGAACAAGTGCCCTTTTCCTCTGGGTGTGTGAGCATTGTTGGACGCCACATGGGCTCACAAGTGCCATGCTATTGGTCCTCAAAGAAAAGTACCATGGGAACAACAAAGATTTTCGAGTGGTTGGTAGCTGCTTCTCTGAGTGAATTTTTTTGGCATGTGAATTATGGTGAGGGTAGGGATGAGATGCGTACAGTGCACGCGCTACTCTTATGTTGTCAAACGAGAGAGCGACGAAAAGTACCATTTTTTTTTCAATTCAATTGCACGAAATAAGCAAGCAAAGATTGCTTAAAGTGCTTGTGTTGCTTCGTGTATGGTTGTAATAGTACAGTGGGGTTAAAACAAAGAGCTTCTTTATTATTTTGTTGCAAAACTTTTGTAACCCAGCTGTACAGCAATGGTTCGAAAAGGTACAAACTCACCCGCATTTAGTAATATGGATCCATCCACATATACTACGCACTCTGCACCAAAATCCTCCATTGACCAGCTGCAATGTTCGAACCTGGCGGCAAAAGGGCCAAATCCAGCTGATCGCGATTTTTTCAGTTGGTAGCACAAGCAGCCTTACTCTTACCTTTTTTTTTGCTCATACACAGGCGCCCTCCTGGTGTAACCGCATGCCAAGTAAATCTTCAAAAGAAAGATGCTCCTTCGCTAGGAAGAATGGAAAACGAAAAGCTGGTTATAGTGGTAGTCTTCATGCACACTGCATGTCGGCTAATGCTCTACACGTTGCTGGCGCTGGCCCAGTCAAACATGTTACTGGCGCTAGCCTAGTCAAACACGTTGCTGGCGCTGCCCTAGCCAAATGCCAGACAGTGCTTCATCAAGATTCCAGTTTTTTTTGTGTTACTCTGAGACTTTCCTTTTTTGTTTTTCACGGTAATGTACGGTACAGACATGATGGCAGAAGTTCAGTGCCCATGAAACTCAAACGAAGCGTAGACTTGGGGATCCCTCCTTTCGCGTGCGACGTTGAGGAGAGCGATTAGAAGGCAATGGTCCCGAGTCAGGACTGAACAATAGAATGTATATCACAATACCTGCAGAATACCATGCTTCCTAGGCCCAGTGGCATGTGGTCCCAGGAGATGGCCTTGTGGAACCATCGCTGTCTCATCATGCCTATAAAAGCGGGTTCTTCTTCTCGTTGTTTATCTGTTTATTCCTCTCTTCCAGTACTGTCCATCACCAATCTTACATTCCAGCAACGCCATTCAATAAGGAAATCCAAGGTACAAAATCTCGTAGCGCAATCTTACGAAAATCGTGAGAAGCATTGACAAGGAACAGCGTTTCTTATATACTAAAAATCGCCGCCTGCCTTTTAGACATGAAGGCTATCTCACTTCTTCTCGTCGCCACTCTTGCGCTCGTCGCTACAGCTGCCCCCACTGCTGAACCTCTTAACTGTCCCTGCGGCCCAGGCAAGCGTGATCCCTGGCACCCTGCGTGCTGCCCAGACCCCGCCGCTGTCGCTCCCAAGGTGGCTGAGGTCACTGCTGAACCTCTTGATTGCCCCTGCGGAGGCAAGCGTGATCCCTGGCACCCTTCGTGCTGCCGAAATCCCACCACTGTCGCTCCCAAGGTGGTTGAGGTCACTGCTGAACCTCTTGATTGCCCCTGCGGAGGCAAGCGTGATCCCTGGCACCCTTCATGCTGCCCAAACCCCACCACTGTCGGCCCTAAGATGGTCTAGGAGTGAACGTGCGTAATTGATAACGGCGCACAGAGTACAGCAAAAAAATCTAATAAAAAAATACCCTTGGCTGTCTCCTCCTCTCTGTCCTCCTCTCTGTCTCTGTCTCTGTCTCTCTGTCTATCATCCCATTTGTCGCATGCGCTTTATCGCCATGGCATGCTCAAAAATAAATAAAACCCTTATTTTCATATGTGTTGTTCTCAACTCGATACCTTGCACTAAAATGGCATGGAGTGAAATTGTTGTATGGAGATTGTCAACGTTTTTTCTGCCTTTTCCTTCTATCCCAAAACCAAAGGGTTCAGGGGCAGGCACTACTACGTCCACCACATTCATGGTCTCATATTCTCATCTCTTTCTCGCGTTTTGCATCTTATGCTCATTTTCTCACCTCGTCTTTCCTCTTTTCAGAGAAATGTGGTGATATTGCGAACGAGAAAAAAAAAGTTAAAAACAAAAACTACAGCACAGAGTATTCCCGTGTGGTCCTCCACCATAGTACTGACTATGCCATCAACTGTTAACTTCGCAGATCGGACGGGATGCGGTGAACTTAGTTGTGTATGGCCGTAGCTTAAAGGTAAGGGATTGTCGCCCAGTATATACCAGATCAGTTTTTAGTCAATGGCCATCAAACAAGTGCCCTTGGGCGCCCTTTTGGATGGTGTTCACGATGCTGTAGAGCAGACACGGCGGCGAGATAATGAGAGCTGATGGCGGCCAAATAAACATTTGCTTTGACCATTACTCTGTGGATATGCCTCCGATTTGCGTTTGCATCTCTCTCTAGGCACAATTACCTTATAGTAGCCACTTGCCGCCCTGATATTAGCTGGCAAAGAACTGCCATTTTTTTCTTGTTCTTCGGGCTGCAAGAAGGGGTGTCGCCGTAAGCCGGTCTGTCTGACCCATTCAACACAGGTACGCGCATAGAGGACTCAGCCATCTGCACACAACTCGGCCAGCCATGGATATGTTGAACTACCCTTAACACCAGCGCCTGAAAGAAGATGTTCGTTCGAACAAATCTATAAGAACAATGGGCTCTCAGCAGGTCGTTGCAACAAGGCTACTCTACTGCTTACAATACCCGTTCAGTTAAAGTCGTCTGCAATGGATTTATCTCTTCCAATATTTGAAATTAACATTTGCAGGAACACAAAACCTTCCCGCTCTGCAAATCGTCGCTTTAAACGTGACATAATTCTCGCGCCCATTGTCCTGTTTGCACTTGCCTCATCACTTAACACGCTTCATTTCATCATTTCCCTCACGTCCCTTCATCGCATTAATCAAGCTCGCTGTCTTTCTTCACTTATTCTTCCTTTCGCATGCTTATTCTCACACTCGATCTGCTCAAGGTATTATGCTATTGATCCTAATCTACTCAGCTGAGAGTTCTCTTGGCTCATCCACATGACGCTACTACTGGCAAGTCCAGCACTCCGTGCCACCATGATGTTCTGTCATGGAGGCATCTTGTAAAAACCACTCCAGTCTATTGATGCGTTTCTTCCTTGGCCTACTCATTTTGGTTAATGTGGTAGCCACCCAAAGTTGAAATCACTTTCTCAGTCCTTGTGAGCTAGCTGGCATCTCAGTTGTCGTTAATCATTGTGAAATTAATATCATTTGATTGTTCAGCACGGAATGTTCGATAACCTGCATCTCCCTTATCCTTGCAGTAGATAAAATGTCACGGAAAACGAGCCCTCGATTTACACTTTCCGACGATGAATCAAGCTGGATTTTCAGTGGCGAAGGGATATATTCGGAACTCTACTCTGACATATTCAGATCAAGCGGTCACCACATTCAAGAAGAACACCAGCGTTATGCTCGTCTATTGGATAAAGGCGACTTTCGTCAGGACCGATACCTTATGAAGGGACTTCGGAGTGATTTCGAAACGTAGAAGATCAACAAGTCGCAACAATTCTGGCTAGAACGGTGTACACGCAATTCAGCAAAGAGGATGGCAGCGAAGATAGTGGAGGGTTCGGAGCCGCATGCAAGTGAGCCCATTGACCGGAACATGTCCAAAGTACTGCAGCGGCAACGAAGTATACAGCACTCAGACGTAGTCAACGACGTATATGATAGTGAAGCGAAAGGGGCGATGGTGGCAGATCCAGCGCAACCGAGTTCGCAGGTCTGACTCACGAAGTTTTCATGATTGCACTGGTTGTTACTTGTTGTTTCGACATATTCTTAGTGCCTATGCGATTTTATTTTACGCCATAGGTACCCATGCCAGTAACGACTCCCAAGGACAAGGCACACTGGTCACAGAGGAGGATCTCACGGGAGCTCAAGCCACCCCTTTCTATGATCTTATCGAATACATATTCAAAAAGGTTTGTGAAGGGTCTTCTTGTTTTCGCTATGCACCATGCCCATACTTCCACCAAGATATTAATATCACATAAATATGTAGACGCGAGGAGAAGAAGCAGTCCTGCCTGAGATCCCACGATCATCTCCATCCTACAACCATCGCGAGATGTTCATGCGCGTTCGAACCGATCTGGAAATGACCAGTGAGTTGAGCAAGGACACGTAAGTACCATTTCTCCTAATTTTGAATGACCGTGTTGTATTCGCCTCATCAAAGTCGTTGCTGTTGGTTAATTAAGCTTGCACATTTATAGCACTGTTTATCCGGAATCATAAACACAATCTCACTGCAGCACAGTGGTTCACGCTATCACCCATGATCAAGGCAAAGTCATTGGTGCCGTCAATGTCATCAAGGCTTCCTCGCATCGAAGCTCTGGTGGCAGAGCTGTTGACCACACCGTGTACCGATCTGGATAACGATTTTGCAAGCGGAGGTGACGCTGGTGGGGTTGCAAATGAAGGTCTGGAGGTTCCTTGCCAAGTCAGCAGGAGATGGCGCTACCAAGACCAAGGAAGAGAAAGCTGCCGCGACCTTATTGAAGATTGTGAATAAGATCTGCTCACTTTTGGAGAACAGGCAGCTCAGACCCCCTCGCTCAGAGCATGTCTTTGTATCGGCTTAGAGCAACATCATGAACACACTTTTTCAAGGCAGCCTCGTCTGCGTCATACCGTAGGTTGAACTTGAGAGTGTATCAGCAATGATTGCATTGAATGAGATACTGACTCGTTTAATTCACCCTTAAAACACATAGGGAGAGCTAGCCTCTGCCGCTGCCAAAGACTCCAGGGTCATGGTTAAAGGTGAGTTCGGCCTGACAAACAAGTATATCTGCGGCGGAAAGGTGGATTTAAGCGTAAGGGTGTATGCCGATCACACCTGGCAGAACGAGATTGCGGGGTACGAGTTCAAGTCTTCCAATGGGTCCGATGTCATCTCCCGTCAGCAGCAGCATAAGTCTGTTCGGCTTAATGGTGCCATTCTCCTGGATTTGGAGCAGCGAGGGGTCGACATCAGCAACAGCTATCCTATCATAGCAGAAGGCTGGGGCTTGGCGTTGGACTTTTACACCTTACGTAGATACGACAATGTATTAGGAGCAGGGCGCACCACCTTGTCTCGAGTCTGGTTACCATCGCATGAAGTGCAGCTCAAGCAGTTCCTGAGTTCGGACTCCCTTCATATGTTACTGGCATTTGCGGCAAGTGAGTCGGGAGGAGCTGGTGCTGAATTTGACACACTTCTCACTGATCGTTGCACACGACCTGACAATAGGAGCACATGCGAAAGTTATCGGTGGCTGTTATTGATGCATTTGCCTTGGTCGACCATGGGCCTCTTCCCACTGCCCCACCTCCGCAGCACAAACGTCTGGATTCATACATCTTGTTCACGCCTTCCAAATCAAACAAGAAGGCGAAGGTTGCTGATTTGGTCGAGAATGCCAATTGACAATCTGTATCCACATCTATCCCGCGTCTCAGTAAAGTGCTGCATGATCAATAAATAGCTTATTTCAGACTGTTATCCTCCTGCACTCTTTCCTACATAAGGATCGTTATGATGCAGTTGTGTTATTTCTCAAGCAGTCGCGATTATCCCTTGCTTGGTTTTAAAAGAAAATACTGCCTATAGAAGGACTGTCGATATCTTTGATCAAACAGTCAATAGCCCTGTGCAGGAATGGCAAATACCTTAGTATTGCCCCGCCGATTAGCGTATGATAGCCCTTGATCAGGCGGCAAGATTCTGGGTTACCTGGAGAAGGAAGAGGAAGAGTTTAGCGATTCGTTATTCTTCGGCCCGTCCATCTCGCGTGACTTCACATCTACCAGCTCGATCCACAGGAATGCAATCGCGACACTGGGACGGAACTTTATGGATCTCAAAGCGAATGGTACCTATCGCGGAGCTAGTCTCTCGACAGCATCCATCTCCTCATTGTCATCGGGGTCACAGTTCAACATAGGGGCGTGGCCAAAAGGATCCTTGACCGCATCGACAAAGAACAACTCTGACAGCGAGAGGATCCATCCACAGAATCGACCCAAGGCATCTCAACCTCATCGCCACATTACGCAACCAACATCAACTCCTCAACCTGCTCCTGCCAAACCACCATCAGTAACAACCTACCGCCACAACCATGATGGGAGCGTCACGATCTCTGCAACCCATTCGAAGTACCTCATCGAGTAGTTAAAGCAATTCCGTATCCTCCCAGACACTTGCGACTAGGCGCTACAAAAGCTGTTGACTTGGAAGGCAGCCGAGAGGAAGATACGACAGCAGGCCAAATAATGCCAGAGACGGTTGCTGTGCAAGCAAGGTGGAGGCGACTGTTCGAGTTAACCGGCATGTATGGAGCAATTGCCGATGGGAACGGGGATGAAGATGAGTTGGAAGAAATGGACGGCTGGTTTGATTATGGCAGTGGTACTGAGAAGGATGACGATGGAGGCGATACCGAGGAAATCAAGAAAGGATCGCGACAACGCTTCTGGGGACCATGGAAGCTGTTCCAAATGTCCAGACTCGTCAACCCAGAGGTCACTTGCGACGTGGGCGGAGTTCCGATCCATCACCGGCGCCATCGCTCGAGGTCGGGGTCAAGGCCAAGGCCACCTGCCGCTGAGAGTGAAGCAGGACTGCACCCGATGGTGTTGATATTAGAACCATCAGTGACGAGACTCGTAAGTGCTCGGTGGAGGACGATTCCTCCAATGCTGCTGTTGAGCGAGCCTGATAGGGTACCAAGGACGTTTGCATCAAGCGCAGGAGGCGTCAGGTTTGGGCATATACCCGAGTCGTGTAGTATTGAGCAGAGGCGCAGATCTGCAGCTACCTCAAGGCGACAGTCTCTTCATACGATTCAAACTAATGAGGTTCCCTTTCATGTCGTCAGAGGAATGGTCCTAGTAGATCTATCATCTGACGTTTTGACTAGTGCTGCATAAGAAGAATAAAATAGATTCGTTTGAGGGATTGCATAGCCAATGGAAGTGTAGCAAAGACAGCACTATGATGATGGACAGAACCTTTTGGCTGGCTTCGTTGGGATCGTCGTTTGTGATTTGGTGGCGCGCATGAATGAAGTTGATTCACACACAAAAAAATCTTTATATACTTCTCCGACTTCTTGTCTGTGGAGAGAGAAACTTTTCATTCCTCTTTTCCCGCCATTTCCAGCACTCAACTCTTATTTTTTCTCTCACACCTTGCGCTACTACCTCTACATATTACTTACACCTAATCACTCACGTATTCAGCATGGGTTCATGTCTAAGCTCACACTCTGGCAGAGGTGGGACCACATCTCGCCCGATGGGCCCTCCTCCAACTCTCCCTACTCCGCGATCCTATGACCTGCCCAAAGGATGGTAATAAGAGGTTACCAATGAAAGAAACAACTGCATACTTTCTTTGAAAGCATAGGCAAGGTACTGATGGACACCTTTTATCCCTCACTTGTAGGTTGTGCCAATACGATCCTCAGAGCAGTCATCTCTTCTACGTCAACACTGCGACCGGACAGCGACAATGGGAACATCCTAAGGGGCCCACCTCCAGTGCAAACGACGCAGCCCAGTTCCGCGAGCAGATGAACATGTATGAACAGCAACTCGCCAACTACAACCGTGGAGGAGGAGGAGGATACCAGCAGCAGATGAGCCAGCAACAACAGCAACAGCAGCAGTACTACCAGGGAGGCAACCAAGGCTACGGCAACGGCATGATGGGTGGTAGCAGTGGTTTCGGAGGAGGGGGAGGGGGTGGAATGGGCGGTATGGCCAAGGGAGGAATGATGGGTCTGTTGGCTGGCACGCTTATTGGGAACCAATTTGGTCAACATCACGGCGGAGGTGGGTTTGGAGGAAATGGCGATCAGAACTATAACAATAATGACGGTGGTGGTTTTTTTGGAGGCAATGATGGATATGGAGGCGGGTACAGTGGAAATGGCGACTATTATAATGGTGGTTATGATAATAGCGGTAGTGGCGGAGGAGGAGGAGACTCGAATGGTGGAGGTGGGTCCTTTGACCAGGGTGGCAATAGCGGTGGTAATGACTTTTTTGGAGGTGGTGGCGATGGAGGTGGAGGTGGTGGAGGGTTCTTTGACCAGAGCGGTGGTGGTGATAGCAGCTTCTTTGGTGGTGGTGGTGGTGACGATTCTTTTGGCGATTCCTTGGCTCCCAGCTGGTGATCTCAGCGTTTGCAATAGTAATAGTAATAAACAGTCCGGTCATTATTATTTTTTATTATTTGTGGACGCGTTTGACGTTTGACCCTCTTCCCCTCTTTCTCACTTGATATCTCCGCTGCGTCCTCACTCTCCATTACACTCCTTCTGCCCTACTCCTCTTGTTGCACAACTCCCTCACCATGTCAGGAACCAGCAAGGCGCCCCTTGGCGACATCACCCATCGCCCACTCACAGGACGTCGTTCAGGAAACACAACTGCCCAGCAGGTCGCCAACCTCACCTGCTCAGCCGGACAAGGCGATGAGAACAACCCTGCCCGTGGGCTACTGGACCTCTTTGCTGCCCAGTCTGGGTCAGTGTCGCTCAATCGAAAGAGATCCCTTAAACGGTTCATCGATGACTCTGAACATCCCATCGCACGCTTTCTGTCCCCTCAACCATCCCCAACAAAGCCCTCAGCAACCAAGAGCAATGCAGCAAAAGCTGGAGGAGTGTCACCCACAAAGTCAGTAGCGAATACTGTTGTTGTTGTGGACTCTATTCTCTCTGGAGAGTTGATGCCGCCTACAGGACCACTGTTCTTCCATTCTGCCAAGGCTGCACGACCCACCAGCATTCTCTCTACTATTTGTCGGCGACAGACTTTCGGACGACAGAGGAACATGCCATACTATGGTAGAGTACTTGCTTTCTGTTCAATCGGGACTGAGCAAGTGATTAAACATCCCAAGAGACAAAAAATGACTAACGGTTGATATTGCTCTGATTTCCAATTGTTAGTTTCAACGCGGGAGTACATGCTGGATTATATCAGCCGGCCGAGCGATGTTTATTCCTTTGTATCTCAGGATGGAGCTACACTCGTCCCACCCTTCTCTTGCGCATACAACAATGGTATGACCTACACCTGGTTCTCATTGCCTGGCTGTTATTGTTTATGAAATGACATGACGACTGACCTCAACTGCGCTATTTGTTTGTTGGTGCCGTTAGTTGCCAACGGAGCTAGGAATCTTGCTGTCGGGGATGAGGATGGCACCATACATATTGTTGACACCAGGCGAGAGGGATCACACCCTGGTAAGCAAAACACCAATTCTCAAACGACGTCCTGGAATGCCGACAGAAACGACAGCCAGGCATGATACTTACCACCTATTTTGAATTCTTGTCTGTGTTGTGATAGATGCCACAAAGCAGATTCTCGCTCATCAGAACGCCATTTTCGATCTTTGCTGGACAAAGGATGATTCCAAGATTGTAAGTGTTCCTTCCTTTCACATCTACTGCACAATGCTTTCATATTTGAGTTCTTGGATTCTAACCAGGCACCTCGTTTTTGTCAATTGTGTAGGTCTCTGTGTCTGGCGATCAATCAGCAAGGATACACGACGTTGAAACGAAAAAGTGCGTTGGAGTGTTTTCTGGTCACACCGGTAGCATCAAGAGTGTATCAATGAAGCACAACGACGATTGTAAGCGGAATATGACATTTTATCCGCATATGTCTTTATGCTTTTTATCTCCACAAGGCTCTTCCTAACCTTTTTCATATTCGCATTATCTGTAGTCATCTTTGCGACGGCGGCCAGAGATGGAGCGGTAATGATTTGGGACTCTCGCTGTTCGAGCACCACATCTGCCACAGGCGAGACAGTTTACAGACCGGCGGATAGACTTTTGAACGTACATGCAAGCACAACGCGCGCTGTTCCACCCAAGAAATCCAAGCATGGAAGTGATGGCCCTAACACCGCCTCAGCAGTGCAATACATGCTTCACAACGAGCACATCATTGCCTCCACAGGATCTCTGGACGGGTAAGTATTAGTGACAAATATTTGCAAGAGACACAACTGGATATCGGGCAATGGCTAACCGGACCTGCATGCCATTTTATTCCACTAGATCGATCAAATACTGGGATGTGCGCAAACATGGCACTTACTTTAAGCACGATTACCCGACACCTCTTCAGACGTCCAAATACACGCCTACGACCAGACGAGCACACGGAATGACATCGATGGCCCTCTCGCCTGACGGCCGAGCTCTGTATGCATTGAGCTCTGACAGCAATATTTATATGTACAACACAACGGCCCTGGGTCACCCTGTCGAGCGATTTGGTGGCAGCGATTTTGCATGCTCAAGCTATTATATCAAAATCAGTGTGTCTCCTGACGGCAACTACATTGCAGCAGGATCGAGCAAGGACCTTTACGTGTGGGAGATCAACATGCCTCAGAGGAAGCCTCTTGTCTTCCAAGGTCATGAACGGGAGGTGACGGGTGTTGACTGGGCCAAGGATCTCGGCCATGGCACCGAGGTACATCTTTTTGCTCCCTTGTCTCATGTTAACCGGCGTTGATTTTCAGATATGGATATGTCCTAACTTATTGATATGTTGCTCTACATGTGCTAGCTGAGTGGATGTTCTGATGATGCCAAGGTCCGGACATGGAAGCCTAATGGCGAACTCGTTCAAGAATGCCGAGAGAACAAGAGCCTGCTGAACCTTCACGGCATTGTCTCTGAGTAATCGCTTTCAAGCTCAATCTTTGATTCAGAAAATAAATACCCATACCAAATCCTCTTTTTGATTGTTTTTCTTTTATTTACTACATGCTGTGTGCGCGGACGTCATTGGTGGCGCGAAATCAAAAGAATGGGTTCTAAGCATGATGGCTGGGTTCTGGGTTCATGTGCTCTGCGTCTTCAGGGGCAACAGAGCTGTGATGGCTGTGATCCCTGTGTCGTTCCTCGCGCCGCTTTTCACGCTGATAGTTCCTCTGAGATGCAAAGAGCTCCCGCTTCAGATTCCTGTCTGCTGATTTGAGGTGCATGAAATTACACAATCCTCCGCGAGTGCACTCAGAGTTTTCGTATTGGCGACAGCAGGCTATATCGAGTTGGTTGGTGCATATGGATAAAAAGGAAGAAACGAAGACAAAGGAACAATTGATTAGTCATCAGAACATGGCATTATCACAGACACCTATCAGACAGTAACTGGCGAACAAAAGAATATCCATAACATAAACAGGAACGAGAACGTACCTTCACGGAAATCTGTAACGGGAGACAGTTCCGCCCAGAGTGGTCTTCCAGCATAGAATCGGTTATTCAAACTCTCGACAGCATTTCCAGCATCCTCCTCATACTTGAATCTGGCATAGATGTTCCCAACGAGATGGTCACCAATGTTATCACAGACATGCATTTCCTCGATCTCGCCGTATTTCGCCAGCTCGACAAAGAAGTCCTCATAGATGTTGTCAAAGTCTTCCTGAATCTCAGGTTTGGAGAGGGAGCAATTGGCGTCGTGGGAGGGGTTGTGGTAGACGTTTGGGACGAGGATTGTTTGGGAAAAGTTGGGCTTAACGTGTTTCCGCGAGCATCTGTCGCCGTGTCTGCAGGCTCCGATTTTGAAGTAGAACGAACAGTTGACCCTAGATAGCAAAAGAAAAGAAACACAGGCAAGACGTCAGTGCGTGAAAGAAAGGTGATCGTGTTTCTCAAGAAAGAGGGCCAGTCGCAGGTCCCTTTTGTGTGTTATCATCGCATGCATTCGATGCTGTCCAATGAAATGACATCCATCCGTGTGCACCGTCGAGTTGTTTGCGTACTTGTCCTTCTCTGTGCCGTAAATCGATGCCAGGTATGTCGCCATGCTGTGTGTGTTGAATGAAAGTGAGGAGTGTGTGGTCGAAGCTGAAGTTGCGATCTTGTGCTGGGTTGCTCAGCGCTTTTATACAAGCCACAGGATGACCACGTGATTTTTTCCATGATAAAAAACGACGGCCCTTGAATTCCCGCGAGTGGGCACCCACACTCGAGCGAGAAGAACCTCAAGGATGCTGACAAACCATACCCTCCATTGTTCGTTCTACAACTGTCCCACTGATCTCGCATGAATATGATTTGCCCCCCACGTCGCATGGGGTATTTAGGATGTTAATATCGATTGCTTATGGGTATTGTTGTTGCAATAGCAAAACGATATAAAAGTTGGTGGCCACGTCACAAGAGACAAAGGCTTAAGGGTCATGGTAGATGAAAATTCAACCTCCGTTCATCCATTGGCTGACCGATAAAAATGCCTACTGAAGACCCACTTGCCTCTTTTCCTTTTTTTTTTTTCTCTCTCTCTCTCTCTCTTTTTTTCTTTACTCTCCCTCACTTTCATTTTTCTCTCTTCTTCACTCTCTCCCTTCCTCCTTCCTACAGCAGCACCCTCAAACACTACTCTACTACAACACACAGGACTATTCTTCACTCCTTCCTTCTTGTACACTGTTCACTCTTCATCATCAACGTCCTCCATCCCTGTAGCTGCTCTCACTTCCCTCCCTCCTTGTCACTGACTCACACACTTGCACTCTCTCCTCTTGTTTTGTTTGTTCGGTTTCCCCCCGTTTGTTCCCTCAATCAAACACACTTGCAAAAACGTACTTTGACTCGTCTGCAGGAAAGAAAGAAAAATATTATTACGCGACACCTGTCTTGTTTCTTCTGACCCAACACGCCTTCCCTCCCTCCGCCCCTTTGCCCTTGACAATCACACACACACACACACACACACCCCTACTCGGCAAATACAGACACACGCACACGTACTTAAACAACAACCACACACACAACAGTCATCATGATGTCCAATGGCGACGAGGTCAAGAAGCGACCCCTGGAGGACCACGCCAGTCTGAACGGAGAACTCAATGGGTAAACACATCAAACGATCTCTTGTGTTGTTGCCACCATTTTTTTATTTTATTTTGGAGATTTTCATCATTCTGATATATTAACTCATCCTCACTCCCGTGTTCACACACATACATCTTTTTTCTTCAACAACCAGCGATGCACCAACTAATCTAGACGTGGCTCACATCCCCGAGGAAGGATCATTAAAGCGCCTCAAGGCTGAAGACGACGATCACGTTCCCTTCTCGCCCCCAATCACAGCACCCGTCGCTTCCTCGGCAGCATCAGACTACCCTTCCCTGGTGCCCTCTCTCGAGCACAGCCGCCCCGACTTCCCCATCCCTCCAGCCCATAGCACTGCAGACCAGTTGATAGATAGCGACATCAAAGTCCCGAGCCACCTTCTTAGCACACACACTCCCAGCGTCTCTTCGATTCCACTGGAACCTCTGCCCACTCCCTCTCCAGCGGCACCAGTACCACTGACCCAAGAGCCACGGAAACCTGATGATGCTGAAGTCTCAAAGGTTAGTTCTGTTTGCTATTGTGAATGTTTCTGGAAGGAGCCTGGATCAAGGCGGTGCTGTTTGTTGTGGGTTCGGGTGCGGGTGAATAAAAGCCAAATACATGTATCCTTTTGCTGCGCTACATCATCGTCATCTTCATCTTCGTTGTCGTTCCGCCGTCATTGTGCTGAAGTAGGAGGTTGCGACGTTTTTTTCTTTTCTTCCGAGTGAACTTTGATATGATCAGTTAGTCAGTCAAACAGTCAGTCGGCCGACAAAATATTTCAACAGCTACTGTAGACCGATCGAGAGTCGAGGAGATGATGGGGCGACAGAGGTCAGGGAGATCTCCATATTTTTAGCTCTTCTTGCATACATCAACATCATCTAACACCATATTATCCTCTTTTCTTTCCAACTTTCTTATAACCATCATTTACAGCCTATTCCCCAGCCCGCCCAATCCACCGCAGAGCCTGTCGCTCCTTCAGTCATCTCGTCAAACCTGGAACCCAAACCTGTCAAATCTGAAGCACCCACAACTACATTTGCAGCACCTCCAATCCCACCTGCGCTCGACACTACGACTATCGCTCCTCCCGTGGCAACTGCAACTCCCGCAACTCCTGCTACACCCGTCACACCTGCTACTCCCGCAACTCCCGCAACTCCTGTGAACCCTGCATTGAACGGTGCTCGCAAGTCATCCATGACTCGGGAACAGCTCAAGTATTGTACGGCAATCATTAAGCAGCTAAAGCGCCATCGGGATGCTGGTGCATTTTTGCAGCCAGTCGATCCAGTTGCCCTCAGGATCCCCGACTATTTTACTGTGGTCAAGAATCCCAGGGATCTCTCGACAGTCGAGCGGAAGTTGAACAACCTGGAGTACGACACTGTGGACGACTTCGTTCAGGATGTGAACCTCATCTTTGCTAACTGCTATCTGTACAACGGCCGGGAGTCACCTATCGCGATTTTTGCGTCGAACCTGGAATCAGCATTCACGAGCTCGTTGAGATACATGCCCAAGGAGGTAGGCTTAATTTCTTTCACTTTTTTTTCGATCGCCATCCATCTTGATGGTTATGAAGCTTTTCGTGTCGGTGTTTTCAGACTTGTTTTGACATGTTTGTATTTTATCGTCCATTGTAGACCATCAAAGCTACGCCAGACACTCAGAAGGAGAGCACGAAGAAAGCTTCTCCTGCCAAGGCCAGGAAGGAGGTGGCCAAGAAGGAGGATGTCAAGAGTCAGGCTCCCGCAGCCGTGCCCCAACCGGACTTTGTACCATCTGCTTTTACTCTCTCCAGAGCTGCTTCAGAGGAACGTCGACCCAAGCGTGATATCCACGCGCCTTCCAAGGAGATTCTCACCGCGATTGCAGTTAAGAAGAAAGGATCTGCCAAGTGGAAAGCGGACCCTCAGTTGCGGTACTGTCAAGCAATCTTGCGCGAGTTTGCCAAGAAGGCCAACATGGAGTTTATGTTCCCTTTTATGGAACCGGTCGATTACGTCGCCCTCAACATTCCCGACTATCCAAAGCTCATTAAGAACCCTATGGACCTTGGGACTGTGAAGACGAAGCTTGAGGAGGATGAGTACGAGAACGCCGCCCAGTTCGAGGCCGACGTCCGCCTGGTTCTCTGGAATTGTTTCAAATTTAACCCTGCGGGCACACCCGTCCATCTGATGGGTCGTCGTATGGAGACTCTGTTCAACACCAAGTGGGCTGAGCGTCCTCCACCACCCACCCCTCCACCAGTTGTAGAGGAGCCAAAGCAAGAAGAGTCTGAGTCTGAATCTGATTCGTCAGGTAAGAAGCAGCAGTTACCTATGCTCATTTTGAATGCTAATTGACAGACTGCGATTATAAAATTGGAGCTAATCGAACAATCGCGCTTTATGTTATTTTGACTATAGATGACAAGATTGCCGAGATGGAGAGACACTTGAAGACATTGTCGGAGAAAATCAGGCTGATGAAGGCAGCTACTAAGAAGAAAGAGAAGGTTGAGAAGAAGGCGCCAGTCAAGACGGCGCCGCCACAGGAGAAGCCCGTCAAACCCAAGGCAGCCGCCAAGACGCCTGTCAAGGCCCCTCCCAAGCCAGCTCCAGCAAAAGCCCCTGCTCCCGAGAAGAAAAAGGCTCCGCCCAAGAGGTCACGCCCCGTGTACAGCAGCAGCAGTGGAAGTAGCAGCAGCAGCGAGGACGACGTCCCCATGATCACGTTTGAGCAGAAGAAAGAGCTCAGCGACAGCATCAACAACTTTGAGGGCGACAAGCTTGCCAATGTTGTTCAGATCATTCACAGCAGAATGCCTCACCTTCGCGATGTAAGTTGCCATTACTACGATTTTTTTTCTTTTTTCGCCGTTGGCAAAGTAGTTCGAGTGGCTTTGGTGCAGCGAACTAACTCTTTTTTTCTGGCCTGACAATATGATTAACCATAGAATGGTGGCCAGGAGGAGATCGAGTTGGACATGGACTCGTTGGACCCCAAAACCCTCTACAAGCTGTACGAGTACGTCAAGAAGACTACCGCTCCTAAGCGCAAGAAGCCTGCTCCCAAGAAGGTCAAGGTCCAATACTCTGAGGCAGACGCCACTAAAAAGATCACCGAGCTCGAGAGGACGCTCCAGAAATTTGAGCACCCTGCTCCACATGTCAAGGGTAAGTTTCGATCATCTGCATGTTGAATTGCGCCTCTTCTTTTTGTGTTCAATCGTTACATGCCTGCTGATATGAACCCTGAACCCTGTTTGCTAACCTATGTCTTGTATTCGTCTTGCCTCTATACGCATACTTATATTAGGATCTCAAGCTGGTGTCAATGACGGGTACTCGTCCAGCTCAAGCGGAAGCAGCTCTTCCGGCTCTGACAGCGACTCTGGCAGTAGTAGCGATTGAACGGAGCGTCGCCAGGAAATCACTGTAAAAACATAATAACTTGTTTCCTTTTTTTTGCATCCCAAGCAGTGTCATCCCCTATGGTTGTTGCATGTACTTGTATAGTAATCCTTTTTTTTTTCGTTTTTTCTTCTTTGCTTGCGTTTGTTCAGTTTTCGTTTTCTTTCATTTTCCACTTTTCAGTCTTTGTCTTGCTGTCCATTTTTTTCCTTTTGCTTGGGTCGACAAAGACCTCACACAACCACATCGTCCTTTAGAAACAGTTTGCATTTCACACATTTTACACACTCACAGACAGACACCACACACACTCATACCTCACGACCAATCCTCACTTTTTTTTCTTTTCTTTTTTTTCACCTTTTTTTTTCTAGCTTTTTTTTCTTTTCTTTTTCCTATGCAGTTGCAAACTCTGAATAAAATGGATATCATAGGAAGATCTTTGGGTGCGTATCTCTACGAGGGCCTTTTCCGGTGGTTGCCGATTTTGTGGTGAGACTTCCGGGCTTTAAGGGGTTCCAAGATGACAAATGAACCTATTTTTCGGAGTCATTTTTGTGCGCAGGTCGTTCTCTATTCTTTATCTTTCTTTCTTTCACAACCATCACAACCACACATCACCATGTCACCCCCAGTAGCAGCAACACCCGAGAATGCACCAGAGCACTGTCCAGTATGAACCCTTTATTCCTCCTCGACATTCTTGTTACTCACCTTCTCTTGTGCCATCCCCTCGACAGCTTGCATTTACACTACGAGCGCTCATTGCTTGTGCTTGTCCAAAAGACTGACACTGAGTTTCTTTTTGCATTCATTTTTTTTTGTTAGGGAACGGAGAGTGAACAGGCCGGAAAGGCCAATGCTTGTGATGGCTGCCCTAACCAAAATGTCTGCGCCACAGCCCCCAAAGGCCCCGACCCAGGTATGATTCTTATTCTAAGGTTTTTGTTGATTAAATACTACAACCAAGAGCTTACCCCACCCCATACTCATATTTGTCACACCCGCTACAACCCATTTAGATCTGCCGTTGATCAACGGCCGCATGGGAACCGTTAAGCACAAGATCCTAGTCCTCTCAGGAAAGGGCGGCGTCGGCAAATCCTCCTTCACCACCCAACTATCCTTTGCCCTCTCGCACGATGAAGAGACCCAAGTCGGCGTGATGGATATTGATATCTGTGGACCATCCATCCCAAAGATGTTTGGTCTTGACGGCGAACAAATCCATCAGTCGAACTCGGGGTGGTCCCCCGTTTATGTGACCGATAACTTGGGCGTCATGTCGATTGGGTTTATTCTTCAGGAGGCCGACGATGCGATTATTTGGAGAGGCCCCAAGAAGAATGGGTTGATTAAACAGTTCTTGAAGGATGTCGATTGGGGCGATTTGGATTACCTGGTCGTCGATACCCCGCCCGGTACGTCGGATGAGCACTTATCGGTGGTGCAGTATTTGAAAGAGTCTGGGATTACTGGAGCGATTCTGATTACGACGCCTCAGGAAGTTGCTCTGCAGGATGTCAGGAAGGAGATTGATTTCTGTAGAAAGGTCAAGATCCCGATTATTGGAGTTGTTGAGAATATGGCGGGCTTCGTTTGCCCGAGCTGTAAGGGCGAGAGTGTGATCTTTGCGCCTACTACGGGAGGAGCCAGGAAGATGGCGGAGGATACTAATGTGAGGTTCTTGGGTAGTATTCCTCTTGATCCTCGTATCGGTAAGTGTTCTTAATATATTTTTTTTGTGTTTGTCGTGAGAGGGCAGAACGGAGGAGCAACTGTGATGAGTCGTGTGACTAACCTGCAGCAATATTTTATCTCGGTTGTGAACGAATATAGGCATGTCGTGCGACCAAGGTCTGTCGTTCTTGGAGGAATACCCCGACTCGCCCGCCACCAAGGCATACGAAAACATCATCACAGGTATAGTACACTAACCACATTCAAAAGCGCAGCTTTGCTAATTCGCTTCCGGGGAGTCTCTAATCTGTCGTCGAAAAAGAAACTAATATCATCTTAATTATTTCCTTCCGCACTTGGTCATTCCAACCTACAGAAATCAAGAAGCTGTTGCCCTAGGACTCCCCTTGATACCCTTGCGCCGGGTGTAGACTTATGTACCATATCATGAAACAACACAATAAAAAGAAAAATCCAACAAGTATTACAAAACATATTTTTATTATTGAGAAAACGTAACCTAATGCTGGGTCTCTAAACGTGTCAAAAAAAAGAGGGGTGGTTGAACGGTTCTGTGCTCCGCCCTCCGTTGTCTATTCATCGCGCTCGCCGCCACGACCCTCACGTCTGGACATGGTTTGAAGTCCATGTGTCTCGCCGCCATTGATGCCCGACTCGATATCATCGTTGTCCAAGTCGTCTTCGTCGATCAGTGTGTAAGGGTTGTTGGCGTAAGGTCTAAACTTCCATCTGTATGTTCATTGAACGGAATCAAAAATAATGAGTACAAGAGCATACCGCAATGACCAGCGGTCTGTTACACAGGGAGTTGAAACTTACCCGATGGTGGCATAGAAACCAAGGGTGATGGCTTCGTTTAAGAGCTCAACCAACCAATTCACATATTGGAAGGGAAGTGCGACCTTCATGAACTGGACCAAGATCCTGGTCAAGTAGATGTAGGTCACCGTCACCAAGTAGAAGGAACCCCACAGCTTGTACTTGCTCTTGTTCTCCGCCACTATGTTGAAAGGATTATGCAAAGTATGAAGTGTTAATACCTGACTTAGGACGAAAGCGACATCCCAGAATTGCTGATTTATGATATTGCCTGTACCTTTGCCCTCGGCTTCTGCAGCCTCGCTCAAGTGTCGCTGTGTCTGGACAATAACTCCCAAGATGACAATACAACTGATGAGGTCAACCAAAGGGAAGACTTGAGACTATTAAGATTATCGAAAGAGCAACAACAATAGGTTAGTTCGATGAACAACATATGAGAGCGCTATAATATAAAGGTGGCACCAGCGCTTGGGTCGCTTACCCAGAAAGCCCAGTTGATTGATCCAATAGCTGTCTCATTCTCGATAGTAGAGGCAACATTGGAGATGATCTGAAGAGGAATGATGATGAGAATGATCTTCTTGTCCTTTTGCGACAAGAATGGCTTGATGCTAGTTTGTAAACAGACATGAACAAGTCCGTTAGTATGCATTCGCCATTAACCAATTGCAAATTACCCAGTAGCAAAACGGTCAACTTACAACATCCATCCAGAGGCGATCAAAGTGATAATAAGAATGCTCAACGATCCCTTGAGGCTATAGTTAAATTACACGGAACAATGAACGAGATTAGTATAGGACCCATATCCTTGAAATACTCCGCATGTGTTCCATGTTCCCGACAAGAACTTACAAGGCGAAAATGTAGTACATGACGGTCCATCCCTCGGCATCAACTCCCGTCCTCATGTAGCTGATTTTGATCTATGTAGCCACGATGGATATTAGTACGCATTGTCACGATCATCAAAGATAACTTGGGATTCCGGATGCGACCGTCTTTGGAATTAGTGGGCGTCCTTACCGCTTGAAACGTTTTTTGGATTCCAATCATCATAGCTAGGACAAGGCTACGGATGGCAATGTTGAGTGTGAATGAGGGTTGAATTAGTTGCTGCAAGACATTGCTTTTGTCGTGACAGATATCCAGCAAAATTAGAAAATCATTGGTTCCGCGCGAACTTACATCAACTTGTGAGGCCAAAAGACCTTGGTGTCCTTCTTCAGTAACATGTATGCCCAAAGAGCACTCGCCACAAAATACGCCAGCGCAGCTCCCCCGTAGACCTTTGGCAAAGGAACGTCTCCTGCACTCAAATAGTTGTTTCCTGGGTTGATCTCTGTTGTCTTCAACTAAACATTGGAATGTAGAAATGGGGTCGTAATTAATGCCTGTTTGTTGTCTCCAATGAGACAAACCTCAAAATCAACCGTGCACGCATCACCATGATAGTTAGGGGTACCTTGAAGGAAACCAGACTCCGCGGGCAGTTGAGGAACAACATATTCCACATCTCCTCCTCTCCTTTGATAACGTCATGGTGATATTCGAATCTAGAAAAAAAGGAAAAGAGGTACGTACCAACAGTGTTAGCTTCGAGGAGAAGTGGCATTCAACTTACAATTGATGATAGCCTCACCCTGAGAGCTCAAGTGAAAGAACAGATGAACATACGTCGTCTTTGTGGGGTCGAGCGGAAGGAACTCGCTTCTTCCTTGCTCGATTTCCTCCTTGATGACAGAGTCGTCCAAGAGACATCCCTCTTCCCAGTCCATGGCATCGGCTTCCGTTGGACCTTTCAGGATAAGGAATCCAATGCGCGTCTCCTCGCCATCGTCTCCTTTGTATTTTGTAATCTATATGTCATTGAAATGGTTAACGATACGTATTTGCGTTAGTGAAGCCATCGTGGATAGTAAACAGCTCGTGCAGAGTGAACACGATCTTTTGCCAAGCTTTTTTTATTTTTTTGGTGGGTCGTCCCTGAACGGTGCGAAGTCCAAGGCGTGACAACTAAGATCCCGCCACGTCGTTATCCAGTCGATGTCTCTCGCTTGGAAATAAAAACAGCCATTTTGTTGTACCTCGAGGCCTTGAAGGTTCATATCGAGAGTGGCACCAGAGAGGAAACCAAAGGAACCAATGTCAACGATCTTGCGCTGGTCGTTGGATAGGACCAATTCTGGGCGGGCATAGGACACTGCTGCGAGGGCTGTGGCCACCAAAAGGGATGAGGCGGTCTTGAGTCTCATCCTGATGGTGTAGGTCTGCTGCTGCTGTTCCTGTGAGAGGGAGTCGAGTTGAGTGGTGTTGAAGGAAGGAAGTAAAAAGAGAAGGTGGTGAAGAAAGAGGAGTATGTCGGATGAGAGGTGTGTGGAAAAGAAGGAAACGTAATGAAGAAAAAAGGTGAGCAAACAGGTGCGCACCAACAAAATATGTGCTTGCACCCTCTCTGTGCATGCCCTATCTGTGACCGCGATAACTCTTTTCTTGTAGCCAAAAAAAAACCAAGAAGTCCCAAAAGCGCTGATCAGTTTCGCTCACTCGCTTCGTCCTGTTGCTCCGCCCGCCCGGATCAGAAATTCATTCAATGGCAACATCTATGCTCTGGCGATCGACTTTCGTCCGTGCTGTCCCATGGAGGGCATGCACTCGCATCACTACCACCCGCGTCACTGTCGCAGCGCCTCTCAGAATGGCCAGGTTTTATTCTCAGGACCCTTCTTCGGGGATTCACAAACCACCAGGCCAGACTCTGGCACAACAGGGCCAGGAGCGGACAGCAGCAGCAGCAGCTACTACAGCGGCAGGAAGTGAGCCATTGGTTACCTCCGAGTCAACAGGAGCTCCCGATGAAGCAGCTGCCGCACCGGAGGTCAACTACCCACCCAAGGAGGAACTCACGCCTCTGGCTAAGCACATTAGGGATTCTATCAAGGTACAGATCCTCCGTACATTTGTCATCGATCTTCAGACGATGATTAATTAGACACGGTTACTAAAACAAACGTTTCCTCTGTTTGCTGTAGATCCAAGGTCCCATGTCCGTTGCGCACTTTATGCGCCAGGTCCTCGTCAACCCACTCAGCGGATACTACATGAAGGGAGATGTCTTTGGAACCCAAGGAGATTTCATCACGTCCCCCGAGATCAGTCAAATGTTTGGCGAGGTATATTGCATCGGGGTTGGCAAACCAGCAAAAGATTGTTCGACTGCACACACAAGGGCACAGGGCTGACCTCTTCCATTTACGTTTATTGTGTGTATCTGGAATTAGCTTTTGGGAATTTGGTTCCTTGTTCAGTGGCAAAACATCGGCAAGCCCTCGCGGGTACAGATCGTCGAACTGGGTCCAGGTCGAGGAACCCTGATGTTGGATATGTTGCGGGTACGTGAAGCTCCTTTCAGACAACTCTTCTTTCTCCATACCATGATATCCACACCTGCAAGCCTAACACGCTCTAGATACAATTCGCATTTGTAGGCAGCATCCAGGTTCAAGGAGTTCAGGAAGGCGATCTCAGGAGTCCACCTTGTTGAGGCCAGTCCAGGGTTGAGAAAGATGCAAAGACAGACTCTTTGCGGAATCCCACTCTCGGAGGAACAGGTCGGAGGAGGGAGCAGAGAGGGTATCACGGCTGCCATGCGTCCAGATGGCCTTCAGATCTCCTGGCATGATGTGTTTGACGATCTCCCTGGTATGTGAACCCAGATCAGTCACACTGTCAGTTTCTGTCAGGCATTTAACATACAAAAGCGCTTCAAAACTGACCCAGCAATGGTACAATTTTCCTTGGTCCTATTAGATGAATGCTCGTTGATTGTCGCACACGAATTCTTTGACGCCCTGCCCATCTACAAATTCGAAAAGACGGACGAAGGCTGGCGCGAGTTGGTCGTCGATCTCGAAGAAGACCCCGCAAGCACCTACCACTTCCGCTTCGTCCTTGCCCCAGGTCCCACACAGGCTTCCAGAGCCTTTGCAGAACACGCAGCCTATGAGCACTTCAAGACTGGAGACAGGATCGAGATCTCGCCGGACTCGTTCAGGGTTTCCCATGATATGGCTAAACATATGAGCAAGAATGGCGGATCGGCGTTGATTGTTGATTATGGAAAGGATTATATCCAAGGCGACACCTTGCGCGTACGTTTTTTTCAGGGACTCTTTTCTACTGTGTTCTTTTTTTCATGAGCGTGGGGCAAGAGCAAATGCGCTAACATAGTGAACAAAAAACTTGCGTTTGGAATAATAGGGTATTCACAAGCACAAGTTCACACACGTGTTGACAGAACCCGGAAAGGTCGATCTTAGTGCCGACGTCGACTTCAATTATCTCAAGCAAGCGACTGAGGAACTAGTCAACTGCCACGGTTCTATCACACAAGCGCACTTGTTGCACTCTCTCGGAATTGGTGCGCGTCTGGACATGCTGCTCGCAAAGGCATCCGCCCACCGTCGCGAGGGTCTGATCAGCTCGTACCACAGACTGGTCGACCCCAAGGAGATGGGTAACGTCTACAGAGTCATGGCGATGACCCCTCTTGGGTCTCCTACCCCTATCGCTTTTGAGCCCCAGGCACCTCCACCTCAATCCCCTCCCCCTACTTCATCCAAGCTGTAATAAAACAACACTGCATGTGCATTTTCATATTATTTGTGTTAATCATTGTTGTGTTCTAAAAGGTGTGTGTGCAAATGAGAGATATTGTAAAAAGGAACAGACTACGGAAGCAAAAAGAAAGAGTGGAATAAAGCAATGTGTCGCAATGCATCTTTACCATAGTCTAACCAACCCTCAAGTAAGTCAAGATGTCAACGATGAACGCCGACATCTTTGGGAACTCACCCATGATCCTGGCCAGACTCTCCTCATATGGCAAGAACAGCTTCTGGTTCCGCTTCTGTCGTGACAGGTTCCTCAGCACAAATACCGCCGTCAATGGAATACCTGCCAGGTCCCGGTTGGGCAGCTCCAGTACATTAGGGCGGACATCAAACCACCGTGGTCGGTTCGAGAAGGGTTTGACAGATGGCGTGAGGGGGAAATGGGTTTTGAGATGTTTGATCACTTGTTGGCGGTCGTGTGTTGGGGTGGTGAAGCGTCGGCAGCTGAGCCATTGGCAATTATAGAGACCCATGCCGGGGGAGATGTGTTCCTGAACAGCGTGCTTGAAGAGTTCTGCCTCAGTGGCGACAACAGTCTGACATCCCATCCATCTGCAGAGTATCCTGTCCTCAGCTTCCAAAAAAAGAAAATGTGTAAAGACAACCAACACATGTCAGTCAAAAGGAATAGTAGTAAAGAATCTGGTTTGCTTCGATCATTCTGGTACACGCAGAAGCATTGTGACAGCGCAACTGCTTACCTCCGCTAAAGTCCATCCAGTGCTTCTTGGCGATGCCACGGATCACTTGGACTGGGGGCATTCCCTCGGGACCCTGTACAAAGCTGGTCTCCATCTTTGGGAATCCAACACGAGACACTGTCACTAAATCCGCAGATCGAAGCATGGGTCCGTGAGCTGCAAACTTTGTCTGGTACAGCTTGAAGAGATCCGCCTCATAGATGTATGCCTGAGGGTTACTCTCAAAGTTGGACTGGAGCCTAAATTATCACAACGTATGTAAGGAATTGAAAAATCTGTAAGTAAAATGAATCCAGTTGTAATGTCATCGGCCGCCGGCAACAGTAGCAAACGTCCGAAAACACCCACCAGTGAAGAGCGCGATATGGTTCGTGAAGAATTTGTTGCGCGGGGTCGACTGTGACGGGTGCTGGCACAGACTTGGGACTGCCCCATGACAAGAATCGGACAAGGATCGACACGATGTTTCCTGGAAAGCTCTTGGCGATTTGGACCGCCGCATCTCCGTGGAAGCTTGAGAACTGGTAGAGGTAGTCGAGAGTAGCGCCGATCAACTCATCGTCCTGGATCAACAGCAACTGAGATATCCTCTCGATAATGTCCGGATCAATATCGCTCAGGATCTTCTCGTTGTGCTCATTTGCGGCCAGTCGGGTCAGAGCACGGAGACTTCCCAAGATCAACGCCTTGTCGCTGGTGTGAAGCAATTTGTGAAGCTCCCGAAGATACACGTCGAATTTGGATCGCAACGTGATATGGATACTCAAGCACTCCAGGGTGTCCAGACTGTAAATTCGGAGTTCGTTGAGCTGTGTTGAAGATGGCATCGAGAGGCCCTGTTGGAGCATCTTCCTGAATCCAGAGTGCTCGGTAAGAATGCCGATGTTTTGGTCGAGGAACGAGAGGTTGCGCAGGATGTGGAACACCTGAAGGACACGCTCCAAGTTGTGGGTCTCGTTCATGTTCAAGACATCGTCGTCCATGAGCTCGTCGATATTCTTTGGCTCCAGTGTTGCCCACCACTCGAAAAACGGTTGAGCGAACGAAAGAAGCTCGTTCAGCAGTCCTGGAATCATGTTCAACGAAAACTCGTTCCATTCGAACGACAATGAGATAAGCCTGCCAAATGCCCAGTCAATCTCGTTGGGAAGCTCTGACTTGAGCGACAAAAGAATCCTGTTCTGATGACCGCCCTCGATGTAGTAGCCTTCGTAAAAGTTGGATGGTCTCACAACCGCGGCGACGGGTGCTGCTGTTGGTGGGGCCTGTGGTGCCTGGGGCATGGGTTGTGGGACAGGCTGCTGGGGAATTGGGTGCTGCTGCTGTGCCTGCTGTGCCTGCTGCTGTGCTTGTTGTTGTGCTGCTGCCTGTTGTGCCTGTTGCTGTTGAAGTTGCAGTTTCATCTGCTGGGTCATGTAGGGTCCACGTCTGGTGGTGGGTGCTTGCGAAGCTAAAAACATTTATGTGAGTAGTGGAGGAAGAGGAAGAAAGAAAAGAGTTAAAATTCTGTCCGCCTTGCCCCAAGCCTTCTCATATTAAGTATGCAAATAAAGGCTTGACTAGATCAGACATATATACCTTCCCGGGATCGAGTGATGTTGGATTCCTGCGTCTCAAACTTGTTGACGGGCACTTCCTTGCCAAAGAAATCCTCCTGTTCAAACAGCTCCAGATTCTTGACATACACACTCTTCATCACATAGGCACTATTGGTGCACGTCGGTGGGAAGTTGAAAGGCAAGGTGATCCTCTTCCATCCACGTTCAGAAGTAACCTGTTTCATGGAAAATCAAAAAACAACCCCCCCTCAGGTTAGTGGCAATACTATTATTTGGGCGCGGCTTTGTTTCAAACAAACAAACGAACAAACGATCAGTTTGTCACACACTCACCTTTTCACATCCACCATGAGCCGTGACAAGTTTGTAGACCTTGAGGAGATCAAGGCGCTGTGAACCTAGGACTGGCTCTCGATTGAGGATCGTTCTGTTTGTTGGAGTTTTGTAAGGTTGGGAATGTACAAAAATTCTTTGTGTTAGTCCCCCTGCAGACTTGACTTCAGTAGTAATTCTCAGGTCCTCCTCTCCGAGATGTCAGAGAAAGAGTGAGAGAGTGTGTGTGTATGTGGTAGAGAGAAAGAAGAGTAGTCGATTTACCCGTGCTTGTGATGGAATGCCTCCAACCGAGCCATGAACCGATTGTACTCATCCGTGTATTCGATGGTTCCTTCCCGACGCATGTCTGTATCGTTGTTAACTGCTCCTGTAGTAGTGTGTGTAGGTCTCCTATGAGTTGTTGGTTTTGAAATAAAACGTGGGTAGAGTATGGATGTAAGGAAGGCGATACAAGTGTTGCAACCACAGGGAAACTGCACGCGCTTTTTTTTAGTAAGGAAAGGCCCCTCAAATAAGGGAAGGTAGGAAAAGGGGCGCCAAAATAACGTCACCGAAGCTAAGTAAAACGCACACCCTTCACTTACCTCTCTCTACTAAAAGGATAGACTCGACCGTCTTTGCATCCTCTCACAACGACGACCCACTTGCCACCATGTCGAACCCCATGCCACCACCAGAGTTCAAGCCTCCAGCTGAGAAGCCAGCTGAGAAGGCAGGAGGGTAAGAAAGGATACTTACGTATGGGAACGAGTTATATCTGTACTTCGCAGCAAACTAACGTCTTGTTATCTTGAACACCAATAGAATGAACCAAGATGACTTCAGGAAGATGCTATCGACACCACGAGCGGCTCCAGGAGGACAGACAGGGATCAAGGGAACGTTTTCAGGAGGCGGCATGAGAGCTCTTGGCATGGCGAACAGGACAGCCCGTGCCCCAGTACCCCAGACACCACGATCATCTGATGGGGGTTCGAACAAGTACAAGCACAAGAAACCCTCGCAAAAGAACCCAAACAAGGAAGCCTCGTCAGCAACATCAAAGTATAGAGACAGAGCAACAGAGCGTCGGCAGGGCGTCAACCCCGATTATGTGGAGACGGAACAAATCCTTACGACTCTGGAGGAGGCTGCGGCTGATGTAGCTCCGGAGGTCATCTATGAGCAGTCCAAGTTCCTAGGAGGAGACAGGGAGCACACGCATTTGGTCAAGGGCCTGGATTATGCGCTGCTGAAGAAGGTCAGACAGGAGGACATAGATGATACCCCCGAGGCCGACTTGGACGAGGTCTTTGAGGCGGTGGAGAAGTCAGCAGGGAAAGCCGAGGCAAGCACGACTGAGCAGCTGCCAGAGGAAAGGCCCGTGATGAGTAGCGCACTCGCAAGCAACATCTACAAGTACGCGATCGAGGATTTAGGCAGGAAACCCCCCAAGGTCAACGATATGTTTATACCGGGGCGGACAGTGTTCATTTTTGAGGTGCCCATCACCAAGAAGAGCAAGAAGTCCAAGGACGGAGTGGTCGAGGACAACAACCCCTTCGTGGCCCCAACAACAGTGGTCAGGAGCAAAGCTGATGTCGATCTGCACCAGGCCGGTGTGGTGGAGAACCCAGAAGCAGATATGGTGATGAAAAAGGTCATGCACGTCTTGACTGCGATCCGTACGGGCGAGCGTAAGGTCGGGGACAGTGAAGCCGAGCTCAAGGCGAAGCGGAAGGCTTCTGCTGCCGCTGCTGCCAAGGCGGCCGCACAAAGGCTACAGGACGAGGAGATCTTACCTATGGTGGAGCCGGATGTCGATGGTGAGGACATCTTTGCAGATGTGGGTCGGGACTACGTTCTGGAGCCTACTTATGGCGATGAGACGTCAGCACCACAAAGCGCCATGGATGTTGATGGCGACGATCAAGGACCGATGGTTGGACCCTCCAGGCCGGACGACGTTGACATGAGCCACTACTTTGGCGAGGAGAGCGACGACGATGAGGCTGCAGGGGATGCGGAGGACGCGGAAGCATATGCCCAGGGAGGTGTTTCAGTGGAGGATGCGCCGGAATTGGGACCAGCAAGACCTACTGAGATGGACATGTCGAACTACTTTGACGATGACAGTGATGAGGAAGACAGTGGTGGCAATGAAGGCGGTGAGGTAGAGGAAGTCTCAGCAAGTACGCACAACGAATCTGGAGAGGTGCTTCCATCCAAGTATGCACCTCCTACAGCACCAGAGTACACGACACCGCTCAACGAGAAGGCATTGTCCGGCCGGAAACCAAGGTTGGATGATCTGGAGGTGGATGAGGACGCCGACTATTACTCTGCATACGGCCTTGGTATGGGTGGGCGAAGCTACACAGGAACTGCATACGACTCGGACGATGAGGAGGATGAGGGACAATCGACTATCTTGATCGACAAGGGCACACACAAGAACAAACGGGCTCAATTGGGCCGGTTTGACTTTGATACCGAGGAGGGCTTTAATCGGTACAAGGATACGGTTGAGGTGATTCCCAAGACGTCATTCCAGTACGGTGTCAAGATGAGCGAGGGCCGAAAGACTGGTTCCTGGGATGACGGAAAGGGCAAGGGTCTTAGTAAGGACGAGAAGCTCGATCGCGATTGGCAGCGGATTAGTCGTCTTATGGAAAAAAATAACGGCGCTAGCGGCGGCGGCAACCAAAAGTCCAGGTCACGGCCAGACGACGGTTCCTCCGGCGGCGGCGGTGGTGGAGGCGATAACCGAAGCAAACGCCGCAAGAACCGGTGATAGCCCTTTTTCAAACTAGCCCTTTCTTTATTTGTGGGTTAAGGCCGACGAGGGCATGATCCGAGCATGATCCGAACATGAGATCTATGCACGGAATATCAAGAATGTATCATAGCGCATTTAAAAATACATGTGTATGCGCTTGTCTTTGTAATTGTGGGTTATTATTGGCAAGGATGGCAAATGAAAATGATACTGTGTGGCACATGCAGGCCCCTTGGCCACCACATGTAATTTTACGCCGATGCCGATGCCAATGCATGTGTTCGGAAGAGGAGGATTGTGTCTCTCTAATTAAGCGTTGATGACTGACGGGAATGAGAGCGATAGGGAAAGGCGGCATAAAAGACAAAGGGACAAAGGGACAAAGAAGGGACGGTCGGACCCGAGCTGACGGCGCCTGGGATTCAGATGCATAACTGTCACAAGAAAAGATGGGTTGTCCCAGAAAGGCAAGAGCCGGCTGAAGTATGTGTGAGTGAGCGGCTGTAAATAAGACGCGTCTCAGAGATTTACTGAGCGCAATGTGGGTGTAAAAGGCGTGTGCCAAATCGAGAAGGTTAAGGCTGGAAGGTCGTCGTCATGCTGGAAAGAAGGAAAGAAGGAAAAGAAGAAAAACAAATGTTTGGTGCTCGGAGAGGGGGGGTCGGATACACGATCCAATGATGTAGCCATGGGCAAGTGCATGACATCGGGATAAGGACACAAGCAGACAGAGAGACCGAGAGACAAGTCAGAGCATCCAGAATACCCAGAACAAGTAGAAATAGACCCGCCTTTCCCTTCTCTTTTCCTCTCTCTCTCTCTCTCTCTCTTTCTTTTCTTCTTTTTTCTTCACACTCGTCTACCCTACCACTCACCCAACAAAAAAAATCCTTTCACCCTCTCCATTCTCATTCCACTCCTCTCACCCTCCCTCCTCTTTTCACCCCTCACCTCTCCATCACTCTCACTCTCACATTCATTCATTCACTCATTCATAGCCCTCTAATAACAATACCAATTATGGAAGACTCAACAATCGCACTGGACCATATCGCCAATCTGATCCTGACAGCACCCTCAAGAGAGCTCTATCATGCCTCCATCGCCTGGTTCGAGAAGCTTGGCTTCAAGTCGATCATGACCGAGTCCTCGGTCGAGACAACTGCCACCTGGATGCAGCTCTTTTCGTCTTCAGCTTCGATTCACGATACATCCTTGAAGATTGTCTACGCGTCGTCGGGAGCCAAGAAGCTGCCCATATCTGCAAAGATGGACTGGCGTAGCATGCCTGCCGTTGCTACCATCACCACTAATACTTTGAAGGTAATGATGACTGTATGATCAATATGCATGCATGTGGATAGATACTGCAAAGAGAGAAGGGTTTTTGTATACACCGTGGGAGGATTTTTCTTGGTTATTGATTTATTTTTGTTGTGGTGGATGCTTTATGGATTTGATGATACTGTGGTGTTGACAATGATGAGGAGGACAGCTAGGTTGTTGTAGTGTCGAGAAAGATGATCTAATCCGTGGCTGTTACCCAGAGGAGGGTGAACACAAAAGAAAGTTGGTTATCAGCGTGGCATCCACGGTCAGTTTGAACCTTGAGGGGTGTTGTTGATCTACCTTCTTTCCCTTTATCATTCTCCACGCGCGTGGAGAAGGAAGGGACTGCGTTTGGACGATGATAATGATGATGATGGGATTGATGGGGGATGATATCCAAAAGAGAGTGATATGTATAAAAAACAGGCTCAACGGAGTTTGCCTTATCTCTCGGTGTTCTGAGGGTATTTGATCATGGCTGATAATGGACCCAATGTCACTGAGACAGACAGACAGACACACAGAAGAAGCAAAACAAACAAACAGAACAGACATAAACAATATGTATTCTATTCTCCGGTGACACTCCTTTTTTTTTTTTTTTTTTTTTTTGGCTGTCTCTCGTTGTATTGCACACACACTCCATGCTAACAGATCGCCTTTCCTTTATTGATATCGATCTAGGCCATTGAGACCCTCTTCGCCAGTCTGCCCTGGTCTTATCAGCGCTATTCCGTCCCCTCAAAGAACGGATCCGGCAATGGCGACTTCTCCGCCATCTACACCCATGATCCCATGAACAACCTCTTGATCTTCACCGACAAGCCCAACCCCTTCGAGGCTCCCAAACGCCAAAACCAACACGCCCACGACCATGAAGATGCTTCTTCTGAACCCGCAATGGCTTCCATCACACGGTCCGCCACCACCTCAAAGAGACGCAAGATCGCCATCCTCACCTCTGGAGGAGACGCTCCCGGCATGAACGCCGCCGTCCGTGGAGTTGTTAGAGCTGCCATCACCCGAGGATGCGATGCTTATGCCGTCCATGAGGGTTACCAAGGTTAGTCCTCCCACCGTGAATTTTTTTCTTATCTTGTCGTTGTGCTTTTCTCTGCGTCATTTCAGAGGGAAAACTCAACTGAGGGATAGAAAGAAAATAGAAAAGAAAGCAACACAACCAAGTCTTCGATTGTGGGAAAAGAATGAAAACAAAAAGAACGAAAAAGAAAGGAAGGGATTACTCACCAAAAAAAAAAAAAATGTTACTTCGTATCTAACAATCTTGTATAGGGCTTGTCGATGGTGGCGATATGATTAAAAAGATGGGCTGGGACGATGTCCAGGGATACCTCAGCACAGGTGGTACCGTTATCGGAACCGCTCGTTGCAAGGCTTTCCGCGAACGCCCCGGTCGTCTTTTGGCCGCCAGAAACTTGGTCAGGGAGGGAATCGACGCCCTTGTTGTCTGCGGAGGAGATGGTTCCTTGACCGGTGCTGATCTCTTCCGTTCCGAATGGCCCAGCCTGTTGGAGGAGCTCGTCAAGACCAACGAGTTGACTTCCGAAGAAGCCGAGAAGTACGCTCACCTCAACATTGTGGGACTCGTTGGATCCATTGATAATGATATGTCTTCGACCGACATCACCATCGGCGCCGTTACTTGTCTCCACCGTATCTGCGAAAGCATCGACTCCATCTCCAGCACTGCCTCCAGTCACTCTCGCGCGTTTGTCGTTGAGGTCATGGGACGCCACTGCGGTTGGCTTGCCTTGATGGCTGGTATCGCTACTGGAGCCGACTTTATCTTCATCCCCGAACGTCCCCCATCTGGCGAGAACTGGCGCGATAACATGTGTGCCGAAATCAAGGCTCACCGTGACTTGGGCAAGCGCAAGACCATCGTTATCGTTTGCGAGGGCGCCATCGACAGCAACCTCAATCCCATCACCTCCAAGGACATGATGGATCTCTTGACCGACCGTCTCCACTTGGACACCCGTATGACCATTCTCGGACACGTCCAGCGTGGAGGCAAGCCCTGCGCCTTTGACCGAAACCTCGCCACTATGCAGGGAGTCGAGGCCGTCGAGGCTGTCTTGGCCAGCAAGCCTGGTATCCCCAGTCCTATGATCGGCATGAACGAGAACAAGATCACTCGCACTGACTTGATGAAGGCCGTCGCTTTGGTAAGTTTACACTTGTTATCAACACACATTGCATCCCAAAGCGAATTTTTACTAGAAGGGCTTATCACTAACGATTTGTTACTTTTTTCTTCAACTTACCCCGCGATTTAGACTGGAGAGGTCGCCAAGGCTATTGGACGCAAGGACTTTATTGGTGCTATGGAGCTTCGTGACCCTGCCTTCAACCAGCAGTTCGACCAGTTCTCGGCCATCTCCACCGCCACCTCTGTCAATGAATCTGCAGAGCCCAATAAGAACTCGCTGCGTATCGGTATCATCAACGTCGGTGCTCCCGCAGGTGGTATGAACGCTGCCGTCCGTGCTGCTGTCCGCTACGCTCGCAACCGTGGACACGTCCCCTTTGGTATCCACAACGGCTTCCCTGGGCTCATGGCTGGTCTTTTCAAGGAGTTGAAGTGGATGGACGTCGATGGATGGATTGCTCACGGAGGAAGTGAGCTCGGTACCAACCGAGACCAACCTTCTCTTGATCTCGGTATGGTTTCCTACCAGCTCCAGAAGTTCAACATCCAGAGTTTGATCTTGGTCGGTGGTTTCGAGGCTTACACTGCCTGTCTCGAGATGAGCAATGCCCGCAACGTATACCCAGCCTTCTGCATGCCCATGGTCCACATCCCCGCCACCATTAGTAACAACGTCCCCGGTACTGAGTTCAGTTTGGGATGCGACACCAGTTTGAACGCCATCATGGATGCCTGCGATGCCATCAAGCAGAGTGCCACCGCCAGCCGAAAGCGCGTCTTTGTCGTCGAGGTCCACGGAGGCAAGTCTGGTTTCTTGGCTGTGATGTCTGGACTCGCCGTCGGTGCTACTTCGGTCTATATCCCCGAGGAGGGCATCAACCTTGCCCGTCTCCAGAAGGATGTTCGTCACTTGTGCCAGCGCTACGGTGAGGATGCCGAGGGCAAGTCTCAGGGTCGTGTCATCATCCGGTCCGAGAGCGCTTCCAAGACCTACTCCACCGACATTGTGTCAGCCATTATCAAGGAGGAGGGTCACCAGCAGTTCGATTCCCGCACCGCCATTCTTGGTCACATTCAGCAGGGCAACTCGCCCTCGCCCTTGGACCGTGTCCGCGCCACCCGCTTTGCCGTTTGCGCGATCGACTTTTTGGAGAGCCATATCGAGCACGATGCCACGAACGGCCCCACTGTCTACACCAAGGACCCCTCGAGCATCGCCGTTGCTGGTATCCAGGGTAGCAAAGTCAGCTTCACCAGCGTTGAAGAGTTGTTGAAGGACACGGATATGAAGAACCGTAAGCCCATCCAAACCTGGTGGATGGACTACAAGCGCACTGGCAACTTGCTTGCACGCCGCATGGACCTTCTTTAAATGAACGAACACACTTTCAAACACAACCTTTGTAAATAGATAAAAATAAAAGAAGTCATAATAATCGTAATTGCTGCAGGCCACCTTTCAAAAGAAAGCCTTGAGTTGGAGAGATGGAAGAAAAGTAATCTTTCCTCCCAACAACGCCAACAAACAACAACAAACACATCAACATGGGCGACGAAGTTGACAAGAAACCCGAGACCGGTGCAGTGGAGCACATCAACCTCAAGGTCGTTGGACAGGTACGCCTTCTCGAACACGTCGTCTTTTCTCTTTACTTCTTGGCAACGCAGGAACAACCTTGACGTTGGCGCCGAAACAAAATGATAAACAAACGACGTGGATGTGCTGTTTGTTGTCTTCACAGTGGATAAAGGGAGGCAGAAAACGAAGTCAGGGAAGGCAAGGCGGTGACACCCAGCAGTTCTAGCACATTCGACAAACGGCGTCAGCATCGTTTAGACTCTTGGCTCTCGGCGTAGAAATTTTCTGGCTTTTGTTATCATTGGGCATGCGCACATACTACAATGTACGCAGAAAAATGGTGGCAAAGGTGCATAACGAGTCAATCGTCAACACCAACCTAACCACCATGTTCTCTTGTTATTTTCATGAAATAGGACCAATCTGAGGTCTTTTTCAAGATCAAGCGTTCGACACAGTTGAAGAAGTTGATGGAGGCATACTGCGAGCGTCAGGGAAAGCACGTCGGAAGTGTCCGTTTCCTCTATGATGGTGAGAGAATCCAGCCCACCAACACCCCCAACGAGGTATGATTGCACTCTAACGTGTTGAATGTCTTTTTTTATGTGCGTGATGTTGCCCATGTATGCAAGGTCTGTGTGCGAATGAAGGGAAAGCACTGATATATTGACTCTTTTCTAACAATTGTGATGGATATAGCTCGAGATGGAGGATGGTGACTCGATTGACGTGATGGTTGAGCAGGTCGGAGGATCCCTGTAAGCGTTTTTTTTTTTCGACTACAACCCGCCAAGTCTCAACATCAACGCCAACAACGAACGCCCACAACAACAATGCCAATACAAAGGATAGCTCCTCTTCTTTTTTTCCCTGCCTTTTACTAAATTCAAATAAATTTGAAAAGAAAAAAACATCAAAGTGGGCACAGCTTCTTTATTTGTTCTTTCAGTCTTTTCACCTCTCGACATTCATTCCATGCCGCAGCCACAGACACAGGAAGTCTACCGCCAGGGTCTTGGTGGTATGGACGCCGTAAGTGGAAACCTCATTCTCACCGATGCCGATCGACCAGGTTGTTAGATTCCATTAACATCCGCAATCCTTATTCTCGCCCCTTTTTGTTCACGCTTTTTGTCATTTTTTGCTTCGTCCCCCCTTTTTGTTTTCTTTTATTAGTGGACCAAACACCAACACTTTATCGAGAACTATGTAAAGTTCTACAACAACGACAAACCATCCTCAACCCAAGAGCCACGCCCTATCACCGAACGAGATATCCTCCACGAGAACCATCGGTAACCATAAACGAGCGAAACAATTACATAAAACTAGAAAGAAAGAAAAAAACCCCCTGCAAACGCGAACGCTTTGTGAGCTATGCAGCTGGGACATTTGAATTGGACTCATGACCTAACCCTTTTGCTATTAATTAACATGCGGATAACCCGTGTTTTAGGTTCCTGAGATCAGAGTCGGACGACCAAGATTTGACATGGGAGAAACGGATTGCCAAGAAGTACTATGATAAGCTGTTCAAGGAGTATGCGTTGGTCGAGCTCAAGTATTATAAAGAAGGGCGGGTTGCGATGCGGTGGCGGAATGAGCAGGAGGTCGTTCGTGGAAAAGGTATGTCAATTTGCCTCATGTCGGCGAACGATAAGATTTTTTTTTTTTTTTTGTCTTCTACTGTACAGCTGAAAATCGAAGCAGAACCACTTACTGAAATGCCCACAATTCTTTCTTGGTCCCTGATGAACATAGGTCAATTCACATGCGGCAACTTGAGGTGCAACGAATCGCAAGGATTGGAGAGCTGGGAAGTCAATTTTGGATACGTCGAGCAAGGAGAAAAGAAGAATGCGCTGGTCAAGATTCGACTATGCGAGAAGTGTTCGTATAGGCTAAATTACAGGTCAACCCACAAGCGCGCCAACTCGAGTCGAGAAGATGAGTCTGTTTCTTCTTCAGCAGCACCAGCAACGGCAACAGTAGCAGCACCAGCGGAGCCATCGAAAAAGACGAGCCAGAGTTCATCGAGAGATAGGGCAGCTGGAGGTGAAGCGTCAGAGTCCTCCCAGCACCACAACAGCCGGTATCACGAATCTTCGACGCGTTCGGAACAGAGGAGCAAGACCCATTCGAGAGAATGGGATCGCGACGACATTATATCAGAGACTTCTCGTAGGGACCATCAAGGATCGTCCAAACGGAGGAAATCAAGTAGCCGCCGAGATGAAGACAAGGCAGACAGCAAGGATCGAGTGACGCAATCTGAGCGATCACGTTCACCTTTGCATCGAGACCACGACAAACAGGACAGCAGGGAGGGTCGGAGTCACGGTCGCAGCAAGAGTGCCGGCGAGAGGGAGCGAAGCAGACGATCTGATGTCGACGACAAAAAACGCGGAGAAAATTACGACCGCGTGAAGGAGACCATTGACTCGGACAAGGTGGTGGACCATGGATCGACTATTGATAAGGGTGGCGACAAGCGTGACAGCAGCAAGAGCGAGGACAACAGGACGAAGCCATCGTCGATTACTGAATTCGACAGATTCTTCAAGGGCCTGTTCGAATAAAAGATTGCGACAGCGGTAGGACCAGGGCAGTCAATTGAATCTCGCTCCTCCCATCCATGTGTTCGTATTGCGCCCTAATGCAAGGAAACATGCATGTTGCAGCATTTGCGACTTTACTACTTTATTACATGCATGGCGTGTAAAGATAGGACAGGGCGCGCACGAACATTGTAAGAGGACTAAAAAAACGGTCTCCTTTTTAGAGAGTTCTCCTCCTTGGGCTCAGAGGGTGAATTCCTTTATTCACTTCACACCTTTCTTCTTGTCACCACCTCAAACCAACAGCTCTTCCTCTTCTCCTTTCGCTCTCCCTTTCCCTTTCTTCACCCATCTGGGACGAACCCCGACCGACGCACAAACGCGCCATTAACATTCCTAGTGTCTGCCCACTGACCCACTGGCGAAAGCAACAAAACTACACCCACCCCTTCTCCCTACTCCGCACTAGCAAGAATGCCCATCTCCGTCAAGGCGACCTTTGCTCAAGACGGCGTCTTCTTTGCAGGAGAAAAGCTCAACTGCACCATCACCTTCACAAACTCATCCCCAACCTCAGTCGGACTCATCTCGGCCATCAACGGAACTAACAGTGGTGCATCAACCCCTACTCGTCAACCCTCTTCCCTCCAACAGAAACTGCAGTTGCACCATGACCAACAGCAGCAGCAACAACAGCAGCAAGAGCAGGAGCATAACGGTCATGGCAACCACAACAACAGCCTGCAGAACTTGGCGGCGTCATCCAGCGCACAGTCCCGGCACGCGTCGAACCAACAGCAACAACCTTCAGGTGCATCACCCACGTCACCATCATCAACACCCTCTACCCTGGCATCGCCCGCTGGGTCTCCTCCCAACCCCAGCAGCAACAACAACAGCCGTCCCTCTGCCTCATTGGCCCAGAACGCCACAGCCCACGCCAACAACGGTTCCGCGGCGCCCGACACCAATCTTAGTACACAGCCTCGTTCAGACGCGCCACAGCAGCGCCCAGGGACGACGGTAAGCAGAGCTCAGAGTCAGACTCGTCTATCATCGGACATTAGCCACATTGATGTATCCTCTCAGCAAGAACTCAATGGCAAGAACCACCAGCAACAGAGCTCCTCTGGAGATCATGATCAGGACGATCAGGAGGAGCAGGAAAAGACTATTGCTGTGCCTGCTTTGTCGGATGACGAGGGAGCTACCCAGTCGCCAGTATCGCCTACTCCTCGGCAAGTTCAGCAGATTGAACAGCAACAGCATCAGGACGAGGGATTGGCGTCGATATCGTCACCAGGTCTTTTAGGTTTGGCCAGTTTTGTGTACCGATCTGCGTCGTTTTCGTCTCTTGCCAATGCATTCGGACTCTCTGGCAGTGAACCTGAAGAGCAGCAGCACCAAGGTCCTTATGGTATGTCAAAGCACACAAATGTTAGCTCCATTCTGATTATTGATGTAACAATACAATTGCACTGACCCTCTTTTGCGATTTGACGATTCTGAAATAGACGAGAAAAAGTTGCCTCCATTACCACCGCCAGATCTTGGCGGTGCAGGAACAAGGACGTACATGCCAGCTTTGCCGCCACTGGAGGTAAAGTCGCCAGAGCTTGAGGAGAAAAAGACGACAAAGGAGTCATTGCACGACGCGTTTGCGGATCAACCACCAGCGGAAAGGAAGGTCGATCCAGAGCAATTGAACCGCTATGGGACACCTATTGGCCTTGACCTGGATTCAAACGGCTCAGGGCACGTCAGGACTGGGACTAACGGGAGTATGAGTGGAATAAGCGAACGCATGATCGAGTTGCAGGTCACCGACAATGCGGACACTCAGTCCATGGCTGATGACTCGGAGTACCAGACACCAAGACCGTCCATGGATGCTTATTCGACTCGATCATCCATGCAGAGCGTTCGGGGGCCTTTCCAGCACCAATATTACCAGGACAGGCCAACACGCCGATCATCGCTCATGTCCAACTACTCGACGCTTTCAAGTCCCAGAGGACTACCAGGTCAAGGATCAAAGAAGGAAGCATTACTTTGGGGCTCGGTGCAGGTGGTGGGGCAGTTCATGGTCGATGGCTCGTTTATCCGACAGCAAGGATTCGAGTCGCTAAAGTCCAAGACTATGTACCGGCCAACTGGAAGCGCAGGTGGAGGAGCCATCGGAGGGGGAACCTTGGGAACTGTCACCTCATCGGACTGGAGGGATCGCGCAAGTGAGTACACCTTATTGTCAGTATTGGCGGTAGTGCTTGGCATCATGCAAGGAAGAGGTCAAATGCAGAACACTTACTTTTTTGACTGACGTCGATTCTCCACAATAGATGCAAACCGACTTTTCCCGGTATTCTCAACGCCTCCTTCGATTCTCTTTGTGGACCTGAACCTTGCCCCTGGGGAGTCTTGTTCCTGTATGTTTGGACACTTTGTGGCTCGCTTCTTGAAGGATACGTCAACAGGCGTGTATTACGGCGAAGGGAGACTATCTAATCATGCACATTCTTACTCCATTAATAGACACGTATCAAATCGAGCTACCATCGGACTTGCCCCCATCGCATCGTGGCAAGACTATTCGGTTTGCGTACAACCTTGTCCTTGGAGTTCAACGTGGAAGTGTTCATACCCCGGCTAAGAGTGTCCAGTTACCCTTCAGGCTTTACAACAACATTTCGGAGCTTGGCACCAGGCCCGTGTATGACATGATGAGTCCAGTCATCTGGCACAAGGACACTGCCATCTCACACCTTGTCGGTCAAGGACGTCAGACCGAAAAGCCCGCCATAAACTCCAGTAGGCCTTCTTTTCTAATGCATTCGCCATTGATTTGTTTCCTACACGCTGTTTTTCTGACAACTGTTCATCTTGCTTTTGTGTAGAGCTGGCAAGGAAACAATTTGAGGACTACGTCGAGGAATTGCTCCAGAGTATTAAACCTGCCAGCGATGAATCTGGTCAATTAAATACGCGAGAGCTGACGCGTCGGGAAAGCGATGCTTACAAGGACGAGGATACTATTCACGCTCAAACCTGCTTGGAGAAGGTTGCTCTCCTTTCTCGCTCCTCAAGCTCAGGTGAGTTGCAGGATCGTTTATGGCGCGTCATACTTTTCGTTGAATCAGTCCGTTGAACTGACCTGATGCGTTCCTTTGAATGATATAGCGAGCTATGATATTTGCAAGAATAACGTCCCAGTTGCAAAGTTGTCGCTGATCAAGACACGGTTCAAACTGGGCGAGACGGTCCATGGAGTGATCTCGTTCTCGAGTCGAGAGATCCCCACATACCAAATCTCGGTTACTCTCGAGACTGTAGAGACGATCGAGCCCAACTTTGCCTGCCGAAGTGCTGCCCAGACAGCCAAGCTGACCAAACGTGTCCATGCAGAGTTGCACGAGTCTTGCATTGACACGATGCGCACGTCCTTTTCTCTCTGTATCCCACCGACTGCCACCCCCGAGTTCAAAACCTCGACCCGTAAGTTTTATGTCTTGGACCTGTTATCTGATTTCACTCTTTCGTTCTGCATTGAACAGGAAACTGATACTCACTCTCTAAATTGATTGACATGTTCATCTAGTGACGCTGAAATGGTACCTGCGTGTGGAGTTCATTACGGGACCCGCGAACCAGCCACGGTTCAAGATGACGAGTGTGGATGAAAGACGATCGCAGTACCATGCGGTCGAGTCGCTTTCGAACGAGAGCTTTGACTGCTCTGTCCCGATCCAAGTTTACCCCACCTCCTATGAGACCGGTGCTCTTTTCCCATCCACCATGTCCTTTAATCTTGCCTAGAGAATTAACAAGCCAAAAATATACAAAACACATTTGCACGTCAAGACTCTTCTTTTGATATCGCGATGAGCACACCTACCGAAAATAAAGAACAAAAGGACCCTGGAAAGTAATTGTAGTGCATTGATTTATTCTATTTGAAAATGGGTGGTAGCTCCCCCACAAAAAAAAATGGTGATAATGGTAGGATCGAAAGGGAGAGGAAAAAAGAAAAAGGGGAGATGTTGTTGGACGGCCTTTTTTGCTTTAAAGAACAGCGGGCTGTGATGATGCAGAGGTGTTGACAACAGGTGCTGAAGGGTCAACCTTCTGGGTCACAGCCTTCACAGCCTCGGTTGCCTCCGTCGACAGTGTCGTACTCCTCTGCTGCTCCATATAATTCGCCATCGACCGCTTCGCCTGCTTCAACTTCAAAGCCTCGACAATCCTGCCCCTCAATTCAACGCCCTTGGCGCCCAAAAGATCATCCCTAGTCTCAAGAAGGTATTTGTCAAGGCCGCCCTTCTTGTCGACGGTACGGATGACGGAGGTGGTCATGTTGAGACGGATCCAGTCGTTGAGGGTCTCGGAGAAGAGGCGCTTTGTTTGAACGTTGGGTAACCAGGTGCGGCGGGTTTTTGTCTTGGAGAAGGGGACGTTGTTACCGAATTGGATTTGCTTGCCTGTGTTTGTTTTTTTTGGTGATAGGAAATGAAGGAGGGGGTTAGGAAGGGGGGTTCAAAATCGGGACTGAGTTCGGTGAAGAGGTAAGGTTGATCTGAGCCGGGGGGCGTAGAAAACGGCTGATCAACAAGTTGAGAATCACAAAGGAAACACTGATCGACTGATCCTCCTTCCTTTGCTTGTTGAACAAAAAATCCCGGACTTGTTTGGCGTTTCCTTGGCAGAGCATATCTCTCTGAGACTTGCTTCTCGTTTCAAGTCCTCCTATCATAGAACACAGGTCCTTGCTTCTCAGCTTTCCCCTCCCCCCTCCCGGCGTGCTTTCTTTTGTGGCGACAGAAAGAAACGAAGTCGGTTCGTGATGTTTTTCTCCATGTCGGTCGCTCGTTGCTCCTGATCCTTTGTCGCTCATCTCTATCCTTGTCCCCGTTCCTGAATATGCTTCCTCCAGGTGAAGCTTGTCGCTGATGTGGTGAATCGGTCGAAGTTGGGTAAAGGATGGAGCATGTACCTCCAAAGAGACCGCGCTGGGCACGCTTGAAAGGTGCCTTGGCCAGCTGGACAATGGACGATGTGCTCGACAACATGGCTGGTAATGTGATGGTTCGTAGGGTAAGGAAAGACGAGCGAGACTCCAAGGCGAAACAACCAACTACGGGGAAATGGGATTTGTTGTTTGCCCCGAGTGACTGCTACTTGATTAAGGGTGCACATGTTTTTTTGGTGGCGTACTTTTTATTTCTACATGGTGTTCCCTCCCTTTGTAAAAAAAAAAACTAGGTCGAAAGGGTCGTGTTCATCCCAAGGAGACAGGCAAAAAGTTGCCTACGATAACCGTCGGGATATTATACCGATCCCTCCGGATCGTAAACGAAAAGCAACAACTAATGACACTCTGACTATCCGGATCCGGGTTCTTCAACAGACAAGACGTCAACACTGCCTTCTGGCCCGCATCAAACGCAATGTTGCCGTACTTTTCCCAATAGTTGACTGCTGACTCTTCCGCCATGAGTTCATAGATGCAGAGACGACCTTCGCGGAGCATTTCGAGGGGCACGTTGACGAGTGCTGCGAATTCCTTGTTGCCCTTGTAGATCTCGCCCGTTCGACGCCAGAGACATGCGGGGATGCCCATTGAACTGAACACTCGGTCGTAGTCCTGTATTTTAGAGGTGAGGATAATTTGAGGTGAGTTGTCACAGTTGAAGTGTCATTCGTTGCGCACAAAAGGGCCCAAAAGGTTTTATCTTACGAGTAGGAGACGCTCAAAGGCTTCTTCGACAAGGACGAGGTCGATATCTGTCAACGATTGGGCAACACTTCTGAATGCCGGACGGAATGTCCCCATCACATTCAAAATTCTCTGTCTACTAATGTTCGACATACTAAGAAGTACAAACAAGAAAATAATATACTCGTCAGTCAATGCAAAATGTCTCCAAGAACGCAGCTCCTCCTTCTTTTTCATATGCAATAAATGAGACTTACTTGGTGTCCATGTACTTTTGCAGGCGAGAGTATCCATTGACATAATTGTACGGCTTCAAGAATCCAGCTTCAAATTTGGCGTTAATGACCTGGGTCAGCCGATCCTCGTTGGTTCCATCGCTCGGATCGGCGGCTGTCAAGAAGAACTTTTCGGTCGTATTGACATTGACGGGCATCCCTTGCTCCGAGAACATGCTCGGCTGTTCGCCTCCTAGACTCTCCAAAAAGTCACTGTCAGCAGTTGAAAGAAACGGTGTCACGTCGATGCGTTAGAAATGAAATAGAGCAAACCTGACATGTATTAGAGGTACTTGTTTTTGCTGAAATCCGTGTAGTTACCTGATGACGGTGAACTCGTTTCCCATGTGCTCACTAGCAAAGGTGAGAGGCGTCACTGGCAAAGTCGACAGTTGGCTGTTATACCCATACATTGACAGGCCACCCATATTGCTCCCACTCTGCAAATGAGGTTGTCCTGTTTGGTTCTGTTGTTGCTGCTGTTGGTTGATACCGTTCTTCTGCACCTGTTGCTGCTGTGAGCCACGTCCTATATGTAGTGAACAAAAAAGGGGGAGAGTCAATGCAAGATTCAGGTCAGCGTCAACCGCCGCGTAGAATCGTCTAAGACGCCGTGGTTGCATTATATGTTCAGTTACACTTACGTTCGCTCTCACTAGAGTTGGCTGAAGCTGCCGCACTTGCCAATTGAGACGGCTTGGGTTCATCATGACAGAGATGCCCGATGTTGCGTTTGACGCACCTCTGACACGGTCTACCTATTTAGACCGGAATGCATACCAAAATAAAAAGTAGGTTACTCTCGAGCCGCCACCCTTTCCTTTCACAAAACTTTATGTAGCAAATTGGCGTAGGTACGCCCAAGAGAGAAAGATCTTGTTTTGTGGTATTCCTGACTGTTGAGACTCACCATCGTCGCATGTCATATGTGACCGGCGGCAATAAACACATGCTAAGCGTTTTTTTTATGTGAAAAGGGGAACACAGAGTAAGAAGGCGAAAACTCTCAATCAGTCATAGAGCGAAATGAGATATAGAGTTGTGAAAACGACTCGATAAGAGAAAGGGCGAACCGCTGGAAGACTTTCGGCTGTTGCCGAATGATACACAAAGATAGCTCTTTCATATGAAATATCATTCTTGCATCAATTGCATATCATGCAAAAAAGAGATAGATTCTGACACAGAAGCATTGCAAGCGCAACAACCAAGTAGATCAGATAGCCCTTGCGAGATCTAAGATGTTGGAAAGGGCTGGCTGTAGCTGTCGCTGTCGCAGGTATCACATTGGGTACAGTACGGTACACCTTAATCCTCCTTCATTTCTTTCTCTCAACATCGATCGCTCTCCACAATTTTTGATCTATAAAATGATCCAGAGTGTGCGGGGAGGGAATGGACGTGTATGACGATAACTGTATCCAGGAACACAATAGTCTTGGTTCCAGATCCGTGTATGAGTGAAATGCATTTCATAATTACCGTGGGTGACTTTGCGACGTTTAGGACCAGCTCGCTTCCTCTTTGCCTCTGCAGCCGCCTCATCTTCCTGTTGTAGCAGCTGTTGCTGTAAGGATGGATCCTGTTGCTGTTGCTGCTGCTGCCGTTGGAGATGGTTGCTGTTACTATTGTTGTTGTTGTCGAAGTTGTTGTTGTTCATGGCTCCTCCTGTGCCGAGGTGGGTGTCGGAGTGGTGCATGGTAATTCCCCGCTTTTCTTTTTCTTTTTTGTTGGGCGAAGTGTGAGAAAGGGTTGGGGATGTGAGGGGTGCTATCGACGGATGGTTTCTTTTGAATAATAGAAGTTGTTGTGGCTGATCTTGTGAGTACGTTATAGCGAGAGGGGTGACTGACTTTCGAGTGGAGACGATGAATGAAATGTGAATGAGAATGTCAAGTGGAATGAGAGACGACGAATGAGAACGAACGGAAAGTATGAGAGTAGAAGGAAGAACGAAGGAAGGAAAGAATGCTGAAGACTGGAGGAGGAGAAAAGGAATAAAGAAATGAAAAGGAAGACGGCCGGAGAAATAGTGCCGACTGGGGAAATAAGAATCAGGGCCAAGATGATCAGATCCACTGACGGACGGGGAATTAGCGCTCCCTTGCAGGTATGTAGGGCTCCAGGGCAAGAAACGAGTCTCGGGGGTTGGCTTGCCCTTTCAATGAAGGTCGGAACGGAAGAAAGCGAATGAGGAGCAAAAAGTAAAGAAGAAAACAATGCTTTCTTTTACTTCTAGGGTATGGAGAGACACCTCATCCCATTCATCCTCTCAGAGATCCCAGTGAAGAACCCCGCTCAAAAAATGAATTCGTTCAGGACGGGCGAAGTCAACCCCCACTGCACTTTTGTCAACACCTACCAGTCCTGCAAAACCGCAATACCCTGTCTAATTGCCGAATTCACCCATAAGCTGATACGCACATATATACCCTGTCCTGTTGCCCCACTCACAATTCATTTTACTTCATGTCTTTTACCATGCTTGTTCGAGTTCAACGGATCAACTCCATGTCTTCGTCTTCTCGTCCCTTGTCCCCACTCTTATCCTCATTGTCCACGTAAACCACACATGCTGTCAAATGAAAAAAAAAGTGGAGCTCACAGTCTGTCTCCCCTTCATGGTTCCACCCTTCATTTTCCGGTGCTCCCTTTCCTTAAACACCCGATAATGATTCGTCGCTTTCCTACCAATCCCTGGGCTTTGAATGGACACACCCCATGAATATCTGTATAGTACTCCTTCCTTAGGCGCTCACTCATATGCGTCACTTGGCGTGTGGCGAAGTGGCTGTACGCTCACCATGTATCCGTCGAAGTATCGGAGGTGAGGTAGCATAAACTCTAACGTGTCATAGGTATGCATCTCTCTAAATGCTGTTGGAAGTATAACCGTACTCTCTCCCTAGAGTTATGGTACTGGCTCCCCGACTGCTGTATAAGGAGGGTTTCACACACGGGCTGTGAGCGACTTTCAAAAGAGATTCATCTCTACTGGACAACCATAAACCGGCACCATTCTTTCTTTCTATTTTCATCTCGTCCACTTTGTGCCTTTTTCTATTACTTGCACCATGAGGAGCTGGTTTTGCCCTACTTTGAACAGAATCATTATACCCTTTCTCCTTTTCATCCATTCCTCACACCACCAAAAGGACATATACAACCCGGCGACAACTCGCTTTTTGTTTTTATTTCATCATCACCATCGTCATCATTATATCCTTTTTTTGACTTCATAAACAATGGCCAACCTTGAGCTGGTCTACATCATTCTCACATACATCAGCATAGTATGCTACCTCTTCTTCCTCGGCCATTGCATCCACAGACACATCAACCACCTCCTTCGAGTCTTTTGCATCCTGTCCATCATCAATTGTCTCGCCGAATCCATCTTTCTCTTCATATACCCGGACCGCAACATCGAACCAGCACAAGGAACAGTTGCATGCACCATCTTGGCCATCTCTGGACAGTATATTCCCTTGGCGACAAACCTCCTTGCATCATGCATGTGCTTCAACATATGGCTTGTGGCCGTCCGTGGCAGCAAGTTGACAGAACGGCAGTTGCTAAAATGGTATGCCTCTTCTCGTTTGGAGTACCCGCACTCACCACTGCGACGGCTATGATTATTCTCCGCCACAAGAGTCACAATTTCACGGCGGCGCCTCGAAAGTACTTTTGCGACTTTGAGGACCTTCGGGTTGCACTGTGGACGTTTGGCGTGCCGATGCTCTTGACTGCTGTTCCCAGTGTCCTTTTTGCATGTAAGAAAGGTGGTACAGTACATTGATCGCTGTACATGGGGGTTTGACTTGCATGTTTTGGATGCAACGTTGATCAGTGAATGTGAGACTGATAAACATTTTTGCTCCATGTCTGATATTTTGCTATTAGTACATACGGTGACATACCTTGTGCGCCACCACTTTGTACTGCGTCGTGCAATCAACATCGGAAACACATCCGCAAGAAACGTGCCATTCGAACTAGGGTAAGTCCATAAGAAGAAAAAGAGAGAAAAGCATGCATGCCTGCATAACACATGTAATAACAATTTGTCTCCTCATATGGGAAAATATATATAGGCATTGCTTACGACTGGTATTCTTCTGCATAGCATTCGGGGTCATCGTTATCATGCTCTTCGCCCAACAAGTTATCGAAGCCAAAGACAACACCAAAAACGACCCTGCCAGGCGCGGACCAGATAGAGACTTCCCCATCTTCTCAGACTTTTCCGATAGTGTTGGCGGAATCAGCTTTTTCATCATCTTCGGAACCACCAGGGCCGCACTCGACACGCTGGGATACCTTCTTAGCTGCGGATGCATTCGAACTAGACTGGAGCGGCGGAGACATCGTCATGACCCTCGAGCTGTACGGTTGGTGTTACATCTTCGTCGTTGGGTAGACGGACGACAGGGGCTATGACGCTGCAAGAGGCGATGATGGATGTTGATCTGGAATCGAATCTGTCCACATTGACTTCTTTGCCTGCAGATACCAGCGCCACTAGTCTTCTTCCTCCTCTTCCTCCGACAATGCAGGAGATGCATTCGACCATGCAGGAGATGTATTCGACCATGCTAGTTCCAACGGCAACTATGAGCCCGTACGTTATTCACCCACTAGTGGCCGTACCTGCGCAGATCTACAACCCAGACCCAGACTTCAAGAACTACCCCAAATAAAAAAAAGAAAAGGCGCTTGTTGTCATTCAATCTGTCTGTCGGCGAATTTTCGTCACATCTACACTTTTTGTACGACCATGGTGCATTATACAGTTTCTAGGGGGGCTTTTTGAGGTTTCAATGTAGGACATTATCGCATTGTACGATGTGCAGTAGACAAGAGTGGATTCCAGACAAAGAAAGCATTGACCTCCTCCAACCCCAACCCTCAACACAACCTGTTTGTATCCATGCTTCATAAGGCAGAGCACAAAAGCCAGAGGTATAATGCGTGAGCCCTTTCAACAAACACGTTTGGCTTACGTTTTGTTTTAGCCAGTCGCCCCTCTGCATTGCCCATTGCCCAGATCGCCGAGTTTGTGTCTCGTTCGCATTTTGTGAGCTGCCTTGTTCCTCGTCATTGGTGGGACTTGGATCTTCCTTCCTTTTTTCCGTGATACCATGGGTGGCTGACTAAGGGTGTTGGAAGGGACTGGATCCTTCTCAAAAAGCTGGTTTCATTACTGAGTGGTCAAGCCAAGGTGAGGATGTCAGCCAGCCTGTCCGCCTGGACAAAAAGAGATGATCGATACTGTTGTTCGACAGACAATGTGGACGGACGCTTCCATCCAAGACGGAACGGACTAAAGCGCCGATACAACCAAGCAATGTTCTCTTTCTCTCATCTTTCTTCCTTCCGTCCTCCCCATTTTTCCCTCCCTTTTTTGTTGTCTCAATTGCTTGCCTTTTTTTGTTTGTTTGTTTGCCTTTTTATTCCCCTTCCTTCCTACCCGCTGTGTGCTCCGCCATCGATAATTGCTTTGCATCTCCAATGTGACACTACCTGAAAAGCACCCCTGCATGCCTTGCTTCTTGTCTTTGTCCTTCCTTGCACCGCATCATTGAACTTCCCTTCCTTTTTCTTTTCTTCCCACTTTTCCTTCCTCCTCTGTCTCAACTCCATTCCCTCCCTTTTTTTTTCTATTCCGACTTTGCTTCCCCTCCACCTTCGCCCTTTTATTTTTCCTTCCTCTTTTTCAATTCCTTTTAAACGTCCTTCACCAGCCCCCATTTTTGCAATTCTCATTTCTTTTCCTCCTCTTCTCTTTACTGGCAGCCACACCTTTCATCTTCTTCGTCTTTGTCTTCGCTCACGACCAACCACCGCCAAAAAACGTACCAACCCCTATCATCCACTACCGCTACTGCCCCTGTCAAACAATCACAACAACCGCAACATACCCTGCCCTCCCTAACTCCCACCTCTTCCCCTTCATCGCCGTCGTCCTTCTCTTCATCTTTGCCTCTCTTCCTCCTCCTCCTCCTCCACCTCCCAACAAAACCAGGAGTACCAACGCACAACCCACCTTCATCACCAACGACAACTATATCCTACTTGACGACAAGTGATCATGGCCAGTGAAGGAGCTCTCTACCTGGTCCTCGAGTACATCAGCATCACGCTCTTCATCTTTCTCGTAGGCCACTGCAACTACCGGTCGATCAACTATACCCTCCAGATATTTTGCATCACCGCCATCTTCAACAACATCAACGAGTCCTTTCTCATCTTTCGATATGGCGACCAAGTCATCCCAGACGCCTTTGGAACCGCCGGTTGTATTATCTCCGGTGTCTTTGAACAGTTCATCCCCCTGGCGGTGAGCTCGTTTGCGGCCTGTATGAGTTTCAACATCTGGTACTTGATTGTCCTCCGGACCAAGCGGACCGAGAAGGAACTGTTGAAGTGGTACTGTATTTTTGCCTATGGGTTCTCGTTTTTCATGACGACCATTGCTGTGATTCTGTTGAGGAATGAGCCGTATTTGTCATCGTATCCGCGCATGTACTATTGTGACCTGAGGGGCACTCAGGTTACCCGATGGACGTTTGCGATCCCCATGCTCCTCACCGCCATCGCCGGCATGCTCTTCTCCGGTACGTTTTCTTGGTTGTTGCTTACAGAGGGAGAATTCTTATCGTCCATCCATCTCGCTGCATCTTCCAAAATTATGCGAAACCCGTTCAAACATTCTGCCTTGCTTTTTTGCCTTTTTGTTTGTTTGTTTGTGTTCCATCGGGGGATTAAATTGTGTGGATGGACTCTATTGCTTATTTGTTTGGTTGCCTTTTTGTTTGTTTGTTAGCCTAATTAACATACGCTTATACAATACATTAGTCCTCACGGTCATCTACCTCGTCCGCCACTTCCTCTTGATGCGCCGAACCATCCACGGAACCACCTCCTCCGGCAGCATGGCCGTTGAACTCAGGTGAGTGACTCTACTATGGCAGTTGCTATCCTTACAACCCCCTTGCCTTCTTTTCTCTTCACTCCTCCCTCTTCCCTATTGTATCGACATGTAAAGCCCAATCCCCTTCTTCCCTTCACCCGTCGATCTTATGACCAGTGAGACGAGGACGAATAGGAATGGAAGAGGAGTAATATAGATCTCACACTTACCCGATAGGCTAGCCCCTTGATAGTACAAAGGGGAAACTACACTATCCTTCCTGCCCTCATCCATCCACCCACCTCACCCACCTACTCACCCACGCGAAACTCCCTCTTCTCATCTTACAGCCAATTACATGCAACCAACTAACAAGCCCGTTCTTTTTCCTTTCTCTCTCTCTCTCTCTCTCTCATTCGTTACTCACCGGCTACACTTTAAACCGTACATGAAAAAGTAGCTACTGCATCCGCCTGCTGATCTTCTGCATTGCCTTTGGTATCCTGGTCCTGATGGCTGTTCTCGACCGAGTCGTCGATAGCACAAACCGCGCCCCCGTTGTCTACAACAGCACCCAAGATCTTTCGGCCTTCTCCGACTTCAGCGGTGCCCTCGTCGGCATTGTCATCTTTGTCATCTTTGGAACCACCAAGGAGGCCTATAGAACCTTTAAGAAGCTGATATTCTGTGGTAGTGGACGTAATGGTCATGGTACAGGTGGTAGTGATTGGGATTGGTTGCCGAAGTGGATCCCTGAACGGTTCCGTCCTAAGAGGTCGGAGAGTATGAACCCGATGTCGTCGCCCTTGTCGTCTGGAGCGAGCGGGTCTCGTTCTGTGACTGGATCCGGTGTGGATCGAGGTGGGTATCCTCGAGGTGGGAATGCGTTGGAGGCCAGTACGAGGGAGAAGAAGCGACCTGGTCGTTCGGAGGTGACAGACACCAACTCGGTCATGACCTTTGATGAGGACATCCTGGGAGCCTACAGTGTCACTAAGGCCAAGAGCAACTATGATAACTATAACGCCTACCACAACTACACCTTCCGTACCACTGAGCCTCCTACTGCTCCCGGCAACAACATGAAGGATAACAGAGACGAGTACGACTTAGAGTCTGGGTACTCTTCCCCCTTGGAATCTGTAGCATCTGCGCCATCATCCAAGGCGTCCTCAAGGGACTCACTCCCCCCTCCCCCACCGCCACGACGCTCCTTGTCGACAATCGAGCAGCACTACGGTGCCAACGCCGCTAGGACTCAATCGCCCCCACCCATGGTCCAGCGCACGTCCGCCAACTTTGCTGAGCTTTCGATGCCCTCTCATCCTCGTCCTCAGTCCCTCCCTCTTCCAACTCAGCCTCATCCTCATCCTCAGTCGGTGTCGACGCGTGTCTCGTCCAACTTTGCCGAGCTGTCGCTCCCCCCTCAGACTTACATTCATCGAGGATAGATAAACCTGAATTGGTCCTGTCTTTCCCATTGTCTTCCCCTTATTGACAATAATATCCCTCTATATCCCATGCGCCACCAAATATCACCCCATCTGTGATGCTGTGCCCTCTAGTAATAATGTATCGTAATAAACTCCTTTTTGTACAAAAAAATAATTCAGTGTAAGGTTCAACGAAGTTGTTATGCCTTCATGTCCAGCTCATCTCGGTACTACAAAAAAAAAAGTTCAAGGAGAATTGTGTTGTCGTACCCTCGGCATATCTCTTCAGGCTCTCTTTCAGCTGTGTTTCCTCTTTATGTGATGACGCAAACTGGCGATCCGCAAAAGAGACAATGTGAGAGAGGGGACCTCATCGTTTTTTATTATTAAGTGAAGTCCATGTTTTTTTGGGCGTTTGTGTTGGAACGTATTGGGGGTTATATACAGAAAAAAAGAGAGAAAAAGAGGCAAGGAAGGAGCAATTACATGAACTTCTTCAACATGCTAGACACCTGGGGGTTAGAAGCAGCCTGTCCAAGCATACCCATCATTCCACCGCTTCCGCCCTGCTCACCATCGTCCCCACCCTTCTTTGCACCTCCAAGCATAGCCATCAACTGCGCGACTCCTCCACCGCCGGCACCAGACTTGCCAGCAAACAACTGCATAGCCATCGCAATCGCCGACTGAACAACAGCGCCCTTATCTTGGCCTCCACCGCCCGAGAACATCTTCATAGCCTCCGCCATGGCCATCTGGACCAACTTGCCCTGTCCACCACCACCGGAACGATCGCTCTCATCGTCATCGTCTTCAGAATTTTCGTAGGCCTTGAAGGCTTGGACACCGGCAGCCTTTCCGAGCTCATCGTCTGTGGCTTCGGCGGTGTTGCCTTGTTGGTAGACCTTCTCGTGGGCGGCGCTGGCTGCGTGGATGTCGGATTCTTTGGGTGTGGCGACGCCGGATTGATGGACGGCCTGTGCAGAGCTTTGGAGGACCTCCTTGTCTGTTTAGGCACGTACGATTGGCAGGAAAGGAAGAGGTAGAGTAAGGCGAAAGAGAAGAGAGCAGTAGAGGGAAAGTAACAGAATAGGAGAAAAAAGTGTTGTGTGAGAAAAAAAATGAATGGACAATTGGAATCATGCGTTGCGTACACTTGCTTGATTTTTTTCTCGAGGGCAAGGGGGAGAGGGATTCCTTTTGACGTGTCATTTGGTATCGTAAAAGTGCTTTTTGTTGACGTCCGCAAATGTCGTTTCTCATGGTCTCGAAGACGTTGCCGTTGTTTGTTGTTTCTCCTAAAAGTGTATTTGTCGGCTATTCTCTTCCTTGAGTAATTGGTCTTTTGGTGTCGATTCTTTGTTAGGGTGGGCTTGGATGGACGGGCGCGGTCGATGCTTGACTGGCGGTTGTGGTCCTGCAACATCTGTCCTGGCGACAAAGGAGCGACCTTCCTCCCTGAGAATGACCATTTTAGTGGCTCTACGAGACAGCTACGACAAAACGAGCAAGAGGGGATGGGTTACTTTACCTTCATCGTTGTCGGCGGCTTGGCTGGCGTACTTTTCAGCCTGCTCCTTGAGGGCGCTCTTGAGAAAATCCATGGTTGTGTATGAGAGTGTTTGGTGTGTGGGAGGGAGTGAGGAAGTGTGAAGAAAAGAAGAGAAAAGAGACGAAAAGAAGAAGAGAAGGAGAAAAGGAAAAAAGAGGACACGACACAACCCGCGTACCTTTTAAGTCATCTGTCATTTTTTTCACGGTCCCTTTTTCCTCCCTTTTAGCGCATGTTTTTTTATTGGTCAATCAGGATGAGAGTAGTAGGGGTCTGTTGAATTTCTGTGAGTCTCTTTGCGAATCTCTTGTTTAGCCGCGCTTAGCTCACTCTCGCTGACTTGCTCTCTCTGTCTCTGTCGTCACTCCAAAAAGCCAGGCCCCCTCCATTTCTTTATGGTTCTCTGGACACAATGCAAACAAAAAAAATTGCGCGAGTGAGATCATAGCAAAAAGGGAAAAAATAACCATGCGCATGTCCTTCCTTCCTTCCTTCCCTTGCGAATAACTCCTAAATGTCCCTCCTTTCTTGCTCGTGTTCCTGGCTGTGTGTCCCTATCAAGAATAAGAAGTGTTCAAGTTCGGGAAGAAAAAAAGAGTTTTCCAGCATGCCTTTCTTTTGCATGTACCTTATTTTTAGATGTGCTCCCGATTCAACTCAGTGATGATAAGAGGTAACTCATTCTTCTTTTCACATTCGTGCCGGGTCTCACACACACCGCGACTTGGACATATCTTGGATTTCGCGGGCTATTGTTTTCATTGCCTTTTGTTCTTTGTTCTTGCGCTGTGTGTGGACAATTACGTCCAGGTTTACGATTATTTATTACAAGTACGTGGGTGATAGGGTAAAATGAAGAACAAAAAAGTAAAAAACAATAAAGACACAAATACTACATTCTATGCAACGCCAAGGGCTTTCTTCAGGTCACTCAACTTCCTGGCCAGGCCTTCCCGCTCATTCTCGCTCTCCGCATACTTCATCTTGGTATCGATCAACAAGCTCTCCAAGAAACCGCACTGCTCGTCCGCCTGTTCGTTCTTCCTCACAAGCTCCACATTCTTCTCCATCACCGCCTGGATCTCATCCTTGTACCGGTCCTCGACTTCCTTGCCCTGAGCATCGACCATCCGAGTCAGGTCAGACACCTTCTGGAGCAACACGTCGTTCTGGTCCTGGAGTTGCGCCATCTCAACTTTACGCGAGATCAGTTCCTTGGCCAGCTCCACATGCTCCTTGTTCAGCGTGTGTAACGATCCTTCCAGTCGACGGACATGCAGCGATAGTTGGCGGTTTGATTCCCGGAGCGATTCCTCGGCTGCCAGTTCGGCCTGTTGTCGTTGGATCATTGCCTGGTACTTTTGCGTGTACTGGGTCAGCTTCTTGGGCGTCACCTTGACATTATACGCATCCTTCACAAACACACTCGGGTCGTTCTATAACACCATATAAAAAATAAGTAAAAATGTTAGGTCCAAGTCTTTTTGTCAAAGAAACAAAAAGAAAAAGAAAAACGAGTATTCGATGATGTGTACCATGTAGGGCTCAAAGAGGCCATTCTTAAGGAATTCAATCAAGGTCTCAAATTCGTGGTTCAGAATCTGGTCGTGGTTAGCCTTAAGCAACGCAATCGCAAATCGCAACAGGGACTCAACACCCTCAACCAGCAAGGTGTCGTAGATCCTAAACACCAGATCAAGAGGGAACTTGTACGCAAACAGCGTCATGAACCACTGAGATGCGTACATGGTCGACCGGATTCCTTGGTTGAGAAAATGCTTGTGAATCAGGGGTACCGTCTCCTCCATCAATTGCTCAAACTGGTACAGTCGAAGCTGAAGCATGTTCATGTCCGGCGTAAAGTGTCCACGCATGTCGTACGAGCTCATCATCTTGACCAGCACACAGAAGGCCTCCTCGTCTGGCATCTATTGTTTAGTAAGTTATATTTTCAGTCTCTTTTAGTCATTTGTGTGATCTGAAAATAGATTTGGGGTGAGAGTGCACAGACATCATCCAACTTACATTCAAAAGAAGAGGACCCACGACAAAGCTCAGTCCTTGACAATAGCCGACCTCGGCATCGTAGAGACTGTAGGCCTTGACGACATTGAACAGCGATTCCTGACCAAGTCCCTCGGCCTGGAAGTGCTCGTGGTTGGGGAATGTTCGACTCATATCGCGCTGGATCTGCTTCTCGTGTGAGCTGGTCTCCTTGAGTAGGTCGGCATAAGTCGCCTCCAGCTGGGCATCCTTAGCTTGAGCGAGGAGCTGCCAGATCAATCCTCGAATTGCTTGAGGAACTCCCTTCTGGATCATCACCGTCAACTGCTTGGGGTTCTTCTTGACAACTCCATTGTAGTCGTGCATCAACGATCCCCAGTAATCTACCATCGAGTAAAAGAAGTGCGGGATGGAGTGTTAGTAAGTTGCAAAGAGCGCAATAAGGTCAAACAAAACGTCGCTCCATCTTACCCCAGTCGACATCCTCGCTGGAGGATTCTTCTTTGGCGTGTCCAAAAGCCCTATCGATCTCGGACGACGTCTCGCTGGTCGCGCGTCTCTTGGGGTCCTGCTCTAAGACCGAGTTCTGAGCTTCCAGTCGCGCCAACAGCAAATCCATGTTCGAGTCCGTTGTCATGGTCGAGTATGTCGAAGCGCGTTCGGGACTAATGTTGCTTGTCGATCTCAGGTCCAGTCCGTTATTGCCCGTGTTGATTACCATTCCAGCATTGGACCCTCTCTGGCTCATCCTGCTAGGCGTCCTTGATGTTGCTGGAGGTGGTGGCAATGCAGCCGTGTTGCCGTTGGTGGTGTTGCCGCCGAATCCGCGACCCATGAATGCACCTGAGATAGAACTGGCAATAGAGCTAATAGATGCTTGACGAGCACTTCCTGGGCGATTATCTGGTGGTGTCGCTGAAGAAGGCAGGGGTACAGGTGGTGCAGCAGCCTGCGGACTGTTGAGCCCGGCTGAGGACTGTTGCTGATGGAACTGGTGCGATTTGGGATGAGGTCTTCCTCCGAAGAAGCTGGAGGGGAAGCCTGCGTTCGAAGAGGTGACGGGTACTCTAGGCGTTGCAATTGTAGCGCTGCGTCGAATGGGCTCTTGAGTTGCAGGCTCGTCCAGCGAGACTTCGTTCAATTCGGCATCCGACAAATCCGAGTATGATAACGCCCGCGAGTCTTGAAGACCTCTGGACGATGTGTTGGAGAGCGAGCGAGGGAACATTCCTGGCCTCTGGTTGTTGGCCTTGAGATGTCCTTTCACAGACGAGGGAGAGCGAAGGTCGACGGATGAAGTTGAGGTATCACTTTCAGAACCAGAAGGTCGATGGGTCTGGTCGGAGGGCGCAAGTGACGACGTCGAGGTTGGGGAGGTTAGAGTTTGAGGGTTAGTGGGAGCGGCTGTGCTGGGGATCGAATCTGTCAATGTGGAAAGAGTGGGTGACGCTGGTGGCGATGATGCACTGATGCCCTCATAGACTGGTGGTATTTTTGTCGCCTCCTGTGCCTCCTTTTGTTGTTCCTCTTTGGCGGCTGACTTTGAGGTAACGGGTGACACTGTGGCGGAAGGAACTCTGGGGGATGCTGTGATGGACACCGGACGAGATGCCGTGGGGATAGGCGGGGGTGGGGGGGAAGACGATGCGTTGACAAAGGTGCCATCCTGTTCGGATTCGGACTCTGAGCTCGAGTCCGACTCGGATTCGGAGGCCTCAGGTCTATCATCTCCATAACCAAAGGAGTGGTGCTTAGTATGGCTGGAATAGGATCGGCCAGAGTTGATGGAGGCCCGTGAGTTGACAGCAGACGCGCGGAAGAGGTCGGGGTTGGGAGCTGCTTTGGCAAGATCTTCGTCGTCGGAGGGCTGGTCAAAGGTCTTTGTTCCGTTAGGCTTGTTGCTGTCGCGCGAGGAGGAGGGGTATTGTTCGTCGAGCTGTTTCTTATTGTTGTTATTGTCTTGCTTGGATTCGGATTCAGACTCGGATTCGTCGTCGTCGTCACGGTCATAGTCGTATGCATCCATGGGGTAGGGCTCGTCGTCGCTGTCGTTTTCCTCCCACGAGTTCCTAGAATCTTTTTGCTCAGGAGCAACGACAGGGGCACTGACAGGAGAGGGAGAGGAGTGCGCCACTGGCAAAACGTGGTCAGGGGCACGCTCTGTCTCTGACGAACCATAGGTGTCGGTGTTGTACTTGTTGGCCAACATTGTTTAGTGGGTTGGAAAAATGGCCAATTGCTTCAAAAATAAGGCGTATAAGGCGTATAAGGAGGGGTAAAGGGTATGCAAAGGGGTGAGGTGGTGGTTATGTTGTTGTAGACTAAAAAGTGTCTGTGTGTTAGCGAATGAGAGTGTGTGTGTTCAGCCAAAAGAAGGGCGATTAGGTGTAGAGAGTGTTCTTTCGTTGATGAGGAAGTGTGAAGAATGAATGAAAGATGCCGGCAGTTCGGAAGGGAGGAAGAGTGGAGAGTGAAGAGTGAAGAGGAGAAGAGGGACGAAGAAGAGTGGAGACAGAAGAACAGAGGCGAGAGAGAGAGAGAGAGAAAAGGGTGAAGAGTGAAGAGTGAAGAGAAAGAGTGAAGAGAAAGAGAAGAAAAGAAAGGAAAGAGAGGGGAGACAAGCAGAAACAAAAGGGGGTCGAATTGAACAATAATAGTAATAAGCATATCAGAGACCCTTGTCCTTGCAGTTTGCAGTCACGTGGAAAGCCTAACTTCTCATTGGAATGAGGTGGGAGTCGGGGGTAGCCTTCTTCTTCTTTACAAAGCAATGGGGCTAAGCGACACATCCCTTTCCGAAGCCTCTCTTCTCGCGACCTTTGATTGAAAGGGAAATCATAGATCAATATAAATTTCGGATGGACAAGCTCAGAAAGAAAGAAACCAAATAAAAAAAATGGTCCTAGCCGCAAGGACGACTCTGCTCTCACTGTTCTTTCTCTCACTCCATTCTCGCTCAATTGTGTGCGCGCATCGGGCGAAATAATAACCAACTTCAAGAGAGCATAACAAAGGCTATTGTCAAAAAAGTTAAAACGCCTCGACAAATCACTTCTTCCAGGAGACGCGTATGTACTCCATGGCTGTCGTAAACACCATCGCCAACTTGCCCTTTCCTTTCCTCAAAGTCACCTTTGCTGACCCTTCAATTGATCGACCATGTTGTGCAACCAACTGGGCCTTCTACCCTGCAGAACGTGCCTAGTCCAGGTATTTCCACTCTGCCACGTACTCTTTCTCAATGACCAGCTAGAGTACTTTTAAGAGAGAAAAAAACAAAGAACGCATGGACGATCCCCTACAGTGACGAATAGAGCTTTGAGAGCCTCATTTGTTAATCAGATTGGAAAGATCTCATCCTCGTCGTGTCAACTCTCCTTCATCGAACGTTCAACAAAGAGAGAGGGGGTTCTATTACATGATCGTGCTAATGCATCGTGCATTATGTTTTCAATATGAGAATTCGGCTTGCACTGTCGGTCGTTTAAAAAGGCGTTGCTTTTTTTTAAACCAATTAACAACTGGACCAACCAATGTGAGGGACAAACTCGCAGATCCAATTGATGGTGCTGTTCATTTATTTTTTTCTAACTAACGTCGCTCTCTTTGTTCCGGGGCACATTGGCACGCACCAGACGACATATCGCACTGTTAGTAAATACTGGGTTTCTGTTCACATCCACTTCGTTCCCTGGTTTTCGCAGTATGTACGATGTGCTGGCAATAAATAGCAAAGACACAGGTTGAGTGGACTGGGATGGTGGTGTTGTTTGAGAGTAAAAATTCAGGCACCATCAACCACTTAGAGGGCGCAATGCCAGGCAGCGTGACTGCCAGTGGCTTTTGATCTCATTTCCCTATCCCTTGACCCCTGCGCGTCGTGAGGAGGTGCAACCGCGAGAGTTCATCTCTCCTTCACACATCCTTTCCTTTCCTCTTCCTTACACAATCTACTTTTACTCCATCCTCAACTACACCCATCATCGAGAACTTGAACTTCCTTTATTCGCCTTTTTTCCGATAACAAGTCCTTGCATCTGACGCCTCACCTCACACCTACTTGTCCAAATGGCCGCCAACTTTTGGACATCTTCCCATTGGTAAGTCAACCCTCCGAAAGAATAACCACCCATTTGTGAACAAAAAGAACACATTCTCCGAGAAACTACTATGGCCTTTGAAGAAGCATTCAGATAAAGACTTTTTCATATTTGTTTTTTTTTTTCAAAATAGTACACCCAATGTCCCAACCACGTCTTCTGACAATAACTTCTCAATCTGAATTAATTAGCACACACTGGATCCTGGATCGGAGGCGCGTTGCGGAGGCCATGAAAGAGGATCTGGAATACGTCAACATCGACACCTTGACCAAAATCAAGATGTGGTACTACGGCAGTATGTTGCGACCTCACCTCAGGAATCATCCAGGACAAGTAATTGATCATCTGTGACAACCTACAATGTTGTTACTGAAACTAACGTCGATTTTGTGTTCCTTGGATACAACTTCATTAGTCATCGGAAAAATCGGAAAGCGGTTACAGTTCCGTCAACAGGTCGTCGCTACCGCCATTGTCTACTTCAAGCGGTTCTATACCAAGTACGTTTTATACTGGATCAATCATGGAATGCTCAGGAAAAGGATTGGGACGTCAGGAGCAGTTGTTTACTCAGGAACATCTTGACCTTCAAAACCGCGGAGGAACTCATATATATATATTTTTCATTGGCCTTCTTCTCACAGGAATAGTATGCGGTCAACAGATCCTTCGCTGGTGGCCGCAACATGTATATACCTCGCCTGCAAGATTGAAGAGTGCCCGCAACACATCAAACATATCATCCAGGAAATGAAACACGCCCTCGCCAGTAAATCATCAATCATTCGATTAATTAACACAAGAGTTTCTGCGCTGTATGCTTGATCTCCACTTTCAGAGGCACTAATCCACCCCTTTTCTTTTTGTGTGCGCCTTGTATATTAGACCTGGGCGGGTTCGATTATGATACGTCCAAGGTGGCAGAGTTTGAATTCTATCTATTGGAAGAACTGGAGTTTTATTTGATCGTCTATCATCCCTACCGAGATCTCACACTTATTGCCAAGGACCTCAAGCTGGAAGAATCCAACCTTCAGACCGCATGGTAGCTACTTCACGCCTGACTCTCACCCCATCTCATTATGGTTGGTGAATTGATTTTATTATGTATCACTAACATGACTCAACTTTTCATTTGAACAAATAGGTTTGTGTTGAATGATTCATACAGAACAGACGTGTGCCTATTCTACGCACCACACATGATCGCCCTCGCAGCACTCTACATCATCTGTGTCGTCCACGCCGAACAATACAACGACAACAATAACAACGGCGGTGGTAGCGGTAGTGGCCATAGCATAGCCAACAGTGGAGGTAGTAGTAATCCTAATACCATGGACGATTCAGGGATAATGGGACACAACAATATTCACCTTGCACAACTCAATTCTTCAAATTCGGTTATTAAAGCTCCAGGAGCAGGTGGAGGGAGCCAGAACAACCCGACTACGTCGTCATCGTCGTCTAATGAGGGTCAGGGGATTAATAACAGGAACATGGTCCAATGGTTCGCCGATCTCAACGTTGACATTGAAGAGGTAACATAATTCACACAGAAAGATGACCAAACGGCCATATGTTGCAAGCAAGCTCAAGGTTCATTTCTGATCTGCTGGAGCTCTGAATATTCACTGACAAAAGTTACACACACTCGCTCTCTCTCTTTCAATGGGTGACATAATAGATCATCGAGATCACGCAGGAGATCCTTTCATTGTACAGTATCTGGAAGGACTACGAGGAGGAGCAAGTCCCAGCCATGATGCAGGCCCTCAAGATGGAATTTGATGAAAACTATGAACTCATGGATCCCCAGCTCGAAGGCATGCAATAGCGACCGACCCCACTCATCCTGCATCATTCTCTTCATGCTTCAAGAACTACAAGAATAAAAAAAAATGGTGAAAAGGAGGCAAGAAGAAACGATCCCAGCACTTTTTTTTTTTGCACTTTTTGTCTAATGTGAGTTTTTTAATGGGATAGGTAGGTTGGTGTAGATGCGGTCATGCGTGGTGAGTAAGATAAAGGGTACTTGTGTAGAAAAAGCAAAGAGTGTACAAATCCTACGATTCCTTAGATAGAGTCGTGGTAGGTTCGGCCTTCCTTGCGCCCAATACGGATATACCGCTCTTCATCGTTACGGGCCTGGATCAAGATAACAGTACTAATGAAGCAGACCACATTGACCAATGTGAATCCGAAAAGAGATGTGTACAACTTGCGCAAGTAGGTATCTGCAAAGGCCGACACCTTCTCCTCACATCCTGGGTACAAGTTGAGGGCGTTTGCCGTTGCACATGCTCCTTGGGGGACGACGGATGCGCGGTCGTTGTATCCACAGCACTGTCCGTATCCTGACATTTGTGTCTATTGTAGGATTTGATAGACGCGATTTACCGAAGGTTTTGGAGGCAAAACAAAAATGGTGGTTAGGTATTTGAGTCATTCATGCATGCAACACGTTAATCGTAAACAACATGAAACAAAAGGTTGAGCCTCTGCACGGGATGTCACTGCACTGCACTGCATTATCAATTGCCTAAACAAACACAACGTACCATGTCCTGGAAGGCAACTTTAAGAGAATCCGACCACTCGTTGATCCACTGAGTATGGAACAGACTCCGCATGCGCAGGGTCTTGAACCAGATAACGCCGCCGAGTCCGAGCTCCGCTAGCATGGCCGTCATCATCAGCCACACAAATGCAACGAGCAGTATCTTGAACCGAACGGGAGCTGATCCACCGACGAATCCGACTAGTGCTGTTGCTGCCACTGCTGCTCCAATAAGCGTTCCCGCTATAGTTATTTAAAGAGGAGAGGGATGGGCGGTTAGTGCCTACGGTACTAGTGGACTGTCACCATTGTTATGTGTATCTGTGTGTGTGTCTGTGTGAGAGCGTTTTTTTTGGGCGTTCTTTTTATAAAGCGATCGATATTGTGGGCATGTTTGGACTGGGGAGCACAAACACACATAAGTCGTCTGTTTTTTCTAGTTCCCTTTGAAGTCATGCTCCTTCGTCCCTGTCAGACAAAACAAGGTGCTTTGGTCGCCTTTCCTCTCAGTTATCGATAAGCGAGGCACACACACACAGAAATGAAATTTCATCTCATTTTTTTCTTTTAACCCCTGTTCTCTCGGTAATTTGTCAAACGGACAACAAAAGAAAGTGAGACCGAGAGTCAGTTGTCCACGAATCCTGGCTCGTCTTGCTGCTTGTTATATTGTGCTGTTGTAGACTTTCGTTGCTGATGCTGTTGTAATGTTGCTGTAGTTGTGTCGGGGTCCCTCACAAGATCACTCCTGTCCTTGTTGCCCCAGAATTTCTCATCCAGTCAGTGAAATGAAGACCCCCTTGAAAAATATTACTGCTCCATCGTTTGCCGTCGTCCTTGTTCCTTTGTCGTGAGAGAAAGCAAGAGAAAGAGTGAAGTATGAGAGAGAACGAGAGCAAAGGAAGACGAATTTACTTTGTTCAATGGCGCGGGAGATGACAGCTTCACGGGGAGCACCGTCGGCAGACTGACGGAGCCACATGGACCCCATTACCAGGGCACCGATTCCTGTCAGCATATAGACTGTGATAAACACAAAGAAGTATCGTTGCAGTTTCTTCAGTGATGTCATCTTTTCTTTGTTGTTTGTTTGGTTGTTGTTTGGTTGGTTGGTAATGGTGGTATCGAGAGGTTGAAGAGGTGTGAGAAGGGAGTGGGGCGGAGTGGATAGAAGAGAGGAGAAGAGACTGGAGAGAGAAGGAAGTGAGAGAGAGAGGGAAGTGGGAGAGGAAGTGAGTGGAGTGGAGCGAGGAGAGTGGACAGAGAGAGAAGAGGAAGTGAGATGATGAGGTGAGTGAATGCACAAGGAGAGATGTGAGTCGAAAGAAGGATGAGGAATGGGAGAAGAGATGTAAGGGAGGGAGAGGGGATGGGGTGTCCGCGAGTGGGAGAGGGAAGGGGTTGTGCAGTGGTGCAGTGGAAGGGGTGGTGAAAGGAGTGGAGAAGAAAAAGAGTAAAAAGTCAAAAAGCGGTGCAAAGACCAGAGAAAAGCAAAGCAAAAGCCTACCTGCCTACCAGCCCCGCTTTTCTGATGTGCAGATGAGACACATACCTTCTTTGTCTCACACCCTGATGCTGGCTGATGGGACTCCACACAGTCCACCTGATTGGCCACCCTTAGTTAATTTTGATAAAATAAGTCTATGTTTTATTTACGTGAACTAAACAATGGTTGTGCACCATAGAAAAGAAAGGGAGGAAGACGTTCAAGCGTTCACAGCTACGACGCCTCCTCGGGCGACACGAATCGTCCCAAAGCCATAGTCCCCATCGCGCGAAGGACTCGACCGCCGGGGGCGCATCACAACCGTAGCATCCCCATCCACCACATTTCTACTGCTGCTCTTCTCCTCGTCAGCCTTAACAGTGGGCTCCTTCTTAGTCGCCTTGGGCTCAGCAGCAGCAAACTGGACAGACCCCAATGCAATCCGCCGCTTGGAATCTCGCATAGACGATGCACGACTCAGTCGGGAAACTCCCAGACCATCAGCACCGCCAGAGAGACCACTTTGGCTACCACCGCCATTCAATGGCTTCCTTGCAAGGGCGGACAGGGTCTTGTTGCTGTGGATAGGAAACTTGTAGGTCGAAATGTCCTCGTCGCTGCACTCTTCCAACAACTGCTTCATCGTCTTTTCACCCGTCGTCGCGGCTCTGAAATCAGCGGTAGAAGTGGCAGAGGTAGTGATGGTGATGGCAGGTGGTGACAATTTCGTAGGGACAGCTGGAGAGGCGTCGTCCTTGGAGCTCTCAAAAGACGCAAGGCTGGCAATCGACTGACCAGAGGGGAGGCGGACGACTCGAGGACGACGATGACGGCTACTGTTAACCTGGATCTGAGGCAATTCCATACCAAAAGTACCGTTCGAGGCTGTGGGGGACTCGGGAGCCTTGTTGCTGTCGTCCGCAGACTTGAAAACAGGGACGGCAACATCGTACTCGCACACGATCCCGGTCATCTTCTTCTTGAGGCTCTCCTCGCTAGTATTCACGAAGGTAACGGCGGCGGAGGAGACAGCGGGCTTTTCATCGACCACATTGACAGCATCATTAGTGGCAGTGGTACTCAAGCCAGCATGGCTAGCGTGGTGGTACCTAAGCTGTTGCTGAACAAACTTGTGGAACCAATAGACATGGACCAAAAGCGCCATAGTGCCGACCTTCCAGCAGAGTCGTGACTCAACGTTAAGGAAGAGCTCTGGGAGGAGGGCGATAGGGTAGATGATGCGGGCCAGGAAAAATGAGGTCGCAAAGACGACATCTGAGCGGAGTGTAGGAAAGATGTGACCCGTGGCCAGAAAGATTGTCGACACTGGTTTTGGTTGAAAGATGAAAAATAGAGATGAAGAGGAGAGAAAACGTGTTTGTAATGAGTATTCGTGGTTGGTTATTCTAATGTCCCAACGTCGCGCGGTGCGTTGTGCGTCCTGCAGCTGCTCGGTCTCTCTTTTTTGGTTTTCCATTATGCTCGTGCGTTCATGTGGTGACAACTGGTGGTTGGATGTTTCATTGCGCCAACGCGCGTTGTTCAGTACAGCATGCTCGGTCTCTTATTTTCTTCTTTTTTTCCATTATACTCATGCAACAATAAAGCCCATGTTCCAAGTGTTTACCTTCAATGGGTGTTCCCATAGCAAAGAGCGTCGAAATATTACCCTGAGCAGTGGCCCGGGACATGACACCGAGATAGAACAGATGATGTGCCCACCCGGACAAGGGATCGACAAAATCGCGGTAATAAACGCACCCCAGCACCAGATCGCAGACCAAGTAGCTCACAAAGTAGGCGCAGTACCCTGTCGCCAGTCCGGACTCGCGGGGGAACCTGCGCACCGACGCTAGTAGGAAAAAGGGTGCTGAACTATCCAGATGCTGGCCTGGTAGATTCCATTCAATCTCGGAGGAAAGTGTGAATGTGCCAGTGAAGAGGACAATAGACGAGAAGAGGGAGAGGACCCATGAGAGAGCTCTTCGGTTTTGTCGGTTCTTGGTTGCGTTGGCGACTTGGGGGACATAGTGCTTGAAGAGGAAGAATCCGGTGAGTTGGAGGACGAAGGCGGTCAGAAAGGTGAGTGTGAAGGTTGAAGTGTTTGGGTTGATATCGAAGCTGCAAAAGAGCAGTGGTTCCTGACGAGTGAAAAAATAGGATGGAGATAGTGACAGGAAAGGCGAGGTTGGGGAGGAGGAGGGTGTTGCTAGGTTGTTTGTGAGAGAGTAGTGTGCACACTTGGAGGTGTCATAAGCTGAAGAAGGAGAGGAGAATAGCGAGGATGCCATGTGGGAGATGGGGCAGGACTGGGGTCCGCTGGTGAGCTCGTGAATGTCGATCATTATGTAAATATAAGCTATAGAAGTATGAGAAGTGAGAGAGAGAAGGGTATGGATGACAAAGAAGGAACTGCGAAATTAGGGTTGGAGGTTATCGTTAAAGGAGTGGAGAGAAGGAGTGGAGAGTAAGAAAGGTATGTTGGTTCGGATAACGTTTTGGTAAAGAAAATGAGAAAAAGGGGGGGATGACGAAGGTTTTATAGAAAGAGCGGAGAACGTGAAGATGAAGGAGATGAGAAAGTGGCAGAGTGTTGGTGGGCTAAGAAAAGGAGGGAGGATGTAGATGTGGATATTGAAAGATAAAACAAAAAACTGCATCGGACCGACGGGGTGACCTCGCCAGGAGGCTGAAGAGGGTTGCATACCCCGCTGGGCTGGCATTTGGCTTTTAGGCAAGAGGCATTGAAGCATTGGCATTGCACATTTATTTGCGCACGCTGTTGTAAAGACATAAACAAGCACAAACAAACAAATGAACAATCGGCATTTAGCATGAGCCGTCATGCTAAATTGATTCGTTATATAATCGTGTATCGTGTTACTACTTTACCCTGCCTCGTCTCGAAGTGTCTTGTCTTGAGTTGTCTTGTCTTGGCTTCGCCGTATTGTAAACCGAACACCCACGTTCTCGTCCACCTTCCTTATCAACTTGCTCATCTCACTTCCGCACCCTGCTCCCACTTGCTTGTACACTCGCACATGGTCTAAACTCATACTATCCCTCATCTTATTCTTCATGTTTACAAAGGTTTCAACTCTTCGCTCTTTTTTCGCGTGATAAACCTCTTAGCTTCTCCACCTTGCCGCGTGCTCAACAAGCTTTCTTCTTCTTCAAGCGAATCATAACTTCTATCTCCTTTTCCGAGAAAAAAAAACAAAACAGAGGGAGAGCCGCATGTTCACATCAATCGATCGAGGAGGGGGGGGAGGAATAGAAGAAGGCAGCCCGAAAGTCCAGCCAACATCCCGCCTCGCTGAAAGAAGCACTTACAACCCGATGGGAAAGGACAATCGGCCCTATTGTTGCAAACTCAAAAACTAAAATAAAATAAAAAACAAACAATTTAGGCACTCCTTCCCTTCGGTCATGTCAGAGAAAAAAAAGCGTTCAGATGATGTGACCATGGGACCTGCACGACACTCTCTCTTCAAAAATAAAATAAATCAAGGCAAGGAAGGGGAGGCAATGTTGCATCAGAATAAAGGGATCAAATGAAATCAAAATAAAGGGAAAAGTCAAGGTAAAGGGCAAAAGATTGTCATGCCGTTGACCATGGGGTATGTTTGTTCAGGCTTCAAAGTAGACACACACAATGACACAGTTCAAAATAAATAAAAAATACACAAATACACGGGATAGATCCGATGGGATACAAGTATTGTAGATTGAAGGACAAACAAAAAGGGCTGGATGGATATCATGGGATATGGCTGGAGGATGGGTGAGAGGGGTGTGGCAATTGAGTGTGAGGATTGGCACGCACTCTCGCTTTCATCCTAGTCGCTTTCATCCTAACTCGCTTCCACTCTTACTCTTGCTTTGTTAATATATTGAGGCACTTGCGGCAACCAAGAGAAAAACAAAAAAAGAGTCGGAATGGAGAAACAACCACTCCTCTCTCGTTCTCCCCTTGCTACCCTTCCCTTTCCCTGTAGGGTGGACGTGCGATCGAGACGCAAATCCGTTGGATCGCTCCATTTATTTTCACTGGAATCTATTCCTGCGAAGAACATAACACGAATCGTTCAATCACATTGCCCGCACGTTTCGACGCCTTCGCATCTTCTTGGACAGCTTAGGAAAATGGTCAAGTTGCGACGAGAAAGAAGCAGCTGGCATATGAAACTATATTCGTAGATGGATTTTGAGGAAGAAAGATAAAAAAAAAACGAATGGCTATCGACACGTTCAAACTTGAGGCTCGGTCCGACGATGACTACGATGGCTAACATTGCTATCCGGCTGGGGCAACAACACGTCTTCGTCCTCTTTTCTCCTGTTCGCCGTAGACTGGTCCAACAACGGATCCTGATCTCCATCCTGGACATATGCTTCCTTGCCCATCAACTTGCCAGCCGCTCCAAACACATCGGCAGAAGATATCCCAGCGCTCTCAACAGCAGATACCACAAACTCCTCATTGAGTGCATTGGCCATCGCCTTCAACACCGTGCATAACTGCTGTCGCCGCTGCCTCTCCGCAAATCGCCTCTGGGTTTGAATATACAGCACGAACCAGTACACATGCAGCGACAGTGTGATAGTGTAGAGGAACGAGACCGACTTGTCGGGGTAGTTGTAGTAAACTTCGTGCCAGAGCAGCGAGACGTATCCGAGACGGGTAGCCATGAAGCATGTCAGGTAGAGGCGTTCGACGATTGGTGTTCGGAGGTGGGGGAACATCCGACCATAGGCTAGGAACATACTTGATGCTATTTGAGTGCAAATGGACCATGCCACATTTGCCCACGTACAAGAGGTACACAAGGGGGTTGGGAGGGAGGGATAGAGAAGTGAGAAGATCATGCACTTGCATGCATTAGCGATTCTGCTTTGTATGATTCTTTCTGTGTCCACCCCTAGCAAGCCAAAGGAGAGTGCGAAGGGGGAAAGGGAGGAAAGAGAAGCCATGGTAGGGGTTATAATTCCTCTTTCTTTTTCTTCGACCCTTTTTTTCATCGTTCCTTTGTGTTCCTTGTGTCCTCCTGCCTAGACACATTCACCTATCAGCCGATCAAACCTATGTCATCGGAAAAAGGCATGTCAATAGCTGCATGCCTCAGCGTCCGCTCCCGACCTGAACTAAAGGTCACTTACTGTTTTTTCATGCCTTTCTTCAACATGCCAACAACAACAATTCTCGTCATGCAAGAACAATAACTCAATCCCTTGCTCTCTTTATCTCCCTACCTCATTCCAGGGCCATCTGCCATCGCTGCCGTGATGCCATGATGCCATACCATATGCCAACAAATATACGAAAAGTCAATTGCCTTATCCTACTCTCACTAACACTCTTTCTCCCCCTCTCTCTCTCTGTTACTCTCTCCCTTCCCAATTCACACGTTCCTTACCTTCGATAGGCGTCCCCAAGATACAAAAGACTGATAGCATATCGCCTGCCCTCATGTGGACAACAATAAAGAAATAAATGATATGATGGACCACGGTCGAGAACGGTTCTAGCTGTCGACGGTAGTGGATCGCGCCCAGGATCAGATCACAGACTATGAAGGCTTGGAAGTTTGCGGCGATAATATGTGGGCCGATTCGGCCGTCGTCAGGGTAGTTTTCGAGGGAGAAGAGAAAGTGTGGGCGTTTCATTTGGCCCTGGAAAATCCTATGGCGTAACGATGGTTCCTGCTGTTGTTTTTGCTGGTTCTGTTGGCTTTGTTTGTGGTGCCCCTGCTGGCGGTGGGTTTGTTCTTTGAGGGTTGTCGATGATGATGATGATGATGATGATGATGGGGGTTTTGTTGACTCTCTTGTCGGGTGAATGATATGGTGCTGAGGCGGGATGGAACGCGCATAATGAATAGGCGGGTGGTGATACCCGTGCTCATGCTCATGCCATACTTGCACCAACTGCTGCTGTAACTGACGGGAGAAATTGGACCCGTCCAAAAAGAACGAACCCAACAAAGTCCTGAAACCGTATTTCCCAGTTCCCATTTGTTTTGTTGTTGCGCTTGCTGACGTATCCTGAAGAGTACTTGTACCGTCAATTGCGGGAAGGTCTGAAAAGCAATAATACTTGTCCAATGTTGTGGAGGAGAGGTCCAGCTTCATGAACGATGGCAGGGTTGGGAGTAGCACCAGGGCTCCAGCCTTGAGGATTGGGTAGCAGATTTGCCTGGCTGCCGCAACAGCTCCAGCAGCCGCCGTCAACCCCAGGTCCACATCCGTTCCTGCCCCCGTTCCTGTTGTTGCAACCCCGTTATGACCGAGCGATAGTGCTGAAGAGACGGAGGGTTGATAATCGACGGCTGCGTTGAAAACAGTCCTCAAATGCGGAACCTCATAGAACCCCGCAATCGTGAAAAGTAAGGCCGAATAGAACCCCAACGCCCACGACAGGCCCAATCGGTTCCTGGAGAGCGACGGGTTAAAGTACCAGGTGGTGTAGAAGAGACAGGGGAAGAGGATGAGGGAGAAGAGGAAGGATGTCCAGAAGGGGTTGGTGACCAGACTCCAGTCTGACGGGTGGAGCCGCGCGTCATCCCAGCCCAGGAAGCGGAGAATTGTTGGCTTTGATGGGAGGAAGTGACCGGTTGTTATTGTTGAGGAAGGAGGTAGAAGGTAACCAGGAGGAGGGGAGTAGGTCGCCATCGTGTGTCTGTCGATGGGTTGAAAGGCCTATGTGGGAGAGAGACTGTTGTGTGGGAGGAGAGAAGGAGACAAAAATAACGGTTGTGAAGGATGGAAGATACGACGTTTGTTCTTTGGCCAGTCAGGATAGTAATTGCAAAAATGAGAAAGAGAGACAAATACAATTTGGTTTGATAAAGGGTGAAGAAAAGGGCGGAAGGAACAGGGGAGCAGGGGAGAGGGATTTCGTTGGATGTGGTACAAGGACAAAGGGGAAATTGGTGGGTGGTTTTATTATCACGACGGGAAGAGAAGGGCGTCAAAGGGCAGCAAGGGACAGTTGCATTGGAGTGGAAGGAAGAGAAATGGTTGCACAATTTAAGCAGAGACACATATATGAGAAAGAGAAACAGAGAGGGAGGAGTCCCAGACATGTTTCCTGTATATGTTATGAACGAACTGGTACCGATAGGAGAGACTGCCAGGTTGGTTCCAATCCGCCCTCTATACTTTGATGTGCTAAACACAAGAAAGCTTTTACCTGGCTTTTCTTCCTGCTTTCTTGATCTTCCATTGCTCTCATCCATTCTGACGTCGGCCGATTGCAATTGGACATATTCAACTCTTATATCTTGGATGTCAAGGCCCATCCAATCGCCACCAAATAGCGCACCTTGGGGTTCACACTCTTCCTTTCCTTTACCCACAGTTGAATCGTCATCTGGCAAGGGAAATCGTGGTCACCCTTACTGTGCTTGTCTGGTCGAGACATGAAGGGGTGAGCGCCAGGTATGTTTCATCATTACTTGACGAGACTCTTCACCTCTGCATGCCATACGATTGCGCTTATGACGATATAAATGACATAGTATGTGTGTTTATTACGAGTATGAGGAAGTATGAGCGTGTGCAAGTAAATGAGCAAGATATATATGGTGGTGCAACTCTCCTTTGTTCCATGGAGATAGATCTAAGAAAAATAAACATGCTATTTGAGCGTAAGCTGCAAATGAGAGCGCATGCAAGCTTACAAAACAGCAAAGAAGCTAGCAATAGCAACAACAACAACAGCACAACCCATCCCGTAGCTACTGCTAATCGACATAGCACCGGATCCCTGGGCCTTGGGAGTAGTACCGGCAGTCGTAGCAGCAACAGGGGCAGTAGTGGGGGTGACAGTAGAGAGTGGGGGAGGGATCGAGGCGGTGACGGAAGGGACAGGTCCGGCGGGGACGTTGTAACCGGTTGTAATACAGTTGTTCAGGCAGACAACTGCGTCTGCGCCGCAAACTTCCATGCATGACAAGACAGAGTCGGCCTTTTCTTCAGCGGGTGTTTTGGGTCCAGCTAATATATCGTTGGAAGGAGGAGGTGCGAAGTTGAGAGGTGGAAAAAGGGTAAGTGTGTTTTTTCTTCCTCCACTGGAATTGGCACATATTGTTCAATAACACCAAAGCACTACAAGAACAACGAACAGATAATCAAAGAGAATATCACTTACGTGGGGGTCCAAGGGGTTGACCACCATTGGCGATGGCGTCAGGCAATGAGGACTCGGCAGTGGCAGCAGATGGTTCGGTCGCCGCATCCGGAGCAGCAGCAGCTTCAGAGACGTCGGTCATTGTGCCTGGTGCCCCGGTTTCATCGACAGTCTCTATCTTGGCTTCGTGTCCTCCATCATGGTTGATGCGTGAGTTGCCGACGCCAGAGACAGCGGCCAGGGCCACCCAGGCGCACATCGAGAACGCGAGAATTACAATGTAGAGGCGCATGGTCGTTGCTTAGTACGGTAGTATGTGTGTGCGTGGAGATTGAATGTGATGGGTGTCTGTGCGTTGCGCCTCTGGGAGAAGATGAACGGGGTTTACGGAGATTTGAGAGTAAAAGAAGGGAAAGAAGGAAGAAAGGAGGGAAACAGAGAGCAGGAAAGGGTGTCGATTTTTAAGTAGACACCAAGAAACAAAACGAAAGCTACCCACCCTGACCTCCAGGATCCCATTTTGGAGTCCAAAGGTACACTAAAAGAGATTGTGTTATGGAAATGATCGCAATAACATATGAAAGAGATGCGAACGGGGTCCAAGGAGTTGGAGTAGGCAAGGCAACTCTGTGTGTATCATTTTTCAAGGGTGAAAGGCTAGTTCAAAGAGGAGAATAACGGAGGGCCATTGGTGGACACTGGGACTGGCGCTGAGCATAAGGAAGTGGTGGTGTAGATGAGGGGAAGGAGTGCAAAAACACCACAAAAGAAAGGGAAAAAAGGGTCAAAGGAGGGGTCTGAAGAAGAGATAACAAGGAGGTCGCGGTTCACTCATATCTTTTCCCTTCCTGTCTTCTTTTGTTCCATGGAGGAGAGAGGTAAAAGGGGCAGGAAGGGGAGGGGGCACCAGGACAATCCAAGACGAGGACTCTTCTTGTATCAACGATGCAAGGAAAACACTGACAGGGAGATAGAGCCCATTTTGGATATGAGTACCAAGAAGCGCCTTCGGGATCATTGCATACTTGTCGATGTGTGTATGCTTCCATCTCTGTTCGTAATGCATGCCATAGGAGGGATACAAGAGCGCGACAAATGCATTTGTCAACACGTTGTGGTTGTTGTCTGTTACCCAGGGACGATACACAAAAGAAACGCGCGTCGCCAAATGACCACAACTCGGAAGGCAATCCCTGCAAGGACGAATGAAAGACAAGGGCATTATCGCTGAAAGATTGAAGCGACAGGAAAACATATGGGCATACCGGGGACATTGTTAGTAGAATGAACGCCGTAAAGTGTACAAATACTCCTACTCTATCGCCTATTTACGGTACATTTTCCATTGTTTTTTTTCTGGGCATATACGGCATATACGCCTCTCAATAGGATAAGGACAACCGAACATTAAAGAAGCACCGACGGGAAACAGTATTTATTTGTCGTGACAAAGAAACTGGACGCGCTTCTTGATTTTTCCGGTTCTTCGCTCTTTCATCCTTGGGTTTGCACAAGTCAGTGTATGCAAGGAAAGGATAGAGGAAAGACAAGAGAAAGAGAAAGTAGAGTGTTCCTTCTGTGTGGTTCATGCATCCAAAGGGAATGTATGGGCATCAGAAATGAGGGGACGGTGGATCGGAAGAAATGTGAGTGTAAGGACTGAGAAGCTGAAGAGTAGTAACATGGGACGCGAGAAGGAGGGAGCGCCAATAGCATCTCTCGTCCCCTTACTCTCCTTCTCCTTGGATTTTTTTTTCATACCCTTCCCTGTCTCCGCGTTCAAAATCGCTTGTTCGTGGAGATAGGCGCCCTCCCCTTGAAAATGGTAAAAAAGAACGAGTGTTGTTCTTGTCTTGGTTGCGTCTCTAACTCTACAATGGTACGACCCCAGGAGCAACCACAAAAGCCATAGGGACTAACCTTTCCATCCTGCTTGTAGCTCTTTTCAGTTTGTTGTTATTTGTCGTTGTTCTTTTGTTGTTGTTGAGTGTAGGATGTCGACCAGGGGAAAGTAGAGGGGGAAAGGGCACTCCCGATTGAAGTCTGAACGTTTTAGCAAAGTTGAGCAAGAGCAACAAAGAGGTATGGATAGTAGTTTTGATGACTCACGGAGAAAGGAAAGAGAGCGTTAGTTGTCATCCAGACTGACTCCTGGCTCGTGTAGCCCTTAGTTTTCATTTCATCCGGTAGAAGTAAACGTTCGTGTTTGCAAGTTCTGTTGTTGTAGATTGTCGTGACCCTTCAAGGCTCATTCTATCGAAAAAAGAGTCCCCAAAGAAACGAGCTTGACATCAAAGGAACCTCCTCGCCTCCTCTTTCATCGCCACCCTAGCAACCACATCCCTTCCTATTAGCTTGTAACGATGACATGCTTTTTCTTTCCCTTCCACTCCCTCTCTCTTCCGTCGTTGTCAGCTCAGGGTAAAACGCAAAAGTACACACAATTTGAACCATTGATTTATTTTCATATGTTCTTTTAATAAGCAAAAACAAAACCAGAGAGTCTTTCAAAGGAACAGGAAGAGAAAGCCCAGGTTGCCTTTAATTTGCTTATTGCTGGGCGGGACGGCCACGGCCCAATCCAGAGCGGAACTCGGGCTTGTAGTCACCGGAGGCACCCTCCTTCTTCTCACCGTCGTCACGGCGGCGGTAGTCCTCGCGGTCACCGCGCTGGCGGTAAGCACCCTCGGGACGCTCTATTAGTTTTCAAAAAGGAAAGGATAATGGGAGTCAGAAACTGATTTGTCGCGAGAACTGGGTTTGAGAGTAATGGTAGGTATCGTTTGGTTGAAGGGGAAGTGTCCAGTCGCGGCTGCTAGGCTGTTTACTGTGGCCATTCTGTTGGTGATAGAGTCGTAACACACTTTTTTGGCAATGTCGGTAGTAGTTTGAAGCGTGAGCGTGCTGAAGTACCCATGTCTCCTGTATTCGTATTGGCCCCCAATTGGCATTTCAACTGCTGCAGAGCACGCTGAATGGAGTCCCGACTGCCAGGTATGTTTGGCAAAACCAGTCTCTGCCACAACACAAATGGCTCAGATGACTGATCATAAACAACCGGGTTCCTGAATGATATCCTCCCAAGTCGGCCAGTTTGTTGAAGTCGATCCAGAAAACGAATGCGTGCTCTTATCCTGCAATTTGACTGCCGCTTCCTTCGCAAAGGCAGTATCCAGGAACGTAATTGACGGAAGGTAGAGATCTTGAGGGGTTTCCAGAAAAACACAAGGCAGGGATCATTACCAGCACGGCGGGGAGCCGAAGGGCGAGCAGTCTTCTTGAAGGTGGCGGGGAAGATCTCCGAGGGCAAGTGGAGGTACTCGCGGAGGTACTCGATACCGGCATCGGTCAAGGTGTAGTAGTAGTACTGCCACGAGAACTGAGTCTTGACGAACTGCTTGGAGTCCAAGGACTGGAGAGCCTTGATGACCTGAAGGTTGGGGACATCGATCTCATCGTGCTTAGGGGCGTTGAAGTCCTTCTTGGCGACCAAGACACCATCTGTTTTCCGTTTGTCGATTGGTTGTTGGAGAGGTTGTTGGAGGGTTGATGTCGGTTGATGATGGTTGTTGGCGGGGAAAGTCGAGATCCAGTCAGAGGAGAACAAGAAAAAAGGGGAGGGTTGCTAGTTAGTAAGGAGTCTGCCATTTCGCCTATTCCATCGTTCATCCTTGTAAAAAACGCCCTTCCTGTGTCAAAAAAAGAGTGGTTTCCATACCCTTGAAGAGGGCCTCGTAGATAAGCTTGCGGTTCTGCTTGGGGATAAGCATGCTGAATTATCTGTTAGAACAAGAACAAGGAAAAGGTGATGGACAGATGTTAGTGATCTGTAGTAAATCTGCTGTTTCTTGAAGTAGTGTTCTCTCCTGAAGGGTTGATGGATTCCTGGCATCGTCTCCATCCTTCCGTCCCCTGCACTCTTTCGTTAAAGTCATCACCGAGTCTGCTTTCTTTTGTCGCCATCCTTCCATTCCACCATTCCTGCTACTCAAAGAAAACCTCCAAGTCGGGTCAAAATAATGGCTATCAGGTCGCTTCTAAGGAGGCGAAAAAATTGGCGATGGGTTCCGATGGAGAGTTGGCGATAGATGGATTGATGGATCGATAGCCGGCGCCGGTTACAGCTGTTGGATGGGTAGCTCCAGTATCCCATGCAATCCATGGATGTCTGTTCAGGTCTCCGTTGTTGTCCTGCACAAGTCACGTGTCTCAACACCTTCTCAGTCAATTAGCGCACCAGTGAAAAAAAGAGGGAGATGATAATTTTGCCAGTTCCACTCCTTTCAAACCAATCGCAAAGCCACCCATCCTTCCTCCTTTGATCTTTTAACCAACGCTCGCCTCCAAATTAATTGTCTGCTGTGCTTGAGTGGAAACAGACACAGACGACATTCGTTGTTTTCGATAATAGCATTGCTCCTTCTCAACGGCATACGATTGAAGTGCTGCTTTCCAAAGCTTGCGATTTCATGGCTACTCTTGGATTCTTCAAGTTTACTGTGCTTGCCCCAGCTCAGGTTCACTCAAAGAGCAATGAAAAATGAACGACCCGTTTACTCACAGAGCGTGGAGGACTACATACAACTGAACTAAAAACGGCATTACAACAAAAAGCTCTTTTTAAGCGACGACGTGCTTGGGGTGGAACTCGGGAGCTTCGACCCTTAACTCGGAGTGCTCAACATCTACTAAAGTAGCAAGCAAAGGAAAAAGGATTTTTATGATCAGCCGAGCGCACGGTCCAAGGTAGGAAGTGAAGAAAAGAGTGCGGGTTCGATCCGACGATTTATATACTTGGGATCTACTTCGTACCGATGACATGGTGGGAGGGGTCCTCCAACTTGTCCATGGCCTGGGAAGCCTTGCTACGGTTGCCGCTGTCAGACTGGGGGACGTTGGTATGGTTGTCGTCCGAGTTGTGCTCGGCTTGGGCACCGCGGTTGGCGAAAGTCTTGAGGTTATTGGTGTGATGCTGGCTACCGTTGTTGTTCTTGTGGACATCCTTGTGGGTATCCTTCGCGGCATGCTTAACATCGTGGTGGGCATCCTTAGCGGCGTTCTTAACATCATGGGCAGCATGCTCAGCTCCCTTCTTAGCCTTCTTCGCCTCGCCCTTGACGTGCTCGCGGGCATCCTCAAAATCGTCGGTGGCATCCTCAAAGTCATCGGTAGTTTCATCAGCGGCATCCTTAACGGCCTCCTTCGAGTGTTTGACACCCTCGTCGGCTTGCTTCTTGACATGCTTGCCGGCATCCTCGGCTCCCTTCTTCGTGTCATGTGCGGCATCCTTAGCGTGCTTCTTCGCCTTCTCAGCATCGTGCTTGACGTCATGAGCAGCATCCTCAGCGCTCTTCTTGACATCCTTAGCAGCATCCTTGGTGTGCTTCTTAGCCTTCTCAGCGCCATCCTTAACATCATCAGCAACTTTCTCAGCACCCTTCTTAGCGTCCTTTGCGGCAGCCTTGAAGTTACCCTTGACCTTTTCGGCACCGTCCTTGACATCGTCAGCGACCTTCTCGGCACCCTTCCTGGCACTCTCGGCGGTGTGTTTGGCTGCCTTTTTGGCATCCTTAGCAGCGGCCTTGATGTTGTCCTTAGCCTTCTCGGCACCCTCCTTCACATCTCCAGCCATCTTTTCAGCGCCCTTCTTAGCGTTCTCAGCAGTCACTTCAAGGTTCTCCTTGGCCTTCTGGAGACCATCCTTGGCGGCGTCGATACCTTGGTCGACCTTATCGAGACCCTCGGCGGCGAGCTCGCGGGCTTGATCGGCGACCTCGCTGGCCTTTTGCTTGGCCTTCTCCGAAGCCTCGGACATCTTCTGCTGGGCCTCTTCGCCGAGCTGCAATAGGGCGATATTAAAGTGAAGGAGGTCAATGAGATGGCATAAAAAAGGGAGGAGAATCGATTTCAATGGGCGCATCGACAAATAGTCAAAAGATAATGATGTGACCAGTTTATCTTACCTCCTTGGCCTCCTTGATGGCCTCGTCCTTGGCAGCTACATGTTTGATAAAGTTAGAAAGCGCGATCTGTCAGAACCATTCTCCGACTATCAACTCGTAGTGCATTACACATAAAAAGGTGGGCGAGTCTGAAAAACATACCGGTTGCCTGGGCGGCAACTTCGTTAGCCTTGTCCTTCAGCTGGGCGGCCTGTTCGGCCCGCTGCTCCTCTGTTGTGGACATGTACCAGTAGACGACGACACTGGCCAAGGCGACGACACCAGCGAACAGGGCATTGCTGGAAACTGATGAACCGGCGTGGTTAACCATAATGTTATATTGAAAAGGCGGTTATATACAAGTGGGAGAAAGTGGATGGATTGTGTGGGTGTTGTTGTGTATGAGTGAAGTGTGATATGTACGGAAAGTATTGATTGAAGAGAGTGTGATATGATAGATAACGGTGAGAGTGGTGACGATAGGTGCAGAAGAGTACGAGGAATAAGGAAAGAATGAAGAGAAAAGAAAGATAAAGGACGTTGATGAAGTGCTTGATATTGAGAAGGTGAAAGACAGAAGCGCGACAAAAGAATGAGTTAAGTGAAAATTTTTGATGAAGTGAAACGAGTCGCATCCAGGGTGGCATAGAAAATGTTTCGCACCACCCCAACATCAGCAAGCATAAGCCGGTTGGTGTCCGAGTTGTCGTCATTCCCTGTATCTTTTATACATGTTCTTTCGCTTTTCGGATCACCGTCATTTGCAGGAAGAAGTATCATGAGTTGTTGTTGTGTTGTTGTTGGAAAAAGGAAATAAAAAATAAAAGAGGAGCTTCAAAAGTTGTCATTGGACAGACAAAACTATCATCCATGGTCATATACCTTTGTGTATCCTACGGTCAATTGTGGGAGATACAGTGGTCAATTGCCCGATTGATGCTCATACCCTATCTCGCGTCCATCTCAGTGGATTCTTGTCATGCCGCCAAAAAGATGTGACGTCAGTGAGCACGCCAAGCCGATCAGGCCTGGCTGGTTATTATTTATTGGACTTTGACTTGTCGGCGTTCAAACGAAAGCGACGTTCTGTGATGAACAATAGAAAATAAAGGAGACTGACTGATGAGGAATTCAAAAAGAAGGAGTGATGACTGAACGGAACGGACTGGTTGATTTGTTAGTTGCCTGAACTGACTGGCAGACAAGCAGCCCCTTCTCCCAACGAATTGGCTGCCTCGAACCCCCCCCTTTTTTTTTTCCTTTTTCCCTGTTTCTGTTCTCGCCCAACACGTTCTCTCTCTTTTCTCACTCAACCCAGTGCCCTTCCTCCCCCCTCACTGCCTGTCGACCACCCATCCGTTCGAGCGCGGCCATCAACACTTCCGCCTTTTATTCTCACTCTCCTTTCGCACAGGCAGGACACTTTACTCGACTTAACAGGAGGACTTCGCCATTAGCCACTTGGTATGTCCAAGTGTCTCGACGGGTGCCAAAAAAAGGCGTGTTTTGTGTTGTGCTTTGTGCTCTGCAATGTCTAAAAGTCGTTCGTGGGTATGCACAAAGCAAGCAAGGAGACCTTTTTTTCCATGCTGCCTCAGGACCAGGGCAACAGCAAAACAAAAAAACAAAAAGAAACAATTGCCACCATCTCGACGGCCGAAGAGAGAGTTTGTTTTCCTAGCGCTCTGTTGCCACTATTTTCTGCTCTTTCTTCTCCCCCACTCACTCACTTCTTCTTTCCCTTACCTCTTTCTTTCGATCCTCCCTTCGATCTCACCTTTAGCTCCCACTACCAGAGCTAAATCGACCACAACCACAACCTCCCTCTCTCTCTTTCTCTCTCTTTCATCAGCACCAACCGCCGAACACCAGTACCCAACCTCGTTCACCACTTGCATCGCTTGGTCTTCTCGGCTCAATCTCCAACCTTAGACCCCTCCATCTCTTTACTGGACTCTCAAAGCCTACCAAACAAACTAAAAACACTTACATGCGAGGTTGTGAGTGACAAGCTTCAAACGAAAACATCGAATGTCCACCGCCATCTCCTTCTCTGCCACTTCCTCGCCAGCGCACAGCCAGATGCACGACGATGACGATCCTCGGCCGAGCTCCACATCTGTCGTCGCAACTTTGAGGCACAGTCCACGATTGCTCCTCCGCAAGTCCGCCAGCGCCCTCAAGGAGCCCGCTCAAAGTCCAGATATCTTTGCTCGAGGACCAGGACCTTCCCTGCGACCATCGACTCGCCTCCAGACCAGGAATACCAGTGCTAGGATGCTCAACACACGACCCAAAAAGACTACCCGACAGCAACAACAGCAGCAACAGCAGCATCAGGGTCGATCCCAGTTATCACAATATACCAATGGTGCCAGTCACCACAAAGACGACAGCACCCTCACAACGACCACTACCACAACTACAACCACCACAACTACTACCACAACATCGACGACAATGTTAACGACCACAGCTACGCTCTTGGCGCTCGCAGCCGGTCGCTTGAACTCGACCGACATCACTATGGACGACGGTCCAGTCCAGACGAGGTCGTCCCGAGCATCATCCTCCATCACCAATGATCATTCGGCTACCATTATCGTCACAGAGCCATCAACGTCATTATCCACGAATACCTCGACACCGACCTCCAGGATCCATGCGGCCTCTGGTCAGAGGCCAACTTCAATTTCGACCGAGGACACAGCCGGACCCAGTACTACAGGAGCTGAGAGACGTTCTCGTGCGACCACCCGAGCTTCATCTCACACAAGAGAAGCGGCCCCATCGAGAGCGAGTAGACCGCGTGCGCGCACTAGAGCTCGGGCAGCAAAGGCAATCAAGGTGCCAGGAGAAGGCGACGAGAAATCAGACGAGGATGACGACGACGAAGATGACGCTCGAATGCGATACCACCTGCGACCACCATCTCACCACCGACGCCACAGGTCATCCCAAAAGTCGGTACCGCAGGAGACAACGACCGAGACGGTGCTCACTTCGCATACCCCTCGCCTGACTCGTTTGGGGGCCCGACACGAGTCTGGGCATGATCTGGAGGAGGACGTTGACCAGGAGCGACTCCACTCCAACCGTCATTTGGAAAATTCAGCAGGCGAGCTCAACCAACCTCACAGCAGGAGATCACGGTCGGCGACCAGCTCCAGTAGTCAGGATAGTCAGGTTTCAAAGAGCAAGAGGCAGACAGGAACATATTCGCCCTCAGGATCGCATGTGACACCGAGAAAGATCAAGAAGACCCCCGACCATCATGAGGTGCCTTCGCTTCCTCCCAGCCGCCGCCGACTTCGTGCCCGAACAACCAAGGTTGCCAAGATGGGGATCGACGAGAGCAACGGCGCTTGCGATGATGAGGAGGAAGATGAAGATGAGGAGGAGGAGGAGGAAGAAGAAGAAGAGGAGGAAGAAGAGGTGGTAGACTATGACGCGTATACCAGGAATGACCCAGACGAGGAGATGCAGGATGTTGGCAAACCCTCGCCTAAGCTACAGACTCGCCAACCAGTATCAGAAGACGCGTCTGCATCCCATGATACAGCGGATGGCTTTATTGCATCCAAACCGGAAGTACCAATGACTGTAGGGGGTCTCAATCACTACTTGAGTCAACAGACGATCCATCACGCCAAGCGAAAGGTCGAGGATGAGGACATGGAAGATGCACCTTCGCTCTCCACAGACGAGGGTCAGGTTGTCAGCACCAAGCTGGCTAGAATCGATGAGACCAGCGACGGCGACAGGAACGCGTACCTCAAGACATTTTACAACATCCTCAAGAGTCCACGAGGCGATGGTATGTTGCATTTGGTCGTTATGAAAATGTGATCGTCGATAGACATGAGCTGCAGCATAGACTAATATTGTCGTTTGCTGTTACTTTCTTGACCGATAGATGACGAGGGAATTTTATCGTCAGAATCCGATGATGCCGACCTTGAATCGGAAGACGACGACGACGACTTTGAAGAAATCGACGTGTAAGTGACTAAAACAGGACGTACATCAACTGAAGGGGCATGAGTACGCGTTTCTTGATGCAAGATATTTACTATACCATTAATCTGATAATAGATGGGAGTTCATTGCTACGTTGCCACCATTGGGCCCTCTCCCGCAGAACTTTATCTTTACTATGCCAGAAAGGACCGCATCTACGCCACCCATCACACTTGTTTTAGATATCGACGAGACCTTGGTTCATTGTGCCACACGGCCTCTAGGTAAGCGCATAAACCTAGCATTGCTTGGACCCTTTTACATCTTTGGTTTACCCTTCTTTGTTTATTGTTACGGTTTGTTAATTGTCTGTTATTGACACGGGTAATGCTGTAGATTCGCCCGATATTGTTTTCCCTGTCGAGTACAACCACGAGACTTGGGAAGTGTATGGCCGAATTCGTCCCGGGATGTATGAATTCCTTGGTGAGTCCAAAGTGTTGTTTGTTACCAATGCACGCACAGCTGACAAACATAGAAGATCGCCCAAGTGTTAACCCGTTGATTTTATTTGTAATGATGTGTGGTCTGAATAGAGAAAATGTCGACAAAATTTGAGGTGATTACGTTCACTGCAAGTCAGGAGTGCTATGCTGAAGCGCTTCTCAAGATTATTGACCCGGAGAAGAAGTTTATCAAGCACCGATACTACCGCGACTCTTGCGTCCCTGTCTTTGGAAACTATGTCAAGGTATGCTTGTACCCCCCACAGAATTGTTGATGTGCGATGACAGAAGTAGCCGTTGTTGATATTCACATGCATTTGCGTTAATATTTTCTGTTGTTGGTGTATTAGGATTTGCGGATTTTGAATCGAGACTTGTCCAAGGTGGTGATTATTGACAATTCGCCACAGGCGTTTGGATACCAAATTTCGAATGGTGTTCCAATTGAGTCGTGGTACGACGACAAGTCAGACCGGGAGCTAGCCAAACTGATGGACTTTTTGGAGACGCTGCATGGTGTTGACGATGTGCGACCCATGATTGACGAGCACTACAAGTTACACGAGCGGATCCACAAGACTGTTACCCTGGCCAATCATCATCAGATCAGCAGCATGAGCGTACTGGGGAACCTGGGCGCAACGTTGACCCCGCCCTCGGGATCAACGTCGAATGTAGGTTCGTCGGACCCGACATCGACACTGAACATTTCGGGCATGGCTACCTCCCATCCTGGCACCTCAAATCTGGGAGAGATGGACGCCACTATGTTGTACGATATGGAGAAGCCACCATCGCCGTCTGACGAGGATAACGAGCGAGAGGAGGAGGATGAGGAGAAGATCCAGCGTGAGCTGAGGAGCCAGAAGAAAGGAGTGGTCGCAGGGGGAGGAAACGCGTCTACGATGACGACGCGGTCGAACAGTCAAGCTATGGATGCTGCCACGAACCTGGCCAAGATTTCGCTGTAGAAGGATATCTTTGTAGCGAACTGGGTCCTATCCAGTAGAGAACTACTCCCCGCTTATGCCTATCCTGTTCTTTTTCAAATATACTTTTGCAGCCTTGTCGTCAATTTGCTGTGTCGTCTACATCTTACTCATCACCAAGCATTTTTTTTCAGCTTGTCATTAATTGAAGGTGCAATGAGCAAGAAAGTGAATCAGGTACAGCAGTGGCAGACAGAGAAAAGGTTTACCCCCTTCTTCGGATTTCGGACATTTTCTCTGTGATGTCCAGTTGACCCTTTCGAAAGAAAGAAAAGAGAGTTGAGTTATGTCATCACAGAGCATTGCGTGGGGTGGCGGTGATGTTTGTTTGTTTGTGCTGAAGCAATGCAATGGAGAGAAAGGGGGGGGAGCCTCCTCTTCGGTAGTCCGGGGTATCCATTTCGGACCCGGCGGAAGTTAATTCAACCGCGATTATTTTCATTTCTCCCCTGCAGCCTGCTGTTTAATTTCTTTTTCTGGATCCCCGCTTCCTCATGGCAAAGACCTAAATGGTTCCGGATGAACGTTTTGCTCATCCAGCGCACCCTTTTCTTTTTTTTTTTCTTCTCTTATTCAATGTAGCGTATGTATGTATGCAGGATGATGTTAGTTTTTTTTTTTCTTTTGGTCTGTTCTTTCGTTGGGGAAGGAGCAAAGGATCGGGGGAGCCGTAGGGTATTGGGGTTGGGCGTTTCGTCTAGTTAGTGATAACTTAGGGTGTAAAGAGAGGGAGGCGCTGCCGAAATATTCCGACAGGCTACCCGGTTGAAGTGATAACGTGCATTAAACCAGCTACTTAAAAAAGCTCTTTCCCCTCTCCTCCTCCCCCACTCCCCCCTCCACACCTCTCCCCGATGGCTAAGGAGAAAGGGTCCATATATGGAGGAGAGAGTACCTCCAAGGAGACGGATGCCATGGACGTCCGAAATGACAGGTGCGAGGGTAAACAATACGGAGAAAAAAAAAAAAAAAAAAAAAAAAAAGAGCTGTTTCGATGACTCGCACGGAGTCCTGCAAAAAAAAAGCGTGGGGTGGGAGAAAGACAAATGATCGATCGAGTTAAGCCCCGAGCGCAATGTTCTTGTAAGTAAGGATGGAGGAAATTTTTGTATAACGTTTGCAAGCGACTATGATGGCGTTATTGACTGTCTATCGTTTTTGCGACCCATTGGTCGGTCTCTTGTCTTTCCAGGATGAGGATTTGGATGAGGGGAGGGGGGAAGCTCAATCCACGCCAAACAAAATAAAGGCGCACGCCAGCAAGGTAAAAAATAGAGATGCAGAAAACAAACAAACAAACATTCATACAAAGAAGCAGTACAGTAGTAGAAGTAATTGCGAAATACCAACACAACCATCAGACAAAACACATCAAAACAGAACGACAATGGAATGAACCAAAGGAAGGACTGGAGGAGAGAGCTCTTTTAAATGTCAATAGATGGAGGCGTGGAGGACGAGGACAATACCATACAGGCACAGGGGAGGAAGAAGGGTGTCCCGGGCGGTTGTCATGTGTTTGCGTATATTTCAAACGAAATGAAATCTTTTGATTCGTCCTTCTCCGCCCACCCTCTGCCTTTGATGTCTCGCAATTGTATACCCCTTTCGTACGGTGTTATTTGCCCCACAAAAGTACCACGAGTCGAAAAGCTATTACAGAACCGCGCGAGTGGAACCGAAAAAAGAAAACGAGAAAACTTTTATTCAGGTACATCTTCAACAAACAATTAAAGGGAGTAATTCCTTTACCGATCCGTGGAAATGAAAATGAATGAGCGCTACACAAGTTCATTGCATATGCACGGCAGCACGAGGTGGCAGCCGAAAGAAAAAAATGAGGCAGTGAGTGAGCAGTTTTTAATGGCTCGGGCCAAGGGACGGAAAGAAGACAGGGGTTTCTCATGATCATTTCCGTAACCGCCCATGGCTCGCTAGCCTGGTGTGTGGTTCCCTTCTCCTTGCCCGGGCCGGTTCGAACGAACCATCGGGACTTCAACGGTAGAATGGCCAAGAATCAACAGTAAGCACGATTGGCAGTTCAGACGAGAAGAACTGACTAATGTGATCGTCCATAATATAACTTGATGCTTACCGTTGTAGCTGTCAGTTACTCACTCAACGGAATGGCGATTTGAAAGGGGAAAAAAAAAGAGTTCAAAGTGTCCATGGACAATGACTTGGAGAAGAAAGCACCAATTGAACTTCCGCACCCTGTTTTAGTTTCTTATGCAAGTGAGGTTTTCCATCATTGAAGAACTGCGGGGTGTCCAGGGTTGGTCCTGCTGGAAGAAGGGAAAATATAAAGGTCAATTGTCGTGTGCCGTCGCATCGAAGAAAAAGAGGAGTGCGAAAAGTCAAGAGGAAAACACTGAGAAAGCGTGTACGCCACCACCGAATGTAGAAAGGAAATGAAAAAAGGGAGAGATAGGAAGGGACGGAACGTGGTCGGGCGTCGATGGTTTGGTTTGTATTATTTTGTGCATCCGAGGGATGGTTCAACTGAGGACACGGTCCAAGTTGTTTTGTGTTTTTTTTCTACGGTCGAGAAGACAGATAGGTAACAGGTGCAAAGTAAAAGGATGTGCAAAGCCAAAATGAAAACCGAACCCAACGTTTTTTTTTAATAGCCATTCGTCCATTCATCTGTCAACAAGAGCTCTCTGGTTGTTGACAGTCTGTTGCCTGTTGTTATTGTTGATTTCTGACACATCTTGAGGTCGATGGAGCCAATTGGCAAACAAATGGTGGGGAGATAGGCTACTGTCGAGAGAGACGGCATGGTTAGGTTCAATTGCTTTGCTTTTTTTTGTTGACACACAGTGTGCCTGAACGAACTGAATGAATGAATTGAAGGCGTGGGTAGTACAAAGGGAGTCATCATCATTTTCTGGACTTTCTTTCTGTGAGGAAGAAGGATGTATCCAAGCAACTCGAAAAGAAACGAGTTTGCTTTTTGGTGTTGTTAGCCAGTAAGGGAGGACTGGGTGCGGTGAGGGAACCATTTTGGAGGTAAAGGGAAGGAAGTGGGAGAGCAATTAGAAGCAACAGTCAACGGTAGTGGAGAAGAGGAAGAAGCGAAGAGAGCAGAAGGGAAGGAGATGGAGAAGGAGAGGTGAGAAGGGGAGAAGGAGAGGTGAGAAGGGGAGAAGGAGAGGAGAGGAAAGGGAGAGGGGGTACATGGCGGGAGTATGTGTGGAAGAGATGACAGCAGAGCAAGATTATCGTATTAGGTAGGCTAATGAATGAATGAATGAATGAACGCAATGAATACTACTTATATTCTGGCAGTGGGCCTCGATATAACCCTTGCCTTGGAGGTGAAAGAGATGATGATGACCTTTGATGGACCGGGACTGGACTGTACTAAAAAGAGACTGCCTTCCTTCCTTCCCTTCTTCCCTTCTTCTTGAAGAAAGATAAAAATTCTCCAAGGGTATCTCCCATGCCCCGTCTTTTCTTTCTTTTCTACTTCATCCCTCTTCTCTTCTCTTCCCTTCTTCCCTCTTCCTTTTCTCTTCACACCTCTAATTCCTCCTTCATTTTTGTATACTTACTTCTCTTTGTATTTCTTCTTTTTCTTTCTTCTCCTCTCCTGCCTCTCATTTCACTCATTCATACCCTTTCTTTACTCGTCTCTTTGACTCCCTTGACTCATCCCAACGTTCACACACTCTTGTCTTTTTCTACTCTCTCTCTGCCAACACTCCTTCTTCTTTCTGGCACACCCTCCACATCAAAGACAGCCCTCCCTACTCTATTCTTTCTCACACCTACTTACGAATACTCCGCAGCCCCCTCTTTCTTGAAGCTTGACTCCCCACACCCATACACCCTTCTCGCCCTTCTCACCCGACCAACGAACGTTTCAAAGAGCAAACTCCACACTTCAACCCCACACTCACTCCTCCCACACCCCCTTCACCTTCACATACACTCTAAGACACACAATGACAAAGATCAAGCCAAGGCTCATCGCTCGCATCTCCTGCCAGGAATGTCGTCGACGAAAGACCCGCTGCAACTTTGATGGCCAGAATCAAAAGTGCTCCACCTGTGCCCGCATCGGCACCGCCTGTATCTTCTCCCAAAAGAATGGTGTCATCCTCGATATGGACAAGGTCATGGAAGAAAACAACCCCCACCTCGTCCACCAGCGAGAAAAGGAACAGCGAGCAAAGGAGCGTGCCCGTCTTGCCGCCAACACTTCCGCCAACACCATCACGTCCTCCTCCTCCGCTACCGCAGGTCTTATGGGTCCTACCTTGGCTCCTGCCCCAGACATGTCCATCTACTCAAAGTCGAGCCCGTCTTCCTCGTACCTCTCCTCAAGTGTCTTCCCTAACAGGCCAAGCAGGAGCAACAGCACCTCGGGTGCCCTGCCATTGAAAGGACCCTCCTCCTCAACAGAGGATCTCTCCAGTGTCATGGATCGCCTCCAGATCGATGCCTTTGGAATCGCTCCTCATACCCTTCGCAGCTTCAGTCAAGTCGCCGGTGACAACGACTCTGCAGAAACTTCCTCGAGCGAATACTCTGACAACGAACCTACACACCCCAACGCCCTCTCAGACTCTCAGGATCCAAATGATGTGCCGTCGTCGTCGCCTTTGATGAACAAGCGCAACAGCGCCGGCAGTTCCTCTGGCTCTCATCACCGATCATCTAGGAGTCGCTCCGTACCATTAGTCGATATTCAACCGGACTTGATCGATCTCTACTTTCAGCATGTTCACCCTTACCTCCTTGTCATCCACAAGCCCTCCTTTTTCCGCAGGCTGCACGATCCCCGCGACCCTGTGCCGGACTTTGTCTTGGCTGCCATGTATGCTGCCGCCTCTCACTATGCACCCGGACGGGAACAGGATGGCCGTCGCTACTTTGAGTTCTGGCTGAGCCGATTGGATGATACACTGGATAAGCCCCGTCTTTCGACTATCCAGGCGTTACTCATGATCATCAAGTACCAGGAGGGTGTCAGGAAGACGGGATTCTACTTTCGGACATATATGTACACCCAGATGGTTATTGTTCTCGCTCGAGTAAGTCTTCTTTTTTACCCCGAACCCACGCAGTTGACGAATGTCCATACCAATTTTAAGTGAGCGCGCACAGGGACAACCCAGCTCATCATCTTTTTTTTCTCACTCGTATTTATTTTAATAATAGGAACTTCAATTGCACAAAACAACACCTGTCAACGCCAAGCTGGACCCAGAGAGTCATGAAGTCAGACGACGACTCTTCTGGGCCATCTTTGTTCTCGACCAGTTCCTCTCAGTCTCGCAGGGTAGGACAATGAGCTTCCGAGAGGTCGAACCGGAGGCGGACTTGCCACGCACAGACAACGAGAACCCGAACGACCCAGAGGAGATCGAAATCATCCAGAACGCCGTCGAATACATCAAGCTGGTCAAGATCGACCACCAGGCTCTGATCCTCGTCCGCAAGTTCCTCACCAAGGTTGTCACGCCCGAGGAAACCATTCCCCAGGGACTCTTCCTCCACCAAGCCATGCTCGCCTGGAAGGCCAACCTCCCTGCTCGACTCCAGCTCGCATCCAACATGTCACCCCACACCCCCTTTGTCGGCATGCTCCATATCCTCTACCACGCTTGCGCCATCATGATCCAGCGGTGCTACTGCGAGGACCCCAGCGTCAGTCATTTGGAGATTGCGGCCGCCTCGAGGGAAACCTGCTCTGTTTCGGCAACCAACATCACGGTCATTATCGACGACCTCTACACCAACTACGGCATGCTTCCTATGTCCTACCCGATGCGAGGCTGCTACTTTGTCATCTACTGCCTGATTGCCGCTGCGACGATTCAGGTGACCGATATCCGGATGGGAGGCAATGGAACGATCATGTTTAAGCGATCCCTAGCCCTTCTCAACCTCATCCTACGAAAGTCCACCGCGGTCGATATCGAAAAGGAGGTCGAGTTGTTGAAGAATTCGATGGATGCTGTCATGGAGTCTCATTCCCAGTCGATGACTTCCAGCTACCAGCAGGACCACCGCCTTACCTTCAAGCCCATCTTGCCCATGTCGCAGAAGTACGGTTCAAAGCTGAACTTTGGGGGCTCGGCCTCAGCTCCGATCAGGATTCGAAAGATCTCGCCCAGGGTTTCATCGAGCCCTTCTGCCGGTGTTAGTTCGCCTTCCATGGGAGCACTGTCTCAGTCCCTCAACAGCAGCAATAATCAAACCCGGGACTCGTCATCTGCAACCCTGGCTTCTTCCAAGAACACGTCGAAGGATTCACCTCAGTCAGGAGGAGCAGTAACCTTCCCCAAGAGCTCTTCTTACATGTCAGGCACATGTGAATCCAATTCGACAGCGAGCCAATCAGCGACCAGAACTCAGTCTGACTCCATTCTGTCCTTGCAGAATCAGAGTCAGCAACAACAACCCGACGATGATCTGGACCTGAACATTAAATGTTCTCCCTCGCCGGACATGGGTTCAAGAGCTCTCCTCTCCAGCTTTGGAAACATTGTCGATGGATCCGCTCCGGGTGACGAAACCTTTTTGCGGTCTGTACCTGCCTTTACTGCGCCAGCATCTCTCCCTACGGACTTTAATGCATTTGCTCAAGCCCAGCAGCAGGCCCTGGCTGCCAGTGGAAGTCAAAACCCACCTCCACTGATGTCTCTAGCACAGCTCCTGGTTTTCCAGCAGGAGCAACAGCGCCTGCAGCAGCAGCAACAACAGCAGCAACAGCAACAACAGCAGCAACAACAGCAACAGGCAATCGCTTCGTTAGACCAATTGACTGCTGCTCAAATCCAGGAACAGCACCAGTTGAACCAGCACCGACAGGTCTTACAACTCCAGCAGCAGCAACACGAGCAGTTGCAGCAGCAGCAGCGCCAGTACCAATTGCTCTTGCAACAGCAGGACCCAGCCTTGGTCAGCGCATTCCTCAACAACTTTTCCAACCTCACCAACTATCAGCAGCTCAATTCGGATCAAGCCCAAAATGAGCTCTTGTCGATCCTGGACTCTACAATGTTCACCAACAACAATAACAACAACAATGGAAACTCCTTTGACAGCACCAACAACAGCAACCCGTTCGGACTGACATCGTCGATCCTTCAGCAACAACAAAGATCGCAGCAGTCATCGGGCTCGTTCCAACCATCAAGATCGATGTCCCCTTCTAGCACCAGTATGTCATCGACGTTCAGTCCCGATATGGGCAGCAGCACTCTGAGCTCTAGTGACTTCGCCTCTGCAGCAAGCGCTCGGCGGTACCAGCAGCAGGACCGACACCGGACATTCTCTTCGGATGACGCCTTCTTGGCCGAGGCAGCAATGGGAAGGACGAATCTGCACGACACACCCTCGCCCGAGTCGTTCCCCGTCCTGGATCTGGCTAGCTCGTTCCCGGCTTATATTGGAACTGATAGCGCGATCCCCTTTGGTGTCCGTCAGGCTCTGGGCGATGCTAGCAAGCTCTTCAAGTTTGAGGCGTCCCAGACTGGTCTCTCTGCCGAGTAGACGGATTCTATTTTTTTTCTTTCTCTTGTACAACAGTAGCACATATGCATTCAAATACAATTATCAACTTTTTCTTCACATCCAATAACCCACTTGGACGTATGACTGGTTTACTAGGGCAGTTACAAATTTCTTTAATTATGGAGAGTCCTTTTGACTACACTGTGCCCTTATTTCTTGTGCTTGGCCATGTCAAGGTTTATTTCGAACCTTATTGATAAGTCGGATAACGACATGTGTAAATAAAAACCACATACCGAATGGCGAGAACTGCTCCAATGAACAAAAGAAGGATACAACACTGAACGGCCACAGACCTTTTGTGTGCTCATCGTCGTTTGGAGCATTGACACACATACTCCATTCTATTGGTTTTCGTTCTTTGGACTGTACATTGATGCACCCAGGAAAAGAATTGTTTGTCTCACTTTCTTTGGGTGTCATTCCTTCGTTGCAATCCATTCATTCTCTCACATTCATCATTCATTCATTCATTTGAAGGCAAGAGATAGATTGAATGAGTGAGTGAGTGTAGACAAAGAGATAGATCCATTCCCTTCCCTCTGATTATCTTCCCGACGACGGTCGAAAGTATGTGTGTGGTTTCGTCTATGTGAGATGCCCGATCCGTTGCCCAACAACAGGACCCTGCGCCAGTTCCAACTCTGCCACCTCCGTCCCCACCTCCTTCTTCTCCCTCTGCTCATGCTTCTTCTGGTCCTCGTTCTTCTGTTACCCATTCCACTTCCTCCCCTCCTTCGTCGTCGCCTTATTCCTTATGTCGCCCTGCATGTTTCTCTTGGCCTTTGTCCTCTAGACACCCAGCCAAAGCCTGTTGTCCATCGCCTCACCGTGACCATAATGCCATTTGGGTTCCTGAAGGACTTGACTTATACTCCGCATGCTAATAGTACTGCTACCAGTCATCGTGAGGTCCTTACGGCTACTAGTCCTCATGAAGTCCTTACGGCTAGCTTCCCACAAGGCGTTGTCGCCAACCGTCATCAAGTCTTGGTCTTTAGTCGACGCGGGGGTTATGTTTCGACTTGTTTACAACTCCTGTAGTTTTGATCGATGGTGTTCGTATTAACATCAGCTGTTCTCGAGTATGTGTTTGCACTTTCTATAATATAATCTCAAAAGGGAAATATATCAGGGTACAACGACAATTTGGATAGAGAGACTTAAGAACGTGGCGGTGAGAAAAGAGGATAGGGGCTCTTGTAGATGGATAGGTAGAATACAAGAAAAAAGTTAGGGATTGTTGCCGCTCGAAGAATCTACGCCCCACCCTCTGGTCTCGATCTCGTCTTTACTCGTTATTGCTCCTTAGTTTGCCAAAGTGACTGCCCTCTAGGTAAAGCCCCCATTTGCCCAAGGTAGAAGGCTAATCTTGGCCATCAGCTTCGCCATGGCATTGCCTTCGCCTTTTTGTCATTTTCGCCCTACCATTCACCCGCTTTTCCGCCATGGCTAACATTCACCTCCATCGCTCTCCCCCCCTTCCTCCTCTTCGACTGACAGGATTTTTTGACCTCTGTTTCTTTTATGAAGGTTTACGTTTGAACCTGTTTTTTGACAAATTTCTTTGCCTCGCTAAAAGCCTAAAACGCACAAAAGAGGGAAGAGAAAATCGAATCTGCCCATCTTTTTTTTTTCTGGGACCAGACATCGTCGTCGAGCCCTATATCTACATGAGTGTCGAGCATCCCCTTTGATTGATCAATTTCAAAGTGGCATTTGCTTCACGGATTGAAGAACTCATGGAACAAAAAATGGATGTAGTTATTTCCCTCACCAAAGACCCTCTTTTTCATGTTTGCTTTGGGGGTGTGCCTGGTTACTCAATTTTATGCAAATATGAAGGGAAACTGATGACGAACAAAATGCCTGTAAAAAAATAATATTACAGTCCCTTTTGCTGGTAATTGCACTTTTCATAGGAAAAACGCAATTTCTACTGAATCAAAAAAATATAAAGGTGTTATTCAGTCCATCTGTGATGGCCTATTTACCTTATGTCCTCGCAGAGTTTGCGACTGAACGAGAGGTAGGGCGGTATGTGACCAGTAAAGCCAAGCAGAGATGGAGGTGGACTGAATAACACCTTTATATTTTTTTGATTCAGTAGAAATTGCGTTTTTCCTATGAAAAGTGCAATTACCAGCAAAAGGGACTGTAGGGACTTTTCAGTTGTTGGTGTCACAAAAAAGAGAATTTGCATCTACTTTTTGTCCCTTCCCTTCATAATTCGCATTAAGCGAATGCTCCAATGAAAAAAACCTCCATCAACCCTGATGCCTTCTACTCATTGAAGAATGGGACTAATGGCAATGATGCCAGATCCCAAAAGAAATTGGATTGACAGATTCCTTATTTGCTTCCCTCTCTTTCACGTTCAAGAGGCAACATGTGGAAGACGAAAAATTACGGGTAAAACAGGTTCAAAGATCACCCTTCATAAATGCAAAGCATATGTCCAAAGTGGCGTGACGACGGAAGGACGAAGGGTTATTCACGTTTCACATAATGGTAACACAAGACTCTTCCCATACTTACTAAGTCATTTCCAACGCTCCTCAACAAACAAAGGCAAGAGGGTGTAACTGAGTCTTCCACGCAACAACATTCAAAAAAGGGTTCAGTTTCTCACTTTCGTATATCCTCACGTTTTTTTGTTTTAGTTGATCCTGAATATCGAAAATGCGCTTCCTCTCACGTGGTGTTTTCTGGCGATGTTTGGCATGGTTGAGCTTGGTCAAGGCGTAGGACGAGACTTGTGTTGTTAATTTTATCGCCAGCGAAATATTAAAGGTTCAGGACTGTGACGCTGCCGATTCTGTCTGTCTCTGCGGGGCTTATGAGGCCATAGCAACATGCTATAATAACTGCCCTAGCGAACCATGGGCACCGGCTGCTAGGAAAGAAGTCTCCACCTACTGTGAAAACGCTGCCTTGCTTGGTATGTCCGCGAAAAAAACAATGTAGCGGTGTCATTCTCTCTCTGACAACATCCTTTAATAAATCGCTCTACTCTTTAAAAATGGTCCTGAGTTATTAGGAATGTGGAAGGAATGGAGACTGTGGCAATTCAAGGAACGGTAGGAGGAAAGAAGGACGAGGAGTCTTTTTTGCTGTCTGGGCCTGCACCTTTGTGGCTCCTCACATCTCTACCCCCGAGGTCGTTTTTCTCCATCCAATTCTCGGTCTTTTTTCAACAGAAGAACAAAATAACACCAACGACAGCAGCAACAGCTCATACCTAAGAACATCCTCTTACTACTGAAATGTGCGATTGTGCGCTTTCTTTTCTAACTGCACGCATCGAACTTTTCCAATTTTGGTGGCGTCAATGAAAAATTGAGAATCTGAAACGCGCGTGGGTGTCTAGCCATTCATTCATTTGTTTTCATTCATCCTTTCTTTCTCTCTTTCTTTCTTCCTTTCCGGCTCAATATCATTTCTCCATCAAAAACTTATCTCTTTTCACTCATACTCACCACAACTTCTGCACGACGCTCCAAGCCTTCTCTCGCACACACAAGCACACAAATTCTCACACAAACACAAACACAAATACAAACACTCTTACACAAATACTCCCTCTCTTCCTCCTCTCGCTGGTTGTTATTCAACCAATGGTTCAAAAACCCATAAACCGAATCCTTCTTCCCGAAGGCAATAACCTCGACGACGGCAACATCGACTTCACCATGCTAGATATCGCCGCTGACTACACCGAGACCGAGATTTTAGACTCCGTTATCCAGTTTCACCCTCCAGCACCCATAACTCATCCACCACCACAACCATCACCACAACCAACCATCTCCTCCTTCTACCCCCACTCTCCTGTCGCCTCCTCTTCGTCGTCGACCTTCTATTACCGCACTGGAGACCTATCCTACATCGCCCATGCTTGGTCATGGTCCTGTCATGTCGTCCATGGAGTATACAGCGTTTCCTCGGTCCGTTGTTGCTACCACTACTGCGTCTGATTCTCCCTCATTTCCTCCTCCTCTTCTTGTACTCACCATCCTACACTGACCCGGGAGAAGGTAGTGCTTGCGAATACGAGAGGGTTTTATACTAGTAGCTCTCGCTTCTGCCAGGCGACATATATCGAAAAAAGACACATTAGAGTTACTGTTCAATTTACCCACGGAAGTTCACCCAGTCGAAATGATCATGTCATCGCACTTCGCCCACCTAATGTCTCTCAACCTCTGATTTGTTGGTCAAGGTCTCACTGCATGTTCGAGCAGTGTACAATATTTGGTATTTTTTCAATCGCTTGGTAAAAATCGACAGGGGCTCAGGCGCAAAAAAAAAAAAAAAAACGTGGTCGACATGCAGGCGGACACTTCATTTGTTGAGTGCAGGGTTGGTATGCAAAAAACAGGGGTTAATTGTAGTGCTTACATTCATTTGAACAATCAAAACATTGGCTAAGGTAATAGGGTCATTGTCGACAATGGTAAGGGTTCCCCTCTCCATGTTTGCGTGATACGAAAGAATGTTTGTGTTTCTTGTCGACTGTTTATTTTGGATGTAGCACTATTAGTATTAAGATTAACATTATGGATATAAGTAAGTAAGAGAGTAGTAAAATAGGGGAGGACAGGTGGAGAAGGAGAGGGAGGGAGCTGACATGATGATGTGTCATTTAGGAGGGAGAGAGTATGAAAACGGGTGACATAGGTCCAACAATGGTCAGGACCACAAGGACAAGGACGGCGAAGGCGAAGACCAGATGAAGGATAATCGGCACCGTCATTCGGAAGCGTAAAGGTGTCATTGGCTTGACAGTGAATGTTGGGCAGAGGTACACCGCAACTGAGAGAATCCGTCTTGAAAAGAAGACATCACGGCGACGGTTAAGGTGACGATGGTTCTCGATGAGGGATGTGCCAACGGTGACGAATTCTTGGTCTTCAAGAGCTTGCAGGGTGTTTGTGGTCGCTTGGTGGAGAGCGGCGGCGGCGGCATCAGCAGCGGCGATAGCATGGATGTCAATAGGTTGGTCATTATTTGCGCCCAGATCGGCTGGAAAGAGGTCGTTGGCAAAGTCGGTTTGATAAGTTTGGAATGAGGGGGTGAGGAAGGGAGGTGAGGGATTGATGTGAGGATGCTGGACGATGGCGTGGTGGTGGTTTCTGGATGATTGCTTATGATAGGGAGGCATGTATAGTGATGATGAGCGAGGGTGTCTTTATGTATAGGGTACGTTGTCTAGGTGTTTGTTATTAGTTGTTATATAAGAGGCTGAGAATGAGTGAAGAAAAAGAAAGAAGAAAAGAAAGAGAAGGAGAGAGAGAAGAAAAAAGCGAGAGTGAAAAGAGAGATAGAGAAAGAGAGTCACAGAGCATTCGCCTAGAGGGTCAGAAGAGGAACCAGTAACAGGATCAACCCCTGAGTCGGTCAATTGCTTTAGAAATTCACTCGCCATCCCCTCATTGGACCCATGGGTCTCTGTGATCAGGCAAACTCACCCTACCCTTGCCATCCAACTCACCTTCCTTCAATGTTGTTGTTTTCTTTTCTCTATTTTCCTTCTATCCTCTTTGAGCCCCTCGTTCCCTCTCTTTATCGCTTATCTACATTAAGCAATTCGGTGGTCATGCATACTAACGCCGCGGAGGAACGAAGGTGTATGTATGTGTGTGTGTGTAAGACAGAGAGAGGGATGATCGCCTTTTCCACTTTCTTACTTGCCACATTACCTCACCCCGCTCCCCCTACCTTCTCAATGATTTGTAAAAGAAAAAAGGGCTGGCATTTTGATTTTTCCCTCCCTCTCTCTTTCTCGCCTTCTACTACCCCCTCTCCCTCCCTTCTAATTTAATGGGTGAATATGCACGGCACGGTCTTTGCCCTTGCATTATTGTTTTGCAACAGAGAGAAGAGTGATAAAGCTACCATTAACAACAACCTCACTCCTCCCTCCAGCCTTCCCGCCATCCGTTGATTTTTGAACGCTCCGTGTGCATTTGGTTTGTTTTGTTTGTTTTGTTTTGTTTTGTTTTGTTATTTGTGATAATTTGTTATACTTCAGACTGTAAAAGGATGAACGAGTGTATGAACAAGAGTAACAAAGAGAAGATATGAATGAACAGCGAGCGAGAGATGATGTATATGAGAAGGTTCGGTTTTTTTTGTTTTATTCCATCTGGTCTATTTATGGCAGCGGTGGAAAGAAAATGAACAGCTGTGCCATGAGCACGGTAAATAATAACAAAATGTGATAATGAACAAGAAAAAAAAAATGATGAACAGAAAGGTAGTGAATGTTAAGGCTAATGCTTTGTGTGAGATGTTACAAGAAGAGGAGGAATGAGTCCAAGCCAAAGAGAGAAAAAAGAGAGTACAAGGAGTAGAGAAATACAAAAAGGGTAATACATATATGTGGAGGGAGTGAAAGCGTCGTCGTACAAACAAATATATGTACACATCGATAGCGAATTAAGGAAAAGGGGTTGAGAGAGAACAGATCAACGAAATAAAAACAACAAAAAGATAGAAAAGTATGCATTGGATGATGGTGGAGGTGGAAAAAGTACAGCTGTTAAAAGAGTGGAGGATGGGGGTGGAAGGGAGAGGTGGGGTGGTTGAGGACCTGCTCAAGAGCGCCTGCGCCAAACAAAATTTCGTCACCCTCTCTCCCCCCTTGGACCTTGTTGGCTTGAGACGTCAGGGCAGCCTCGCCTGGATTGTAAGCCTTGGAGAGCAGAGACTTTCTTGGCCTTGGAGAGCAGAGACTTTCTTGGCCTTGGCGAGGAGGCGAGTGGGCTGGGACACGGTCACTACTGGCCCTGGCCTTGTCCTTGATTTGCTGGCGCAGCTCCGTTGCCGTTGGGTTGGCCAGTGTTGTTTTGGAGAGGACCACCACCTTGCTGCTGCTGTTGTTGTTGTGCTGCCAATGTTGCTCCAATCGACTCCTGGGTCTGTTGTTCGTTTGCTGCCAATGCGCTTGCCATGATAGCATCCTGATTTTCTTGTACGATAATTGCACCTTCTTGTTGTATGGCGAGGATATTGGGGGCTTGTCGTTCCGTATAAGTCGTTACTACCACATTCTTCATGGAGGAAGTAGGTGAGGTGGATCGGTCTCCTGGTTGGTTGTGAAGGCGGTTGTAAGATGTGCTAAAGCCGGGAGTCATCTTTTTTTGAGGTTGTTTTGTTGTGTGAGGGTTTTGGGATGGGATGAGTTGTGCTTGGGTTTATTACAAGTTGTGTTTAGGTGTGTTAAAGGAAGAAAGATGTGGGATCTGTGGTAGTGGTGAGGGTATATTGCTTGGGGTTGTGGTGGTGAGGAGGTTACTTTGGGTGATGAATAATGGTGAAGTGTAGGACTGAGATAAAGAAAAGAAAATGACGATAATGAAGAGAGGAAAAGAAATCGAAAATGATACCGATACCGTATTTATAGTATTTGGAGGGGTGGTGAGGGCGGCAAAGAATACATATCAAACCCTTTCTACCAGAGTACTGGCGAAGGAGGGCTTCTTTTTCGCCTTCACCGTCCACTTCTTGATGCCATTGGTTATTATGGCCGATGGTACTGCATCGATACTGTTAATGAAAAGGGTGCAAAAATAATTTTAAAAATGACGACATACCATCGCACTGCCTGCTCTTACTCTTTTGCAAAACCCCAAAGCACCAATAACGCCCATCTCCTATTCTTCGCCAATTGTGATACACGCTTGCACAACAGAAAAAGGATGTTACCACTACTTCCCACGTAGTGCTTGGTTAGTAATGACTTCTAGGAAGGAAATCATCATGAAAGGAAATCATCAAGAAAAGAAAAGAACAATGAAAAAAGAAACAGGAAAAAGTTCAACAAGTGTGCCTGGCGAAGACTTAACCGCGCCTCCAAAACCACTTCCTGCTCCTACTCCTGCTGCCTGCCTGTGGATATTTTTACTTTCATTTCGCCCTTTTGTCACTACTTCGGTGATCATGCTGGTTCATCCCTTCCCACAGCTGCAAGAATGAAGCCACATCAACTTTTATACATGATTTCCGACAAATTACAACTGGACTTTTGAAACGGAAGGAGGGAGTGAAGAAAGAACTTTCAAAAGTTGGAATTCTTTTTTCTTTTTCTATCAAGGAGGCTCAGCCTCCTGTTCCATTCCTATGTAGCATTTGTCGGTCGCCTAGTGAAAGAAACGAGAATAGACACCAGGGTCCGTCAAAAGAGTCACCTCGGGCATTTTCTTGTTCATATCGAAGAGACAGAGACCAAACTTGGAGGTGAGGACAAAACGATATGCATTCCCGTAGTCACTTCTTGGCAGAAAGAGGATTTCTAATCGGGTTTGAAGTCGATGACCCCACCCCCGGAGAGAGTCGCTATCAAGACGAAGAGTAACATAGATAACCCTTTATTCTAGGACTTTTATTTTCGCCTTCTTCGCCACCCTGGCTATGATAATAGTATAGATAGCTCCTTCCCACTTCTGTGCCGACACGACGTTTGCCTAGGCCCTCGCTAGAATCCACGTCCATTTTTTTCGAACACCGCTTCACATATGTGATGTATCATGTCTGACAGGCGAAGTGGTCGCTTGGTGTTGTTCGGTCACTATGGCAGAAACAGTCACTCGAGTCAAAATACGCTTTTTTACCTGAGATTCATTTGGCCATTCACTCTCCTTTGCTTCCATTCAATCACCATCAACACTCAACAACAGCCATGGCCATCATCGAAGAAGTCCCCGAGACGCCCATCGTTATCGACAGCAACGAGGCCCCCGTCGAGGCCTTCCTGGGTCTCTCTCGCGAGCAGTGCCATATCCTCTTGGCCCTCTACCATGTCGTCGACCCCTCCCTCGAACCCGCAGTCCCCACCCTCTTCCCAGAAATGGCCCGCAAGTTTGGTGAGGACCGCAAGGAGCGCAACTCTGTCAGCAAGAAGCTCGAGCGTGCCCCCGAGGTCTACTCCCAGGAAGTTCTCAACCTGCAGGAGATCCAGAAGGCCGTCTTTGTGGCGTTGATGGAGACGGACATGGATTTGAACAAGGCGCGCGAGTATCTGAAGTTGGATGGGAGCAAGAAGATGGAGGACATGACTATCCAGGAGGTGTTGTCGAATGGGTTCTTGTTGGGTGGTATGCGTGATGATTCGAATGCTCCCGAGGGTAAGAAGTCGTCGCCTTTGTCGTCGCCCAACTTCCGGGAGGCCAAGAAGTTTTATGATTATGCGTTCGACAAGTTCAAGTTCACGATGGCTGCTGTCCAGTTGGGATCGTTCTACTTGCACGAGTTCAAGGAGTGCCAAGGAGAGAACTGTCTGGAGGGCGAGGATCCTGAGCAGGTCTCGTTGGAGTACTACCTCAAGGCTGCCGAGGAGGGTAATCCCATGGCGATGCACAAGGCTGCATGGCACTTTGACCAGAAGGGTGATTGGCACAAGGCCATCGAGTGGTACGTCAAGGCCGCCGACTACGGTAAGTTTCTATTAATTTTTTTTGGTCAAATGCTGGCAATACTATGGGAGCTGTGTCTTTCGAGTGGAAGTTCGCGCTCGTTCTTTTTTTTGCCATGATTGAGATTCTCACTCACCCTATCAAATTAAATAATTTGAACAACTAGGTTACCCGGATTCGGCTCACAACCTCGGCATGATCTACCAGGAGGGTAGCCCCAAGGCAGTCCCCAAGATTGATGTCGATCTGCCCCTGGCAATCGAATACTACACCCGCGGTCTCCACTACGAATACGCAGCCTCAGGCACCCAGCTCGGAAAGCTCTTCTTCACCATGGCAACCGACAAGAGCTTGCGCGACCAGCTCCCCGAATCCGACCGCTCGTACTCGTCCGACCCCAAGGAGTACCTCCACACCGCCATGTCCTACCTCAACAAGGCTGCTGCTTTCGCCGAGTGGGAATCGATCCAGTTGTTGGGCATGATTTACGGATCCAAGGAGTTTGGACTCTATGATCTTGACCGTGCCCAGAACCTGTTCGAGTTGGCCTTGATTACTTCTAACGGCGGTGCCCAGTCGTTCGAGTTCTTGGCCCGTACCTTGAGCGCCAAGAGGACTATCATCGCGGAGCAGCTTGCTGCACAGGAGGGTGCTAGCGGTTCTTCCTCGGTCAAGCAGGATGTAGATCCTTCCGGATTGAAGACCTGTGCGGCCAAGGAGTGTGAGAACAAGGAGACCAAGAAGGATGAGTTCCAGAGATGTGCTGGTTGCAAAAAGCGATTCTACTGCTCACGCTTGTGCCAGGTCAACGACTGGAAGAAGGGACACAAGGCCAACTGCAAAAAGTAAAGCCTCCCTCTTCTTTTTCTCTCCTTTTGCACCCATTTTTTTTTCTTCTTCCCCACATTCCTTTGCAGCATATCATATTAAAACGAAAAGTGTTTTCAAAACAAACGGAAATATGCACAATAGAGCAGGTGGACGAAATTATTACTGTTGTGGCAGTGGTCTAAAGAAGGGGTCTTGTTTATGATGGATAGGTTTTCTATGAAGATGATGGTGATGAGGACGAGGTGGTTGTGGGTGAAGAAGAGTTCATCAGGCCCCGAAGTTTCGCTGACAAGGTCGTCACGTCTATCTCGATATCGTCATCCAGCTCTCCCTGCAGGTCACCACTCAATGGCTTTGTCGTCGTCGTCGTCGCCGCCGCCGTTCCTGCTGCCGTTGCTGTCTTGATATCCTCAATCACCGAGCGCTGACCGCTTTCACCAGAATCGCCATCTTCTTCCTCAGTAGCAGACTGCAACAATGACCGCCGGGCAATCTCCTTAGAACTCTGGTGACGAACAAAATCAACCAGCTCCTGCCGGTTCTCGTCCCGGTCCAGGAATAAGGAACTCGACCGCCAGTCCGGGTGGGCTCGGATCTGTTGCTGGATCAGGTCGGCCTTGACCAGATCCCGTCGAGTCAGGTAGCCGAGAAGCATGATGGTTGCGGTGTATTCGTCTGCCTCCAGATCGACCTTCAAGTGGCGGAGTGTGGGTGATGATGACCACGAACGACCTTTGGACGACTTGGAGAGACGTGCTGCCAGCTGGCGCCGTTGGTAGTGTTGGTCCCGCTGTTGGTGCTGTGCCTGGATCATCTTGTCGACTATACGTTCCATAGATGATATATCCCCTTGCTCGACATACGCCAGCATCAATGCGTGGAAGGCGCCCTTGCCTGGGACCATGGGTATTCCTGGGAGGTTGTGATCGCTGAGGTCAGTTTCCTCTTTGAGCGTGCTGGTCGTGTTCGTACTCGTAGACGCTTGTTTCCTGAAGGGACTCTCTGACTGTTGACGTCGGCGGGGTGTATAGGCATACGACAAATCCTCGAAAGGGTGGAAAGACTGCAAGATCTGGTCCAGAATCGACTCAGCCTTCCTGATCTTGCCATGGTTCAGATGCGCAAACAGCAGCGAGTTGAGGACAACCAAGTTGGGCTTCATCGCAGACGGTCCTTGTACCATCTCAACCATCACCTCCTGGAGATCTGGGAACCCACTCACCATATGGCCAAAGCCGTAACAGAGGATGCTGAAGGTCCCGTCGTTGGGCATGGTTCCGTTCTCATGCATGTACTCCCGAAGATGCTGCACCTTTTGTCGCTTCAGCTGATCTGCCATCGCGTCAAGATTCAGTCCCGGTTCCCGATGACCAAGGTACTGGAGAGCCTCGAGGGTCGACATCTGAAAGATTGCTCGCAGCATGACATTACAAGTCACCGCCCGGGGTCGGATCCCGTACTCCTTCAGCATCCCAAAGATCCTCTCGACCGCCAAGAAGTCCTTCCGACGCGCATACTCTCGACACATGACGTGAAGCACCTGGACATAGGGGCGTTTTTTCTTGACAATCATATGGTCCAGCAACAGCTCCGCCGCCTCCATGTCGTTCTTGAATGTCGAGAGTCCCACAATCAGGGAATGATACGTCTCAAAGGTTGGTGTTCCTCCTTGGCGCAACAGGTCGTAAAACAACTCGAGGGCGGTGTAGACTTGTGTGACGCCCTGATTCCGGATCCCAGATGTTGGATCATCCTGGACATAAAACGACCGCCGCTCCGAGTCCTGAAAGTTCCTCCCGATCAGCCCTCGAATTACGACCGAGTACATCTCCTTCCCCCCTCCTACTCCTCCTCGATCCGTCTGTGCGCCGCGAAAGGAGGAAGGTTGTTGCCACTGTCGAAAGAGGTTGAGTGTTGTGATCATGTCACCTCGACTCGAAAACGCCACCAACAACGCGATCCGCGCATTGTAGCCGATCGGGATCCCGAGAACCTGCTCAAAGTACTGGTGCATTTGGAGTAACCGCTTCGCATGGGACTGCCCAAGAAAGCGCATCGTGAAAGTCGACGTCGTATTCCTCGTTGTTATTGATGCCGCTGAAGATTTCGTTGATGGTTTTGTTGTTGTCGACGGCTTGCCGCAGGGAATCCTCAGGGTATCCTGTTGGCCTCTTGGTGGGGATGATGATTTGGGTCTGGCTGGGGAGTTGAACGCCCGGTATAATGATTCCTGCCGACTCTTCGCACTCCGAGGGCCATTGCCGATGCTGTTGCTACTCGTCGATGCTGCTGAGGAAGAGGTAGGGTCGCGATCGTAGTTTCCTGACCAGATCTGGCGTTGTTCCTCGATCGTGGCTGTTTGGCAGATTCTCCAGAACTGGATATAAAGGGCGTCGACTTCAAGGTTGAGTGCCAATTGATCGATCCTCCGTTGAGCACTCCGAATAAGAGACACCGACGTCGCCGTCAATCCTGCTGCATGCTTGTCCCCTTCAGCTGAAGGTTTCCGTGAGGAGGTGCTCGATACTGGTGCTGGTTTTTGTACTGAGGTTGTGGTAGACGCGTGCCATTGAGGTTTTGAAGCCGCTAGCGTCCTTGATGGCGATGTATTTGACCGAGCTGTAGAAGCGGCGGGTGTGGGTGTGGTGGCGGCTTGAGTTGAAAGGGATCTAGTTTTTGCTAGGGCGGGTGGAGGAATGGAGGAGGAGGAGAGTGAGGAGGAGGAGAGTGCTGGTATCCTTGTAGGAATCCGTGGTGGGCCTCTAGCACAATGCCGGCAAATGTAGCATGACATGCGATCGTTGTCGGGGGTATAATGGAAGGAGTGGAGGAGGAGGAAGAGTGAGGATAAAAAAGGAGCTTTTTCCTTTCCTTGGTTGTGGAGTTGGAGTACAGAGGTGTGTCTGAGGCGAGAGTAACGGTGGGTGGAGGCATTCGGGCCAAGCCACCTCAAAACATGCCGAGAAGGAAAGGCGAGACTTTGTGGTTTGAATAATTCTGAGTGAAACGGTCACTGAGAAAAAAAAGAAGGGAAACAAGGGAAAAGGTCAGGGCAAAGAGGACACAGTGGCAAACATAAGCTCGCTGTGTGGTTGGTGCAGAGATAGCGGCAGAGAGACCTCTCGTCAGTCCTCTCCCCTTTGCTCACCTCCCCTCTCTCTCTGTTTTTCTTTTTTCTCTCTTTTTCCTCCTCTCCTCCACCCCACTCACACTCCTCCCACACCTCCTCCAACCATCATGTCTGACGCCGCCGATAGAAAGCGCAAGCTCGAAGCCCTTGCCGCCAAACGCGCTAACGACTCAAAGTATGTCTTACTAGTCAAATAGAGAACAAAAAAAACAAGCTCGCCATCACTTCTTGACGGCGGCAAAATAGTAATCGACCTTTACAATCAACTACCACAAGGAAACAAGCGCAGCAAATGAGAACTCTGTGTTTTCTTCATCAAGCGTACTGATTCACATCGTCTTTTTTTTTAATTCCCTCGCTCTACCAGGCCAGCTGCTCCTGCAAAGAAGCCCGAGGCTGCCAAGTCCAAGTCTTCGTCAAACAGCAGCCACAAGTCCAAGCCCATCACAAAGGCAAAGTTCCCCGGCAAGGGCCGCTCTCTCAAGCATGATGGTAAGAGGTGGAAAGGTGGATGGTCATTATGCAAAAAACACTCCTGTGGGAACGCGATTCGAATGCTTTTCGCAATCACTTTTCTTTTTTTTCTTCGTCGAGTCAAAGGGGACCAGCCAGACAGTAACGCGTTATTTTTCACCTACTGACTTGTCCTTCTGCTGTTCCCTTTGACTTATCCGATGTAGACTCTGACGATGATGATGACTTGATTAACGACGACTCTGAGGACGACGATGTCCAGAGCGATATTTCGGAAGAATTTTCGGACGTGGATTCAGAGGATTCGGATAGGCCAAAGTCAAAGAAGCGGAAGAGCGCCCCCGTCAAGAAGTCATCCTCTCGCCGCTCACCGCCACCAAAGAAGAAATCGTCCTCGTCCTCTACAAAGTCGAAATCAAAGAAGAAGAGCAAGGGTTCTGACAGCGATGAGGATAGCGATAACTTGTCTGTCGCCAGCGAGTCTGAAGGCTCTGGTGGTACGTTGAAGTTGCTATTATCGCTTGCTTGCGTGCATTATGCAAACGTGTGCTTGTTGCTCTCTGAACAGGAGGAGGGGAACACATGAGTCTTGTGGCGGCGCCAAAGTTCATTCAATTGACGTGCTATCGATTTTCTTTCATTCAAAATTTCTTTCTTAGACGAGGTCGCCATCGATACGAGCAACATCATTACTGGCTCCAGAAGGACACGCGGCGCCAGGGTCGACTACTCCAAGTTCGGACCCGACAGGTCTTCGGACGAGGAATAGGGTCGCCAACAACACTCCCTGCGTTGTATTCACTGGAGACCACACTGGACACATACTCTTTCTCATTCAAATACAGGAGAATGAAGAATGACTGTTTTTTTCCAATACTCTTTCGCCTCGTTCACGAAAACTATAATAAACAACTTGCTGTCGATTAGGAAATGACTTGTTTGAAAGTGATTGTGGAGTGTGACCCGACACGCAAAGAAGCGCGCGTTGCTATTTTCGGTTCAGAAGTGAGCTGCATGCCTTTTTTGTTTACGAACTCGAGCAGGTCACGTCGTTCTTAATTTCGCTTCGCGCTAGTACTGTACAGTACCCTTTAGTTTGCTATCGGGCAATGGGATTTTCTCCTGCAAAGCAACACTGGTCCAGAGTGTCCATGCTCTGGTGATTTTGCGGGCTATGGATACATACACGTCGATCGCATTAGAATCACCACTGTGCAGAACCATGCCTGCAGTCCCATCGTTTTGTGTTTTATATCACTTCCTTAGATTCGAACCATGAGGACACAGATTCGTCAGACAGAAATTGGCGATCGAACCGAGGCGAGAGCCCACACCCTCATTTTTTTTATTTTCCGTGTTCTCCACCAACTCTCACTTCCAACCTTTTTCATTCATTCATTCATTCCTTCCTTCTCTCATTCATCCACTTCTTCATTCATTCCATCCTGCCGACATCATGACAGTGCCACCATCACAACAGAAGAAGCGAGTCGCAGTTATCGGAGCAGGTACGAAAGTGCAACTTTTTACTTGCCTGCCGGTGGTTTGCCCATGGAGCACAAGCGCACCGATTGATGTGATGGTATCAGTTGACGGACCGTTAACTCCTTTTTACATTCTCATTGTAATCGACGGCGGCAATAGGTGCCTCAGGTCTGACGGCCATCAAGGAGTGCCTCGACGAAAAGGACCTGATCGACGTTGTCGCCTTTGAACAAGAAAGCTACCTGGGTGGACTCTGGCGCTACGTCGAGGTCTCGGAGGACAACCCCAATCCACACTCCTCCGTCTACAAGTCGACCATCATCAACACCTCCAAGGAGCTCATGACTTACTCTGATTTCCCTATCCCTCTCGACTGGCCCACCTATCTCCCCAACCAAAAGGTCGCCTTCTACTTTGACAAGTACGCCGAACATTTTGACCTCAGACGTCATATTCGATTCAGCACCAAAGTCCTCGAGGTCAAGGAACTGCACGACGAACAGAAGCGCTGGTCGGTTCGCTTCCACCCTGTCCTCCCTGCCAATGTTGGACCTGACTCACCCTTGCCTGAGATCCAGGAGGAGATCTTTGACTACGTGATGATGTGCTCTGGTCACCATTGGAAGCCCCGCTACCCTACTTTCGTCGGCATGAACCCCAACGACCTTGAGGCTTACACGGGCGAGCAGCTGCATTCGCATTTCTATCGCCAGGCGGATGCCTACAGGGACAAGACTGTGATTGTTGTTGGACTCGGTAACAGTGCAGTCGATTTGGCGGTTGAGCTCTCGTTGAACCAGTCCCAGGTCTATCTCTCCTGCCGACGACCTGCATGGATTGCACCCCGTTGGTTGCTCAGCAAGCCACTGGACCATAGCCGTACTCGTCTGACGCATACTATCCCATTCTTTTTGGTGCAATTCATCTTTGCATTTCTCATTACCCGCTTCTCCCCACCCATTCACAAGAACATGAAGCCTATCCGCAGGCCGTTCGAGTCCCATCCTACTATCAACACCCTCCTACCCGAACGTATCACAACCGGCACAGTCAAGCCTGTCAAAAATATCAAGAAGTTGGGACCTGGTAAACGGGTCGAGTTTGAGGACGGCACCGTGGTCGACCATGTCGATGCCGTCGTTTATTGTACAGGATACCATATCAGTTTCCCGGCCTTGGACCCCTCGATCGTGACTGACGGTAAGGCGAGCGCAGAGCAGAGCAACCAGGTCTGGACATGGAACTACATGATTCCCCCACGGCACCCCAACATGGCTTTTGTCGGACTCTTCCAGCCTCTTGGAGCCATCATGCCCATTTCAGAGATGCAGTGCCGTTTCCTGGTCCGGACGCTTGTTGGCAAGATGGATCCCTTGCCCTCGGAGCAGGACATGGACAAGGACATTAAGGAGCTTAAGAAGTACATCCGCACTCGATACGACGATACACCCCGACACACGATCCAGGTCGATTACGCTACTTACTGTGACAGTCTGGCGACCAAGATCGGATGTTTCCCTTCGCTCGCTAAGTTGGTGTCCAAGTTTGGATTGGTGGAAGGGTTGAGGTTAAAGACAGAGACAATCTTTGGACCTCCTACGCCGATTCAGTACCGATTGATAGGACCTCATGCTTGGGAGGGCGCGCGAGAGGCGACTTGGGGGTATGCAGGCAAGGCCGCCTTTGCTGATTCCAAGTACTTGAAGGATTTCCAACCTACACCCCAAGGAAAACCGACCACCACCTTGACAAAATAATCCGTGATAGCAACAGTGGAGTAGAATAAAAAACCGCAAGCATTGACAATGGAACAAAAGTTGATGAAGAAATAGATAGCTTTGTTATAAGGTCTACGTACTTCATATGTGTGTTTTTGCTATTTACAAATACATCGCTAATGGTTGCAATGCATGAAAAAGACAACCACTACCGACAGTGGCAGCAGTTAAGGATGCAGTATTAGAAAATTACTTGCAGTCGGTCTTTCCGCTACTCTTTGAATCCTTGCAGTTGTCAGTGGCGCAGGAGCCTTCTGGTTCTGGTGCTGGGAGGACTGCTTGTGGGCACCAGAGTTCATCTGCTGGTGATCGGCATGCTGCTGCTGGGAACCGGACTGGGTCTGGGCGTGATCTTGGGCAGACTGGTTCTTGTCGGCGACGCAACCCATCTGCTCGTGACCCTGGCCATGCTGGGCGGCGGAGGACTGCTTCTGGGCCTTCTGGTTGTTGTTCTGGTGGTTCATGTTGGATTGTTTGGTTTGTGTGGGAGTGGAGGAGAGGAGTGGTTGCTTGGTTGATGGAGAACTTTTTTTTGAACCGAGGTAGGGGTTCATTTATCCGCGAAGGAGAAAGAGTTTTTTTCTTCTTCCTTGATTGATGTGGTGAAGTTGAGCTGAATCGTTGTAGAGAGTGTTGTCGTCGCCCGTTTCCTAATGGTTCCTAATGGTCGTTGGTGTTCTACGCACACTTCTTCTTTCCCCAACAATGCCCCCAATGTTTTTGTTCCCCCATAGTACGCCTTGCCTAGCATGAAACTGGAGAGAGTACGTGAATAAAGTAAGGTGGATCAGGACTGAATCAGGGTGTGTATGTCCTTCACTGAGAGGGTTGAGCTTCATTATGCCTCCAATTCATTGGAAGGATCGACGGTTGACCCTGTGTCGGTGCATGTTTTGAGCGTAAAAAAAGAGATGTTTATTGGGTGTCGCGTAACATCGGAATGAAACAAATGCGAATCGTTCGGACATTTGTTTCCCTGAACAAAAGGCGTTGGGCAGAGATGGAATGCTCAAACATTTCGCTTTCTTTCCCTTCGCTTTCCCATGAAGCCCGATTTGTCAAGGAAGACCATTGGGTGCCATACTGGAACATCCTTACCTCAGATTAATACAATGCGAGTGTGAAATGTGGAGAAAAAAAAATAACTACCACAAAAGCGCGCTCCTCTTATTACATGCCGCTCGATTTCGAACATGGTCATGCACTGGGTGTAGGGTAGTCTTTGGTCGACGGTGTCTCGAGGGACCTCACTGCATTACAATTAAAACTTTTCCTCTACATGGGAATACGTGTATGTGTGAGGATAGTCAACGCGTTCGATTGTTTGGCAAGTGATGAAAGTGACAATCACCTAGCATGTTGTACTCTTCTTTTATTTCATTCTACGACAAAGTCGCAGAATGGATGAGAAAAGATGGCGTAAGGAGTGTCTAGTTACGATCTTGCTTGTCATGTAAGAATGTGTGGACACTCTAGAAAGAAGGAACATTCTCTTTAACCTGTTCAATGACATAAGATACGGGCGCATTCGCTCTCTCTCTCTTCTTGTCTCACCTCTTAAATAAAGCCACCATCGGATCGCCCGTCTGTGCTTCTTTTCGCTTATAACATGGGTGTGAGTGGGTAATTGTTTGTTTGCCGCGTTTTTTTTGAAGGACGTGCCCGCATATTCATCCTATTTTCTTTATTTTTTTTTGTTGCCCTTTTCTCCTGTATTCTAGCCGAGATGAAAAAAAATATGGCTAAAAGAGATCAAGAGCGGCGCTCAATTGCTTTGTATGTTATTCTCAGGACCCTTGTAAACAAACACGTTGGGCAACGGCAAAAGCTAGTGAAATGGATGCTATGCACAACTTTGAAGTTGGAGAGGAGACAACACGGACGAAAAAGAAACGCACTCTCTAGCCCGCTTCACAGAGTGTGAAGCAAAAGTCACGTGTAGACAAGTAAGAAGAAAGATGCGGGGAACATCGGATCCATTTTTTTTTCTATTCACGGTTCATTGGTTGGAAGGAACTCTAAATTACATCCTTCTGGGTGCGGTCCCCATGGTCGGCAATTGACAATGGGAAAGAGGGCAATAGGATTGACGTTCTTGTTGCTTTTGTGTTTGCTTGTTCTTTTAGCGCTTTTTCCATTGTCGTTCTTTCGCCTGCGCATCAGGATTTAGCTCTTCTTGTCTTTGTCCGGTGGAAAACAGTCTCTTCATTTCTGATAGATGAACGACAAGGCGGGGAAATGGAGAGAAGGAGGGCGATTAAAGGGCTTCTTCTTTCCATTCATAAGAATGTCGTGAGAATATCGATGTTATGTATCCCTTCGATTCCACTTTTGTATAGTCGTGTGTACATGTGTATGATAAGCGAGATGATTTTTGTCCTTGAAAGAATGCGAGTGTGGTCTTCGTTTACCATAGAACACACAGCAGAGTAAGGGAGTAAATACCCCATTTTCTGGCTTTGACCCACCTTGTGCACAAAAGTGACACAGAAAACAAATGAAAAAATAAATAAATTTCGATCCCCCGCGTTCTGTCTTTCGCCCGTCTTCAAGGGTCTGGCTGCCACCTATACCTTTTTTAGGCTTCGATCGCTCCCCTTCTGTGTGCTGTCATACTTTCTTTCTTTCTTTCTTCTTTCTTTCTTTCTTTTTCCCTCCGAACGAGGAAATGTAAATGTGGGTCGGTGGGTTCGAATCCCTCTCAGGGGAATCCTTTTTCTCCTTCAACATAAATACCAAGGCACATCCTCTCCTTTTTTCTTTTCCTTTTTCTTTTTCTTCTTTTTCTTCACACCTCAACAACTCGTCCTCCTCTTCACTCACTCAACCTAATACTATCAAAAATGACCATCACTGCCATCCCCGTCGACGAGATCGCCTCCACCTTCAAGGATAACATCGGTATGTCCTCCTCTTCCTCTTCCTTATTCACTCTCACTTCTTCCTCATTCACTTTCACTTTTTCTTCATTGCACCCTCCTCATTCGCTTTCACTCATTCAAGTTCACCCACCCACCCATCCTCCGCCCCACTTGACTACTTTGTTGTTGACTCTCTGCCGGACTGTCGCTGTGTCGATTGTTAAACCTTGCATTGCCCTGCTGCACCCACATGCTACATACCGTCAACTAATATGTTTGCTCTTTCTTCACTCCCTTTTTCTATCTCATATGCCTCTCCTTTTTGCGAACTATGCATGGTCAACCTAATTGGAACGGACACACGACAACGATCTGCATATGGACGGCCTTATCTTTTACACCGACACCTCCTGACCTATCTCGGCCAAACCACCAAACCAACCAACCCAACATAACCAACCAACACTTGGACTCGACAATAAACAGATCTTGCTGTCGCTACCCGTGGAGGCAAGGTTCTCACCCTCACCGACGAGTGGTTCGCTGATTGCGCCAACCTCTTGACCGCCACCGCCCCCATCTCTGCCCCCGGTCGCTTCGTCCCCACTGGAGCCTGGTACGATGGCTGGGAGACCCGCCGCCACAACGCCCCCAACTACGACTGGTGCGTTATCCAGCTCGGCTACCCTGGAAACATTGCCGGATTCGAGATTGATACCTCCTACTTCACCGGCAACCACTCCCCCTTCGTCTCCGTCGAGGGTTACACTGAGTCCTTCCCTGCCAAGGCTGCTTCCCGCACCCACGAGGAGTGGGCTCAGGTCGCCTGGACCCCTATCTTGACCAAGGTCGCTCTGAACCCCAGCTCCCGTCACGGCTTCAAGCTCGAGAAGCCCACCGACGAAGCCTATACCCACGTTCGCTTCTGCATGTACCCCGATGGTGGTGTTGCCCGCCTCCGTGTCTACGGAAATGTCCACCAAGTCCACCCCGAGAACAAGCACGAGATCTACGACTTGGCCTCTGCTGCTGCTGGATCGATCGTCATCGACTTGTCCGACGCACACTACGGTCACCCCTCCAACATGCTCCTCCCCGGCCGTGGCCACGATATGTCTGACGGCTGGGAGACCAAGCGCTCCCGCTCGCCCGGCCACGTTGACTTTGCCACCATCAAGTTCGGTCAGCCCGGTCACGTCACCGACATTGAGGTCGACACTGCTCACTACATGGGTAACCCCCCCAAGGCTGTCACCATTGAGGGTTACGAAATTGGCTCTGAGCAGCCCATTGTTCTCTTGAGCGAGGCCCCTATGACGCCTCACCGTCAGCACTTCTTCAAGGTCCCCGTCGAGTTGACCGAGAAGCGCATTGCCCAGATCAAGGTTGTCATGATCCCCGATGGTGGTATCAAGCGTATCCGTGCCTGGGGTGCTGCTCAGTTGCCCGCTGTCCAGCCCGAGGGCTCCTTGATGGGTGTCCGTCAGGAGTTGCCTGATGAGTACACCTGGAACATCAAGAAGAACTAAATCATCTCTTCTTGTTCTCACACACATCTCTAACTTTCAGTTGTAAAAAGCATATCCCCGCACTTCTAGCACTTTCCTTGTACAAATAAAAAAAACTATATATTTTTCATCTCATCCTTTGTTCGCGCACTATTCTTGATCAATTGAATTGCTCGCGGTACTATATCAGCTTCGTCTTATGATTTGATCCTTGGCCCTCTGTGTGCCTAATTGATATACCTGTGTCTAAATGCAAAGAGTCCGTTTCTGTTGAAGACATCAATAATAAAGTCCGGGGTTGTCTTGCAACAAAGATCCGTGGGACAAAAAAAAATGATCCATGTGCACACTGGATCTGGAATCGCCGCATTGCTCATACAAGGCGGAAGAACTGTTCACTCGCGCTTTAAGATTCCCGTCCCTACCCACGAGGATAGTGTTTGTTCAGTCAACCACATGTCAGAAATTGCTGATCTTCTCATCCAGGCCAAGATTGTTGTCTGGGACGAGGCTCCTATGATGCATCGGCATATCTTTGAGGCTGTAGATCGCACTCTCAAAGACCTAATGAAGACTGTGGACCCTGTGAACGAACACCATCCCTTTGGAGGAAAGCTCATGGTCTTTGGCGGCGACTTTAGGCAAATTCCTCCAGTCGTCAAGCAAGGACGCAGAGAGGAAACCATTGGAGCCTGCTTTAAACGATCTCCACTCTGGGACCACATCCAACACCTTCATCTTTCCGTCAACATGCGTCTCCTCAAATGCCGACGCTCCCGACATCGAGGAACAGACTGGGTTCGCAAACTGGCTTCTTCAAGTCGGAGAAGGAACTGTTCCTGGCCCGCCACCAGACCACAGAATCTCCACCACCATCACACTTCCACCTCAGATGGTGATGCCAGCCAATGCCAACATTGCCGATCTCATTGCCAAGGTCTATCCCGATCTCCGGCACAATATTGGCAATTCCCAGTATCTCAATCAGCGCGCAGTGCTCTGTCCGACAAACGACAACGTCGATGAAGTCAACAACCATATCATGTCAGCCATAGAAGGATAATCAAGGGAGTTTCTCTCGCAGGACTCCATCATCGATAAAGAGGACGATAGAGTGGACGCTCTGTTTCCTATCGAGTTTCTGAACAGCCTCAAGTCGTCTTCGCTCCCTCCTCACCGCCTGAGATTGACCGTGGGTTGTCCTGTCATACTCCTTCGAAACCTCATGCCACAGGAGGGACTTTGCAATGGTACGCGACTTGCGATATATTAAGGTTTTATCATACGTACACAAGTAACTGATGAGACAAAGAGAGGGATTGTATTAGGCACACCAGGTACAGTCTATTATGCTGTCCCTGGTATGTAGCTTAAGGGTAGTCTAGTCTATTGTCTCCATCTATCTTAGGGTGCCATTAGGCGAATATGCGACACGACTCATTTGTATGTCGCTCTCCCGGTACGTATTGGGAGCCACTATCATTACAGGGACACATGCCAGCAATCAAGTATTCCTTTCCCGCATCCCGATCTGCCCTTCTGACCTCGCTATGCCGTTCAAGTTCCGACGACTCCAGTTCCCTATCCGACCCGCCTTTGCAATGACGATCAACAAGTCCCAAGGTCAGGCTTTAGACACCGTTGGTATCTATCTCAAGAAGCCGGTATTCGCCCATGGTCAACTGTACGTCGCCCTATCTCGAGTGATGAACAAGAACAATGCGCATGTGTTGATTGAGAGGGAGGATCCCGATACACCATATGGCTGTACAACAAATGTTGTTTACCCAGAGATTCTTGCCTTGAGTGACAAAAAAAAAAAAAAAATGACAAGGAAAAAAAAAAGAGAGTAGGGAGTAACGGAGAGAGTGACAGACAGAAATAAATATTACCACATCCATTTCTCTTTTTTTTTCTTCTCCCAACACCTCCGCGAGCGAAGACGCGGGTACTATTCTAGTCCTTGACAAGTCAGACTACAAGTGCATTAAGAGGATATATAATATGAAAGTCCGAGGCTTTCCTATATATGCAAGCATTGCAATAAAGGTGTGTTGTTTTGCAGAGCTTGCATTTTTACAAAAACGTTTACACGGTGTAGAAGCCGGGGACTGTACAAAACATATGAAATGTATTTTTGCAGAAGGCAGGAAAAAATGAAAAAGAAAAGCGAGAGAGAAATAACACAAATAAACTTTGTAATATTCGACCACCACCACTTTTTTCACTTCACACTTGCTCCACACCTCCGCGAGCAAAGCCGCGGGCACTATTCTAGTTAAAAATATTTGCAGCACCTAACCTCAACAGAGTGTTATCATTGGAATTCATGTGGGAAGATCGATCTAATCTGAGCGGATGAGTTCTGAATGCTGGAAAAATAAAGATGCCTTGCCGTCTTGGCCTTCTACTCCATTTATAATCGCGCACACGCCTGAATCTTTTAGCTCTTTTGAATGTCAGCACTACCAATAAAAAAAAAGATAACACAGATGGTGTCCCATTGCCACTGAAGAATCATTGCAGATAAAAATAATCGAGTCTTAAACCCAGTACTTATGGCACCTGTTTTGCACACAAGGAGCCTGCACAGTGGGGCCCCCAGTCGCAGTGGGGCTCCCAGTCACAGTGCGGCTCCCAGTCGGAGTGGGGTTAAGTCCTGGCACAGGCACCTGTGGATGACCTGCTTGGACAACGGCCATCATCGCAAGGAAACACAAGGTGATACCGGGCATAATCTTCATTTTGGTAGCCTGGAGAATTAAGTATCGCTTTAGATTAGTATACTACAAAGCAAAGTCATCACGTCAAACGCAGCTACAGGGGCAAAACAAAACACAGCGGCAAAGGTAAAACAGTGCATGGTGGTTCATACTTTTTTTCTGAGTAATGGGAGCCACGTCAGGATGTATGATCTCTGTGTAAGGCGGAGTGATAAGAAGGTTCTATTAACGTTGTGTCTTGAACAGTGAAGCGTTGATGTTGTTTTCAATAGACCGCAACGCTTCCTTTATATACTTGATGCTGGCCATAATCAGTTGCACGGCCTCAGTGGCCTAGAACTATCGTTGTCCTGCGTCCAGCCAGTCATTTGTACTGTACATGCGGGAGCTGACCGTGTAGGTTGAGTGGCCTGTCCGTTATTGACACATGCATTGTCCAGTCTTCTTGCCGTAAGTGCCCATTGGCTGACAAAATACATAAGGTCATCTAGCATATGTTTCGTACGTCTTATGCGTAGACAGGTCCCGGATCCAGAGCTAGTGTTTCTCAAGAACATAGTGCATTCGCATTCGCATTCGCATTCGCATCATGTAAAATCAATGGAAACCCCTTTATTCGCATTCGCATTTGAGAAACACTATGACCAGAGCCCAACATAGATATTCCTCCGACCTACAATGCAACGAATCCTAGCACGTTGAAAAAGCAGTCATGGTCACGTGGATGTGGGCAAATGTACTACTAGGATAGGTTATAATAACTGGCTTGTGGCAGCCAAGCGTTCATAGCGACGTTGCTTTTTGATCCTTCGATGTCGGCTCTTCCTATCATACTGAAGCAGAATTCAGTAAGCGTCGGATTGTTCACCCACTAATAGGGAACGTGAGCTGGGTTTAGACCGTCGTCAGGCGGGCTAGTTTTACCCTACTAATGAAATGTTGTTGCAATAGTAATTGAACTTAGTACAAGAGGAACCGTTCATTCAGATAATCGGTATTTGGGCCTGCCTGAGCAGAAAATGGTCCCAAGCTATCATCCGTTGGGTTATGGCTGAACGCGTCTAAGTCAGAACCCATGCTAGAACGCACGGGTGGTCTTTAATTCGATCACATGCATTTAGTTTAAAATTATCCCGCTTAATTTAAGACCTGGCCAGTGCATAAATCTAAAATTCTTTGTTTCGCCGTAACTTCTCCTCCCGCGCGCCTTTTCCATCTGGCATAAGTACACCCAGTGGAGGCTATTCCCCCCCAAGTAGCAGAAGTCGCCTATATCAAGTCAAATTGATCCAGCAGGGACTGGTGCATAGTTCCACCTTAGTCTAGACCGCAAATCTTACACCTCAGTCCTTATGGAAGTCTGCAGCGTTTAAAGGATATAGACTTTGCTCTGCAAATCACATAGCCACACCCATATCGATCTATACCAATCGAGCCGACAGTCCAGAACTAGACGGGTCTAGGTCATAGCCGAGTCGAGTCACTAGGCTCAGATTTGGGTCTCGGTCAAGAGCCTTGTAGAGTCAGAGACTCATCCTGCCTACTTGTACCCTTGTGGTCTTGGCACAAGAGAGTCATATGGTAGTGCCACAGTAGGGGGGCAAGGCGCAATAAAACCAGCAGTCTAAGGACTGTGTATCGCTTTCGGACCGTCCCCAGCCATAAAACAGCGCCGACAAACTTAAAGAGCTAGTTATACACCTATGGTTCTCTTTATCGTATTACAGTGTCTGCTTAATAAAGACAATGCTAATCATTGCGAAGATTGTGTCTCTTTATGCGCATCGCTTAATTGACTGGTCTTATCCATTCACTGCCTCCCTTCCACCAATGCGTCGTTTACCACTGCTCTAGTTTTTGATACTTGCCATTGCCTTCTTTTAACACACTCACCGTATCCGCCATTTGAGCCGGGTCCTGTACTTTAGGATGCTGTCGAGAATCTAGACTAGAACAAGGCAAAGTTGACCTTTTCTTAGGCAGGATCAGGAAGAGAGGTGGAGGAAGAGAACAAAGGGAATAGAGGGTCAGATATGGGGTTTCAAGCTATAGACAAAGTATTATTCAAGTTGCGAGGTAAGGATCAAACTATTTGGGGTGCTATGGGATATATATATGTATTCGTGAGCAATGCTAATTAATTGCCTTGGGCTCAGTCAACTGCGCCCAAGGATCAACTTGCAACAAGGCGAGGGTACGTTGTGTGCTTTTGAGCGTTTTTAATAAAGAGTGAGTTATGAACTAAGGGGCTATCTAGGTGTTGGTTGGGGAATTTATACGTGAGTGAATGCTAGATAGTTGTCGTGTTGGGTTTCTAGAGGTTTCTATGAGGCGTAGCTTTGATTAGTAATCAAAGGGAAGAAAAGTCTAGGAATGTTGGTGGCGTCATAGGTTAGTGTAACCTTATCAGAGTGAAACTCTGACACAACTGATCGTGCCAAGGGTCGACCGATCGTGCCAAGGGTCGACCAATCATGCCAAGAGTCGACTTATCATAGGGAACGACGCGACAGATGCATAACTTCCTCCTCGCCAATTGAATTTTTCTCATTCATGCTACTCATATTAACTATTGATAGTCACTCCCTAACACCACATGGCCTTTTATAAAAATGAAAAAAAAACAAGCTTCAAGCTTAACGCACAAGGTGTCGCGTTCTGGGGGTGTCGGGGAACTAGGCCACTCAAGCTTGATCATATTCATATCAAGCTTGTGTGCACAATCAATAAATCACCTTCTCTTCCCAAATACTTGCTGTCTCCAAATCCTAAACATTTTTTTTTAATTGACTTGAGATTGATACATTCATCCATCTATCCATCTATCCATCTTCCCCGCCAACCATCGACCCATCATGCGAAGCGACAAACAGGAAGTCGGGATCACGCTCCAACAAGCAGAGCAGGAATACAGAACAGCACTCGAAGCAGGAAACGTAGCATCCCCGATTATCAAGTGCCTTTATACTAGGATCACCTATATCCAGACCAAGGAACAGGCTTAACGAGATCTGCAAGATGCAATGAACGAGTACTTCATAAAGAAGGATGCACTTCAGCAATCCGACGATCAAGAAGAGCTTGCTCTGCTGTTGGAGGACAACAGGCGCGACAGTAGGACCCAAAAGAAATGATTTTTTTGAAACCTGTGGATGTCCAAACCTTATTTTCATATGTATGTCCAAGTTTTGCGGACTCATGTCCGGACTTGACAATTCACATCGTAGTCCGTTGGATTGCACAAAAATTCAGGCCAATTGGGTTCGTAGTCCCTCGAACAGGAACCTCCGCACTAAAATCATGCGTTTGATGCGGGCCAAATTTCGTCATTTTGATGTTTTGAGCGGAAATGGAATGCTCGTTCATGAATGCTAATGACTCCTTGCTAATGACTCATTCATTGCTTCATTCTGCCCACACTTGACCTGTCGGAAAACTGTACGTTGTCTTGGCACTTAGAAAGCATGTCATTAGTGTTGGTTTTCATGTTTTATTGCTTCATTTTCGCCTACGACCTATGAACCTATGATTAATCGTTTTTTTCTTCTTCCCGAGTCCTGTCATTCTACCTTTCTTTGAGCCACGCGCCAAGAACGGAACAATACTAGTAAATATAAAACAAACATGGGTATACAGTTTATTGAACCTCACTACCATTGACCCAGTCCTCCCTATCCTTCCTTACCCCGCGGTCGTTGCTGCTGCCTTACTGCTCTCAGCCTTGAGGAGTTCCTTCACAGCATTGATGCTCATGCCTGTGTAATCCTTGCAAGCAAGGATAGAGTCAATGGTTTTTGCTACCCTTGCCACCTTTTTTCAAATTAGCTCTATGAGTTCTGTCCTGCGCCTGTACTGCCACTTCTGATTCTCCCCCCAAAACTTGTGTGATCAGCATATGCACGAGCAAGTGGTCCATGGTTGTAATAGCAACCGAGCGAGTGAATGCGGATAGGGGAATAGAGGGAGAGACGAACGAGAGTGGAGATGGATGACAACTAAGGACGAGGAGGAGAGGCTAGAAACGGATGATGTTTATTGTACAGGGAGAGAAAGGTATATATACTAGTAACTAGGAGGCGTGGTTGTTAGGGAGGTAGGAGGCGCGGTTGTGAAGAATGGAGGCGCGGTTGTGAATAGTGGAGGCGAAGTAAGAGAACAGCCTACGATACTATCACACCTTCCCCTAATAAAAAAAAGGAACCGTGTTCCCGGCCGTGCTAGTGTGGTGATGTGAACGGGAATCGTTCTCTCACTCACAATTTTGTCCGAATTAAGAACATGTGGGTTAAGGGGTACTTAGCTAGTAATAAAAACGAAGGATGGAGCAACTTGGCTCCTCCTGCTTTTTCTGATTTATTTTACCGACTTTTGACTTTTGTTCTTCATATTGAACTGGAATTCCACGGCAATACTCAGGTATACCATTACCTTCCAGACGTGGATGCGCCTACGCGCACCTCCACCAACAACAAGTCAGGATTCCGTTCAAATCCTTTTCCTTTCGCCACGTTCTGCACCGCCAAGAGATGCATACCAACCATCCAGAGCACACCCTGTCCACGAGTCCGCAAGACCTCCGCTGTTGCAGCCCAACACCCGACCACAAGCCGACAGATCATCTAACGGTGTAACAGTTCAGAACGGATCGATTTGCGGATCAAATTCCCATCGGCAGCAACAATATACGGGGTCTACTTCATTGTCAGCACTCCTCTTCTCGCCATCACCACGATCAGCCCTACAATATGCGGACTCCTTGGAACTCTCCCAGTTGTTCCTCAGAGAACTCAGTCCTTTATGCTCTCGGTGCCATTTGGCTAATATAGATCCCCACTTTTATTACCCTTTGGTCCCCTTTTCGTACTACTATCTGTAGAATTCAGAACATCCGCTTACTTTGCACTACCTTCGCTCCTCTCCTTCGCCCTATTTTGGAACCACGAGATCTTTCTGGTTCTATTTTGGTAAGCGCCCTGAACCCTTGTTTCAGTGCGCAAGTGCCTTGTTTCATTGTTAATAGTAATGGTTCCCCTTATTCATTAATGGATCTTCCGCCTTCTGTTCTGTAGACTTATTCGCTCACCCGTCGTTTTCCTTACCTGACGTCTCGGGCCTTTTCCTTGCGTACCTTTCTGGGTCCCAAGTCCTCCTGATCCTCACCAGGTACGGACTTAGATCCTTCTTTTCAACGGTTATATGCCTATAGTTTATAGTATCATAGTGGTTAGTTCTTGTTCGTTAACAGATAGTATTCTTCGTTATAGACCCACATCACGACACTAGCCCTGGGCAGACATGCAAACAGTACCTGCACGATATTGTTTTTTACCGACTTTTTCCTTGGCAGGGCTCAAAGTTCAAACATTACAGCCCTGGTCAAGCTTCGCTGTACAGTCCCCAGCAAATGTATCTTTGGGGAGGAGAAGCGAGAACGGCGATGCAGTAAGGGACAGTGATCAAAAAACGGGATGTGAGATGAATGGAAAGGGAGCTGAAGGGCAAAAAAATACGGGGAAAGGTGACAAGGAAGAGGATGCAGAGAGAGAGAGAGAGAGACAAAGAAAGAGAAAGGGAGACAAAAAGAGAAAGGGAGAGAGGGAGACAAAGAGAGAGAGAGGGAGAGGGAGAGAGAGGGAGAGAGAGGAAGAGAGGGGGAGAGATAACCGGAGTGATAAAAAAAACCAGTCTCATAATTGAATTTGCAGGTTGCCGAGAACGTAAATGATTTGGGCCTTCACCCCATGGAACTCATTCCAAACTGAGACTCAAATAATCCCAAGTAATCCACTGCTAGAGCAGTGACTGGTGTGTGGATGTGACGGCTGGGGTATAAAAGCAAATGGCACCTTGCAGCCAAGAAGAGGTTCCCTATCAAAAAAGCACGCATCATTGCCACGCTCACTTGATGGTCTTTGGTCTCACAACCGGACAATCATCGATCTGAGTGCCAAGGCGGAGTCTGTTCTTACAGTCCACCACTTTGCAAAAAAAGAAGTTCTTTTAAAGAAGCATGCGACCCTGTCATTAGTTTGGCTTCTGGGTTATCATGCGCCGAAGGGAACCTATATCTCTCTACCTTACTCTCATAAACTACAAACAATCAAATAATATTTCAATATATCCTATTCATCGCTTTTGCAACTCCTTTTTGGGGGGGTGGTGATGATCTACCTCCTCGACACTCCAAGGATCGCAATAAACAGACTTGTGGGTTTCACACGCAATTCGAAACGCATGTTTTTTTTCTGAGACAAATCGAAAATTAAAAACGATCGCTGTTTCGTTTGGAAGGAGTCAAGTCTACAAACGGAGCAGCCAATTGATCCTCCCCTCAGTCCCACCAGTCGCCTGGTCTCGTTGTCTCGTCATCCTCACCCACCTCTTCAAGCCAAGTGTCTGGAGTCCATTCACCTTCCGCATTGCACTCTTTGTCTCCATTCTCCTCCACTTCCATTCCCTTCATTCCATTAGCTTGCTTGGCCAGCCTGCACTTCTTTTTTTTCTTCTTTTATAACTATTATCGCACAGGCCAACTCATCCTCCCCATGCATAATACCACTTTGTTCCACACACATACGACAACAATGACCTCCGCAAAGGGGAAAAGACCTACAGCAAGGTGCCCCATCCACCACGCTCTTCTCATAATCGCCCTTCTGGACGTGCTTTTACTTGTCCAGTCGAACTCCATCCCCTCTTCGTTTCCTTCTCTCTGCAATACCAACGACAACACCCTTATACCAGACCACGCCAGGTCACCTTATATTCCATCCGACTCCAACGAACACCCATCCGACTCCTTTATCCCAGCTTCTATCTTATCACATACTCCTTCACCAGCCTTACGACACCATAAACGACAAGTAGACCCACGAGACTTCGCTGACTCTCATTCCACCCTCTTAGCAACAACAAGGTTAAAATCCTTGACCACGCCTGCGCGAACGACAACACGGCCAGCAATAGCAACAACCTCAACGAGAGCAAGGATAATAACCACAACTGTACCATCGTCCAGATCTAGATCCGTTGCTACTACGTCAGCAACATATTCCCCTCTATCATCTCCGCCTCTCGTACTCTCGGGATCTCCTCTCCCAATAACCAGCTCCCCTCTCCCATCTATAGGATCACCGCTTCCATCAACAACATTCGAAATGATCCCCAACCTATCATCCCCCTTCTATCCGGGCCCCGTAGTGTTTACAAAAACAGATACGTTTACCCTTCCGACAAACATGCAGCGTCCAGCCCAAAAACCACGACTCTTAACCCAATTTGAGTTTGACACGATGTGGGATCCGGATCCTAATACGCTACGACTGGGTATCCTTCTGTCCTTGAATCTCCCCTCGACACAACGGGAGGCAACCATGGTACGGAGCGCCATCTCGACGATCCGGATGGCCGTCAATGAGGTCAATGAGGAGAAGATCATTCCTGGGCTGAACATGTCGATCTTAATCCGGGATAGTCAGAGCCCGAGCCTTTACACGTCCACTGGAGGAGCTGCAGCTATCTCGGCTGCAGGAAGGTTGATTAGCGCCAAGGTAAACATCTCCGCGGATACAGGACTGTTCTCTTACTTTTAGGTGTGCTTATCTAACCTGTGCAGTCTGGTTGTATGTTTTTGGTGAACTCCATACCTTTTTATCCATTGTGGAGTGTGGGTCATTGAGGCTGAAAACGTTTCGGTTTGAAATCTTGCACCCTGATAGGTAGGCGGAGTCATTGGCGATATCAAGTCGGACCTGACAAAGTACGAGGCATTGATGACCTCGAGTGTACTAATCCCACAGTGTTCCTTTGCTTCAGGTAATGTGTCCGAAATTGACTTTGACAATCAATTCCGATAACTAGATATGGCTGTTCATTCGCGTTACTAAATGGTGCTTCATTACTTTCAAGGCTCAAATAGGCAGTGCGTCATTGTCAGATCAAGCCACCTACCCATCCTTTTACCGCACAATCCCAACGATCATCGTCTTGGTGGATGCGATTCTGGAAGTTGTCAGAAGTATGGGCTGGAAGCGGATCTCTCTCATCTATGATATCAACACCCTCGGATGGTCTGGTAATCGATCGCTACTCTGCTTGTTTTGTGAGTCGTACAAAAGGATACTGTGGATAAGCTACTGAACTTCCTCCCCTTGCTTGTCAACCCAATTAGGACGGGAGTACTTTTCGGCGCGTGCACGGAAACTGGGAATCTACATTCTTGCATATCAGCCCTTGACGACTGCCGGAGTACCATTCGATCCGACCTACACGTTTGTCAAGAACCGGATCCAATCGTCTCAATCCCGGATCCAGGTTGTCATTGCTGCAGGAGACAGTCAGTTCGCACTTCTTCACGAAATGAAGTAAGAGCTTCTCCTCTATCCTACCTATACCGTCTATGCGCGCCGTGGAATTTTTTCGCCTAACAAAAAGTCCATTTGCACGTCAATTATTAGAGAGGCAGGCTTCTTCGGTCCAGACTACGCATGGGTGACAGGAAACGAGATTTCTTCACAGCTTCGACAGGATCCGGATGTCAAGGCGTATGACGGACTCATTATGATTGACAACGGATGGGAGCTCTCAGGATATGCACCCTATGACGAGTTTTTGTCTAAATGGCTGCGACTTAATCCTCTTGAGTACGTGTCCCTCGTACTACGCTCAGGGAAATCATTTATTATTATTTTCGGCACGGCAAACTAACCAATTATCGCCCTGTCAATACATAGTTACCCTGGTGCAGGAAACCCAAACTTGGAGAACAATGAAGGGATGGCGTACAGCTGTGTGATGATGCTAGCAAATGCATACAGAGACCTGATCGAAAAGGCTGTCCCAGATCCAGCAAACCGCAACGCACAGAATCCATTGATTCAGCAGATCATTGCAGGAGACCATGCAGCAAATGTCAATGGATTCTATAATCAAACGACTTACAGAGGGCCTTCAGGACCTATCACTCTCGACCAAAACGGTGACAGGAAGGAAGGGTGAGTCAAGCGAAAATTTTCAATAGTAGAATGCTTGTGGCACCGTAAACTGTGTTAACAACTACTAATGCACACACATAATGCGTATCGAGTAGATACTTTATGACGTTCAGCATGCAGGACGGTCATTCTGTTCTCTTTGCGACCAGTTTCATTGGAAACTACACCTTCATCAGGGAGCCGCACTTTAAGGATGGCCACCCAAAGCCTCCGAGCGACGCACCACCATGGGCGAGTATGTATTCTCTGAGAAGATTCTATTTATTCGTGTCGTAACAAGGAGGCATCACGGAATTTTTATCGAAATGCTAATTTTTCTTTACCTTTTACACAAAGTCCAGAATCCGCGATGGGATAATGCCAGTGGAATTGTCCTTGGCACACTGTGCATCATTGGAATCGTGTTGACGATCATCTCGGGAGTGCTGGTCGTTTATTTTCGAGACAACATTGTCATTAAGGCATCCAGGTGTGTGCTAAACGACCGCCCGTTTTTTTGCACTACGAGAAAAATTGACCTCGCTGATTGTTTCTGACGCCACCAATTATTATTTTTAGTCCTACATTCTGCCTATGCGAGTTGCTGGGGATCTTGCTGATTATGATCTGGTGCGCGCTGCATATTGGTATCCCAGACATGGCTATGTGCATCGTACAGAATTTTATTCTGCCTATCGGAGTGACCCTTCTTGTTGGGTGAGGGTCTCATTTGTACTGCTTTCTGGGAACAATTGGTTGCTATCTTTGCGTCGAGGTGTCGCTAACAAACCTCTCATCCATCGAACTTGTAGGTCCTTGACAATCAAGAACTACAGGATCTATCGCATCTTCAACTCGGTCACAGTGATGAACCAGGCGTTTCAGACCCGACTTTTGCTCCGCTGGATGGCCCTGGCGCTGTTCCTCTGCGTAGTGCCCATGATTGTCGAGGTGAGTATCGATGCTCCCCGACCCGAGATGATCAACATTCGATCTATCCAGTGGATTCGCTGTCGCGGGTCCATGACGCAGGTGTGGTGGGTTTTATCGTCATCGATCATCCCGGCCATCTTGGTTTTCTTTGGAGTCTTCCTTGCCTTCAAGACCCGCAATGTTGTCTTTTTGTGGAACGAGGCAAAACAGATCTCGCTTGTTCTTTAGTAAGTCCGTACTCTTATGGATGCTTACATCGATCGACTTTTTTTTGCTTGTGCATTTAAAACGGAGTGACATGTACTTGTACTTACTGTCTTCCCCCCCTCCCCCCTCTTTTTTATGGACATGTAGCAACGTCTTCTTCTTCACGATCATTATTGTGGTCTCTCAATTCTTTCCAGTCGAGATCTTTCTGGCAACATTCTACATCTCGATCGTCGGAATCTTATTTGTCGCCTTCCTCGCTCTCACGGTCTTGTTCGTGCCAAAGTTCAGGAACATATGGAAGAACCTTCGCAAACCATGGGAGGATGACCTTCACCCCAGCAATCGGATTCATCACCGGCTACCTGGAGGGATCGGGCGACCTGGTAGTGGCGGCGGTGAAGGTGCAGGAATACTGGGTCGGATGCCGGACGATTTCAGGACTGTATCACCGGCTTTTGCGAGACGACAGGTTGTACCGGCGATGACCACAGCAGCAGTAGCAGCAGCAGCAGCAGAGCTGGGCATAGTAATGGGTATAGGGGATGATGGCGGCAACTATCTTGGACAACCCTCTATGGCGGACCATGCTATTACTGCAGAGAGTGTCTTGGCGCCCATCGTTGACCATACCTTGACAACTGGTGGATCGAACGAGAGGCCGTCGAAACACAAGCGGAAGTTCTCGGTGGCCTCTTTGACTCTAGGAGGAGGGGGAGGAACGGCTAACGCAAACCTTGATGGGAACCCTCTAGGAGCATGGATGAATTCAAAGGTCCCGCGGAAGGGTTCAGATCCGGGGGCGGTAGAAGAGAAGAGAGGGACGTTTATGACGCTTGGACAGAGATCTGCAGGATTGGACGAGGACGGAGGAGGTACTTCGAGCTATCCTGGAGAGAACGAGGCGATGAGCAGAAATGTCGATGGTGCTGGTGTTGCAGAAGGGTCACACGATCATCGTTCGAGGATGAGTCAAGGATCGATCAGGGGTGACAATATTCCAAAGGAGCACCGCGGGCACAGCAGGGTTGAGTTTGCTGAGAACTCGTTTAGTGCTGCCGGAGGGGGAGCATTGGGGAGGCGCGGAACCGATCCTGATTTGAGAGGGCCTCTGCGGACGGCTATTTTGGCTGAGCGTACGTTTGGAGGTTCAACGTCAGGAGCACAACGCATGGTATGGGTCTTTTGCTCTCTTGCTTGGGGTTGTTTTCTTGTTGAGGTAGGTTCGTTGATGTACAAAGTACATTTGACTAACGGCACTTGCATTTTTTTTTCCGTTCGTTTTTAGTTGGACTGTTTTGTGGTAAGGACTCAACGAGACAAGGCTGCTATCGAATGAATCGAAATCATGTTCCTAACTTTTGCTACCATTTCTAGTTCCTACTCCCTATTCGCGCTCTCAGGGGCAGAATCACTGGCCTACTCTCACATTGGTGCATGGCCACCTTGATCCTTATCCCCGAAGCTCACGCCTTTCTCTCTGTCGACGTAAGGCTCTCTCTGGAGGACATTAACATTGGCACCCTACAAGTCTTGAATCCAGGAAGAAAAAAAAAATCTAATTTTCGGGGCCACTTTGTACAATCTTGATAGAGCACGGATGGGAGATCAACCAGCTACTTGATGTTATCGATGACACAGGTACAGGACGAACAGGAGCCAACTATTAGAGTGACATCCTGTCATGCAAGACCGCTCTTGATTCGGTTCTCGAGTCAGAGTCGGCTTGATGGGTGGATGAGTCTATTCACGGAGCAGGATCTGCAATCCCTCGCGCATCGGTCGTCTTTGACGTCTTTGTCTGGTTCTTATCCGCCTTATGCGTCGGGATATAATGGGAATTTGCCTGGTCTGAATGGTGGTACGGGTGGAATGCGGCGACGGTCGGTGCCCCCTGATCCTGGTTCGGACTTTATCAATACGCATAATCTATCGTTCTCTAATCCTTTTTCTAGAAACAGTGGCGCAGGAGGTGGTGGTAACTCGGATATGACGATGATGATGAACGGTGGTGGCGGTGGCGGTGCACCTGGACAAGGAGGAAATCGAGGAAACGGGTTGCAGGCCTCTGATGACGAGAATCGGCGTCGGCCGTCATGGGCGTCTCGATTGGGGACTGGATTCTCAGGGTTCTTGAATCGAACGGATTCTTCTAAATCGACCAGTGGTACCAGTCAGGTCGCCTATGATGGGTACAACAACGATCGCCATGTCTTCCACGGTCACAACAGTAATATCAATAACAGCAACATCGCCGGTGACTTGGACGTGGACGGGCTTGTGACCCCTTGGTGGTCTCGTGCTGGGGGCGAGTGGACGAGTACCGATATATCGAGTTCTGGACCCACTGAGCGACAGAATAAGAGACTGATGATGCACCAGCCGCCGTTTGTGGGCGCCTCTGAGATTGTTGAGGATCGGGAGGGTGAATCTGAATCGTCTGTGCAGGATAGGCAGACCGCTGCTGCTGCTACTACGACGCCTCTGCAGGTTAAGAGTACGGCGTTGGAGGAGCCCTCCCTCGTCGATGGAGTTGACGCTTCTGGAGCAGCAGCAGGAGGCACTACTGCAGGATATGACAGCTCGAATCAGTCCGTGAGGAGAGGGTCGACTGCAAGTGGGCGCGTTGGAGATTCGTTACCGCCACCGATACTCAGTCTCGACCCACCATCGGGACCAGCCTCGGCCCACGCGCAGTCTCTTCATTCCCAACAGGGCAGTATCCGTTCCATCGCTCGTTCAACACAGCCAGCTCCAGAGGACGGCAACGATTATGATTCGGAGGATCTGTACGACCCAGAGTTCGGAATCGGAGGTAATGGACGACGTCGCAGACGAAACCACACCAAACTCCCAAGTCATCTCTTACCGACCCAAGGAAGCCAGACCATTATTCCCTCTGCTGCCGTGATCTCTGCTGCTGCGGCGGCAGTCTCTGCGGGCTGGTCCGAATCTGACGCCCTTGCTGCTGCGATGGCCACCCCTGGATTCACACCGACTCCTAACAGTGCAAGTGGTTCTTGGATGACAACGACGACACCAGGGATCAGTTCCGATTGCAGTAGTCTACGCAACAACCGAACTCGCCATAACTCTCGAACCTCGACGACAAGTAGCTTACAGGCGAGTCTGTATCCCCGCCGGGGGAGTGCCGGGGAGGGGTACATGAGCAGCGAGGGTAGCAGCAACTCTGTCTGCTCGAACCAAGGAGCCCTGGCAGCGAGCGGGAGTGCGACGAGTATACTTGCCAACTCAGGGGCACCCGGTAGTGGAAGGTACAGGAGACGAGCCTTTAACAATCGGATCATCATGTCCCCCATTACCACTACTAGCGGTAAGCAACAACAGCATCAATAGGCGTTTGAGCGCGTCTGCCCAGATCTTGTTGTCAACACCCCTAAATTCTCTAAGTTCGTCTGGTGTTGCTCCTTTGGCGACTTATTCGACGAGTGCGGATGTGATGGCCAACAGCCCCATTGAGCCACAGTTACAACCACAACAGCAACAGTACCAGCGACCACAACAATAGAAGAAAGGTTAGAGTAGGAAGCTATTCTACAAGATTTGAAAGTTTTTTAATCAAAAAGGAGTATTGACATTACGACGTGAAAGGGGAACAAAAGTGGAAAAATGATGAAGGCAAACAAAGGAGAGGAACAGAAAATTACATGTCGATATCATGCTGAACGTTGGACGATATTGAGGCACCAGCCTTCTTGTAAGTGTACCGACCCCTGACAATGGCTTCCAAAGGTGCCGGTCCAGTCACGCCATCCATTCCCTCTCCTGCTCCCGTCGCCGCTCCCGAAGCCGCCCCACCCTCACTCTCAGCATTCTTGCTCTTCATCAACAGGTAACTCTGTTCAAAGAACTGGTTCGGGTGCTCAATGACCTCCTGAGAAGCAATCATGCTTCCGGTCGCAGAATCGCTCAACCCACCCTTGACATTCTCTGGGGAGATGCCGACCATCTTGGCGCGCGTGACCTCATAGTACCGTGTGCAGGCGATCTGGTAATGACGTTGTTGGACCTTGTGGATAATATCGTCCGTGTCGAATTCGTCGACATTGTGGGCGGCCAATTGTGCGCGCAGGTTTGGGGCACTAAAGTGGCGGAAGGGGCATCCATGGTGGTCTCCTGACCCCGGGGCGTTGTTCATAATGATGGATTTGCAGCTATTATTTTTTTGTTGTTATATGTTCACATCAGAATTAGTTATGGTCTCCATGCACAAGAAACGCTGCTATAAGAGAAGTACTTTAACGATCAAAATAGCATAGACAGGAGACGTTACCTGTAAGGGGTATAATCGGTCCGTTTTCCTTCCATACCATACGTATGTCGCACGTTGTAGGCGTAGTTCTTGTTGAATTGTTCGGGTGTAATCTTTTCAAACGCCATCTGCCAGAAGATCAGAGCCTGCTCTAGCGAGAGACCCATTCCTTTGAGGAAGAGACCGTACTGCATACGACCTCCGTGCCGTGTGTGCTTCTCCCGTCTCAACTCGTCGTGCAAGTGCTCCATACACAAGGGCATATGCACCTTAAGCTATCAGGAGACAGGAATCGTAGTAAGCACCAGAAGTCGGAATGGAAAGAAAGCGACATCCTCGAGAGAAAAAAAAACTTACAGTATCGACATCGCTGGCCTGGATTTCACCCGCAATCGCAGAACTGGTGAACTCGCGACCGAGATATTGCTTGTTGATATTGTTCAGCACCGGCATCAATCTATCGTCCTCATCCATCCGTGGCAAAGCCCTTCCTGTGACCTCAAGGGCATGCGAGAGACGCTCCTTGAACTCGTCCAAGACCAAAACGACCTGATCCGAGAGTCGCACAAACGCCTTTCCTGCCTGGATGTAGACTTGTCTCCGCCCCACCAGTCCTGTAACTCTCTCGAAATCGACTTCGAAGTATGTCTCCTCGTCGATGTTTCCTGCCTTGAATGAAGATGTCTTGAGTTTCTCCCTCAACAACCGCTTGTCCTCATCTGACACCTATTTGCATACGATAAATAGCTGAGGGAGTGAGCGGACTTGATCTTTTTGATCGTTGTTTCCATGCTGCTTATTGATGTTTCCTATGAGAGACGTACCTTCTTCCAGCTCAGGTTCTGCTTCTCCAGAAACTCCAATTGATCCTTCAGCATCTCCTTTTCAAAGCGATACCTACAGATCAAGGAACGAAAAGTTAGGAAAGGGAAGGCCAAACTCATTCACACTACCATCAGTCCATTGATATCCATGCAAGCAGTAGGGTAGGTCATACCTGAACAAGGCACATTCAGCTCTCAGGAACCAAGATCGAAGCTCTTGACTACATATTGAAAGTTAACATGTAAGACGAATTGGGTAAGTAATGGTAGCAACAAGAAAGTCATAGACTGGATCCTTCAGCGATCTGGAAGTGTACTGTGTAACGTACCTGCGAGAGTAGGCGAGGCGCAAGATGAAGTGACTGATGTGGTCCTTTCGTCGCTCTTCCATTAACTGGCGGTGAGAGGTGTTGGATTTGCTGTTGGGGCTCATGGGCATGTATTTCCTGATAGCTTCGTTCACAGCCTTGTCCAGTTGCTCCGGTGTCAAGTTACGCATCTGCGCCGTGAGCAGTGCCTGCAGGACTAGTTGAGTTACATGATACATGCCAACGAGAAAGAAAAAGACTGTGAGTTATTACGTGCTACCATCAGACACACAACCTCGGTCGTAAGAAAAAAGTGATGAGTGAAGGGAAAAAAATACCTTGCATTCGGTCGAGGGCAAACTGTTCAAACTCCTCGATGCTGATCTCGAGTGGTGGCGGTTCCCTGTAGAAGTTGAGGCGAGTTGGGTAGAGGTCGTCATCGTAGGTTGACTTTATGCCAGAGGCGAGCAGCTGCCTGCTTTTCCTGTTATGCTGAGTGAACATCTTCTTTGTGTGTGAGGTTGTAATGAGAAAAGAAGAAGAGGGGGACAGTTGACCTCGGACAAAAAGTAAAGAAACCACAAAAGAAACGCGCCCTGGACTTTTATTTTGTTTTTTCCCTTGTGCTTCAGGCAGACGCGACTTTTTTAATTTAGAGGACTGTTTGTGCCATCGTCAATTAAAGAGGGAAGGGACAAAGGTTGTCTAAATTACGTCACCGAAGACGCAACCCACTGAACCACAATCACATATTTGGGAGAGGCATACAAAAGGCACTGCAGGTCTCTTCAGTTCCATCCAACACAACACAGCAACCATGACCCACAACTACGCGCGATCGCTCGTCAGCGAGCTGTTCGCCCCATTCGAGCCAAGCAGATACAAGTTCTGGGACAAGGAGGTAAGTGCCAATCTTCTGACGTATACGATTCAGTCATTTTAACAACAACATCAAGGCACCTCCTTCGAAATTGTCACAACGGCTAACCCTCGAGCAACAGAGCGATCAACGTATAAAAACGACAATGGGCTAAACTATTTCCATTCGTAACTTGTTATATTACCGATGGAATCTTAGGTCTGTAAGCATTTCCTCGTCAAGTTCTGCCCAAACAGTCTGTTCACTAACACCAAGTCAGACTTGGGTAACTGTGACCTGGTCCACGACGAAAAGTTGCGCGAAGAGTACGTTCATAGTTTCTCTGCCTTCAGGGCCTGACATTGAAGAGCCAGCCTTGTTATCGATAGTCTCGGAGAAAAAAAATCTAACCGTTCTCTCCATCAATGTGTGCATGTAGATATCAGAAGGCTCCGGACAGGGACACATACCGCTATGAGGAAGAGTTTTTCGATTACTTGACATATCTGCATAACGATCTCGAGAGAAAGATCCGCCGAGGCAAGGAACGCAAGGACAAGGAAGTTGACGAGAACGTAAGTTTGATGGATCCTTTCGAACCTAGTGTCCATCGTTGTCTTGATTAGTTCGTAGTGCTTACGACTCTACAAAGCCGCTTGCTAACTCATCTTTCGTCCGTTACTGCCCTCACAATCTCTCACCTTCCGATCCGACGCCACCCTTTTCAAAACTATCGACATCATGGCAATCGACATCATCAGCTGCTGAACCCGCGCAAGGACGAAAAGGAGGAAAAGATGGTCATGCTTGAACAAAAGATCAAGGACACACTCGCCAAGGTGGAGGAAGCCGGCGAGGAAGGGCGCGTCGAGGAAGCCCAGGTCCTGACAGATCAGGTCGAAAAGATGCAAGCAGACTTGCAACAGCTCAAGCAGAACGACGATGTCAACCCAATCTTCCGTCAAGAGAACAAGATGGAGGTTTGCCATGTCTGTGGCGCTTTCCTGGTCATGAACGACACTTCCAACCGACTGGACTCTCACCTTCAAGGCAAGCAACATACTGGCTACCAAAAGATTCATGAGACCTATGAGGAGATGAAGAAACAAAGAGGTGATCGACCCCACTCAAGCTCGTCTCGTGGTGGCAGACACCGTGACGACCAAGGAGGCTCTGGACCTCAGAGGGATCACTTCTCCGATAGCAGAGGCGACCGCGAGCGAGGCGGGTACAGGGATTCGCGGAGTTATCGTGACCAACCCTACCGGAGAGACGACCGCAGGGACAGGGACAGGGATCGCGATGGTGGACGACGAGACAGGAGCAGAGATCGTGGCGGCCGACGGGACTATGACCGCGATCGGGACTACAGACGTGGCGGACGGGACGATCGTCGCTTTTAAGTAAGTTTTGCCCCTTCGTTTTTCTTCTCACAACAGCTCGCCAAAGCATATGTTAAGATACAACAGAAAACAAGCAGCGTGTTAATAGCACAGAGACAAACACAAATAAACAAACACGTAAAAACGTGAACATTACTTGCCGATATCCTGTGATGCTGTCGTTTTCAACATGCAGGTGCCAGTCAGAGCGACCATCTCCATGCAGGGGCACACAAATTAAACAGTCACCCTGGTGACAGCCCTTAATATCCATTCTTTTCCTAGTCTTATTGTCTATTTCATCCAAAATTTAGGATGTTTTGGTTAATCTGAGGTTTACTGATAGCAGACTCCGTAGCAAATCATAAATGGGAAACAAGCAGATGGGAACTTACATAAATCTAGCTAGGCTAGCTCATCAGCAGCGTCGCGGGAAGCCATTGTTGTCAATGGGTCCGTTGTCGAAGTGCTCGATGTTTTGTTGTGTTCCAGTAGCGAGAGACTGGGGTTCTGAAGGGGTGGCGCCCTCTGGACGCGTTGATCTCCTGTAGGGAGGAAGTGGCTGTCTGTTGTCGCTCATGATTGTCGTGAATCCCGCAAGTGCAATGTTGACACATGCATTGCTGTCCCTGCCTCGACGTGCATAACCGGCGCGGACACTCTCACAGTTGGGGTTTTCGCACTGAACCGCACCGTTGATTGTGACCAGCTTCTCGACTCCGTTGACAAGTCTCAGTTCCTTGACGAGGCGTAGAATCGCAAAACAAAACGGACAGACTTTGCTTGTCATGTTTTCATCGGTCATCAGTACAGGGACGGAGAGGGCATGTTGCTCAACGACCTTTTTTCCGCCGTACTTTAGATGACCGCCAATGCGACTCCCGGTTCCGATTCCTGCCGTCCCGACGAACATGATAGGGATGATGGGCAACGCATCTCTGGGGCATTCCTGTGGATAGGTGAGTGCCCTTCCAACGCGGATTGGGAGGTGGTGTCTACCACACTTGCAACACCCATCGATAGAGTCGACTGTGTTGACTGATGCTGGTTGGGTCTGTCCTGTTCCTATCAAGAAAACAAAAATAAAAGTACGTTTTAGTTATTTGAATGCCCATTGGAGTTAACAACAAGGAATCAATGCACTCCGATTCTTAAATCCATAAACTTACCTCTGGAAAAATCCTGCATTTTCCGTCGTTCGTCGGCTGCGATCGTCTGCCATGCTCGCTGCAGTTGAAGATCCTTGTGGTGGGTTTGTTTCACTAAGCTTTTGCTGCCCTCGAAGTTGCGAAGGGGTTGTGTAGCTGATCGTCGGGTCACCTGTGCAGAGTCAACTTCACTGATAGTCTGCGCCTTCAAAACGGAGTTTTCTCCTATCTCCTTGTGAAGCTCCGAAATCCTCTGATTTTCCGGCTGTCGAAGCAAACGCTCCCTTGTTCGAGTCGCCCTACCTACTCCACCGACTTCTTTGACCTGTTTTGCGGTGATGCGGTTGGACTTGGCAAAACGCATGTCCTCGATCGTTGCCTTCCGGGATAAAGAGCCAGTTATCGTTATGGCGTTCCGAGTCCGTTCTGGAAGAGACGACGCTTTCGATTCTGAATGCAGAGAGGGCTGGGTGTCCGTGCCATCAATGTCCATGTCCACAGCATCAGCGTGAGAGGTGGGCGGCTCTGAAGCCCCGTCGTCGTTGCCGGTGTGGTGAGTATCGGGATGACCTATAACGTCAAATGAAACGCCGTAGGAAATTATTGCATGAAGACACGATCTTGATATGATAGAGCGACAGTAGTAAAGCAGAAAAGAAAACATACCATGGAGAATATAGTATCGGTTTGATAAAGATTCCAGAGTTGACCACAAGGAGGGGACAGTCTCAGACATAGTCACCAATCCTCTGTCAGTGCCTGGTACAGGTAGTTGTCGGTCCTTGTCTTCAATTTCTAACAGTAGCTGCTTGATGGAGGTTGTCTGAACAAAGTCTTGCATCCCAGGATGTTGAACAGTTGGGACAGACTCTGTGACAGTCGTGATGGGCAGGGGAGAAGGGTCTTCTGATAGTGCTGTTGGGGGGGCGGTCGCCTTGGACAACCTGTTGTAATAGTAGCGTTGCTGCTTCTTTTCCCGGATCTCAGCCTCGAGAGGAACGATCTTCTTCTTCAGGTTGTTGACGACTTTTCGTGCCTCCTGAAGGTTCTGGTAGATTCCCTTTTTGTGTCTCTGGTCGTGTCCTTCATAGTGACGAAGGGTGCGGTCCTTTTCTCTCCTGACCGTCGTGGCTGCCTTGAGGCCCTTCTTGAGGGGTTGTAGCTCTGTGACCAAACGATCCTGAACAATCTTGATCTCCTCCGACGCTTTGGCTGCAGATTGAGGGGTGTGCCCGGTTTCCAGTAGTTCCGACGTCCAGTTGATTACACCTGATGGCTTAACATGCTTCTTCTTCTTGTCTTCGTACGCACTGTTGGTGAAGTGGCGGTTTGGTCCCGTTATCGCCCGTCGTCCCGTGATGCGTACTGTGTAAAAGTCGACGTACGTCATTCTATCATTTTACAAACAATGCACGGTAAACTGTTATTCAATTGACTCATGATGGTCATAGATATGAATGAGGAGAGGTCATATTCAAGACCTTATGTATGCATACCTTTGTGCGAACTCAAGTCCATGTTTCGTGCAGGCATCGTCGATGATGGCCATATTGAAAAGTCCACCGAAAACATATTTGCGATGATCGGTAGACAGTCTCGCGACGGTCGACGTGGTGATTACTCGACCACTTGGGCCCTTGATATCGAAGCGTCCTGGTGCTCGCCCGCCAAATATGTCATACACCCCTGACGCGTCCAACGGCACAGCATGCCGATTCCCAACAGCAGGAACTGGGCAAATCCTACGGGTGAAATCCTTGTATCCCGCCGATCTCAAGATTGCATTTGCAATATACACAAACGGCCCCAAAGTCAAGACGCTCTTTGGATAGGAAGTTGACTGGGGTCCTGAGTGGGCCTTCTTAGGGGTAAACGGTCTCAGTAATGTCACTAGCCGCAAGACGGCCAAAATCTCCTCCGTGCTGTACATCTCAGGCTCGTAGAGCTTCGCCTTGACTGTCTCTTCGGTGATGGGTATGTTCGAGTCTGGCAATTCCAGCAACCTGATAGCTACTGCTTCTAGACCTCGGAGCTTCTTTGATGTCGGCTCCTTTGGTCCTACGGTGGAGAAAAAGGAAGTGAGAGATATTAGTCAACAGTTAATACCACAAACTCAGCAAGGAGCAGCGTCCGATATTAGTTATTGGTACCTGTTGAGGAGCGTGCCACAGATTCAGACGGACCACTGCTCTGAGCCTCTGCATTAATAGAGCGACCGGCATCTGACTGCTCCTCCATGACCCCCATCTCGCAATCTTGATCTGCTGTGTGAGTGCAAGGCATTAAAACATCATCGCTGCTCTTGCTCGAGCCCGAAACAACCAACTCAGTATCCATATCGTCGTCTGAGTCGTCTGAGCCGTCAAACTCCGAGTCCGTCTCGTAGTCGTCGCTTTGGGTGAGTCCACGTGACTTGTTCTGCTCCTTGACTCCTGGCCGCCGCTCTTGATGGATGTCAATGAGCCCGAAAATCTTGTTGATGCGCTCCTCGTCTCGACTAGTATCAAATGCGTGATCAAGTTGATTGAATAGGTCCTGGTTTCGCCTTTTCCAGTTCCTCAGGGACTCTCGACGCTTTTGGCTTGCCGATGCCGACGCCTCCTTCATCTCCTCGGCCTTCTTGATAGCACGCTTCCGCTTTTGGATGCGGTGTTTCTCCTCGCTCTGGGGTCGTAGATTGAGTCGGAGAACATTGTGCACCACGTACCGTCTCAACCTCTCGTAAATGTCTCCAGACCATATCATCTTGATGTTCGTAGCGTACTCTCGCATGAGTGTGGCCGTCAAGCCCCCCAGGCTTTCCTTCGATGAGTCCTCTGACTGGTATCCGACCTCGACATTGGCATCAGCAGCAGCATAGGCATCATCCACAGCGCCGGAACCAGAGGCTTGAGACAAGCTTGGAATGATCTTGAAGGGGTTGGATGAGGGTGAGTCAGGATGCCTTGAATCATCCCAGGCTTGTGGTACCAGCTTCCCGCTATAGATGCTTTCAAGCACTGTATCCCACAAGGGGTGGGTGGTAGTCTTGGGGGTCTTCCTCGCACGTCTCAATTCTGGAATCCGAACTCCAAGGTACTGCAAATAATCCTGGGATAGCAAGGTTGCCGGATCCTTCACTCGGGGCTTCAACTCCGTAGCATCGGATACAATCTGTTTCCACTCCGGAGTAATGACTCCCGCTTCCACGATCGGGTTCTCCTTGAAGTAGTCGTCCCTGATATCAAAGGATGGCGGGAATATGTCAGCTAGGTTAAGCTGTATGCTTCCTTGGATGCCACCGCGACAGATCTAGAAAGTAAACACGGTCGTGATAACATATAATATTAGTTAACTTGAAATAAATATGTCCTTGCGCGACCACAACCAAGACAGAGAATGTTGAAAACATACCCATAGTGTTGTCTTGTACGCTCCCATGGCAACGGATTCCATAAAGTCAGACACCTCACCCTGTACGTCGTTTAGCCTCTTGGTGATGTAATCTTGATCCTTCGTGGGGAGATCCGTCCTGAGCAGCTTCGTAAGAGGTAGGGTAATAGTGCGAATGCTGTTGTCATCCTGGGCGTCGATGTCCGATGGGGTTGGGGCGATAGTTGTTGAGTTTGCTGAAGCAACGGTAGGATCAGATATGTGGTCCTGTTCCTCGATCCATGCCATGTCAAAGTGTCTTGATAAGGCCGCCTTATATGTCGCTAGAGCTCGTCCAGTAACGGTCTGAGGTTCTCCAATAGGGTGGGTAATCATCATCGATGCGTGATGGTTGGTAAAGTCCTCTTCGTCGTTGATGCCGCAGTGTTGGCGAACGCGTCGAGCAGTTTCATTCATGACTCCCCGAGGCGTTCTTACACGTTTCTCTTCCGCTTGCTTTGC